AAATGACATGCATACTTTGCGGTGCTAACTTTGCGGTGCTAACGTTCCGGTATCAAGTGAAGTAACAAAGTCTGAAAGATTCAAGGCTATTTTTGAGGAGACCAGGTTGAAAACTTTTCGCAAAAGGATCCTACCATGCCGTCGATTTTGATGCCTCGGTGGAGAGTGCGAATTTCACCAAGTTTCCTCACCTGTCATCTTTACGGGCCTAATGATGTTGCAAATTTTAACCAAGGGAGATCTAAAGCTACTAAGATCTGAAGCTACTACTACTGCGGAGACACCCAGAGAGCATTGACGAGATCATATGATACCTTAAACCCCTTAACCCCACTGTTGTTTGGGGAGCAGGTCATACTTGCCTGTTGGACAGCAACGTGCCTTCCTCTGCCTGGTTTAAGAACCCGAGGAAGGTATGACTGAGGCTGACCCTGTAGGGTAGATCTACTAATGCAAAATATATGCAGCATTCAACTTGTTTGATATTTCGTGATTGTCATTCCCGAATTAAGTTCAGTGTGGCTAGGCTGAAGGGATAAATGGGACCAAATAAAAAAAAATTAATTGTATTGTTCAAGGACGCAAGACCATCTGGGTTCCTTGTGAGGTCCTGCCTCCATTTCAATTCATTCCCACAGGTCCTGTGCGCATGTATATTGGTAAGCTGTAATCATTGAAGCGCTTCTCGGCTGCAATTTGTATTTGTACAGAAAGACACGGTTCAGTCACATTCTTACTTCCTTCATGTTTAGCATGGCTTTCAGATTTCCTGATGTGACTTATATTCCCATGTTCAATCTGGGACTTGAACTAGTACAGGCCCATGCGGTTGCCCCAGCCGTCGGTCCGTGGGTTGACCACGATGCGGTAAGGGAATGGATTTGAGTCGCTAGTTGTAATTGGTGGGATGTGATCCTTGTCCTTGTTGACAACGTTGAGAATCTTGAGTGCAGCCTTCTGGAGCATATTTTCCATTGCCTTGCGGACCTTTGCGCGTTCTGCCGGTCAATCAGTATGTGAGATATAGAAATTGGGGATAAAGCGCAAGGGTAGAGTCCGTGGATCTCAGTTTCTACATTTCAAGTCTCTCCGGATAGACAAACAGGTATATACCAGTGTAGCCGCTAGAGAGAAAGAAAATAAGGAACTTCAAGAATGCCCACAAGGCCACATATCCACGGAAGTAACCCCTCGCACCAGGAAATGACTCAACTCACCAGACTCAGTCCGCGGCGTCGCAATGGTAACATCCAACGTCCAAATCTCCCAACAAACCTCTTCCTCTCCATTCCCAGCAAGTCCGCCGAACCACATCCCTGAGCGCCGGCGTTTCTTCTCATAGAACTCCACAGCGATGCGTCCCCGTACGCCCCCGCCCCCACCCGCCTTCCTATCCTGCGCACTAACCGCCGAGGAGAGGTGCTGGCGGACGAGGGCCTCTACGCGGGACTCTATCAGGGTTTCAAGGTCTGCGTCATTGATAGCGGGGAGGGTGAGGTCGAGTACATCGAAGGTGACGGGTCGGATAGAGGGGAAGTAGCGGTGGAAGAAGATGAGGTTTAGGACACCTGGACGAGATCAGTTTCTGAACAATGTGTATATATCAAGTAAATGTCAGGCGATTCTATTCTCTGGTACCTTTCAGTACATCGCGCACGGAGGTGGTGTCGGCGAAGATCTCCAGGAAGTACTCCGGAGGGGTTTTGCGGGGCTCCATCCCCGCCCGCGAGGACCGGCCCAGCACGCGGACCGGACGGGTATTGCGTTTGTTCCGGCGATGCGATGTAAGCTAGAGACTAGGCGCAAGGAGCAGGAGGCACAGATTCACAGGTTTGAAGGGCGAAGTGTGGGAGAGTGTAGAGTGGCAGTGAGCAATGTTGCATGAGGAGGGGGGGGGGGGGGGTCAGATAGCTTGGGTGGAGTGGATGATGCCGATGCGTTCGGGGCGGTTTCTGTCGGCCATCGGATTAGGCCGGTGCTTATCGCCTTATCATTGGCCGGGGCATTCCTCTAGGGATGTCATGGAATTAGAAGGGATGTGTCAAAGGAGGAGTTGTTTGGGATGGTGGAGGGGGAGTCTTGCTACAGGATGTACTGGTTCTCTGGGCTACGGTAGTCCATAGGTGCCACCATCTCATCTTCAACCCTTACGGAGTACGGGGCCCGTTTCGATCTTGACCAGCTGAGATATCTGTGGACCAATCAGAGATGAGATATTTAGCTGAGATAATAACCGGTGCGATGTAATTGCTTTTTTTCTCTTTTTTATTTCAATTATTGATCTTCTGCTCCTCATAAATCCTTCTGGTTGCGTGATGAATTCTCCCTATTTTACGGAGTACGGAGTACTTAGCAGCAACATAAGAAATAAGAATAAACCCTCAAAACAACACCTGGGCACACAGCAGCGAAAACAGACAAAAGATTTCTCCTAGGGAGCTCGGTAAGTGTAGGTAGCTAGATAGAAGTTCTAAGAGATTTAGAAGATAGTTATACTAGCAAAAAAGAACCTGGACTACCTATAACACCTACGTCCCAAATTTACTACTAGTAGTATTCCCCATATAAATTTAGACACTACTTATTCACCCAAGTCCTCACCTCACCACAATGGACGCTCAGTTGCACATGTTTGCTTACAAATCAAAAAACTCTCAGGCAGTAAGGCTCCAAGGCTTGAACATCAAACCCGCCAAGTATCACAGAACGTAAGTGGCTAGTGCACAGGCGTGGATGTGAATCGCGATTTCCCGGTTTCTGTATCTGAAAATAATTCTTTAATTTCCTCGGCAAGCTACGGATGATTCAATGTCGTTTTTATTCTCTTCCCGAGTTTTCCTCAGAAGCTCAACATACTTGTCCAGCACCCCTACGACAACAAGCTCTAGCATTGCATCTTTGTCTATGTGCTGCACTGCACAAGCCGTCTTCGTCTCACGATTAGAGAAAATAGCATATCCGGGCACTAAGCCAAAGACTCAACGATTTCTCCCGGTCGGGGGGGGAATCACTAGCCCGGCCATTTTCGTCCACATCAGCAACCATGGTCATCCAAGATTCCAAGAGAACTCCATGGCTTCGAATGTGCGACAACATGGCTGACCTCATTGAGAGAAATTTGGAGACGGACGGGTTCCGTTACTGGGGTATCACCATGTACCGAACCACCTATAAGAGCGACGCGGACTGGGCGAAATTCCTCGATCGGTTCATGGGGAGTGTCCGCACAGAACTGGAAAGCGACGATGGGCTCGACATTTTGGATTCATTTCGGCCTGTTGTGATGGAAGACGCGCGCCGCTTTGACGGGGCCACGCCTGATCAAATACGGGACGCTTTCAAGGAGTGGGCGAGGGTGGCTTGCGAGACGGAGCAAATGGTACCATACGAAAGAGCAGAGAGGGCGTACTCGGCCCGATATCGACTGTGTCTCATGGTTGACGAGGAGGCGTTACATTCTGTGCTGGATATACCGACCGAGGACTTGGAAGCGTATAATACAACTGGATTTGTGATTCTGATCAATGGTAGGTGGCCCCTAGAGTGGGACCCCGAAGAGTTGGCTGCAGGAGGGGGACCAGACGATGGACACGAGCCAGTGTACGGGTGTACGTTGGACGAGGTTGGCTGGATGAAGGTTCTATATGGTAAGGCGCAGACTGGTGCCTCCTCAAACATGACTGGTGATGGGGATTGGAGCGTTGAGTATCGACGGCCACCGGCCATTGGTTTTCAGTTTTAAGCGGAGACAGATCCCAACGCCCGAGGGATGTATTTCTGGCCAAAAATCATGTATATTAATGATCATTCTTTACCTCTACTGTGACTAATCTTTTCTTCCCAGGGCTGCTATTCTGCTCTTGGTGCAGGTCTATGAAACGCCAACACAAATGGTATAGCCAACATCCAAATACTGACAATCTGATCCAATCACCGAATTCCACTCGTACAGCTGCGCAAATGTTAGTTCAAACGCATCCTCGACCGCCGCGCACGAGTCTCCGGAAACGACCGTGTAATATTCGTTTCAATTGGACGCGATGCCAGTCTGTGTAGGCGCACCAGCTGAGCTACTTGCCATGGCCGTGGGACCCTTGAAGCAGTAGGCATATCCGAGCCAATGGTTCGTACATGTTTTTCCAACTATAGTTTGGAATTAGCTTGACTCGTCTCCGGGGGGGGGGTTTGGGTTTGATGGATGTGATCTTACTGCTGAGATTTCACTCATAGAGTTAGGCAAGAGTAACTCCAAACTCAGTCTCCATTGTCGAACACTCATCTCCCAACTCAACAGTGAAGAACTCCTGGCAACCCGCTGCGGGTGTGGATATCAATCTCCTACCCTCCGCCCGCTATTTAAGGGTGCGGGTATCCTCGCGAGTCCGCGGGTATGCCGCAGTCTAGTAGTAAGATTATATTACTAAGAGACTTAGAGGTACTAGCTAGGTCTAAGATTTATTTAGGGATTACTAATAATTTTAGGATATAGATATAAGAGATAGCCTTAACTTAGGGCAGTCAATATAAAATACTCCCTAATACTATCGGAACTTCCACCCAGCTGCCTAATATGTTTACCTAGGTACCGAGCACCGTATTTCTCATCTCGAATCTAGGAGCTTGTCTGGCTCTACCAATCACACCAGCGCTTCTATGAAAATGCCCCCACCCGCTTAGCAATCCTCCTCCACTCCAAAGCAGGGGAAGGTCCAACCTCCATCTTGCCCAGGTGTTGGATAGGACGGAGTTTATAGACGTCAGAAATGGGATCTTCAGGCCGAACATTGGTAATCCGGAGAGTTTTTTCTCTTGAAGTTGTCGCTGTCGGGGGAATTAATAATGAACGTTGACCATTGACATGAGACGGTTATAGATGGCAAAATGGTATAAATACTTCAGGCAAACAGATTTCTTTTGATGTTTCTCACTGGATTGACCGACAGTACTTAAGACGACCTCAAAATTATTCCAACGACTTTTGTCCGAGTCTCCCATTCTCAATGGATACCAGCAAAATACAAGTTCTCGTTGTGGGCGCAACTGGCTACATGTATGTGCAGCTCACCTGGGCGCTGGTATTTGCAAATAATTTCAGAATATAAATCTAATCTGAGTCATTTTGACTAGCGGTGGATCAATTCTCTCTGAGATTCTGCGCTCATCACAGGCTTCCCAGCTGAGTATTTCTGCTCTCATCCGTCGCCCAGAGCAGGCGGCCAAGCTGGAAGCTCTGGGAGTAAAGCCATTGCGATTCGAGGGATTGGATGATCTGGAGGCTTGCAAGAATGTAGCATCTAAGAATGATGGTAATGAGCTTTTTTTTATTAACTACATACATTTGCACCGTTCAAGTTGCTAACATTTTCCAGTTGTGATCAATGCGGCATCCGCATCCCATGACAGCTCTGCCAAGGCACTGATTGAAGGCTTGGCCTTAAGAAAGAAGGACACAGGGAAGGATGCATATCTGATTCATGTAAGACCTTTAATGAACAGAGAGGGTTACTAAGAACCAGAGCTGATCTATTTCAGACATCCGGCACTTCAATCCTGGGAGATCACCCTTATACCGGCATCGACCAGAACGGTAAAATTTGGTCCGACGAGAAAGATGACATCTATGCCATGGAGAAAGGGCATCCCGAAGTCTACGGACAGCGCGTCACCGATGTTGCTGTCGTCGAGACGGGAAAGAGCCTTGGCATTAAAACGTACATTGTCGTCCCTCCAACCATCTGTATGTTGGAAAAATGTCCCTCCCTCAAATCAAATATTATGCTCACACTTGACAGACGGAAAGGGATCCGGTCCATTTGCGACCCTGAGTCAACAGGTCCCAAATCTTGCACGTTTGGCCCGGAAGCGTGGATCCGCGGCAGTGATTGAAAGCGGCAAAGGCGTAAGTTATAACATCCATGATGTGCTTTCAAGTTTCTACAGTATTTATTGTCTGACCGGGCTATTTCAAGATTTGGAACCATGTGCATATTGACGATCTTTCCGACTTCTACCTCCGTCTCTTCCGTGCTGTCGTCGAGAAGCAAAGCTGGCTTCCTTCAGGCGCAGAGGCTATCTTCTTTGTCGAAAGTGGCGAACATACCTGGCTTCAGGTTAGCCAGGGAATCGCTGATGCATTGCACAAGCGAAATCTTCTCGTGACAAACAATGTCCAGTCAATTAGTCTCAATGAGGCAGCTGACGCAATTACCAACGGCAGCGAGAGTAAAGCAGAGATCTCTCTCGCATCGAAGTAGGTGGATTCCCCATAGCTTTTACAATTTCATACTAATAATTTTCTTTAGCTCGAGAGCTAGGGCTGATTTTGCTCGGAACAAACTTGGTTGGAATTCGAGTCGTGGGCTGGAGGATTTCCTGAACCATTTTGATGGTGAGGTGGAAGCTATGCTGGAAGAGCTGAGTGGCTAGACCACCAAGACAAAATTCCAATAAGTCCTGCACAGCTATTAATCGATATCTGAAATATCTCATGAGATCAATCAATTGGCAATTTTGCGGCTTGGTTACTTAATACTGAGTAATTTTTGGATAGGAGCAGGACATGTGATTGACTCGTATTTGTATCACAGGCCGTACTAACTAGTACTTACGAGAAACCTGATGCTGCGAGTGCGGGGAATCAAATTGCGATGAGTCATAACAATGAAGTTAACGAGATATGATTCCTAGTCCCTATCAATTTAAAGCTATCAATCTTCTCTCCCTACTCAGCTTCTCATCTTAAAATGCCCGGTGTGCTTTGAAAGGCCCATTAATTGCAATGGGTAACCACTTGGGGCCTTGTTGGCAATGGATTTTCAAAATAGGGGTATTGCTTATATGATGTGATAGCCTTGGCTTTAGCATCTAGACCGCTGAATCGCGCAGTATCGTATTTTATAATACACACCGGTGGGCGTATACCACTCCAATTGCATTTGATCGTCATAGTGGGTACTAGTTACGTCGACTCCGCACTTGGACACTCCAACCTCTTTTCCCAACACCACTACAGTCATGGGCAAATTCTATGGGTCTATTTCCGACGACCTAGGGCAATGGGCCTTGCGCCAGAAGGTCTTTTTCGTGGCATCTGCCCCTCTTCGGGGTCGACATGTCAACCTTTCTCCAAAGGGCCTACCGGATTCTTGTCTTGCCATCCTTGATCCAAACCAGGTAGCGTACATTGATTCAACCGGGTCTGGGTGCGAGACGATTTCCCATCTGCGCGAAAATGGTCGCATTACCTTAATGTTTTGTTCGTTCGATGCGTCTCCTCGTATCATGCGACTCTTTTGTACTGGAACTGTTATTGAGTGGGATCAGCCCGAGTTTGCTGTATACCTGAAGCGTATGGGCAAGTCCGAGGTTGCGGGAGCGCGTGCTGTTATCAAACTTGATGTTTTCAAGGTTAGCACTCCGCTGTAGGTATAATCTAATTCATCTAGCATTCTGACGAGTTATCTAGGTGCAAACCTCTTGCGGCTATGGTGTTCCATTATTGGCTTTGGACACCGATTCCGAAACCGACGAGTCCAAACCATATCTGAAAGACCGCGAGACATTGAATCGTTCTGCAGCAAAAATGGTTAGCTCCGGCAGGACGCAAAAATATCAGCAAGAATGCAATAATCGCAGTCTAGATGGACTTCCAGCTCTACAATCTGCACTCCGAGATGGCGGCAACCCTATTTGGCGACTGAAGTTGGAGGATTGGTTGAACCAACATAGAGATGAAGTCAAGACAGTGAAGGTGGTGGTTTTTCTATTGCTGGCTGTTTTGATGGGGTTAAAATGGCATGCAGCCATGTAGTTGTAGATGACTATCAGCTCATTTCATGTGAAGCCGTTGTACCTATAAGGCCTTAGGTGCCAGTAGCCTTTACTGCCTCAGCAGTCCCATATCCACCGTCATCCACTTATTTCCAGATTCAAACTACTTAAAGCCTAGCCGCATTTAGAAGGAGAAGCCATTGTGTCTTTATCCGCACCATGCCGCAACTAAGTGTCATCATCGCTATATTCAACCGTGGCGAAGTTCGTCGTGAGCTAATCAAATAATTGAATACGACTTGTGTGTGGCCCGCTTCAAACAAATATGTCATTCTGAGCGCCTTCGAGGTACGAAAGATTTATTAGTATTATTTCTTCCTAGATCCAAGAGAAACGGGACATATCACATACCAGTTTTCCACCCCCATGCCTTATTGTACATAGGTGTCTTCCCATCGGGTACTTGGACATTGTTTCCAGTTTTCTCTGTTTTATGATTAGCTGAAGCAAAGTTCTGTCTTGAATCATTCTTCTTACGGTTGAAGGCAATCATTTGCTTGGCACCTTTAACACAATTTGTAGTGTCATCCTCGCAGTATCTGGCGATCTGAGCAGGCGCGATCTTTTTGGACGATGTTGATTCGGTTACGTTGCATTTATAACCGGCCATGTACCTGTTTTGGAACGATCATTTAGCGACTCAGTAGAACAAAGGTAAAGGAATTAAAGCTCACATATTAGGCTGTCCACATCCATTTGGAGCCTAAGCGAGCGTTAGTTGTGAAGTGAGACATAAGATATCACCGACGTACCCAGAGCCACGCACAAGTACATCCACCCTCTGGACAAGCCGGGAGATCGGCAGGGACCTCATAGGTAGCAAGACGTTTCCATGGAGTGCTAATAAGAAGTGTCAGTTAAGCAATTTATATCCTGTTCTTTTCTGGAACTTACTGCTCTAAAACAGTGAACACAGCCAGGTTATCCATCGTGACCTTGCTCAACTCAGACTGGTAACTGATGGCAAATGCGGTGCCCGCAGCCTTAGACTGATTGTTGGTATGCATTGCCCCGTCGTCCTGAATACATTCTGGTGGGCTTCCAGGACCAGCCCAGTCTTCTGGATGGTCTTTCCCATCCGGCCAAGCAGAGCTGTAATTTCCATCGTATGACAGCGTGGTTTGGGCCCGGTTGTGGGCCAGTTCGACGGTGAACTTGCCGCCAGCAGGAAGCTCGAGTATGTCGCCGTCTGCGGGTGGTGCAGCATCGCAGCCGCGATCGTGTTGGAACCACCAGTCCTCGTGGGCTAGATTATACAGCGGGTCGACCGCGGTATTTGTGTTGGCATTGTCGGTAGAAAGATCTGGACCTCCAAAGCAATACATGCCTCTGGTCCAGGCGACTGTATGTGCCTGGGCTGCAGCAGTCAGTGCTAAAAGAGCGGTTGCCTTCATCATTTTGGATGAAAGCTAAGAGTGTTTCAAGTTTGGTAATACTGGTAGTACTAACTTGAACAACTTCGCCGGATGTCGGGGTTCTTATAGAGCTACGAAGAACATAGTGATAACTGAACATTATTCTGAAGAAATAGCAGTTGCTTCTTCTTGGCAAGCATAGTTACAATATGCCGAGAAATTATGGAGTAGAAAGACCCTGTTCAATTAACCCCTTGATCCTGTGCTGTTTCAGGATCCTCTCGAAGCCTAAATAAATGAAAGTAGCCCCACATGGAGTGCTTCAAGATCTGAAATGGATATGTCAGACACCCAATGTCCTTGGCTATTCCAAGAGGAAAGTCCAAGTCGACCACCTGGAGTTTGATATTTGCGAGAACGACCCGAAATGGAAACTGGTGTCTTCTTCTGTTGGCCTGGGGGTTGAAACCCCGAGCGATGGAGATAGGATGATTTGCACGGGCCTCCTTGAGTTAATGCCAGGCTCGTAGCAATAAGAAATGAATCTTTACAATGTTATCTTTTTCATGCGAGCAAAAGACTCAGACAAATTTCAGGTATTGCACAGACACGTCTTCGTTCAACCTCAGACAACCAACATCTTTCCCAGGCACTTTTTTAATAATGGCTCCTGAGGTAGAAAAGAAATTCTGTACGGCCCATTTTGAGAGAAAATTTCCATCTTAAGGAAATATTATTATGATATAATGTCGCAGCTACTCATCTGCTAACTAATATCTATTCTGTTTGTACCGCGGCTAATTGAGTTAAAGCGGCATCGAGGGATTTCCTCATTAGGAACAATCACACCGAATCCGGGGTTGCCGCTGCAGGGCAGCCATTTCTTAGCAGGTTCAAGTTTATTGAGGAAATGGTGATGATTGAAATAATCATAAATTACTCCGCAACAGATACTTGGGCATCACATCTAGGTGCCCGAAGAAAAAAAAAGACCATGTGGTATAAACATGGAGTGGTTCGATCACAATCTTCTCCGCATCGAGTCTAGCCGAGGCCGCTCCAACTCCCCCGGCCCTCCACGATCGGCAAACAACCTCCCTCCTCCGTCGCACATGGTCGGGTTCTGGCATCAACACCTGCCATCCTGCCATCAATTATTTTCATCTACAAAATACCATGATCGGGGCCACGAGGCGCTGGTTCCAGCGCAATCGCAAGGGCTTTGCGATCGGGGCCGGCGTGCTTGGAGCAGGCTACTTAGCCGGGCAGTACCTATTGTCTAAGATCTCCGAGGCGCGTGAGCGCATGAGCAGTGATCGAATCGCAAAAGAGAAGTAAGTTATTCCTTTCCTGTCATTCCTCCTCCATTCTCCAGGTGCCCCTGTCGCCTTATCGGCTTGCCTGCCAGCTTTCGACGGATCCAATCCCTCCCCAGCCACACAGAGTTTCGAGTTTAGACCCTAGCTAACCATCAAATCAACAGTCTGCGACGACGTTTCGAACAAAACCAAACCGACTGTACCTATACCGTCCTCGCCCTATTACCCACCGCAACCGAGAATGTCATTGAAGCGCTCCCCGTGGAGGAGCTCACCAAGGAGCTACAGAAGAAGCGGGCGGAGAGGTTGGCCCGCATCAGTGCCGGAGAAGGTACAGGCTCAGACATGAGCTCTGTAGCCCCAAGTCTACCCGAGGACGACCGCAAGAGCCTCTCCAGCTTCCAGAGCGAAGGCTTTGTGCATGCCAGCCAGGTGGGGGAGTCCGTGGACTCGGAAGAACAATCTCGACCGAAACGCAACAAGACCCAGCTATGGAACGAGGTCAAGATCACATGTATGTGTGGATGCAGGGCTTTGAAAACGCCCTTCTGCCTCAAATACCAGCGGCTAACACATCTGCAGCAATCACCCGGTCCTTTACCCTCATTTATACCCTCTCGTTGCTCACCATCTTCACCCGCATCCAACTGAACCTCCTCGGTCGCCGAAACTACCTCTCTAGTGTCATTTCTCTTGCTACTCCTTCGGCAGATTCACCTATCAGCCTTGAAGACCATGATGACGATATTACCCAAACTCTTGGCGATGATTTCGAGACAAATCGACGATACCTTGCTTTCAGCTGGTGGCTGCTTCACCGTGGGTGGCAGGAATTAATGGAACGCGTTCAGCCTGCCGTGGAGGAGGTCTTTGGCCCTCTTAACCCCCGTGAGGATATCAGTCTCTCCAAGCTGTCGGAGTTGACCCTTCAAATCCGGAAGAAGGTCGAGGGTAATACCGAAGATGAGCGACGGTGAGCACTACACGTAATATCCGAGTATACCATTCACAGTGCTGACCGAACCAATTTCACAGAGCCAAGAAATGGCTTTCATGTCTACTCCCGCCCACAGAGGAAGAGGAGACTGTTCTGCGCGAATCTGGCGTAGAAGGAGTGGCAGACCCATCCTCCTCGCAGACTGCGTCCAAACTGCGCCATCTCCTCGACGAGACCGCTGATCTAATCGACTCTCCTTCCTTCTCCTTCGTTCTGACTCTTCTTAACAATGAGGGATTCTCTACCCTGGTAGACCAGAAGTGTGCAAACGAGGCATTCAAGACCTCGGCTACTGTCCCTGAAACTGCACCCCAGTCATTCGACTCCATCGCCACCGTCATCCCGCCTGCGTCAGAGCGCAAGACAAAGCTTGCTAACTTGCTTGCTGTCATGGCCCGCCAGGCACACGTTATCGGCAATGGCTCCCACCAGCCTAATGAATATCTTGGTCCTATGGAACAGAACGTTCGCGAGCTGGAGGCATTCTCTGCTGTCATCTATAGCTCTAACTTCGATCTTGAACTACTTGGTAACAACAATAAGGGTGTGCCTGTCGAGGCCGAAGACTCACCTTCGGTGAACCTGGAGTCATCTTCGTTCGCACCAGTGATGGTGGATAAGGAGATTGACACCGAGGAAATCTCCCAGAGTGTCCCTGTCCTTGTCGAGAAAGAGGAGGTAGAGGAAGAGATTATCTCCCTTGCTGCCCAGGAACAGAGAAATAATATCGGTGTGGAGACTGACGCTGATATCGGCGCGGATTCCGCTTTCGAGCGTGCTTGGGGCAAGGCCACTGATGATGAGCCCGTCGCAGAGCCCACCGTAGAGCCCACCGCAGAGCCCACCGCAGAGCCCACCGCAGAGCCCACCGCAGAGCCCACCGCAGAGCCCATCGCAGAGGCCGCCGCAGAGGCCGCTGCACCCGCCGCAGAGTCTGCCGCAGAGCCTGCCGCAAAGACCGAGGACCAAGTTTGATCTATCTACTCGCTTTCCATGATTTTCTTGACAATACCCTTGTTTGTGATTACGTGTCACTGGGCGCCACTGTCTTAGACTGGGTCGTGCTAATGATTATATGTCTATACTTGCTGGATACATTTCTACTTCCCCTGCATTTTCCGGTTTCATGTCATGTTATTTTTCTCTACAATTTATGCACATGGCGGTGTAGTCGTTCTAGCTGACACCCAATACCATGAAGCTATCACGTCATTTTAGCACATTCATAGTCGTTTAGACACTGGCACTAACATCGGGCTCTAGTAGTACAAAAGAGGTCATCTTAGTCACTCCATTATGTCCCAAGACAGCTAGTTTCCTTGAGTTCCGTTAACATCATATACCTTCTTGCCCCGATACCACGTCTGAGCGACCTTCGCTTGTAGAAGTGTTTCGGGTGACCACTCCATATCAACAACCAAAAAGTCCGCACTCAATCCTTGCTTCAAGCTACCCGTCCAAGAGTCAGCAAACCGTGCATACGCTGCTCCAGTCGTAGCAGCGGTAGCAGCCTCAGCCAAGCTGAGCCCAAAGTGGGCATTAACAGTGTCAGTGCTCTCCGGCTCAAGCGCTGATCGCCTAGTGGTAGCATTGTAAAGATTTGGGAAGGGAAGATGACGCGCAGTAGGTGCATCAGTTCCAATAGCGATAGGAGCGCCACCGTCCAAGAACTCCTTGTACGCAAAGGCACGCTTGCAGCGATGGGGTCCGACTAGAGTAGGCCAAGCTTTGAAAAGAGCGGGATCCGAGTGGACGGGCTGGATGGAGGCTGTGATACCGAGCTCGCCAAGACGCTTCGCGTCCTCTGAGGTGCTCATCTCGAGATGTTCAATTCTGTGTCGTCGGCCTGGGGTGCCGACTTCTGCTAAGACGTTGATGGATTGGTTGATGGCCTTGTCACCAATAGCGTGGATGGCACACTGGAGTCCGGCTTCGTCGGCGCGCTGAACAACTTCTTTCAATTTATCGGCTGGCCAGATTGGCTCTACTGGGTCGGATTTTCCGGTGTATGGTTGCAAGAGAGCGGCGGTGCAGCCGTCAACAACACCGTCGCAGATGAGTTTGATACCCACAACTGTGAAGTTGGGGTCCTTGTACTGCCTGTTAAGTTCGATGGCTCGGTCAACAAAGGTAAAATTTGTTTGTTGGTCATCCGTGTATGGGACGAGCCAGTGTGCTGCGATGTGGAAAGGAACGTTTTTCTTTTCGCGATATTCTTCAAGGAGTTTCCATGTCTCTTCGTCCATGGCCATATCGACAATACCGGTATACCCCGCGGCCGTATAGGAAGAGACTGCGATGTCAAGGGCACTGATTTTGTCTTCGGTGGAGTAGAGACTCTCCACGAATGGCCAGGCAAGGTTCATGAGAGCAGATTCATCCAGAAGACCAGAAGCCTTGCCAGTCTCATCCCGATGGATAGTACCACCGGGGAGGTCGGGAGCTGTGTGGGCCTTCATTTCATCCAGCGCAGCGGAATTGCACCACATTGAGTGAAGATCGAACGCGTCAATCAGGATCGGTCGAGAATCAATGCTATCCAGCATGCTGGCGAGGGCGACACCATTGGTAGTGGATTGAATCCATCCGCGGCAGAGAATATGAGATACGGATGGATTTTCCGTCGCGTATGATTTGATAGTTTCTTGGATCTGCTCGAGAGACGTGCAGTCGATAAGGTTCACTTTACGCAATGAGTGGCCATAATGCAGAATATGCACGTGGGCATCAATGAAGCCCGGCACCACGACACGATTCTCCAGATCAACAACCGTGGCGCCATGGGGGATTTTGGTATCGTCAAGTGGCCCAACGTATGAGATCTGATCGTTCTCGACGATCATTCCATCGGCGAATTCATTGCCACCTTTGCCCGAGTAAAGTGATGAGGAAAGTGATGGTGCGAAGATTCGCCCATTGCGAAATACGGAGGTCATTCTCAACTTGTGGAAGAAGTAGTACCAAGCTGATGGTTCGAATGCGTTGAATGCTTTGCTGTTTTAACAAGCTATTTATTGCATGACATGCGTGGGGCAGACGGAGGTAAATGAAATGCCGGGGTCTCTAGAAGTTTCCCCGAATGATAGTTGCTAGATAGCGGGTTGCTGGTTGGTTGAATTCGGGGAAATGGGGGATTGGGGAAATGGAGTTATCGGAGAATAGTCCGCGCCTCTCGATGAGATACGAGCGACCTCGGGAGGGGGCTTAAGAATGCCAGTGGCGTCGCAATAGCGATATGGAAAGCAAAGGCGGAGTCCCATCTCATTGATAGGCGAGGTTGGAATTGCGGGGCGGCGCAATTTGACGCAATTGGTCAATCTTGGTGAATCCTGGGATAGATGGCGTCGAAGTGTGGAGTCTGTCATGAGGACAAGAGATAAACTTGGAAGCGAATCGGTAATGAATGAACACCAATCCTGGGAAGATCATGGCTGCCTGGTATATGGTATATGCAATGGGACAAGAAGTAGAGCGAATTGATGTTCTATGGGACGTTGATAATGATGTCGGAATATAGGTAGTTACCCGCCGAGAACAAGCAGCAGAGGGAATGCATACATAGTACTACTAGTATGGTCACTTTTCTGTCATATCAAACGATAAAGCAACTACCTAAGCAACCTGAAAAACAACATTAAGTGGCGTCAGAAACTTGGTGAGTCGGATAAAAGTCGCTAAGAGCCCCGGGTTTCTGGAAGATCTAAGCGGCAAGCTCTTAGGTAAATCTTATTACCCCGACCTCCCTGTCTTCTTTGATAATATTTCCCCGCAAACATAGAACTCGAGACATGATAGGCTTGTCAAAATTCCGCTCTTTCATTGGCTATTGCTTCAAACTTCCCTTTTCAGAATAGGCCAGCCCCGCGCCTATTGCCCAGGTTCGACGTTGAGTGGCTACAGATCATCGCCATCTCCAGCAGGTGATGATAAGGCTGAGTCAACTCATCTACCAGAAGTCCCCTGAGATATACCGAAGATCTAATAAAATGGGCTCAGAGTCTTCTACTCGCTGGTGATCCCCAGTCTGAGGATTTCCTTCATTCTTCTGCTTGTATCGTGGCCTCAAATAAGCCCTACAGCGATGTCTCCTCACAGCCAAAATATCGATCCTGCCTGGCCACCAGGCACAGTTCGGCTTGATGGTACGTACAATCTCCTTCGATCTATCTGTATGAAATTTTCGGCGTCTGACTCGGATGTTATACTAGACCTCAACGCTGGCTCCGAGATCATCCTAGAGCCGAAGCCTAGCAAAGATCCAAATGACCCCCCTAGTAATTACCCCCGATCTACATGCCCCAGGAATGGTTGTGCTGATTAATATCAAAATACAGAATTGGCCACGATGGAGGAAGCATTTGAACTTCGCTCTCGTCTCATATTATGTTGTGATGGTTATGGCATTGTGAGCAATAAACTCCGATTCTCGGGCTACCAGTATAAAACTAACAAAAATAGGGTCAATGTCGCCACTGTCACCTGGGGTCCTCTCAATATCGAATTGGGGTTTAGCTACGCTCTGCTTAACGACAGCTACGCCGCTGGCTGCGGCGCTCTTGCGATCGGCGGAATCTTCCTCATCCCTTTCGCCCTCAAATTCGGCCGAAGACCCATCTATGTTTTGAGTACTGCAATTCAATGTGGCATCAGTATTTGGTCTGCTCGAATGCAAAATGTGGCGGATCTAATGCTGGTTAATATTCTAAGTTGTATTGTGGGAGCGCTTTCCGAGGTTATGGTGCAAATGACGGTCGCCGACATTTACTTTGTTCACGAGAGAGGACTTATGAACACCATATACTACTGGTTCATGACGGTTGGCACCTCCTTGGCGCCTCTGGCGGGAGGGTTTATTACCCTTTCGCAAGGTTGGCGTTGGGTATGGTGGTGGATGGCCATCTTGTTCGGTGCAGGACTCCTCGCCTTCATCTTTCTCTATGAAGAAACGATGTTTGCTTATGAACCGATTGATGGGGTTCCCATTACTGATAGAGCGGCATCTGCACTCCCAAGCGACAAAGATGCCGAAGCATTGGCTCATGGAGGTGTTGATATCGCGAAACGCGAGGAAGTGCCTTATGAGCCAGTTGAAGTTGACTATTCGATTCCAAAGAAAACTTACCTGCAAAGATTATCACTATGGTCAGATTCGCCCGTATCATTTGGGCAAGTAGCCAAGCACTGCTATCGACCTTTTCTCATTATGTTCAGCATTCCTGCTGTCCTTTTTATGGCCATTGAGTATGGCATCATGACTGCCTGCACGACGGTCCCGGTGACGACCCTTTCCTCTGTTATGACACTACCCCCTTATAATTTTGGGTCATCTCAAATTGGTCTCATGGGTATTCCACCGTTTATTGGGACCTGTCTCGCTACTATTATTTGCGGTCCCCTGAGTGACTCAATAGCTCTTTACCTCGCCAAGCGAAATGGAGGCATTTATGAGCCAGAAATGCGCCTTTGGCTTTGCTTGGCGTTCGTTCCTCTTGTTCCTGCTGGGCTTTTTATGTTTGGAATTGGCCTTAACAATGGCTCACATTGGCTTTTACCTGCCTTCGGCCTTGGTGTCTCGGCATTTGGGGTTGTTCCCGCCAGTGGCGCTGCACTCACATATCTCACGGATGCGTATACCGATGTAAGTTGGCAATACTTGAAAGCTAGTGATGAGTTACTTACTATCTATTATAGATTATTGCGGATTCTGTTGTCGCACTGACCTTCGTTCGTAATGTTATCTCAACTCTATTTGTGTTTGCTCTTCAGCCATGGGTTGACCGTGTCGGCTTGAAGTGGTTCTATATCACATTCGGCTTGATAACGATGGTGGTCATGTTTGGAAATGTCTTCTTCATTTACTTTGGAAAGACATTCCGCGTCAAGTTAGCCCATAAATATCGCCATTTTGGAGTGCAGATATCGGCTCTTTAACAGCATCACTCACTGGCATTGCGTTAGGAAGAAAGGTGGGAGAGAGGGGAGCAGGGTCCTTTATTTGAGTGCCTAGTAATAGTCTATTTGAAACTTTGTTTATAGTCATGCCCATTACTATTAGTTGCAAATCACGGGGCCCGCGGACATCCGATGCCTCTACGCAACACTAAGATTATCTTTTCACTAGTATTTCCCAATCGGGTATTTAATGTCTGTATTCATCATTTTTGTTTATTTTATCATTGGGGCTTCGGCTATCTCGTCCAACCATATACATTTCAAGGTTGCACTGGTTTTGCCGAGAACTAAAATAGCGAATGACATGTCTTTTGCCAATTTCAAAAAATGACCGTCGCGTGCGGGGAAGGTAGAGTAGGAAGATAATCCCATCCGACTCGGAGATTCCGCAAATTTATAAAGACCGCTGGCACCTGCAGTATGATTTCATTTTGCCAAAATTTATACATTTACCACTATTTTCAATCATTGCCCACTGGCAGGTGGTATAATTCAATAGCCGCTCAAGAATGGGTACATGCAAAGTTGCTATCATACAGCTTTGTCCGAAGGTATCGCCAAGACTACTATCAAATTCACACCCTCGTTTTTATATACTAATACTCTATGGGTTTCAATAGCCTAATGAGATAGAAGAAAACCATCGAAGAGCGGTCTCATTTATCCAGGAAGCGGCCACGAGCGGTGCCGATTTGGCGGTTCTTCCAGAATATCACCTAGCAGACTTCTTTCCCAGCCACGACCCGGCAATTAGACAAAAGTGTGCCAAATGGAAGACCTACCTAGATGCGTACTGTGATCTGGCCAAAGAATGCAACATTTGCATCGTACCTGGTTCCCTTGGAGAATTGCATGACGACAATACACTCGTCAATGCAACCTATTTCATCGACAACAACGGAAACATTAGAGGCAAATACGAAAAGAAAAATCTCTGGCATCCAGAGCGACCATTCGTCAAGAGCTCTAAAAATGACAGTCGTCATCTTGCATTTGACACGCCTTTGGGCAAGGTTGGAATGCTTATTTGCTGGGATTTGGCCTTCCCTGAAGCATTTCGAGAGCTTATCATACAGGGCGCAAAGATAATCATTATACCCGCTTTCTGGAAATACAGTGACGCATCGGATGTTGGGTTGAAGCACAATCCCAAGTCGGAGGGTGCATTCTTGGACGCCGCTGTCGTGAGTCGCGCGTTCGAGAACACTTGCGCTGTTTTGTTTTGCAATGTTGGAGGGCCGTCGAGTGAGGGGTTTGCTGGGCTCTCTCAAGTTGCAATGCCATTTCTAGGCTGCGTGGATAAATTTGGGAATAGCGATGAGGGGATGAGAATTGTTTCTCTCGATATGAATATCTTAGAGGAAGCTGAGGTTGCCTACAAGATTCGGGAAGATATGGCCACTGCAGATTGGCATTATGGCTACCGGCAGTAGAATGCAATCCAATTCCACTAGTCACTGTTGCCATTTCATCCTCACAGAGACACGGAACCTGATACTATGGAAAGATAAAGCACCCGCACTGCACTAGCAGACCTCCTGTGATCGCGTTAAAGTTGGTCACGAAATAGCATAAATATCAATCATTCTAGGAGATAATCTGGAAACACACACCACAGAAGATGAGATTATTAGCTCGGAAGAATGGTGTTCGGTCAAATTCAAGTTAGAACGAATGATTGGACAGGAGCATGTGCGTGATTATTAAAGAGTGGTACTAGTAAATTTCACGTTGCAAGATCAGTGAGCCAGGTGGCGCTGCTAATGCCGACGATTCCGCTGGCTTGCCTTAAATCCGAAAATGTTGCGAGGGTCTAGTCTAGATTTAGGTTTGTAAACCTCGCTTACTTCCTAGGCTTGTGCTTGTCTAAGCCTGTGGCGTTTCAGGGGTGATATGTACAGAGGACGTATGTCGCTCATTTCACACACCGCTGGGGGCGTCGCACAACACTGGTGCTAGAAAACGGCCATCCCATGAGAGGCGTTTGCACAACAGGTTTGAAAGCGCCTTCCTTCCTTTCAAGGTGATATTGGGGGCGGTTCCAGCACGATTGGGCCATTCCCCGGAGCTAATAGTCATAGCGTGGAAAATGGTCGAAACCAAGGGGCACGAGTGGTTCGGGCTGTGCCCGAACTCCACTTTTGGGACCCCGTGAGGAAATGAAAACATGGAAAAGCTAATATAGCCTCAGTTTGGGTTAATTTTAGGCGAAGAGTCCTGATTTAGGTTGGCTTGGCCAATATTTAGTTCTGCATTTCCCCCGGGCCAAGATTATTTTTCATTACGCTCCATACATAGACCCTTGTCTCTCAATCCACTCTCTTTCTCCTCTTTCTCTCTACCCCACTGTCACTCCAAGATGCAATTCAAGACTCTCGCTGCTCTTCTCTTTGCCTCGGCGGCTCTTGCTGCCCCGGCTCCTGATTCCACCGCTACCGCGGAGTCCTCCTCCTACGACGATTCCGACGCTTCTGACGCTTTTGAGAGCATTAACATCCCATCCTCTGTCTTGGAAATTCTGGCTACCGCCACCTATGTTGAGGCCTATGCCAACAGCATGTACACCAACACTGCTTTCGCCCAGGCCGAGGCGAGCCGTCTTGAAAATGACAAATACCCTTCCTGGGTCACTGAGCTTCCGGAGAGTGCGCAGACCTACGTTGAAAATGAGCTCAAGGCCGAAGCTTCCGCGTACGTCTCAGCCGAGGCTCTGGCGTCCAGTATCAGTGATGATGCCTCGGCCACTGAGACCGGAAGCTCGTCTTCTAACTCTTCAGCTGCGGTCACCAAGACCAGCAGCGAAACCTCCACTGAGACCGGTAGCACCTCCGCAACTGCTACTCACTCTGGGACTGCTTCCAGCTCCTCCAAGTCAGGATCTTCCACATCTACCTCCACTGGCGGTGCTCCCGCTGCCACTGGCGGCATCGCCCTGAGCCTTGCCGGTGCTGCCGGTGTCCTGGGCCTTGCCCTTGCCCTGTAATATTGCAGCTCATAATGTATTACTCTACATGTTGTTGGCGAGTTTCAGGTGTTTTCTTCATTTTGTTATCATTCCGCTCTATTCAAATGATTGAGCTCACGTGTCGACGCAAAACGCGTTTTGGAATTGGCCTTTATAATAATCACTTAATCGAAACTGTACAAATACCCAATATGAAACAACATAGTATCTCTTTGAAGGAAAACGATGAACCTTAAATTGCCAGCCCTGCTCGCTGCACGGAGTGATTTGCTTTTGAAAGGGATCCACCTGTGAAGATCACAAGAGACCCTGTGGAGCCCTGGACATCTCGACTTGTCTTTGGGGTATAATGATATGCAGGTAACATAATAACCTTGGTAGACAGGACAGCCGCAGTGAAGTACTTTCAACAAGCATTAGAAGAATATCTGCTCCCCAGGTTTATCCAGTGCTGCAATCGTCTCCATGATCTCAGCGGAAAACTAGACGTAGACAAGCTACTAGTATCGTATTCATGGATCCCGCTAATGAGAAAGTGATTGTAATGAAGATATTCAAAGGTCATGATACTAGTATATCCCCCACAGTAAGATAACCAGAGGGGATTTAATAGCAACATACGACACTAGTTTCACCAAGTCTTGACTTCCCACCAGTTTGTACTGATCCGAATCATTTGCATCGCCGCCACTTGAATTCTTAGGTTTCTAGTACCTAGGTATACTATGCCAGTAGGGTCAAAAATTTGTGAGCCCCAGAAGTACAAGTGCGCTCATTCATCTCTGCTCTGCTCTGGACATTCATATACAATGAATCTGAGCCAATCCCCACAACAAAGAACTTCGTAGGCAACCCATGATTTCGCAAGTAGTTGACCGCATGGAGTTCCGAGCGATAGAACACTGGAACTAAGCAGAATCTAGACTTCGTAGATCCTCCCGGTCTACTTATATTTTGGTGGCAAAAACTTCTGTCGATCAGATACTATCAGTACGTCCGAGTCCAAGGTTTAATTTCAAGACTCTTTCGATTATTCTGGAAATTAGGTTTCCACAATCTGATTGAGTGGCTCGGGCAGATTTCAACTTGAAGTTTATTTCCTGAGATCTGGAGTATACTATTATATTCTGGGATGGATAGCCTTGAAAGCTCTAAGTTTTGCGCAACTTGAACCTGAGTCATCTGACTTCAAGTTGAATTAACCCATTTGAGCGACATCAAGTTCCATCTTCTACTAGTAGGTTGAGACTTAGATGGATCAAGTACAGATTAGCCGAGAAGAACATAAAGATGTCGTCTTTAGTTTATACAAATAAAGATCGCAAAATAATAGCCAAGCCTTGAAGGGATTGGAATATGTTAGTTATCAAACGCCAGAACATTGTTGTTTGGACGGCAGCTGCTGGAAGCCCGCAAGGGGCACCTTGGCACTTCTTTCGGGCACATGAATAAGTTAGCTTCTTCTTGTCCGGATTATGACTCATGAGAAATAAAAAAAATAGAACTGGCCCAAGAGTCAAGGGGCCAAGAGAAGCGAAGCGAGTTCTGGGCTTTCACGAACTTCTTGCCAATTGGTGGGCATACGTTAACGTCCATGTTGATCCGAGGATTGCCAAGTTCATTACACGAGCACGCCCCTTAGCATATTGGCTGCAAGGGTTGGAGAAAAAGCCTAATGAAGCCCACTGAAGCCCACCGGGGGGGCCAACGCGCCCGTGTTCTCCTTGATCGACCTAGTGACCTGCCATATTGGGTTTGGTCTGAGGCTGAGTGCTATCTTTGTCTACAGTACGGAGTACAGTCCCATTGGATTTAAAGACCCTCCCACATCCAAATTTCGACTACATTTATCTCCAAAACCTTGATTCTTTCAACTATGGTTACCATGGAGCACAACAAAGAGTCGAACACAGTGGTCAGCCAGCCAGCTGATGCGACCGCACCGACTCACGATCTCAGTTCTACAACGCCAGCACCAGAAAATGCCACTACCACAGAGACCACAAGATCAGTCGCAACTCCCGCAACAGAAGAGCAAGTGCAAATAATCGCATCGGAAGCTCTACCTCCCCCGCAATATGAAAGGTATGCTCGCTTCACCTATCTGGATTATACATGCTAACAAGGACTACGTTCATCAGACACGATAAAGAAGTGACGCCAGCACCAGAGACAGTTCTCAGCCCAGAAGCCTATCCTCCGCATGAGAAGACTGCATGGCAGTCGGCAACACAAGCCCCAGCTCTTCAGCCCGGACAAGGCCTTGTCGTCCAGAGAGCTGTCGAACTGAACCAGCTCAACGAAGAGCCGCGTTTGATCATCTGCCCCTTCTGTTACCAGGAGGCGATGACCCGAGTTCAGAAGGAGAGTACAAGTGCCACAGGGTAAGTTTATGCCGATTCCCCCCCACCCCCCTCCCCATTTGCCTGCTCTGCCTACTAACACCGTGCGCTGTTCTATAGAATGGCAGCAGTGGGCTGCTGTCTCATTGGCGGAATCTGCCTCGCATTCCTCCCCTTTTGCATGGAAATGTGTCACGACTGCCATCACTTCTGTACCAAATGTGGGCAGAAGGTTGCCATCCGTCCACATGACGGCCCAGTACAACTCTTTGCGCCCCATCCTCCCGTGATCGCCACGGCGCCCGAGGCTGTGAAGGCCCCCGAGCCGGTGGCAATGACTCAGGACCCTAGCGGCAAGAACTAAGGCCTTAGCGGGAAGGACTAACAATTAATGTGCCACGGTGTTTGTTTTTATTTCGAAATTTTCTTTTCTAGCGGGCCACTCCTTTTTCTAGTGGCCCCTGGGGCTAGTATAATCATGGGGGCCAAATTCCTGCCTGGCCCCCACTCGAAGGTTGAGGCTCAACCCAAAAATCCTTAGCAAAATTAGATAGGGAGAAGATTCCCACGCCTAATTTTGTGACTAATCAAATCCTATTTTCCTTGATACGATGCACGATATTGAATTCTTCGATTTTCGAGTATTATAGACCGGCGGATGTTAGTTTGCGACCGTAAGCGGCCAATAAATTAAAAATTTCATCATTAGTAACTGGTAAGATGATCGACTTTCAAGTTGAATTTCGGTTTCATCTGGGTTACAGACTCGGAATCATCATTTCTTGCCCTACTTTGATAAAACAGACGGTAAATGGAGCCCAGGTGTCAGGAAATGAAAGCTGGCCAAGGAATTGAAGGCTACTGGCAGGAAACCAAATCTGAACAACATGGGACTCGGACTAAGTATCAAGGAAATTATGATTCTCTTGGCATAGCGTCTATAATGCAAGAACTAAGTTTCAATTGATGTACCTAGGTATGCTCACTATTTTATGTGCCACAAAAGTACCGCCTCGTCTAGTTTGCTCTTCTTCCCGCGCTTGATGTCTGACGGCGAGCCGCCTTACCCTTTCGAAGTTCAGATCGTGCACACTCATACTGTAGAGACCCTACAAATAAGGCTTTAAGCTACTAGATTGATGCCATCTCGGAATAGATGGCCTATGCTTATGAAGTGTCTACGTTCACAGGTGGAGCCCATTGGAACGGTTGACTCATTCTCTCCAACCTCTGGTTACTTTAGGAGACATCTGAAGTTTCGACCGTCTTGAGGTAGTGCTGGAAATTTGATATGGTATTATCATACACGGACGAGGGCTTCAATGAAAGGTCAAGTTTTATCATGCAGCCGACTATATTAGTTCGCTCGCTGCCAATTTGCAAAGAATGCAAGCTCTCTTGAAAAGCGCGCACGGGCCCATGCTTATTTCAGTCCGTGTTATGGCGAAATCCAGAAAAACGGTTACATGATCTGATTTTGTCTAGAATTCACTGGAATCGAGGGTAGCAGCTCTTATGAAAGGGCATGGAAGAGTGGATGCCTGATTTTCCAAGAGATGTAACCCAAGTCCCGTCTCAAAGATCTCTTGCATCCATCACCTTGGGATCGTCAAAATTCCGTCAATAAGCGGCTGCGACCTTCCCGTTACCGACATCCCTAACAAAAGCATGTCTTCGGACCTGATCCAGACTCGGCAAAGAAGCGGTTTTGACCGAGCGCTAGCGACGATATGGGAAATTCTTGAATATTTAGCAGCATTGGCAGGTGAGAAATATCAGAAGTTATTGGCTACGCCCTGGATGTGCGGGCCGATGTGGAGAAACCCGGGTTTTTGGCGATGCGCTTAACGCAATTTTCTCGTGTCTCCCCAGCACGCCATCGTTTTCACCAATGGTTAATTCTTCAAGATCGCATGGCGCTAGGATGAAAAAAAAGTAGATATACTAGAGCATTATTCAATAAACATCTGAAAAAAATTCTTTCCATCAAATTCGCATTTTGGTTTATTTGTAGGCTTTTCGACCATCACATAAACCATGACTGAGCCGACACCGATATCGGTGACCGCCGAGGATGCGCCAACAACAGGACGCGTTTGGTACCGGACGACTCTTTACAATGCGTTCGTCATTGGAAGCGTAGGCTTCCTGGCCCCAGGATTATGGAATGCCATGAACTCGCTGGGCGCAGGAGGAGCTGAAACGCCCTACCTTGTCAATGCAGCAAATGCGCTTGTATTCGGTTTGAGTAGGTTATCCAAATCGAAGTCCTCATCAAAGGCACCAGAAAGATTCCGATTAACCTTGATGTTTTAGTGGGCTTTCTGTGTTTATTTGGTGGCCCCATCGCCAACCGCATCGGAATGAACTGGACTTTATTGCTGGGCGTGATTGGATATCCGATTTACTCGTGAGCTAATTCAGATCCAAGGAAATTCTGGGATTATTGCTAATTTATTGGCCTGACAGCGCGGCTTTGTATACAAACAACCGTTATGTGAGTATTTGATGATTTCAAAGGCCAAAATAAGTAGCAAAAAGGCTAATATTTGAACCAGGGAAATGAATGGTTTGTACTCGTTGGAGCCGTTGCATGCGGTCTTTCGTGAGTTTTCCCTGTCCGTCAATACACACAAATAGGATCCTTACACTGATTAAATTAGGGCTGGTCTTTTCTGGGCCTCCGAAGGCGCTGTAGCGCTGGGTTATCCCGAGCCTGCGAAAAGAGGCCAGTACATGAAGTGAGTATAGCTTGAATGTCTGATTCAACTTGCAATTTTTTTCTAACCTTGATCAGCATCTGGCTTTGGTTCCGAACCGGTGGTCCGCTACTTGGTAGCGCTATTGTTCTTGGTCTAAACCAGTGAGATATACACCCAAGACATGTGCTTACTACTGTGTTTGATACTAACACCTGGGAAGCTCTGCCGAGGCAAAGAAAAAGGGAAAGGTTGGCTCAGGTTCGTTAGCCATAGATTTATTCTCATGAAATTCTCAACTGTTACTAATGTGGGATTTGCTCTAGAAACCTATTTGATTTTTGTCGCCTTGCAATGCCTTGCGGCCCCAATTGCTATTTTCCTCACTCGACCGGAAAAGGTGCAACGCGGCGACGGAAGCAAGGTCAAGATTGTGCTGCAAGACTCATGGGCTGCTGAGATGAAGGAACTTTGGAAACTTTCTTGCCGCAAAGACGTGAGTTTCCTACGAGTCCGAAAATGTCCAATCACGATACTAATGATTGAAAATTTAGGTTCTGCTGCTTCTCCCCGTTTTCTGGGCATCATACTTTAATCAATACGAAGGAAGTGAGTGTCACCTTTCCAGAGAGACAAGAATAATTGTCCCAAACCAAGTTTCTAACATTTCTTCAAAGATTTCGAGGTCTATTATTTCGGCGTTCGAGCCCGCGCCCTGATCGGTCTTGTTTGTAAGTTTTAAGAACATTTGATCCCGAAATATTCGACTTGAAAACTGACATATCCTTATAGCGTACATCGGAACACTTTTATCATCATGGCTCATTAGTAGATTCTTGGATTACAAGAAACTATGCGTGAAGAACCGAATCATGTACAGGTAATGAGATTCCTATTATTTCATTTTTGTGATACTCGAAATCTTTACTAATTGATGTTTCAGTTTCTACTATGTTGTTATCGTTCACATCATCGCTTGGGTCTATGGGTGGGTTGTTCAATCGATGTACACAGCAAACCCCCCCATCCTTGGATTGGGCCGACAAGGGCTTTAGCCGAGGCTTATTTGTGGTCATTCTTTGGGGTAAGAAACTCATTTCGGTCATTCTTCTTGCTATGCATACTAAACCCATTTTTTCACAGAATTCTCTCGACAGGCTTTACAAAACTGGATGTATTATATGATCGCAACCAAGACAGACAACATTTCGGAGCTATGTAAGTCGCTGCAACAGTTCCTTTGGTCTTGTCTCTTCGCTGACATAAACAGCTCGTCTATCTGGAATCTTGCGTGGACAGGAGAGTTTCTCACAGGCCGTCTCTTATGGTTTAAACACCAAAGAGTGGTTTGGTGGGAGAGTGCCTCTCGCTGTGAACACTATCCTTCTCGGTTCGTCACTCGTTCCACTCAGAAAAGCGCCACATCGGTGTTCTGGCTTATTTGATGCAAAATACTAATAATCTGACTATTTAGGTCTTGCTGTGGTTCCCACTTGGTTGGCTATTAGAGACCACGAGCCCATCGAACACGAAAGCAATGATGAGTCTCAGACAAAAGCACGGGACGAGGAAGAGACTTCGGTTAACAGTGGCGAAAAAGCCGATTATATCGTTAAACAAGCCCCGGTGGCTGAATAAGTAGTATATCTCCCATCATTCAACATGAGATAAACATTTAATTAATCAGAGATATCCTGTTTTTATTACATAAATTCCTTTTAACATCAAAGTCAATAATGAGAGCGCAAACAATAGATATAATAAAGGTAATAAACAATAACACTACCGCCTCGGGAAGCAGTCGATTTTGCAGATGAACGGGCCAAAAAGTATTTAATACATTAATTAGAGATATTTGTAAAATTATGATAATTATATAGAGCGTTTGCATCTCGCGACTGAGCCTCCGAGCCAATGATAGTAGAACTTGATGCTGCAGTCCTGTCTAGTTTCTTAGGGCAAAATTGCTTCGTGTGTCATCTGCGAGGCTTTGTTTTCATCCTGAAATAATCCGAAGCAATTCATCTCTGTCGGAATCTTTGTCTACCATTGCCCGAAAGATTCCATTCTCAAGGTTTATCAAGTCTCGAGGAGGCCCAAATTCTGCCACCATGCCACGGTCCAAGACCAAGATATGATCAAAGTCAGCAATCGTGCTCAGGCGGTGTGCAACCACTAGGAGGGTTGAAGAACCTCGTCCAAATCTCTCCCGTACAGCCTGCTGAATCCTCTCATCCGTTACATGGTCGAGCGAAGAAGTGGCTTCGTCCAGCATGAGAATTTTTGGATTGGAAACAATCGCACGGGCGAGGCAAAGGAGCTGACGCTGGCCTTGTGAGATATTCAAACCACCCTCAGAAATGAGCATTTCAAGCTCTGATGATGGTAATTCTGCCGCAGAAGTCACACAAAGCACCTGTGCCAGAGCAGAGAGGAGTTCGCTATCATCGTGTTCCTGGAATGGATCCAGGTTGGATCGAACAGTCCCCGAGAATAACACTGGATTTTGTGGGATGATGGCCAATCGCCGCCGCAAATGTGTCAGGTTAATATTAGCAATGTTGACTCCATCAATACTAATCTGGCCCTCATTGGCTTCTAAGAATCGGAAGAGAGCCAGAGCGAGCGACGACTTGCCTGCCCCGGTTCGACCAACAATACCGACGCGTTGATTTCCCTCAATGGCTACGTTAAGACCACTGAGAACAGGCGGCAAGTCAGAATCATACTTCACTGCCAGGTCTGTTATATCCAATCGGCCCTCTGTTGGCCACACGGCGGGCGGATCAATACCGTCGTACTGCTCTGACTCCACATCAGAATACTCCAGGACCCGATCCAGAGAGTTCAAATCCAGTTCCAACCCAGCGTAAACCTGAGTGAGCAGAGTAATGGCACTGTTCAACTGGATTGTAAATCCGATCGCAAATCCGGCCGCGGACGCATCCACCCCATTTTGACTCGTAACTAAAACGGCAACAAATGTCGCAAAAATCGCCCCGATGATGTTAATTCTCGTTCCAAACCAGCGTGTTAATAACCACTGATTCCAGTATGCCCGAGCGTGGTTATCCACAACCTGCTGCATTTGCCCAATATAGATTTCTGACTTTCCATAGGCCCGGATTGTCCAAAGCCCAGCGAGCGAGGAGTTGAATTTCTCAAATATTGAACTGCGAGCGACGTTTTCCATGCGCCTTATCTCCCGGGCTGCGACAAGATATGTACGAGTGAAATAGACACATACCGACGCAAGGGGAACGATGGGGATGATCAATAGAGGGTTCACGATAATGCCGGCGACAACAACACTGCCAGATTCCAGGCCGGCGGCGAGCATGTTGATCAGATCGAGACATATTTGATAGTCGACAACATTCAAATCAGCTGAGAAGCGATTCAAAATCTGACCAACGGGGACTGCGTCAAGCCATTGGAGAGGTGCGCTGAGTACACCGCGTAGAGACTCTCGGAAGAGACGTTCTGATGCACGAAGCGCGAGAAGAAAAATGATCAAGTTGACGGCTGAGCCCATGAGCCACTCGAACACAGCGAAAGCGACGTAGATACCAAAATAAAACTTTAACTTTCCTAATACCATGTTTGGTGAATGGTGGGCAGTCTCGGTATCATGATTATTCCAGACACGTAGCCACCAGCTCTGTGACAAGTTAGTATATTGAAAACCACGGTAGATTTCCACTGCTGGATGAGATACTTACTCTTGAGAGTATAAGAAGCATATACGACACACTGGCAACAACAACCAGAACCCATAGCCACCATCTACCACTTGAAGCCATATACTGGATAGAAAGCCGCAGAGAGGATTTTTTCGTCTTGCCTCGCTCTTTCTGAACAAACATTCGTGGTGCATGGTCAATTACCCGGCTGCTTTGTGACGTAGTAGGTCGATCAGGCTTATCAAGGTGCTCGAGGTGGAACAAAGGCATATCTTTCGATGTAGCCTCTTCATTTTCATCTGGCTTTTCATCTAGGTTGCAAGAGCGCAATAGACTGTCCAGCCTTCCACTAGCATGTAATTGAGCAGCCGCGCCACTGTAGCCAACTGCGCCATCTTCCAAATGAACGAGATATTCAGTCTGGGGCAAGCAAATACTAACGTGATGCGTGGTAAGAATTCGGGTTCGACCCGCAGCCAAAGGTCCAGTCAGTGCATGTTTATACAAATGTTGCGCAGTGTGAACGTCAACGGCGCTAAATATATCATCCAACAGCAAAGTACCGGCACGGGAATAAAGCGCTCTTGCAAGGGAAATGCGGGCTTTTTGTCCACCACTCAAGTTCACTCCGTCGGGGCCGATTTCAGTTCGCTCGCCATCGGGGAAAGATTGCAGGTCCTTTAATAGCGCGCATGCGTATAGTACATCCCTGAATCGCTCTTCAGAAAATGGAAGTCCAAACAAAATGTTCTGTTTGATAGTTGCTGCTTCAATCCATGGCATCTGAGCGACGTACGCCGTGGCGGAGTCAAGGAGCCAGCCTTCCCTAGCTGCGTATGTACGCCAGATACTTTCAGGATGCGGCTGAAGAGGCGCCATTACCTGCCCCGTGATGATATCACATTCCCCCAGAATGGCGGCCAGTAGAAGACTTTTGCCCGATCCCGTTCGCCCGGAAATCAGACTAAGTTTTCCCCGGGGAAATTCCAGATCAAGGTCCCTCAAGGCCCAGGGAGACGTTTGAGATGTCAAACCCCCCCGGCCAAGTAACTGTGGCATTCTGGAAGCCAATATTGTCGGATGGGGTTATATTTGGCATCTTTTCGGGTGCACGAAAATATTCGTCCAGGCGGCGAGTGCTGATCAAAGTGTCCAATGCATTTGAGAGTAGATTCGGAAGCACACTCAAGGATATTGTTATTGAACCCATGATTGATGTAGCAGTGAAAGTGACGGAAGCCGTCAGTCCATTGTGCAGAGTGGCATAGACGCCCAATGAAGCGACCGACAACGCGACCGGGGCAAGGATGTAGAAGGACATGATGCCAGCATTCGAAAAGAAGATCCGGCGCTGATATGATAGCTCTTCCTTTCTCACCATACCTATTCTATCCAACCACTTGCCTTCAAGTGCAGAGAATTTGATTTGGCGGACTGCGTGCAGCACCTCAGTGAGGAGAGTCATCCTCTTGTCTCGTACTTTCATCAATTTTCTACCAGCCTCTGCATACTTGAGACTGCAGAGAATGATCATCGGCATCAGAACAGCGATACATGCAAGACCTGCAGCTAAGCTTTGCCAGCCAAGAATTTTCATCAACATGAAAGAAGCAATGGTCAGCCTCAAGGGTGCAAGCACCAAATGGAAGCCGTAGGTGACAAACCGACCAATTCGCTTGCCATCAACTGCAACCAGATTTATCGTGCTCTTAGCGCGGCAGTCTTCATCGTCTCCCCCCTCGTCTTTGCTTTTCTCGGAGCTTCTGGACCCATTTAGGCGCATTGCCTTGTGAAAAACCATTATCGATATCTGTTCAATCATTCGGACAGAGATCTTATTGTATGCGATCCAGTTTACACACTGCTCAGAAACAGAGGAGCAAACAATTGCCAGGCCTAAAGACAATCCCCGTACCCCTAGCTGCAGGGGACTCAACCTTTCAGGCGAATCGGACTCTAAGACTTGCAGGAGATGCAACAATACCATATGCGGCGTGAAGGAAAGCAGCGCCAGGGGCAAGCACAGCACCGCTGTCAAGGTAAGATATGCACGATTGGATCGCACTAGTATCTTCCACATCGGTACCGGCGTTGTACAACCGCGTGGCATTTCCTTCGTGATTGCGGCTTTGGCCTCTGAAAACGATTCTTGGAGACTCTGGGATCGCGTGCTGTAGTCTAATCCTGGAAGCTGTACCGGTTCGAGCTCCTTTTCCTGATGGCTGAGGCAAATAACCTTACTTGCCCAGCTAAATGTAATACGGCTGAGAATGGAGGTTGAGAATTCGCGGTCGACCATAATGTTGTTGTGGTAGACATTGGGGCGGCGTGGAAGGAGCAAGCAGAGAGTCGCTGTGGCGAGATGACAAAAACATTCTGCACCGATCAGCCATCGCTGGAGGTTTTCCAGATGCGAAGGGTAAGATGCATTGATCTCGGATGCGAGAGAAATTAACCCGAGTACACAACTAAGACTCAATTGCAAGGCCAGGTAATATCGCACAGTGCAGCGCGACTCCGGTAGCAAGGCGACACTTTGAATGAACAAGAAAAGCTGATCCAGTCAGCAGGGGCAAGTAAATTGCAGGGGAGAAAGGCTGCAGTTGCGCTACTTACCAAAATACTACAGTGTAGCCATTCCTCCCTTAGCGGGACGATGACGGTCCGTGATATCCATTCCTCTCTTGGTGAGGAGATGACAGCCCGAGATAATGATACGGCCGCTGCGCTGGTTGTCAAGACGGCAATCATAATACGCTGTTTCCACCTAACGGTAGCCTGCACATCTTCAAGCGTACTCTCACCATGGTGGTCGCGATAGAAATGTTTCGCGAATTGATCAGTGGTGCGAAATGCTCGACGGACCCAATTTCCAAGGCTTTGAAACGCAAAGTTGGTCAAGCAAGTCGTTAGGACAAGAATGACGACTCTGAACTCCAGAGCGTGGGCATTGATGTCCCACATTTCCAGCTTGAGGGTTCCTGCGTGAGCTTGCCAGGTGGTTTGGACAAAACCTCGGAAGGAGGCAATCGATCGTCATAAGTCCTAAGTCCTAAATACACTAGACACGTGATTCAGATCTACGAACTATTGGAGATAGTACTTATGTATTGTAAGTCATCTGGACTGTTGACTGTACCAACATCATTGGAATCCGAGCTGTAAGCTGAGATGTGTGGGTCATGGTACTTTGTTCACATTCGTCCGCCAAGGTGAATACCCAGGTAATGAGATTTGTCTTTGTTGCCACTTGCTCTAATTTTGGGCAGACATATCAGGCGTGCTGTCCATTAATTTTGTATGAGGACAGAGCCCGATTTCCGAATCTTTTTGCTCACGAATATGATGGGTGTATTTTGGGACTAGTAATTACATACTAGTAGTACCCCGTTGCGTCATTATCCACCTTACAACTTTCAAGGCAGGTGTCCCTGCCCCACAAGCTGAAAACTGATCGTCGTAGTTCGCCGAGATATTTGTCACAGGCGACAATCTTGTTCTATTACGAGGGTAAAGTAATACATACGGAGTACAAGGCCATGCATTGAACATAGCTCATTGTAACTCGCCACCAAGGGGGGGCTAGCTCTCTGCCTTCCATATTACATTGCCTCAGACACACCTCCAGCCCGTCCTATAACTATTATGATATCTCAAAACATTATCTTCCTGCCCGATCAGCACTCTAAATGGCGCGTTGGATATTTTCAAAGCGACCTGTGGGGCTCTCATGTCCACAGTCGCCCTTTCACCAGACCGGAATGATTTGCTGACACTCAAGAGAATAGTTCTGCTCGATGAAGGTCCGAAGAATAGCCATATTCAAAATTTTGCATCCAGAATGACTCTCAATGCTGACGGCTCGGGGTGAATATATCGTGATACCCAACTCTCGAAGTGTACCGTTGCAAAAATTCAAACCGTGGAAGGGTTGGCTAGAGCCCTACATTCCGCGGCCTCCACTGCCCGCTGGTCACCATGGATAGACTTTTGTAGAGTCCACGAAATTTTCACGTTCACCGTATTCCAGCAGACAGAAAGCTGATTTTCGTATCATTACGAAGGACTTATCAGTGAACCGAGATCAAGAGAAGATACTGGACATTGAACGATTTTTTTTGGTATTTCGTAAGATAGTATACACCTGAGAAAATAAAACAGCACCTAACCGTGACCTTGGTGCTGCGGCGGAACGAATAGTTGACATAATCATGATAACAAGTCGGTGGCACTTGCTTCACCAGAAAAAGTCTTCAAGCGCTCTCTGTGCCAGCCCAATAATACACGGGTGCTTGAAAGAGATCATTTTGACAAAGATCCACCTATTAAACATGATTCTCCTTGCAGAGGCCGTTAGAGCTACCCTGCTTCTTGACCGCGTCTGCCGCCTGCAAAGCTCCTTTGATGTGCGCAAGGAGTACCTCTGGGTCTTCGAGACCGATGGAAATCCGAATCAGGGTCTCGTTCAACCCATGCCCCTTTGCCCAGTCTTTCTGTTTCTGCATAACCAATTGGACATAAGGTAGGGCGATGGTGACATCTGCACCGAAAGAAGGCCCTTTGCATACAGGGAGGTTGTCAAAGAATGCCGAGGCCTGTGCGGTGTTCTCGAAATCAACGCCGAATACGGAGCCAAATCCAGGCTCGAATTCGTCCGTGGCGGGGCGCATGAAGCGGGAGTAGTACTCACGACTCCAGCAAACGCGGGGCGAGTAAATGGTAGTCAGAGCGCTGTTAGGATCAGCGATAGAGGGCTGAAGAAAGTCCATAATATATGCAGCAGTTCTGTTTTGCTGCGTGAAGCGCTCGAGGTAATTGCGACTGTTTACCTCCAATTGGATGGCATCCTCCGCATAGAGATTGTTCACATGAGTTGCAGCAAAGATATTACTGAGCTCCTGGTAATGACAGAACTTGGGATTTAAAGTAACACTGTCAATTTTGACCCATTAGTATGCTGATTGTCAATTTCAAAGCGTAAGAACGGATTCTTGAACTTACCACCCTCCAAGAACGTCAGCATAACCACTGAAGTTCTTTGTCAAGGATGTGACAATAATATCAGCGACATCTGTCACGTCGATATTGGCTGCACTCCCAATTGTATCGTCGATAACAAAGAGAAAGTCGTACTTGTCTGCCAGATCACGCACCCTACGCATGTCCGGTGTTCGCAGGACAGGGTTATTGGGGCACTCGCACCACACAGATTGAATTTTCCGGCCTTCCTTGGCTCTCTGAATCAACAATGCTTCCAGATCATCGATATCTCTATCGAGACCGAAGCTGTAAAGGTGATAGGGTAGGCCAATAGTCTCAATCATCTTGATAGACAGCTCATACGGAAAGCCGAGCATAACAATGTCAGAGCTTCGCCATTTTAGAAGTGACTGATTCACATGATATAGCGCAGCCATACCCGATGCGCTGAGATACACATCATTACTGGTCGGCAGAGTATCCTTCTTGGTATCAATCGGGGCGCGCGACATCAGGTCGGCTACCCGCTTGCGAAGAGTGTCATAGAGAGGCAAATCTTTGATAGAGGATGACTCCTCAAGCGAGCCTGCGATAGGCGTTAATTTGCATTCGCTACCTTGGAGACATTGCTTTGCCAGCCTCGAAGAGATTCCACGGCCATTCAACCGCCAGAACGTCATTTTCTGTCCTTCTGCAGCATGCGGATGCGTAACGGCATAGAGTTGAGGGATACAGGAAAAGTCGGCTTCGGATTGAGAAGATCCCTTGCTAATTGTCACAGCAAAAAGCACTGTATCCTTCTCATCGACGGGATTATCTGGGTTGAGCGTCTTATCAATAAGGAAAGATCGGCAGTCTGCTGCGCTGCCGTAATCAGGAAACACAGCAATGCTTTCCACGGGTGTTGGGAGACTCCGGAGACACAGGTCAAAAAACTGTTTTTTTCGTACGTTAATCTTGGTTCACATTGGGCTCTGATGTGCTGCGGGTATAGGTGTATACCTTTTGAACGTATGTATGCAGAAAGGTTCTGGGGTAACCATTTTGTAGAGCCTTTGAGACTTCTACATTTCCTGCTCCATAACCCGCCACATCGGCCCAGGCAGGGAAATGCACAGAGATAGCGTGCTCCTTCGATATAGGAACGGCGTGACCAAGAGGCGGGGGTAACTGATATTGCATGGCGAAGGAATCTGGATAGGAGAACGGATGGTTAAAGTTTCAGGTCAAGGCGAACTATGAAACAAATTCCAAAGAGAATTATGCTTAAGTGAATGAAAGAAAATATTTGAAAAGTAGTGATCAGGTCAATAGAGACAACTCACCGGTCTTTTTAAGCTCAGGGGAGAGAATTGTCGTATTCCCTGGTCATTTTTATAGTATGCGTGGCTCTCCTTGACAGTCACGTTTTGCCGCAGGTATGTACAGCGTACGTCAAATACAGAATCTTCGAGATCGCCGTGAATAGTATCTGCAACTAAAACATTGCTAAGAGGGGCATTCATGGATCTTCATGGAAGCATCGCCATTACCCACATTTTTATGAGGCGAGATCCATAATTGATGTCGTAGCTGCGAGATTCGGCATCCGATTGTGTGCATGTACATACAGAACGCAGAGCAGGTGATCGTATCTTTGTTTCGACCCGACAAACTACTCGTACATACAATGCGAGATCCGCAACCCCGCTACGCGGCGTAGCTGAGCGTCTCTCTGTGGACCCGACAAGCCGTCCCTCGATCAATCGAACGATGGGGCGGACAAACAAATGACAAAACATACACCTTCCTAGGGCTGGACATTAGTACACACCCTGGCAGTACAGCCTGTGGAGGGATTTTTGCATTGTATTACAGATACCCAGCTAATGTTATCCCTCACTAGTTATCAGCCCCGTTCATTCGCTTGACTGTTTGAATCCTGTAAAATGAGATATGCAGTGTTAATGCAAGCTAATGAGAACTCAATGGACTGGCCATATAACTACTGTGTGTACTGTACTTTTGTGAAGGGAAACGGAAAAGGACAACTTGAAGGAACAAGGAAAAAGAGAATCTCTACAATTTCAAGACACAATCGCATTCTCTTCCTTTCCGTACATTATGTTTGCGGCGGCTTACGAAACCCCTTCCCCTTTTTTCTTTTTTAACCCAACTCGGCATTCATGAATACTCATACAAATATCTACGTATGTAGATTTGTGACTATTATTCACATTTTTCAAGGTTTATAATTAATATAAAATACTAAATGACAATCAATTAATCGTGTAAGGAATTGCCAACAAACATCTTGCCACCTAGATACATTGTACTACGAGTACAGGGGAAATAATATTCAGGGCATCTATACTTTGCCACATCTCACCGCCCAATTTTTGACAATACAATACCAATATAATTCTCTTCTTCACAACTCCGGCGGAATTAAGTCGGTACATACAGGTGTGTAAGTATTAGTATGTGTATTTTTGTCCGCCTTGTAGGGCTGCCTAAACTTTCCAAGGTTCGGGACAGCCTACGCCTTCCGCCTGTGTGGCTCCCTGTGGCCCCGTGGCCCGGGCGTGTTGGACCCGCAACCTTGGAAAAATGGGACCGGACGTGGACCGAGATAGGTCTGGTGGGCGGAGACAAACTTGATACTTCACGTTCATGGTACTCCGTACATATCGTGCAGTGCAATCCACCGATGTACATACTAGTGGCATGAAATGAACCTTTAGCACGCAATGCAAATCTCATTTAGCCCCTTGGCATGCATCACCGTAACTCGGACCACCTGGGCACTTTCCAAGGTTTATAGCGAAAGCGGTCTGGTGGGCGGAGTCACGGCGGTCAGAAGTAACACACTAGTAGGCGTTCGTTGATACGTTGCCCACAGGTGCCTGTAACTTGACAAAAAAGATTGAAAATTTTTTGAGGGGTTCATTGTCCTCCCACTATCGCTATTACATATAATTCCTTCAAGTTGGAGTGAAGGATTAAACTCCAAAACCACCTGCGCAACCCAAAATTGACGGCACCTGGGCATTGAACAAAGATGTCGGATTACGATATTGCCACTGCTACGAGCCACCTCCTATACACTGGCATCACTATATCGCCGGTGAAAATTGTCAATGCTCGGGGGACCTATATTATAGACAGTGATGGACGTCAAATTCTCGACTTTACCTCGGGCCAACGGAGTTCTCTACTCGGTCATTCCCACCCCGAAATTGTGGAAGTGGTAAAAAACCAAATTGAGACGGTTGATCACTTGCACAGCACCATGATCACAAAGCCCGTGGCAGACCTCGTCATGAGACTGGCTCGCTTAGTACCTTCACCTCTTGAGAAGACACTTTTGTTGAATACGGGATCGGAGAGCGTGGAAGCGGCGATCAGGCTGGCTAAGGCCTATACCGGAAAATTTGAGGTTATTGCTTTGACTGCCAGCTATCATGGTCAGACAAGCAGTGCCAGCTCCGCCACGTTCTCCAAGTATAGAAACACCGGACTTCCATGCATGCCTGGTCAGCTGGCTTTCCCTGCACCATTTGCATACGGATCCCCATTTCAGCGGAATGGGACTTACTGCTGGGAGACTGAATTTGACTATGGATGGTCTATGATCGATCGCCAGACCGTTGGATCGCTGGCAGCCTTCATTATCGAGCCCATTCTTTCTGGCGGCGGAATCTTGGAGCTACCTAGCGGTTACTTGAGGCGACTGAGTGCTGAGTGCAAGCAGCGGGGGATAGTGCTGATTGTTGACGAGGCACAGACGGGCGTTGGCCGGGCAGGCAAGATGTTCGCCTTTCAAGAGGAGGAAGATTTTGTGCCGGACATTCTTCTTTTGTCCAAGACCTTAGGCTGTGGGGTTCCTCTTGCGGCTCTCGTCACAAGTGCCGAGATTGAGAAAGGCAGTCGACAGTCAGTTTTCTATTGGAATACGACGCATCAAAATGATCCCTTGACTGCAGCCGTTGGGAATAAAACGCTTGAGATTGTCGAACGTGATGGGCTCTGTCAAAATTCAGCCGAGCGGGGTGCCCAGCTTATGCAAGGCTTACTCCGACTCAAGGAGAAGTATAGCGATTGGATTGGCGATACCCGTGGTCGAGGACTTCTGCAGGGGTTCGAATTGGTGTCAAAGCCAGGGGCCAAGATGACTTCAAAGGAGTTGGGAGCTGCAGTAGTAGAGAAAACCTTTGCCGGGGGACTGTCGTGTAGTGTTGTTCCTTCTCCCACACAGGGATCTGTTGTTCGCTTGGTACCACCTATCACTATATCGAGTGAGGAGATTGACCAGGCCCTCCAGATCTTAGATCAATCTCTTTCAGCCGTGCTGGTGCAGTAATTGTACATATATCCCTGGTATCCGTCATCAATTCATTCTGCAGCCAATAAGCATGCATGTTTCTTCCCACCCCAGTATACAATTCCCATATAATAGACTAGCTATGCCATGGGTCTCATAATAATCACTAAGGTAGTGACTATCGAGAATTTAATATTCTATCGGCGAGGAAGAGGAGGAACCCAGAAATGAGATGAGATAAAGCTATAATGAGGAGAGCTACCTGCTAAACTACAGAGCGGGCTTCTGACTGACGGAGGTCTCAGGCCTACACATGATCAATAGCTATACCTCCATTTTCATGTGCGGAGAACAAAATTCGGCACATCTATCACATGGCTCTGTTCAGTGTCAGCTGCATGCCATTTATACCTGGGTTGTTCTCGTTTGCAGAGATCAACAAGACTTACCTCAATATAACGCCCAATCAACCGCATCCCCATGAAGCCAGGGATGGGCATTGTCTTTTCCATGAAGAACTCATGCAAGGCTCTTGCATCGGGGTCGCCAGAAGGGTCTAGAACTTTTTCTAGCTCTTCTCGAACAATTGTCCAAGCTCCGTGTGATTCCAGACCCAGCATGTGCAAGATAGGGCCCAAATGATCCTGGATGAGGGAATGATGTACTTTATCCCAAGGCGAACGGATGTCATCGGAAACATTACTGGAATCTTTGGGGAGTTCACTCAAATCATACCCAGAGCGGACGAAAGTAGGGTAATGGATCCTGGTTCCTTCTAAGTCTCGGGCAGCAAATCCTGTTACCGCTTTTGTCTTGACATTGACACGAACAACGACGTTTTGAAGGTGGTTTTCGAACCCAATTCCGTATCGGACTAACGGAGGTATGAAAGCGGATAGCAATAGCTCAGTATACCTATTTTGGAGGATTAGTCAGGTCTGTTGGGTCATAAAGTCAAGCAAGCAAATGCAGACTAGGAGAATTTGGGGAAATACTTCTTAAACCAATCGAGCTTTTTCTTCAAGCCATCAAGGCCAAATAAGATCTCCATGTATGTTTGATCCTCGTTGAATGGTTTTTGAATTAGCCCAGCGCCGGGGATAAGTACCTCATCAAGGCTTTCAGCATGTTGTACTGGAAGCTTCCGAATGACGCATGATATTTGAGCCGCCTTGAGCAATTCATCCTGCGCACCCGTGACAGATGCAGGCTCTTCAAAAATCCATAGATTTGAGGGAATGAGATTCGGTAGCATTTTGCCAAACAAGGGACCAAGAACTGTAGCCGCGGGCTTAACAATCCTCAAACCCGATGTGATCTGAACGTTTAGTGACAACTTTACATGGTGTGGGAAGTCAACTTCAGGCATGAACGATACAGTCCGCATTGAAATCTGTGCGCGGCAGCAGTCGGAGACACGTTTGATAACGCGCGCTTGAGGAAATGAGGGCATGATAGCTGGCAGCTGACGAGTGAAGCACGGCACGATGATATGATCAGGTTGCTCGGGCTCTGTAGGAACTCCGAGCGATTTTAGAAGCGGCTCTAGAGACTCCTCAAATGGCCCATTGATTCTCAATTCCGACTTCGGGACAGAGATAAACGATACTTCAGGCGATAGAAGTCCCGGGATGTCATCAGGCACAATGGGAGCCAAAGGGGCTTGAGCGAAGCATGTTTTGTGCAGCTAATTGTGGTTAATTTCAGTGTAACGCGCAATGGGAGCAATTAGGAAGAATACCAGATGAGTAGGATGCCCAGTCACGACTGACTGCTCCCAATCAGCAAATGGAGACATCAGATTCAGTCTTGGCTGAGTAGCGGCAATTTCCAGCCATTTCACTACCACGATTTAGTGAAGCCATATAATGTAAAGACTGCGGAACTTACACTGGTTGTCGGTAGCACTCTGCACTTCTTTCATCAATAGGTCCCCATAACCACTCTGGGCCGATTCAGGTTGCCAACTGCAAATGATGCGGCACAGCGGGATCGGGTCAAACTCCTCAGATGCCTCGCCCGGTGTGTTCCCAACTAGCACGGGAGTGAGCAGGTCTTCGGCCCGCACAAATCCAATGGGCCTGAGGCCGTCCATTTCAACATAGGCACCAGCGCGGATACCACACTTAATCCAGATGCCATCATACGGGGCTTGAGCATTGGGTGCACGCAACAACAAAGTGGGGCTTTCAGATGTCTCGATGGTTGCGCTGGCCAGACGCTCGTTTACTGCAGCAGCAAGCACCCGCTTGGTTGTCTCGAAGTGCGCCCGTTGCCTCATAGACAGCATGGAGGTTCCAAGAGCTGCTGTTGTGCTGAGCGTTCCCAAATATTGTGATGCTTTATCGTCGTGGGTAATTGGTGCTGGCGTTGTGTTTTCACCGGCCGAAGGCAGGTGTTCTCCAACGACTACCGACATATTGGTGGGATATCCGGCGAACTATAAATTGTACAAGAAAGTCTCTAGTCAGTAAACAAGCAATCATGGCTTCGCAGAAAGGGATATGAACGATTCCAGACCTCTTGATATCCGAAGGTACTAGTCACTTGTAAGCGTGGCTCTTAGGTTCAATGCCATCTTTCGCTTTGAAAATACCACATCACTTATTAACAGGCCACACAAACCTACTGACACGAATCCTTTCATCCGCCCCACCTTGGGGCTTTGCTAGTCGTTCCAAGGTCAGTTCAAAGTCCTAGGTAATTTTTCCAAGTCCTTTCCCGGTCAATGAATCTCAAAGTTGCTGAAAGCGCGTTTCACCTGCCGATCACAGGGAAAGGCCCCTTTAGGGATTAGCGTCATGTCAATCACAGTATAGCTCGATGCCTTTCTGCATGCCGATCATGGATGTGTATCCAAAATTGCGAAGAGCAATCAGGGAACCTTGGGAACATACCCACTTTCCATCTCATCCGCCACACACGGGGCGATCGGCTGGCGCTCAGATGCCTTTTAGCGAGTGATTTACAGCTTGGCTGTCACTGTATGTACGAGTACAGATGAGGGATCAGCGATGGGAAAAGGTGACGTGGAGTAACTTTCGGCGTGGGGCTGTGGATTCGTGGGGCAGCTGAGCTGTGGATTGTTTATGCCCCATTTTATAGACTTCAGGAGGTATGTACAGTATATATTACATGCTTTTTCTGCCGGCCAAAACTTCCATTTTTACTCGTAATAACTAGTACAAATTTCGGAAGAGATGATTCACGCTCTTTGTTGTTTTCGAGGCATGTATGTACATATGTACACTACATCTTTGGTCTGTCAAATTGTATCGTTTTCACACACAGCGAGTATGTACATAGAAAGAAAGCTAGGCTCTGATCGGTATGTACATAGCATTGTGTTTTTCTGATTGAATACCTGGAATGTGTCACTTCAATATTTCTTACAAGTCGCATGGACCTTTATTCGAAATATTGTGTAACACCCTTCATTTATAAACGTAATCTCTCCTCAACATTCGAGACCTGAATACTGAACTTACGGATAACACTTGTCTATTTTGCCCGGCAACTTATCGTACATACATACCTTTCAGTGCAGAACCTTGGAAGTGGATACTACTAGTTTCTGCAATAGTAGATTGGGTGGTTCTTCTACAAAATTACCCGTGCTGAGGTCCATTTGCAGCACAACCCGAAGAATAGGATGTCGGTGTGAGCGATTAGATAGCCGATCAAAGAGCAAGCCCGAAGAATGGAGCCGGAAGATATCTGGAAAATAAAGTACACATTGTATGCAGGTTTGATCATGACATATGATGTGTATGGACATACGCATAGAGCGGCAGGTACCCGCAGTTCAGCCCTGTAGCATACATACACGTATTTGTGCCACGCGCTCCGAACTCCTTTGGGGGAGTTGCAAAGCAGAGTTTGATAAATTGTATTGTATTGTCAAAATAGGCGGTAATCCGCAGAATTATGACCAGGTGTTGAAATATCCTTGTGATTGTCCGCCCTGTACCCCTCCACTGCGCGTCCTCAGCTCAAAAGATCTATCATTCTCACACGAAATCCATCTGAGCCATCCAATTTCGCAAAGATGCCGCAAGCTTATACGAATGATCATTCTTCCTCGGTCCTTCAGACATACACTTGGCGAGATGCCAATAATTCAGCGGCTTACCTTCTTCCATATCTACGACCACACATGAGCATCCTTGATGTTGGCTGCGGTCCAGGCTCTATCACAATCGACCTGGCACGGAAAGTTCCACAGGGGCATGTGGTGGGTGTGGAATATGTCTCCGATCCATTAGATGGAGCACGGTCGCTTGCTAGCTCTGAAGGAGTGACCAACGTCAAGTTTCAAGTCGGTGACATACACGATCTACCGTTTCCTGAAAGCACGTTTGATATTGTCCACGCACACCAGGTTCTGCAACATATCGCAGATCCAGTCCAGGCATTCAAGGAGATGCGACGTGTTTTAAAGCAGGGAGGCATCGTGGCAGTACAAGAGTCTATCGACTCAACAAGATACCCTGAATCAGAGGGCCTAAAAGCTTGGAGTGATCTCCAGGACCGTATGCGACAGACTAAGGGCAATAGTCTGAAGGCCGGTACTCAACTACATGTTTGGGCGAGGAAAGCTGGATTTCCCGTGGAGAATATGAAAAAGAGTACTGGGTCATGGTGTTTCAGCACCCCCGATGAACGAGAATATTGGGGGGGGTGCAATGGAACAAAGAGTTCGCTCCTCTGGCCTTGCAGTGACTGCAGTCCACGAAGGGCTTGTCAGCGAAAAAGATATACAGCAGATGGCAGCAGCGTGGAGGGCCTGGGTGGAGAACGAGGATGGGTGGCTTGGATTTTTACACGGGCAAATTCTGTGTTGGAAGTGATACCCTATCTCAAGACCTTTCGTGGCTCGGCCTAGGAGGGCCTTGAGCGTTCCTTGGCTTGGGGCCCATGATATCCATAGAATCTCAGATTTTATTGGCGCTCATAAAGATCCTGCATAAGAACCACGAAATTTAATCAGGAGCTAGCCGATGAGCAAAGCTTTATGAAAGACCGCGAAGTCGATACGGCGCTTTGAGGCTGCGTACCTAGATTTTCTTCTAAAGATGAAAATCATCTGTCTATTAGCTGGTTCTGGTAAAAGTGGAGACCTTCGCTGCGATAAAGTACTGAGATGCCCCGGGGCAGATTGGACGCGGGCATATCCAGATTTAGTGTAGATAGGTCTTGAATTAGATGATCTTCGTGTGTGATATTGCTAGGCATGGTGAATCGAAACATCATACTATTGATACAATCTGATACAAATAGTTGATAGAAACCACTCCATGGCAAGTAGACCTACATAGAAACGGCTACATCGTAAGCCATTCCATATAGAGATAGATTAAGAACTACACCCCTCAAATAGTGACGGATGTAGACTGTATAAACCCACGTTATTGTAGGCTCTGTCGTACTGACAACTTGAAAATGATACTAAGTTGAGCTATGACCATGATTGCCTTACTGATCAATAATACAGTAGACGGTCATTCTCGTCAATTGCAAAAGTTTTTGCGTCAAATGCAAGCGCCTATTCCACCCTAACGATGAGTGATAGAAAATATGATAGGCAGGCGTCCACCAGCCCCTCTCCCGGTAGTTAGCTGTCTATCAAAATTTGTATAGCAAGACGCAATATTTTAAGTTCTTAGCTTGACATATTCTTCAGCGAACTACTAGTAATATAGATACTACCATCTTCGAGATAAGATAAGGTAGGCAAGACCAGCAATTATGATTGCAGGAACGCATGTGGCTTGTGCAGCTTTTGCAAGCCAAGCTGTTTGGCACTAAAGCATTAGTAGAAAAAGAACGGGCAGAATATGGGCTGATTCATCATTTTCCGGGCTGGCCGCTATCAGCTTCTGTAGAACACGATCCCACGGCTACTTCATTATTACTCTTCCACTAGCTCCTTTATCAGTCAAACATTACATTTATCATCACGCCTAGTCGTAATTCAGCATTAAATATCTTATTTTGGCTTATTTCACAGTAAAAGCCTTAAATTTATCTCACTTTCACTCTTATACCCATCCTTCGAGTTCAATCTACTTGCCAGGAGAACAAGTTGCACAGTTATGTTCAATATTTGAGAATTCTACAGAGTCTAAGATAAAGAGCTTGATATTCTCTTGGTATTCCTATTAATCAGGAGCTTCGGAGTCGACTCTAGCTATGGCCTCTAATTCTTCTGATAATTGTTCCCCGTTCCCAGACCTGCGAGAATCATGGCCTTGCTGCGGCATATGGCTTATTATAGGGGAACTAGCTGTGGCCTTCGTCGTATTGTTACCTCAAGGCACCATGCTCTACCTCAAGGCACCATGCTCTACCTCAATCGTACCCCATCGATAAATCAAAGTCCTGAAAGCGATCTCGAAAAGAATCCTGGCTCTTCTGATTAGAGTATCGGGTTTACCGAATCGACTGGTGTTCCCGTTGGCGCAAGCTAGTCTGATGAATCTTGCTAAAAATATATTATGGGTGTCCAGGTGTGTTACTTAGGTACTAAGCCTAAATTACTATCTTTGGATGATGGTGGATAGAATTGTTATTTGCAGCATTCAGGCACTCAAATAATGAAACACGCGGTAGAACCGGCGTAGAAGGTGGTTCTTGGGCAGGGTTTGCAAAAGTGCAACATCTTGAATGATTTATTAGCTGAAGGGAAATCAAACTCTGAGTGACGTCTAGAGCCACTCACCAGTCAGTCTATTTCAGAAGACTAGGCGCTTTATATCAGCGTCATTTTCTTATTTGAAATCAAAATTCAACTTATTCAGCGAATATGCTCTTGAGTGGCAGCTAGAAGCGGAGGTTATTGAAAATGAAAAGCTTACGCTGATTTTCCAAGGTTGGAAGGGTATTGTTCTTCAAATATTAGAATGTTCTCAAGGCCTAACTACTCTAGCTTGCGGATGAGAGGAAAGACCTATAAAGTGGCCAGGGTTGAATGATTATGAAAGTAAATTCTCAATCCGCCCTTCTAATCTCCTTCCATTTTATACTAGGAACAGACAATTGTTCAAGCAAAATATTTTGCATCCCGAAAAAGGCTAACCTGATCAATGACAATTCTTTGTGAATTCCTTCATCGTTCATAAAACAAAGCAAATCTAGACTTAGTAGGAAAATGCCCACTTCTTGAAAGGCCAACAAGCATTTGATCATGATCAGCCACATAATAGAGTGCCTGGCTTGGCTTCTGGGCTTATCAAAAGCTCTTCTACTTCCATTAGCATTCCCCCAATATCTATGCAGTTAAGAATACTGTTTAGCAGATCTATAACTCCTCATACATGATGGTAGTCAGACAGCCTTATATATTCACAGAGAACATTCCAACGATCTTACACAGATCGTATAACGGAGTAAAACCAGATATACTGCCAGTCAAGCCGTATCATAGAGCTATAAAATATTTAAAATATATCAATCTGATAATACTCTATCACACTGAAAGCAGAGTACTCATACTTATATCCATGGATATGAATAATAGTCAAGTGTAAATAGATAGTTTCAGGCGAATTAAAGTAGGTCTATCCCAATCACCTTAAATACTATATCAGTTCAAATATCCAAAATTCTCTGATACCTTAGTCATCCTAGACAACCACGCCTATGTATGTAGTTCCTTCCGTCCAGTCTTCTTCTCCTTCTCTCTCTCTCCTCAATTCAATCAATCTCGTTCTCTGCTACTACAGCAACCTCGCCTACGCGCGTAAACGTATCTGAGCATCTTTACCAGAGCGATATAATTCACTGGTGATAACTTACAGTATTGTCTACCAAATTAGAAATTTCTTGTAAAACCTAATATAGATGTCCAGAACACCTTACCAGCCCAGTAAAGAGAGAAGATTATATTAAAAACCAGTCCGAAAGGTGCAACAACCCCTAAGCAACTAGCTATATATTTATTAATGTTTGGATAAATTCTTTGTCAAAGTTGAAATCTATTGGTACGGGTCTCACCGGATGATGTCAATGCTGCCGTCTACAAAGCTCATGCGGGGAACATCACTCTGACATCACCAGCCGTCTCATCATCGCCGCGCAAAGGGTAGACAGCTCAAATCGTTCAATTATTTTTTTTTTCTCATTTGGTCATATTTGTTCTTTTCCTCACACCTATATAATCTTATAGATGATCATGACTATTCGCGTTATTTAAAAAAATTGGAGAAGTGGCCATCGAGTCCATATTATCCATCATTCCAACGCAAGATCTCAATCTACTCGTCCAATTTAGGCTCCGTGGTATGCTGGGGATAGATTTGAGGGAAGAAGGGACCTTGATAGAAGAAATGTCAGCTCACTTTCTACTAGGAAAGACACAATTGTGTATTCGACTCATGCCATACCTCTCGCTGGGTTATTATCATCCGACATATGATCAGTAATTTGATGGAGATCTTCGATAGCGTGCTCGTGCGCGAGCTCGGCACAGATGGCTTGGGAAGAGCTGCTATTGTCAGCTGCCTGTAGACACAACCAATGGGGCATGCCTTAACATACGGTGCAACATTTCGGCTCTCGTGAACGATCGTCTCCAAGTCGCTCATTCTGCGCACTCCAGTTCTCGGCGTATTCTTCTTGTCATTTCCATCGATTGAAGTACGCTTCTGGACAGATGTTGGGTCCAAAGGGTTGTTGTCGATAGTGGTTCCGACCATCTTGGGCGGTTGAGAGTGGAATGGATGTTAGGTTGCTTGTTGGTAGTTGGTGTGTATGTATCCTGTTAATGAAATTTACCCAGGTAGTCGGTGTAGACTGTGGAAGATAATCGTAGGATGAAAGAACTTTCTGAGTCTTTTAAGGCCAAGTGCGGGGAGACTGTCCCGTGGCGCTCGGCATATGATGTGGCAAGCCTATGATATAAAGACTATTTTGGGGAGAACGAGGGGCCAATCGTTTGTACCCGCTCTTAGCTGAATTCAAAACTGGTGCTAGCTATTCTCGATCGAAGTTTCAAATCCTGATCATGTACAAAATATTGCAGCTACTCTTGAAATTGTATCTCCAGTCGCGATGATCATGACATGAACCAGCGAGCGCCACCGAATACGTAGCCGCATCTCATTAATCCGCCTTCTCGCCTCAATTCCCAGGTGATGATGATCAAGGGCCTGCATTAAGTCCCAAAGTTAGCACTACTAGTGGTATACGTCCGAAGCTTCATGCTCGTATATCACTCATGGCAACGTAATCATCTCAAACTCTAGGAGTCTGCTGGCTTGTCTTGAGAAATAGCTATCGGGTAGAATCAAATTTGGATCTGAAGAATAAAGAAATTTGAAATTGATGGATTATACATTAATGGTAAATATTTGGCAGTTGAAACAACATATTTCTATTCATATGGCACATCACAGGTCAAGTATCAAAGCAGGATGACATCACTGGCTACTTGTAATTCAGATCGATCCCCGCAACACAAATAGCATCGATAAGCCGTAGTTGTTTCGAAAAGATATCCCTGTCCTGGTGAGACGAAATATTCGAGGTCTTGTACTTCGACAGAACCCTTCTTCAGTCATCATCGGATGCTCCCTTTTTCTTGTATCTACCTTCAAGCTCTCGTCCCGGGCGGCCGTTGATGAAGCCACGTCGGATTTTGCCATTGCTGTCATAGAAAGCCGGCTTTTCGAAATTACGTGCGCGCTTTTCCCAGTCGCTGCCGATATTGCTCCGGAGAACAAATTCAGGGAGATCATGGCGTTTCGTCTATGCGTGGATGGTAGTCTTCATTCCGCTCAAATGTAAAATTCCAGAATTCAGTACGAAGGTTGCTTTGCCGACCTCGCCCCCAGTACTTCTCTTCTGGGTCAACGATGCAGCGATCCTTGGGCGAGAAGAAGAAGGCCAGGCGAAGTTGCTCTCTGGTAAGATTCAGGTCGGCTCCACAAGGGAAATATTCTGGAATGGCAGTGAATAGGCCTTTCGGCGTCGACGGGTCTGAAAATGTTGAGGTCAACGATGGAGACGTCTCGGGCGGAGAGACGAGTATGTCACGAGTTTGTCGAATGCTGGGTGTCTCGGGTGTCCTGGGAGACTCTGGGATCACGCCAGCTTGCATGGGCTGGAATATTACTTGGAGTGTCGGCGACGCTTGGACATTTCGTGTGGCTTTTTGTTTGCATACCGGCACATTTCCACAGCAAGGAAAGCTAGGAGTACGGTGACGAGCACAGAAGGTAAAACGAGTTGAAGCTCCATCTGGCTGTGGCTGGGGCTGGGGCCTGAGCACTGGCCAGCCCAAGGACAATCCATTTCGGGGGAGGATTGAACATCCTTTCGATTGGAGTTGAAAGGTGGAGAGATGTTGGTCGGATTGAAACAAGTGGATTGAAACAAGTGTTCAAGAAATGGGGTGATGTACAGTGAGAATGGCAGTGAAGAGGGAACCTTGGAAGGAAAAGAGAGGAAGAAAGGCAGTAGGCTATGAATTGGAAGAGTGGGAGAGTGGAAGTAAGTGGAAGTTCCAGATGAGGAAGGCACTGAACTCATACTAGAGAGTTCTCGGGGAAGGTACGACCCTTGTGGGTGCCTGAGGCGACAACTCTCATACACCACCACCACCGCCATCACTAAATAGTTAGTAGCTAGTACTACTATCTAGTAGAAGCTTGAAGCTAACCGGTGGACTCGCGCAGATATCAGGTTTGTCTCATATACATAACAAGGTACTGGAGCCATGTAATAGTATGTTGCTGCACTGCCTCTGATATACCGAAATTCATATCCATACGCTAGCCATCATGATGACAATGTGCAGTTCGTTGACCTCGGGGTTTTAACAGGAATGGAACTACTACTATGGAGGAAGTTGAAGTAGTACTACTAGTAGTTTTATGTTCAGTAACTGCTATGAAATTTCAAGTTCTGTACTAGTCAATCGAAGCGCAGTTCCCTTCTATTTCAACTTGAAGATATAGCCCAGGCCGGTCGAAAACATACTGATCTGCAACCTATTACCATTTGCAACTAACGCGGTTATAATAACCCCGATACTGACTAGATGCGATACTCACAAGCCCAGATCTAACAAAGAATTGTGGGGAGGCCTTAGATCGGATGCACAGAAAATCATTTACCAAATCCTATCTTGTAACAAAATCTGATGATTTACAGGTCTGAACACAAACCGACGAACCAACGAGTCGTGAATGGAAACCAGCTTTGGAGAGTGGCCCCACACTAGTCCCAGAAGAGTTATTGTCTGGAGAAAGGTGGATTTTTTCGCACCCGAGGCTTGGATGGGGTACGGCTATCGCTCGCCCGTAGTCCAAGTTGCGCCAGCAGGAATTTTTTTTCTTGTCACACTGGACATTTAACCTGGAAGGTCTCTTCTTTGTTTTCATTTCTATCATCTGTTCTTGGCGATAGTCTTGGAAGTTCTCGGCGCAGAGCTTGATTTAAATCCTATACTACCTTCTCGCTGTTGAGTTCGGATCCTTCGCTGAAAGCGGAGAAGTGAGGTCATTGTCTTCGCCCCATTAGGCAGGCCGTGGCAGCCAAAAGCGATCTGATTAGTTGCTCGGCGCTGCAGGAGGACTCGCTGACTCTTTTTTGAATATAATATCTTCTTTGTGAAGATTTGCGGGGAGATGGTTTTCGCACGTGGCGATGTCTCCGGCCACGACGATCAAACGCTAGGTGCGAATGAACCCTGCAGCATTCCCAGGATTACTAGTGAACGCCATCTTTATCCAACAGACACTGACACTACATAACAGAGCATCAAGTATCTGCGAGAAATATCACAGTTGTCTCATGGGGCGATGATAACGACCCTGGCAACCCATACAACTGGTCTTTATCTCAAAAATGGACCCTAACAGCCCTGGCGGCATTCACGACCTTTATCACCATGATGAACGGCACGATCATAACAGTTGCGCACGAGGCAATCAACCAAGAGTTTAATATCTCTGATGCCTCTTTCCCGCATTCGTACTGGCCCGTTGCATCTTGGGCTGTTGGCGGCGGCTGTTTCTCTCTCCTCATCTTGCCGCTGATGGAAGACTTTGGCGTGAGATGGGTTTTCCTCTCCACATACCTCTGCTTCATCTGTTTCGTTATTCCTCAGGCTCTGGCGCAGAATTTTGCCACGCTTGTTGTAACGCGATTCTTCGCTGGAGGGTGTGTTGCTATCCTCGCCAATACCTCGGCCACGGTTATTGGGAATGTGTGGGATAGTGAGAAAGCACGCAATGTCCCCGTCAGTTTGTACATCGTCACCTACCTCGCCGGAAGCAGTATTGGTCCTGTTATCGGAGCTCCTATCTACCAATATCTTTCGTGGAGGTGGATCGGCTATCTACAGCTGATCTGGTATGGAGCTCTTTTCCCGGTGTACTTCTTTTTGTTCAAGGAATGCCGTGGCATTGCCATCCTGGCGCAACGAGCGAAGGGTTTGAGGAAGGAGGGAAAGTTGGCATATACCCAACACGAAATTGACATGGAGGGAACATCAATGATGAGAATTGTGACTCGAAGCGCCACAAGGCCTATTGTGCTCTTCTTCACCGAGTCAGTCGTTTTCGTCTCAACGCTCTGGTCCGCCTTCACCGTCGGAACACTCTATCTATTTACACAGTCAGTCGAACAGGTATTCGCAGGTCTTTATGGCTGGACACCCGCACAGGCCGGCTACGTCCAATCAGCCATCGTCATCGGCGAGATCCTAGGATGGGTCGGAACCCTGTTCTCAGGAAGACTATACTTCAACTCGGCGTCTCGAAATACCGAAGTCCCTGGGACACCCATCCCCGAGGCTAGACTATATCTCGCCATCGTGGGTGGAATGATTGGTATCTCAGGAGGAATGTTCACTTACGCCTGGACCTCGTATCCCAACCTCCCCTGGATTGCTCCGGCCGTCGGGCTCGCAATGGTCGGCGCGGGTAGTGTGATCGTAGTGACGGGAATCTCAGACTATGTCGTGGATGCTTACAGCAAGTACGCGGCCTCCGCGATTGGCATCATCGCCGCGGGCGAAAACACGTTCTCGGCCTTTCTACCCCTGGCTGCTATGAGCATGTACTCGACTCTTGGTTATAACTGGGCCAGTACGCTTCTTGCGTTCATCTCGTTAGCGTTGTCTCTTGCGCCCATTCTTTTTGTGGTGTGGGGGAAGGAGATTCGGGCAAGAAGTCCGTTCATGAAAGAAGCCATGCTGGAAAAGCGGAGGAAAAGTATTGATTCGGTTTGATACCGGCTTTCTTCTCTCTTCTTTCCTTTTCTCTGGCTTTTTTGGTTGGATCATCCAGTGCGGAGTATGTACATACATTAATCAGACATTTTTCTTCTATTTTTGCGCTATTGGACATACATTCGGACATAGCATTAGGTAGAGTATCTGCATCTAATGACCTCATTTTTTAAAACCAAAGAACATCATCGAAACTCTCCCAAAAAAGCAATTCAAAACGAAGAGCTGAAAAATTCTTCAGACTGTCGCCTATTCTTAGAACTTCTGTAACAGATATCGGCTTGTTTCACCCGCCACATGCGAACCCACGAGGTTGAGAGATCCCGGGTCCCACCGGATTGTTGGAAGCTAAAAGCAAGGCCCAAAAATGGAGGGGGTGAGGCTCAGGGAGTGGTCATGGTTTGGTTCGGGTGGAGTTGAACTAAAGGGGGTGAGGGTACGTTGCTATATCGGAAACCAAGTCTGAAAAGGGCATGCATGTAGAAAGATCAGAAACACGCGGACTGAACTTTGTTTCTTCTTTTGGTGCCCTTTTTAGTTTGCTTTTCAACAAAGGATTGTGTGTCTTACATGTTACTTTGTCAAGGCGAGGCCCCGTGCACGACTAGCACCAGCAGTCAACACTAGCACCGGCACAAGCACCACAATCTATTACATACAATCAATTGCCCCTGTCGGCATAGATGACCCGGGACCCTAAAAAAACCAAAAAAGGGGCGGGGCAGCCGAAAAAGAGAGAGAGGGCATATAGCATTCCATATGAAGAACTCGAACGAAGAAGAGAGTGGAAACGATTGGAATTGAATACAATATACTTTTAGCTAAGCATGCAATGGCCAGGAGTCGCGCGGAGATTTTCCAGAATGTGGTATAGAACGGCTCTCGCGTCCACTAGCTTCGACTTGAGCCCTCGTGATCCTTGGAACGGTGCCCAGCCTTACATCGCGATAAACAACCGTTTTCACGGAGTGCATGCATATACTGAATTTTTGGTTGTAGACTGGTTGAACCTTACGGACACCGGTCAATGTGACGATTTTCGAGAACAATATCACCTCCGCTGCCGATCAACAAGAAGATCATGCCCACATGTAACGCGGAAACGCCCGGTAAACCTTGTGCCGGCCCGGATCTTGAGTCCGGTATCTTCATCTGATTGTTGAGGAGAAAGATCGTCCATTGCTTTATGGAGTACGGGTACGGAGTAGTACTTCGTACAGGGATCAACTCGGGATTTGGCCGTGAAAGACTGAGTGAGGAGGAGCAGGTAGTAGCACTAGCTTCCCCAATTGGAGTGTTGCAGCATCCCGGTCAATGTCCCAGCCACGGGAATTCTAGACGAGAAACACACTAACGCCCCACGTTCGACGACAAGGCTAAGGGTTAGAACTTCTAGATCGTTTCAGGGTGGACGATCAAACCGAGCTTTAGGTGCATTCTTTGTCTCTGTTGCTGTGCTCTCCACCCGTCCGTATTGTTTACATCCCAACTAGTACTAGTCCTGTTATGGAGTCCCGTTAGTCCAGGGGCAGTTTTGGAGAAAAGAGTTGGAAAAATATGGAAAAAAAACTTGAAAGAAAAAAAGTCCACCATGTTGAAACTTCGATCAAGAGTCTATCGCAGCTCCTGAACAATCCACACGCACACGGCCCAACATTTCCTTACGAGCGCCCCCCCCTTTCTTCCCCATTTAGTATGACTTCTTTGGGTAATGGTGTGCGATCTAGTTCATTCTCCGTGAAAGAGAGTAAGACATTTTCCTTGTTCGGTACTCTTCGGCAAGAGAGCTTCTAGCATCTCCACAGAGCGTGTGGGCGCGGTCCGCCATCATCACATCGGAGTCCGCCCGGTGATCTTCGTGTTGGAAGATGAGACAAAATGATGCGACAACCTTAAGCTCCGTGTTCACGAGGAGGGCGATCCGGGATTGAATGTGTGTAGATCAACGAAGGAGGGGGGGGGGTTGGCTGAATTCTCCGTGAATGTGAGGGGATTCCAAAAAGCAGAGCCCCATATTCGGGGCCGAGGACTCCTTTTTTTCGGTAGGCCTGGTTGGTCAACTCGAGCGGATGAAGTACAATATGTACTACCCGCAAAAAGGTTTCACCGAGGCCATGTGGGTGCCTTAATGTTCTGGACCTTGGGTGCTGTTGATTGCTGCTTGATTGCTGGTCGGGCCAAGCTTTTTAATTATGACTCGTTTTTCATCTCGTAACCGTGGGCGAAATGGGACGGGTAAGGGCTTCAGGGTTTGCCAGGGAGGAGATGAAGAGTCTAGATTTGCTGATCTGTATAAAATGAATGACATAAACAATTTATCGGGCGGGTCAGGAACCAGGTACGAGTACGGTGGGGAAGGTAGTGAGTGAGTCTCGCCCGAGTTGTCAGCCAGGATATAATTGTGTATACTGCTTCAGGTGTGATAGCCACGAAAGACTTATGCAAGATCCGGCATTTCACTGTTGCAGGAGAGTGCTCATGCACTCCAGACATGACGTCCGAGGGTTGAAGGATGCATCAGCCGGTGGAAATTCGGAACGGCGATAGGGGGGGGGGGCAGCATGCCATCCCTTTTTTCGACTGGTCTGTTCTGATCAGTCGTGCACTGCGCTAGACTAGGATGACTAGTCGGGATAACCGGAAGCGATCCAGTCAAGCCACAGCCGTTAAGACCGAAGGACAGAGGGGGCATATCGGAGAAATAGCAGAAATGGGGGTGTGCAATGGGACCTTGGACAAATAGATTTGGAGCCACCAGGTTAGTGGGAGGAGTGGGAGGAGTGGGCCAGGGCAACCCGGTTTCAATGGCTGCATGTAAGCGCCCAGTGGGAAGTCTGAAACACCAGTCCAGCGCCAGTTTGACTTGCGAGTGAGCCCTTGGCATGTCTCCACTGGGACACTCCCGTTGGCCTGGCCGCGGCACCCTGGTCACAATAGCCTTGAAACGAGAAAAGTGATCCCCTCGAAATGCACAGACGTTCTGCAGTCCAGTCACGAGTGGCGTGGGGAGTATCGAATCAGGGTGCAGAGGGGAGGGGAAGGGAGATGAGAGAGAAGAAGAGAAGAGTATGGAGGAGTAGAGAGTAGAGAGTAAAGAGTACTAGTCAGTAGGTACTAACACAACGGAGTAGACTGTGGTGTGATGCAAAGCTCTCTTTTTGGGGCAAGAGGAAAGAGCCAGCCTTCTGCTTTCCCGGGTTCCAGTGGATCACTTACCATACGTGACACTGTATTTTCCAGAAAATAGGTCATCATTCTATGAAGGTCCCACTCTCCCATACAGTAACGGTCACAGTCACCTTACCCATACTCATTGGCCTACCATCATCTCTCATCTACTGCTATTATTAACTTAACTTAGGTGCATCCCCTTCCTCCTCCTCCTCTCCTCCTCATCCCACTCTGTCGAGAATTCTCTCTCCTTCGTTTCTTTCTTCCGCTGTGCGAATTCCCACAGAGGCTTCTACCGGCTGGTCCAGTATAATCTCTGACATCTGTCTTTCTTCTGTCTTTCTCTCTTTGTCGTCATTTCCGGAGGCTGGCTCCTCTCTCGGTCTCTCAACGCTTCACGAAATTTGAATCTCTGCGGTAGTCGCGTTTCTTCGCTCATTGCCCTTCATCGCATTCAATCCTCTTTCCTGCGATCTATTGAATCGCCCCACGTCTTGAACCTCTTCCGCGCGGCTATCCGACTGTGTTTCGCAAACGACCAGAGTGAGTCGGCCCGCATTGATGCGATGCGTTTCGTTTCATAGGCAGAGTCAGGTCTAGAGTCAGAACTCGTGGACATCGCCTTTGTCTCACTGCTTCTTGTCTTTCATCCTTTCTTTGTCCCTCGCCTTGCTTATCTATCTGACCTTTTCCGCCTGTGTGCTAATGGTTAATTCTTTAGTCAAGCGCGTGGCACCATGTATCCTCACCCGGGTGCCCCGATGCCACCCCCGCCGACGCAGAAACCGGAAACCTTTATGCTCTCGCAAGAGGCGCAGAACAGTCTTCCGCATGATGCGCAAGTCGCTCTGCAACAAGTCGATAATCGTACGTCCTGCGTCCACCTCCGACAAAACACTGCGAGGCATTTGTTTGTTAACTTGACTCCTCCCCGGTAGTAAAATATTTCCTTTTGTCAGCCCCCGTCGACTGGCAACAGGACCAGCTCATTCGCCGTTTCCTCCTCCCAACCGGTGACTATGTCTCGTGTATACTCTGGTTAGTACTGGAAATGATAAATGGCCATGCTTCGCAGCGAAGAGGCCAATGGCCAAAGCTAACCAGACTTGTTCGACAGGAGCAACCTCTTTCACATTTCGGGTACCGACATCGTTCGCTGTCTCGCTTTCCGATTCCAAGCGTTTGGCCGCCCTGTGAAGAACTCAAAGAAATTTGAAGAGGGTATCTTCTCCGACCTGCGAAATCTCAAAGCCGGCACCGATGCAACCCTCGAGGAGCCCAAGAGCGCGTTCCTGGACTTCCTGTACAAAAACAACTGCATTCGCACGCAGAAGAAACAAAAGGTGTTTTACTGGTACAGCGTTCCCCACGATCGATTGTTCCTCGATGCACTCGAGCGTGATTTGAAGCGCGAGAAGATGAACCAAGAAGCGACAACGGTCGCGGTCAGCGAACCCGCCATGTCCTTTGAATTCGACTCTTCCCAGTCCCTATATGAGCAATTGACGAAAGCGCAACAAGCGAATTCCTCCTCGTTCGCTGCCCACGCAAGTACGACATATGGCCAGCCCAACTCCCCCGTGGTTCGGACCGTTGACGCAATGCCTCCTCCCCAGATGGCTCCCCCAGCGATGCCGCTACTCCAGGACGACCCGGGTCACCCCGCGATGTACGGAGCTCCGCAGATGCCCCTGACGAATAACATTGTTCAGGGTATCATCAAGCGTGAGCAAGATTACGGCCCAATCCAATACGATCGCAACGGAATGCCGATGGCGCGTATCCACCAACGCCATTCATCGATGCCAACCTTCTACGAGTATTCCCCCGCTCCGTCCTTTGTGTCCTCTCAGTATGAGGATTACAGCAACCGCGGCCTGTCCTTCGAACCCGTGACCCCACCCCAGCACTCCGTCGGGCTTGGGGCCGAACCTGCTTATATCGCTAACGAAGATACCGGCTTGTACACTGCGATTCCGGATCTCTCAAACGCGGCTTCGTACAACCCTATGATGCAGCTGCCTCCATCGAACTTCGCCAGTGGCCACTACCCTTCTGCCTCCCGCTCTTTTCCGTCCAACGCATATTCCGTGATCGAAGGCTCACCGACATACAAACAGCGCAGGCGCCGACCATCCGTCACCCCGGGTGCCTCAAGCATGCCGGGTACAGCGCACGGTTCCGCCCATGGTACCCCAGCACCCCAACCTCCACCCTATGCTGCACACCGGCCTAGTGATCTCCGTCGCTCGGTGTCTAGCTCTGTGGCCCCGGTGGCTGAGGGAGAGGAACCTGCGCAGGACTACTCTCGCGCATACCCTTCCATGCTTCCCCAGAAGGATCTGCTCCAAGAAATTTCGCGTCACGGAACCCCACTGCAAAACCTGGACGAGTCCGTCAACCATCATCACTCTGTGCCACTAAACCACCAAGCTGATGACTTGGCGGCGCTTCCTACGAGCGCAGCATTGGAGAACACCGTTCAAAATAGCACTGGCCGATCGGAAAGGGCAGGCCCTGGTCCTGCTCGCCGGGCTCGCAGTGCAACCATGATGGAGCTTGGTCCATACCCCCCATAAATCTCATTCATGCCCAATCCCATCCTGTGGCAGACTATTCAAGAGATTAGAACACCTTAAGAGGTAAGCCTGTTTCTATTTTTAATTCTTCAGTCCCCAATTGTGGGGACGATCTGCACTTTGTCCCCGTCATCAATGTGATGGGGTTTCGATTGGCGCCGAAGCTAACTTGGGCGCTTAGGCACGTGAGGACTCATACCCAAGAACGCCCATACCCCTGCCCCTACTGCAGCAAAGCCTTCTCACGATCCGACAATCTTGCACAGTAAGCTTACACCACACCTGACGCCTGAGGCGTGGGCTTGTCTTGCCTCTATTTTTACCGTTGCTAATTTTCCACTTCTCAGACATCGTCGGATCCACGAAGCCCAACAAGACGGCCAGCCCGCCCTCGCTGCCGAGGAGGATCTGGAGAATGATGGCGAGTTCGACTCTCCCGAGTCGTCTCCCCCTGCTCCCGCTCACCCCCACCCCCACAGCATGGTCAACATGCCCGCAATGACCTCCATGGCCACCCCTATGAGTATCCCTGCCGTGCCGGGCATGGCTTCCCACATGATTGCTCCACAAATGCTCCAGCAGCAGTTGTGAGTTTCACTTATATGAGGATTTTATCCCCTGGCGCGGTTTCATTGTTTGGGTTCGTTGGCGCTGCGGCGTCCTGCTCTACCTACCGTCTTGTAATCTTTTTTTTTCACTTTGCTTGCTTGGCCCGGTCTCGCCTCACCCGTTCTGACTTTTTCTCTTTTCTCGCCTGTTATTTGTGATGGGATGCACACGGCTGTATCCCGCAACGGATCGAAGAAGTTCTCTCTCGGTTCATCTTGTATTATTGTCTTGTCTCGCCTTAGTGTCGTGCCACTCAGCACACGCAACACCCCCGCGGTTCACACAATCTGCCCGGCGGGTACGGGCACATCAGGCGTAGACAGTGCGGGGGATCTCTATGGACATGGACACACCTCTTGGTTATATTTTCTTTTTTTTCTGGAACTGCTGGTTTGGTTGCTTTTTCTGGAATATCGGGTATCTTCTCAGAAGAGTGGGGAAATTTGGGAATTGGAGATCGCTTCGTCGCAGCTTCAATTATACTATAGACTACTTAACGAATTGAATTGATTAAAATTGCTCTAAATGCGGTATTATTAGGTGTTCTTAGGTGTACATACATTAGTGACTAGTTAGTTGTTCTCTATTTCTAGTTCTGCCAATCACCATAATACGTGATTGTCACGTGTGCTGACGCCGCCAGCAAGCAACATATGCAGCTCTCAATTCCGATCACTTCAGCCCCACGACTTGGTCAACTCAGAAAACAGCGGTAAACATATCCCGCTGTCGCTGCGTATCAATAGAGTATACCGTTCTTTTCTCGCACCTAGCAAACAGCGCGCAGTGCCCACAGTTCCGGCGTGGCCGCATGACCTACACGCCTCATCGTGGCCCCCGATTGATGGTCTGATTTGATTTGCGGAGAGACCACAGAAGCAGCCACATACCCCTATCTAGTACGATTTGGTCAGCCATCACCAGTTGCTTGGCTCGGATCGTTCATTCTAAGAGCTTGCCTACGACGCTTTTGAATGACCCTTGTTGCGATACATAACTATATGCTAGTAACTTTCCCGCCATTGTTGTGGGCCCTTTGATCTTATCTTGTGTTACCGAAGGGCTTGTCCCAAGCGCAACTCCTCTCTCTTGTACTAAGACGAGTGCATGATATTCCCGAGTTACTAAGTCAGCTGAAAGTCGGATTCCCCTCATGATGGAGGGAAGGCGAGAAGATGGGACTGGTGCTGCAAGCGATAGTGGTGGCGCCTTCGCGGAGAGAAGGCATGAGGACTCCTTTCATGATTCTTCTAAGAGTGCATGGTACCTATTTTTACTCACGGTATCTATTGGTGGGCAAGTCTCGTCCCTGTTTCTCTATTTTTGACTTCTTTTCTTCCTAACACAATATAGGCTCCAGGTTGTCTGGTCTGTGGAGCTCTCGAATGGATCGGTAAGTTCGACCTCTCCCCCTTCCACAGTTTCATGATTCAACATCTCCATTGTTTTTACCGTAGAAGCATATTCAAGGGCTCAGCTAACAGTACCTGCCATTTTTCTGATCAGCCCTTTCTACTCTCCCTGGGTATGAGCAAAGCGCTCCTTGCCGTTGTTTGGATCGCGAGTCCCCTAGCTGGGACTTTGGTTCAGCCTTACATCGGTATCCGCAGTGACAACTGCCGTAGCCCGTGGGGTAAACGCAAGCCGTTTATGGTATTCGGTGGTGCGGCGACTATCATATGCTTGCTTGCCCTTGCGTGGTCGCGAGAGATGGTTGGTGGTTTCTTGTCTATATTTGGCGCAGATCGTGATTCGAACGGGACAAAGACGATGATTATTATCGTCGCAACTCTGTTCATGTTTGCTCTTGACTTTGCAATTAATACGGGTACTTCTCCCCTTCGCTCATTCCCGGACGTCATCGACGCATCTGATAATCTGTTTTCACAGTGCAAGCTGGCATTCGAGCATTTATTCTCGACAACTGTCCCGCCCATCAGCAAGAACAAGCCAATGCCTGGGCTAGCCGTCTAACCGGCGTCGGCAACATCCTAGGCTTTATTTCCGGCTACACTGACTTGCCGAGGTACCTATCATTTCTCGGAAACACGCAGTTCCAAATCCTTTGCGTCATTGCATCGGTTTCTCTTTTCATCACATTAGGCGCCAGCTGCATATACATCAAAGAGCGTGATCCCCGACTGGAAGGCCCGCCCAGTACAAGCGGACTGGGTGTAGTCTCTTTCTTCCGCCATGTATTCAAGTCTATCCGCGATTTACCACCGCAGATTTCTCAGATCTGCAAGGTGCAAGTCGCTGCTTGGGTGGGCTGGTTTCCGTTCCTGTACTACTCGACAACATACATCGGCCAGCTTTACGTGAACCCAATTTTTGCAGATCATCCAAATATGTCAGAGGGTGAGATCGATGAGGCCTGGGAAGAAGCTACCCGCATGGGGACATTCGCGCTTCTTGTTTATGCTGTGATTTCCTTCCTTGCTAACATTCTTCTTCCGCTTTTCGTCGTGCCTACCTATGGGGCCACATTGGGGTCTGCTGAAGACGATAACGAGGGTTCAATTGACATTGCGAATGGGGAGGGGGATGCAGATGAGCCTGCTGAACACCGTCGACTATCATTTTCCGGAATTCCAAGCACTGCAGCTGAGCCACTTCTTGATGCAGTGCCTCACAAGAGAGGACCTGCGGAGGGGAAGCCGACATGGCTTGCTCGTCTCCAGATCCCTGGATTGACGCTCCGCCGTACATGGCTCTTTTCTCACCTTTTGTTCGCGGCGTGCACGTTTAGCACGATATTCGTTTCCTATTATCCCGCAGGGTCGGTAATTATTGGCTTCCTTGGGATCTGTTGGGCCGTGACGCTATGGGCACCATTCTCCCTCATTTCCAATGAAGTTGCCCTCATTGATATTCAGCATCGTCGCAAGCATCGCGGGGCGGGAGCTCACAATGTAGCCCAGGGCACTCCTTCAACCGCTCATGGTTCTGGGTCATATGCAGCCGTCCCTGGGGAAGATGATCATCAAGATCACGAAAATGAAGACACCGACGACCGTGAGCATGATCACGATCTCGAAAACGGTCCACTCGGGTCTACATCCGAAGACGAAAATACTGCTCAAGCCGGCATCATCTTAGGTCTACACAATGTGGCCATCTCGTTCCCTCAGATATTCTCAAGTCTCGTCTGCAGCGCTATATTCAAAGCTGCTCAAAAACCACGAGGTGAGCCGTGGGATGATAGTGTGGGGTGGGTTCTACGATTCGGCGGAGTCGCTGCACTCTGTGCCGCATGGTTGACCAAGAAGCTAGCCGAGGGGACACGGTGATCCTGCAGCATAATTTTGTGCGCTCGAAGTTAAACTTGGCTTTCTCAAGTAGCTAATATGATTGGATTGATTCCGCCCTAAAGAAAATACAAGGGTATACATTGTATCGATGTATGTAGTACGAAGGAAGTGGGTCAGGACACGCGGACATGGGATCAGCTCAAAATACTCTATTCTTCTTTTCGGTCACTTAAAAACTTGACTGGGATATAACTGTCTCAATCGACCAGGACATATCGTATATAATAAAAGCACCAAAATAGCAACTTGAAGAAGACTTGGTTGGACTATGGCTATTGCATGCAGTGTCGATCCCCCCTTAACCAGCCGCAACCCAACTATGTCTTGGCAGCGGAAGTGGGCCACGTGTTAATTACCGAAATACACTGACCATACTGTCTCATTACACCGCTCAGCCCTGTCATCTCTCACATTTCTCGAAGCCCGCCCCTGCTAAAAGGATCCCTCTCGTATCTGTCCCGTCTTTCATATACCAAACCTCTTCCAGTCGATGTGTCCCTCCCGTCCCTTCCAGGCGGGTGCAACTCCAAGAACCTCAAACCTTCCAACCCTATTTCCGTCTGGCACTCCCTCACTCCCTCAAGCTACCAGTCGCTAGATTATGCGCAGCCGGTCCTAGCTCTTTCTCGTCAGAGTTACTTGCCAGGTGTACACACCCGCCCTCGAGCATTGCTGATCGAGTCGCGATGGCCAGTCAACTGTTTGGCGATGCCGCCTTCGCCCTCATAAGTACGCACCACCCAGAAGATCAAGGCGCGGGGTCGGCCCTTTTGGCAAATGCTAATCTCTTCTTCTTTCTTACAGGGCGAGCGGCCGAAGACACTGATCCCGATGGTACGCATCTAACACCCTAGGCTCCCTTCCCTTCCCCACCAAGAAAGCTCCCCTTCACGACGCGGTGATCTGACATGTGGCTTGGAATACAGATGCCCCCGAGGCGGGCTCGAAGGAGATTACCAGCTCCTGGGCGCTCTTTATCATGATCATGCTCTTGATGTTCGCCCTCTTTACAAGCTATATCCTGCAGCAAAAGAAGATCCAAGCTGTGCACGAGACCGTGCTATCCATCTTTGCGGGTATGTGATATAACAGCGGCAGGCCCAGGGCAACACAGACTGGCAATGAGTCAATCGCCTTGATCCCCTGCGCGCTTTCTTTCATGTCTTATTGGGGTTTCCCAGGCTAACACTAACCTAGGCATGTTCGTTGGTCTGATCATCCGCCTTACCCCGAAATCCAACCTCCAGGACAGTGTCGCCTTCGACTACCAGTTCTTCTTTAACCTCCTCCTCCCTCCCATTATTCTCGCCTCCGGGTACGAGCTGCACCAAGCGAATTTCTTCCGCCATATCGGTACCATCCTCACCTTCGCTTTCGCGGGAACGTTTATCTCAGCCATCGTGCTTGGTTTGGTTCTATACCTTTGGACACGGATTCCGATAAGCGGGCTGAATATCTCATTCGTCGAAGCGATCTCTGTCGGCGCCACGCTCTCCGCGACGGATCCTGTTACCATCCTCGCCATCTTCAACCTCTATAAGGTCGAGCCGAAGCTATATACCATCATTTTTGGCGAGTCAATTCTGAACGATGCCATTGCCATTGTTCTTTTCGAGACGGCGCAGAAGTATGCCGAGAGCGAGGCTGGATCACTGACATTCTTACATTTGTTCGAGGCGTCGGGTCTCTTCTTGGTTGTCTTCTTTGGCAGTATGTTGATTGGAATCGTTGTCGGCATCGTCACGGCGCTTGGTCTCAAGTATACTCTCGTGCGCCGTATGCCCAAGATCGAGAGTTGCCTCATTATCCTTATCTCCTATGCCAGTTATTTCTTTTCCAACGGCGTGCATATGTCGGGTGGGTCTCTTTCCATGTTTCGCTTTCGTCGCATCGTAAGCTAACCTTCAACTCTAGGCATTGTGTCACTCCTATTCTGTGGTATCACCCTCAAGCATTACGCCTACTATAACATGTCGCGCCGTACGCAGTTGACCACTAAATACCTGTTCCAGGTCATGGCGCAGCTTTCGGAGAATTTCATCTTTATTTACCTAGGCCTGGACCTTTTTGTTGAGTCCAACCTGCAGTTCAACCCGCTCTTCATCCTTGTTGCGGTTTTCGGCATCTGTCTGGCCCGTTATCTGGCTGTGTTCCCGCTCTCCAAGGCTATCAATTGGTTCCTTCGTTATAGAGCTCGCCGTCGCGGCATTGAGGTTGCGGACGAACTGCCTTTCTCCTACCAGGCCATGCTCTTCTGGGCTGGACTGCGTGGTGCTGTCGGTGTCGCGCTGGCTGCGGGTCTCACTGGTGTCAACGCGCCTGCACTGCGGGCCACTGTTTTGGTGGTTGTCGTGTTGACCGTCATCATATTCGGTGGTACCACAGCTCGCATGTTGGAAATCATGGGCATTCGTACCGGTGTGGTCGAGGAAATCGACTCAGACGACGAGTTCGATATCGAAGTCACTCATGGAGGAACATACTATAAGCGCTCCGACACTGCTCTAGGATACACTCCCCGCCACGACTCCACGATTCCCCTAGACGGCCTCAATAACTCGCGAGCCGGTCTTGGCCGCCGCGCAGATAGCTATACAAGCGGTAATAACCAGCGCCCGAGTCCACCGGGACACACCCGGATGTACTCGAATGCATTCAGCCAAAAGGACACGCATTCAAAGCGTGATCGCTCATCAACAGCGACCCTTCTCAACGGCGGCGTCAATGACCCAGATCTTGGAGGCAGCGATGACGAGTTCGGACTCCCGCCCAGCGGCCAGAACCGTTCCAACTCCGTCGCCCATCCAGATGAGTTCGACCTCGATCTTGACAACGCTTCTGACGACGACCTACCACCCGCAGCAAGCAGTTCGTCCCGTATGCGCCGATCTCCATCACACCCCACCCCAGCTGGAACTGGTACACACACCCCCTCACCAAACCCAGGCACATCGACGAGCGTATCCCCAGCCCGTCGCGAACCGACACTCAGTGCGCGCGACGCTCTCCGAGATCTGTGGCAGGGCGGTGCATCGGGCGACCACGCCGCGTGGTTCCGACAGCTTGATGAGGATTACATCAAGCCGAAGCTGCTACTTGATCAGTCCAACCATAAGGGACCCGGACCTGGCGCTGTTTGAGTTGAGTTTGAGTTTTGATTTTGATTTGATATGACATGATTACCCTGGAAACGCATTTCCTTCCGCCCTGACTTGACTTTGACTTGCATGTGCATGGTCTCTATCAGTGTTGTGTGTTTTACAAGATGAATTGTATATTTAGCCTTCCTACCTTCAAGTTACCCCCTACCCATGACAATTTTCTTGCCGCTTTGGATCTTGCATTTCCGTAACTGAGGTTTCTCTTTTTCTTCTTTGTATGTGGTATTCCCGAAATCCGGTGGTCATTATTTTGGTGGCCTTTTCTTTTTCTTTTCAAGGTTCTCATCTTTCTTTGTCTGGCTTTCTCTCTTTCTTTTGGTCTGTTCCCTCTAGACACCTGGGCAGCTGGATAGCCCTGGTAGCTAGCCGTCTGCCCTTTGCTTCTACCACTACTAGTTGTACTATATGGTCGAGTGTCTGGCTGGGCTATATCTCCAGTCCACCAGAGCTGTGTATTTTCCAAGACTTGTCTGTAGTACCATGTGATAAGAATAAGACAGTGGTTAGAGATCTGAGGCTGTAGTTGCATAGTAATAAGCACACACTACGTACATAGTATTCGGACCTCTACTAACTCCAAGTTGCAGTAGATATGATGGATCTAAGTAAATAGGTCGACATCAACCCTGCCAGGTGGTAATTGTAAATCCGGGCTCCTATTGCCCATGCTCGATCAATAAATGGCACCTACTACCTAGGTACGGCCAATCAATTGGATATGCCAACCTGCTCAATGCAATTTTGTACCTATCAAGTAACCCAGCGCTAGAAAGGAGAAATTTAGCTGCTTATTCGCTATCAACCAATCATAAGCCAGCACAGTGATCTCCTCCCCAATCCAGGTTTCATTTTTCAGCCTTGTTATGACCGAGCCGCAATTCATTGCCCGATACGGAAATCTTGAAGCAATTTGTATCATCTGAAGGAAATTCGAGCTGCTACACTATTAACATGGGGCGCTGCCTTTCACTGCTTGATACTGTTGGAGAATTTGATTTCCAGTGATGTATTTGAACGTAAGAGGAAAGTTTTGAGCCCCTCCTTCTGTCTACCCTGCAGGTCAGATTGGTCTTTAGCTGCTTACCAGCTTCCAACGAATCACATGCCACTGTAGTTGCCGGCTCCCCATTCTTTGTTTCAAATTGCGAGCATCATGATTTCTTCCTGGTTGCAAAACATCCGCCGAGCCGTAATTTAAGCTATTTCATTTTTCGCTTCTTTCGGTCATGTGCAGTTCTTGTAGAGATAGTACTTAGGTAGTGCCTAAGGTGGTCTCTCGCATTTCTTGTTTTCTTCAGCAAAACGAGGAAAATGATTACTAGTGATGATCCGTGATTACAGGTTTGTCTGGGGCTGCAAGAAGTTGGGAAGAAAGGTAGCACTTTCTCTCTCGCCTAAACCTGTCATTCTCGCCATTGACTTTACAGGTCTCTTTGCCGTAAGAGAGCTTCTTGCATTTATGGGCACGCTGTGATCAGCAGCTTATTTTATAACAACCTTAGAATACTATGCAGCTTAGTATCCTTGTCAAGCATATGGAGATCTGACTTGGAGATTTAGAGTATCCTAGGATGAAATTTAATTTCCCCATGAACGACTTAACAACCTTATCGATCATACATCACTGACCCTGACCAAAATATTATCTCACTAGCGATTGGAACACCCATGGAGCGGATTACTGCCTCAGGCCCCGATCTTCCTTTGAAATCCCGTCACACCTGATCATTTTTGACCTACCACTTCACTTATCCCAACTCGTTTCAGAGACACCAAAGCTCCATTGAATTTCCGAATCCAGCATCATGACCACCGTGGTAAGCCTTTCACTGCGAAAACCTTGTATTTAACGCCAATGAATACTCTAGGATGTCCCGCCGTCCGGGTGGGGCTCAAAGCCCGAGGACCTCGAGCACCTAGAGGACTGGGAGGCGGAGGATAGTATGGGCCAACATCTGTGCGAAGAGATGAATCTGGGAAGAGGCCGTCCGATTATGTGTCATTGCACAGATAATGCCTACCTGTTTGAAGCCGGTGGAAAGTTTTACTTCTGGTATTGCGTTGGTCTTGATCTCTTTGAAATCATCTCCCCGAACACTCTGGAGCAGATCATCAAGACTATGAAGGAAAGGGGAGATGATGGCGTGAAGACCAAGAAACTCCTATGACCAACAACCTGCAGCTTTCCGAACGTTTCTGGTCCAGACCTAACCACACACGACTTAACGGCCTTATCGAGCATAGAAAGTCTACATGGTCAGACGATCCCGAGGCTCGAAGCTCTATTGCGTCACCACCAACCACAACCTCAACTCCTATCTCCCCGCCATCGCGACATATGATTTCTTCAGCCCCGGGCAGAGAGTCGCGCAATAAAAGTACCAATATCAGCGGACAATACCCCGCCGATACCGATACCCGTAATCGGACAAGATTGACATGACATGACACCCAATCCTCGTACAAGACTCGGGTCCCACACAGCCACTAAAAGCTAGTATATCCCCGCATTCCCAGACCCTTTCCCACCTGGGCATCTTCCAACCAGAGGCTGGCAATTCCTACCACGGCAGGGAGTCTTGATAAAGTGATAGAGCTTTGATTTGCCGGCGTGCCGAAGTGAGGAGAAGATGACGAGGTTCGAGCCTTTCTCTTGTGTCGGGGAATTCAGATTGGATCTCTTATCGCAATGTAGAAATTGGGTTGGATTAGCATAAATTATGCCGGGTGCGCCGCAAAGTCTTGGTTTTGACCGTGGTCCTCCTGGTTGCCAGTGGTTTTGATCTCCATACTACTAGTACTACCTACCTAGGTAGCTATTGTACGGATGCGCTCGCCTTGTCCTACGCTACTCACTCCTTGGCTCGGAGTACCCTGGTTGGAATTTGTATCCACCGACGGGAATTGAATCTCTCGATAACCCATCCCTTAATTCATCTCTTTAAGTTCTACATCAAAATTGAAGCAAAGATCACCAAGACAGCTTCTTCAATTTCAAAATGGCTGATCTAATCAAATCGCCTTCACGCGATAAAAAGTCGCTTCGTGATGGCGTCGAACATGACGGACCCGCCGAGACGGGCGATATGGAATTGCTTGGTTTGTTGACCTGCTTCTTGATGCTCAGGATCCGAATATTGGGAGGTTACTACGCCTATCGATCGGATAACAAACTGCACGGGACAATTCTTTATATCATTCCACTCGCTAACCCAATTCATTCACAGCCACGTTGGGGTATAAGCAGGAACTACGACGCCACTATTCAACGATCCAGATCTTTGCCGTCGCATTCAGCATCATGGGACTGTTACCGTCTATCGCGTCAACATTATCCTTTTCTATGCCGGCTGGGCCAGTGGGAATGGTTTGGGGATGGTTGGTTGCGAGTTTCTTTATTTTCATTGTTAGTTTGGCTATGGTAAGTTCTCAAGTTGCTACCACGTTTTCAAGCTTCTTGCCCTTTCGCATTATGTATAGTGGTATTTCTGTTCTCGATTGTGACTATGCTTACAAGGGTTTATTTCAGGCTGATATGGCTTCTGCCATGCCCACTGCCGGCGGTCTCTATTTCTGGACACACTACTACGCAGCAGAGAAGTGGAAGAACCCACTCAGCTTTCTAGTTGGCTATAGTAATACCATTGGGTTGATTGGTGGTATTTGCTCTATTGACTGTACGTCCAAGGTCGATCTCATTCAAGCTTCTACGATTCCTATAATCCAACCTCATTTCCTTCCCCATTTGAGAAGGACATATCGGACAATCAAAGCGCAACATCGTCGAGCTAACACCATTTTCCTCTTTCCTCTAGACGGCTTCGCCAACATGCTCCTCTCAATGATATCCATAACCCGAGACGGAAGCTGGTCCGCAACCCGTCCCATAATCTACGGCACATACGCCGCAACCGTCTTCTCGCACGGCTTCATAGCAATATTCTTCGGCAGGATAATGCCAAAGATCCAGTCAGCCTGCATATTCTTAAACGTCGCCCTAGTAGTCGCAACCGTCATTGCTCTCCCGATCGGGAAATCCGAAAACGCACCCCCCATCAATTCAGGCTCGTATGTCTTCGGCCAGGTCGAGAACTTGACCACCTGGCCAACGGGCTGGGCGTTTATCATGGCGTGGTTGTCGCCTATCTGGACCATTGGCGCGTTTGATTCGTGCGTTCATATGAGTGAAGAGGCGACACATGCTGCGCGAGCTGTACCTCTGGGGATCATTTCTTCGGCGGGGCTTTGTGGGGTGCTCGGGTGGTTGAGTTTGGCTGTTATTGCGGCTTGTATGAGCACGGATATTGAGGGGATTTTGAATTCGAAGTTTGGGCAGCCAATGGCTCAGGTATGTTCTTCTCTGTCACTGCATTATAAGCTTGAGATGCATGGAAGATTGGCGTGTGGATAGATACTAACTTCCACAAACTTGTAGATCTACTTCGATGCTCTGGGCAAGAAAGGCGCCCTCGGGTTCATGGCTGTTAATGCCATAGTTCAATACTTTATGGGTCTTAGCATTGTAAGTTCTGGCCCTATTAGTGCCAGTGGCTACTATATTACCTATCCGATTATATACCCGTCTAACAAGGGCTCCGTCTCGAACAGGTCCTCGCTGCCTCCCGTCAAAGCTGGGCCTTCGCCCGTGACGGTGCACTCCCTCTATCAACATATTTCCGCAAAGTCAGCCAGCATAGGCTCATGCGCTATCAACCCGTGCGAATGGTTTGCGGTGTAGTGACAGCCGCCGCAATAATCGGACTTCTCTCGCTCATTGACAGCGCTGCCGCGAATGCTTTATTTTCTCTCGCCGTCGCGGGAAATGACCTCGCTTGGCTGACACCTATCCTGGCACGATTGATCTGGGGCCAGGATCGCTTTGTTCCGGGTGAATTTTACACTGGTAAATACCTCAGCAAGCCGATTGCGTGGGTTGCGGTTGTTTATATGGCTTTTGCGATTGTTTTGTGCATGATTCCGACTGAAGGGCCAAATCCATCCGGTGAGTCTTTTGCTTTCCCTTTTATTCCTTTCTTGTGTTGCTTTGTGCTTGCTGATGAGTGATGCAGCCGAAATTATGAATTATACTGTCGTTATCAACGGTGCACTCTGGATTGGTGCAATCCTTTATTATGCTTTGCATGCTCGAAAGACGTTCAAGGGGCCACAAACAACTGTCGCGCCAGAAGATGAGGGAAAGCGAATCGAAGAAGAGGGTGATTCGGAACCTAAGACCTTATAGGATTAGTGGCACTGGGGATCTTTCTCGCGCTCATGGATATATTCAGCTACTCCAATGTCAGATATTTGGTTTCAATTCTGGTAAATTCATTGCTCATTATTTGGCTCAGTGGCTAGTAGCTTCGTAAACACATCGTATTCGCTGTTTCATGCAATATCCATCATGATATCTACATAGTTCTGTAGATCCCTAACCTGTTTATTCCGGCATCTTGAGAACGTAGCGTCCGGCGATCTTGCCTTGCTCTGTATATCATGTCAGTATACAGTAATGTTTTTTTTGTTTTCATGGAGACGCTTACCCATCAGCTCAAACACTTTGGGAAGATCCTCCAATGAAGCAGTCTTGAAAGGTGCCTTGATCAGACCGCGAGTGAAGAAGTCGACAGCCTCAACACCATCCTGGCGGTTACCCACATAGCTTCCCTTGATGTTGATCATCTTGATGACACTCTCAAAAACAGGAGCCTTGAGGAAGGCGTTGGCGGGAAGACCAATGGCAACAATGGCGCCACGGGGGCGAGCATAGCTAACGGCCTGTTGGAATGGCTTCTCGGAAGCAGCAAGTAGAAGCACAGCGTGCGCACCCAGACCTTCGGGAGTGACAGCCTTGACATCAGCGACCAGATCTTTGGAAGTTGTGAAATCGACGTAGGCCTTTTTAATTTTCTTTTAGTTAGCTTCTGCACCAGCATAATAGTCAATTCGTGCTTGATTTTGTGACGTACCTCAGAACCCAGTTGCTCACACATAGAACGCTTCTCATCACCACCATCAATAGCAATAACCCGCAATCCCATAGCTTTGGCATACTGCTGAGCCAACGAGCCCAAGCCACCACCAGCACCGACAATAGCAATGGTCTGGCCTGGACGAGCACCAGACTCCTTCAGACCCTTGTAGACAGTGATACCCGCGCACAAAATCGGCGCAATGGCATCGAAAGCCACGTCCTTGGGCAGTTTGATCACATGCGCAGCTTTTCCAATAGCATACTGCTGGAAAGTGCCGTCAACGGTGTAACCTGACAACTTCTGCTCAGCACAGAGTGGTTCGTCAGCGGTTTTGCAGAACTCGCATGCCAGGCAAGAGCCATTCAACCACTTGATACCGGCGTGATCGCCGATCTCAATGCCCGAAGCCATGTCGCCTTTGGCAACGACAATTCCGGCTCCCTCGTGGCCTCCGACAAGGGGCATCTTGAGGGGCAGTGGCCAGTCACCTTTCATGGCGTGCAGGTCGGTGTGGCAGACGCCGGAGTACTTGATCTTCACGAGGACTTCGTCGGGGCCTGGTTTGGGGACGGGGATTTGCTTGTAGATTGGCGGACCGCCTTTCTTTTCGACCACTTGGGCCCATTGGGTTTCGGGGGAGTGTCATTTCGGAAATGTATTGATATCAGTAGTGGGAGGTTGGTGTTTTGTAGAGGGGATGGGATAGGTTGGAGAAGAGAAAAGAAAGAGAAAGAGGGAGAGGAGAAAGAGAGGGAGGGGATTCTTAAAGCAAGCAAACGGGGAAGGTGCAATGTGGTACCACCAGAAGGTGCGAAGGTCGATGATGGCTCCTTCCGTTCCTGACATCCTGGACATCCTGACATCCCCATTGGGACCCATTGGGACCCATTGGGACCCATTGGGAACTTCACATCTTCCCATCTTACTCATGCTTCTACGTGATTGCCCCTAGGCAATTGACTATCCCACGGGAAATGACTGGTTTGCCACTGCGGTTCACGATACCTGTAATCCCCCAAAACAGGTATTTGCATCTATTCCTTGTCCTCGGGCTTTGCTCCAGTTTGAATCCAGTATATTTGGTAAAGGTATAACCCTGTCTCATCTTCAACCCACGCCAGCGTCAATCAGAATAAGGCAAAAGCCTAGACTCTTCCACCGGAATTCCTCCATTCCATCATTGGATCCGAACACCCCGAATGGATTGAAATGAACTGATGCTATGAACAGAATCATGCGGGGAGTGGAGGACGTCACCATCGCCTCCCCACACGAACCGAGCAACGACTCCGCAATCAGGCCATACTTGCAGTGAACAAGGCGAACGAGGCGAACACGATGCACATGGGTTGGGGGAGCTGCAGTCCACATATACCTATCACTATATGGCTAACCATTGCTTTCTCGGTCTTCCCAACGCATGGTAAGCCCAGGTACCGTGCACCTTGCGGGAATCGCGGCCCGGGATCGACGTCGATCTAGGCGAGGACCGACTATTCACTTGGGGCTGAAGCCCAGCCGGACTTCGAGTTGATTACATAGAGAGCAGGCGGACTTGCACCTGATCTTCGTGGCTGCACTGGCCTCGCCTGACAAGGTTAGATTGTGCCCGGGTCAGCTGTGGCTCGTCGTAGCCTTGGCGAGATGAGGCAGTGCGTGCTCTGAGCAAGACGATCTGGATCTTTTTTTTTCCTATTCTGGACAGCGCTCACCATTATCAACTTTTTTCTTCCTGTTGCTCCGGATGAAAAAAAAAATGTATGCATCAAGCCCGATGTGGTGCATACTTCTTCCGTTGGGGTCGGAAAGGCCAGGTTGTGTGGGTTACGGAGGTACGGGATCGGCCGCGACGAAATCTTCGGATGGGCAACTCTCTCAGCCGGACCAGAAGGCGATCTCGGCGATTTGGATATCTCGGAATAATCAAGAAAAATGTGATCCATACTTCTAGAGGGAACCCCAAGCGATGCCTACTCTTTTGTTCATCTAGTTGGCACCTCCATGATAACCCCGGTCTGCTCCTCCGCTGAGATGCATCGCGGCGGCATTAACAGCCATCGAGAGACATTGGCAGGGGGTTAAAAGAAGGAAACGAAGAGATTAATCTTCGAAAAAGTGAACAAAGAATCACCCAAACTAAAATTGAATATTGTATCTCGAGTAAACCATCTTAAAAATGAAATAGATTTCTCCCCCCCCGCCGGTGTACACACCTTGAGACTATGTTAAGTTGAAGCATCCAACCCGAGCCAACTTGACCACCAGCTTTGGCTCTCTCCTCCCACCCCTTCTCCCCCTTCAACGGAACCATTTCCCAGTTCCCCCCCAGTTCCCCCTCCCACCTTCTTCCTCTTCATCATCACCATCACAATCATCACCATCCCCCTTTCTCATCCCCCTCCCTTCTTCCTTCATTTACTGCTTTCCTACCCTTTCATCCTGCATCCTCGCCTAGCTCGGCCGCGCATTCTCTGCTTGCTCGGCCACAAAGATCCTCCTTTCTGCATCTTCCCACCACCAAACGAATCCATCATTCCACAAGGTACGATCATCTCATCCTTCTCTATTTATTGCTCTCCCTGTCCTCCTCTTCCTCCCTGCTCCCCGCACCTCTACCTTTATCCAATCTCGCTGACGTCGCGTCCGCGCTAGATCTCCGAACACCCCCCTTGACACCTGTCCATGGGCTCAACCCGCCGTGTTTAACCTCTATCCTACCCAATTCCATCTTGTTCCATTCCCTTTCGACCAGATAACATCTACCGCGCTTGCCCGGCGCTGGGGACGCGGCCATCATGACAGGCGCTCCGCCGTACAACGCCCAGTCCCCGACTCAGCAACCACGCTACCCTGCCTACGAGTCTCCGAGCAAGAATCGCCCATTTTATCCGAACAATGAACAGCCGCAACAATCAGGACAGCAGCAATACTCTTCGCACCCACCCCAGACGCCCCCGGCTTTTCCTCCATCCTCCGTCTCGCGCAGTCCACGCTTTTCGCACGCGTCTTCCCCCATGCCCGGCTCGCTCCCGCCACCCTTGAATGGCGCCGCTCCCCCAGCGCATCCATCGCATCTAGAGCCCTCGGCGCAGTATCAATCCCATTCTGCAGCCGGCGCCCCTTCTTTGCCGCCTCCGCATTCCCTTTCGAATTCGGTACACCCGGGCAATGGCGCTTCGCCGTACGGTCCCTCCACGCCCCGTGGACATCCATCCGGCCGTCCGGATGGTCACTCCCAATCACCGAGTCGCGAGTCGGAATCTCCCTATCGTGTAAGAGGCAACGGAGCAGGGTACGGAGCCTCGATGGCGCAGGAATCCCGACGACCCTCCCCGCCCCGAGAAACGGTACGTCTCGAAATTGCACCATCTCACTTCATCTAACAGCTATCTGACCTGTGCCTCTATCTTAGAAGCCTACGAGAGCATCCGATCCGATGTCCTTTGCTAGCATCCTCTCTGGTCCTTCCGAAGACAAACCCGCACGAAAGCCGTCCCCACAGCCATCCACCCCGGCTCCGGCTGCACAAACACCACACAATGACTCTCGGGCCCGTGAAATCGCTCCCACGCCAGGCACTTTTCTTCACAAGGCTGACAGAACCCCGGTGCAACCGAAGGATACTCGAGGACCTTTTGCTCCCAACGGAATCACCAAGTCTGGGTCCGATCATCCCGAGACCACTCATCGTGCACACCCACGGAAGCCCTTGCCGCCGGGCGTTGATGCTGATCAGGTGAACCGAGCCATGGCTGACATCGAAAATGCCGATAAAAGCGATGTCGAGGGCTCTGGTTTCGATGCGGAGCTTGAGTACTATCGGGAGAAGAGTCTGAAGAGGTCCAATGACAGCGCCCGTGCGGAGCATCTTCGACGCAAGCGCCGCCGCAATGAGTTCTTAATTGACCTTGGTCGATCGTTCGAGAAGCAAGCTATTATCGGAAATGAGCGTTTCCGCGTCGCGAACGAACCAGAAGTTATCGCTGAAGTTCAACAAAAGGAGGTCCAAGACGAGAAGGAGCGCAAAAAGGATATGCAGCGAAAGCGCCGTCGTGAAAACACCGTGCGTCTAGAGATGCAAAAGAAACTCGAGGCCGAGCGCAAGGCAGACAACGCTTCAGATTCGACGGAGAAGGCCAAGTTTCTCCGCGAGGCCGAACGAGCCCAAAAGAAAATCAAGTCTACGAAGCGCGCTCTGGAGGGCGGGAACGCCCAAGACGAACTTGGCGAAGTCACCCCTCTCGCTCCCAACCTCGAAGGCGGCACCACCAGCTCATTCCACGTCGGTCGGTCGTCTCCCTCGAGACGTCGATCTGGACGTGCGGGTGCCAGTTCTCGCCCCAAGAAGTCCAAGGAACAGAAGCAGGCTGAAAAGGATGCTGCCGAAGCTGCTTATCTGGGCGGCTATGATGATGAATCTCTTTACTACACTCCACGCGATTCAAAGAAGGGCGGGCGCTCCAAGGAGGGTACTCCTGTTCCGTTGCACTACGACAGCAAGGGCTACAACCAGATCTATGAACAAATTTGGCGTGACATTGCCCGAAAGGATATCCCCAAGGTCTATCGTATCAAGACAATGTCTTTATCAACTCGCCAGGAGAATTTACGAAAGACCGCACAACTAGCAAGCAAGCAGTCCCGCAAGTGGCAAGAGCGGACGAACAAGAGCACCAAGGATACTCAAGCCCGCGCCAAGCGTACTATGCGTGAGATGATGTCCTTCTGGAAACGCAACGAGCGTGAGGAGCGTGACCTGCGCCGTCTGGCAGAGAAGCAGGAGCTTGAATCTGCCAAGAAGGCTGAAGCTGAGCGAGAGTCCAACCGACAGAAGCGCAAGCTTAATTTCCTTATCTCCCAAACCGAACTGTACTCTCACTTTATTGGACGGAAGATCAAGACCGCGGAGGCGGAAGGAGGAGATGGTGTTGCTGGGTCCGGTGAAACAACCCATCACGGCAAGGAACTTCCCACCGGCGCTGCCGATCCTAGCAAGGTGACCAACTTTGAGGACCTTGACTTTGATGCCGACGATGAGACCGCCCTGCAACAAGCCGCCATGGCCAATGCTCAAAATGCCGTCCAGGAGGCCCAGGACCGCGCTCGTGCGTTCAACAATGAAGAAGGAGATTCTAAAATGGCCCAATTCGATGAGGGTGAATTGAACTTTCAGAACCCTTCCAGTCTTGGTGATATTACGATTTCTCAGCCTACTATGCTGAATGCCCAGCTCAAGGAGTACCAACTCAAGGGTCTCAATTGGCTTGTCAACTTGTATGAACAAGGTATCAACGGAATCTTGGCTGACGAGATGGGTCTGGGTAAGACTATTCAGTCTATCTCCGTCATGGCCTACTTAGCTGAGTTCCACAACATCTGGGGTCCTTTCCTGGTCATTGCGCCGGCATCCACCCTACACAATTGGCAGCAGGAAATCGCCAGGTTTGTGCCTAACATCAAGGTTCTGCCATATTGGGGTAATGCGAAGGACCGAAAAATTCTTCGAAAGTTCTGGGACCGCAAGCATATCACCTACAACCGCGACTCGGAATTCCATGTGCTGGTCACCTCCTACCAACTTGTTGTTCTCGATGCCCAGTACTTCCAGAAAGTCAAGTGGCAGTATATGATTCTTGATGAAGCCCAGGCTATCAAGTCTTCACAGAGTTCTCGATGGAAGAACTTGTTGGGTTTCTCCTGTCGCAACCGTCTCCTGTTGACGGGTACCCCGATTCAAAACAACATGCAGGAGTTGTGGGCTTTACTGCATTTCATCATGCCTACCTTGTTCGATTCCCACGACGAGTTCAGCGAATGGTTCTCCAAAGATATTGAGTCTCACGCTCAAAGTAACACAAAGCTCAATGAGGACCAACTCAAGCGTCTGCACATGATCCTGAAGCCCTTCATGCTTCGTCGTGTTAAGAAGAATGTACAGCAAGAGCTTGGCGACAAGGTTGAGAAGGATATCTTCTGTGACTTGACCTACCGCCAGCGCGCTATCTACGCTAATCTGAGGAATCGTGTCAGCATCATTGATATTATCGAGAAGGCGGCTGTTGGCGACGACAGTGACAGTACTACCTTGATGAATTTGGTCATGCAGTTCCGAAAGGTCTGCAACCACCCAGATCTCTTCGAACGTGCGGAGACCAAGTCACCTTTCTCACTTGCTGCATTTGGAGAGTGCGCATCCTTCGTTCGTGAAGGCTATTTTGTCGATTTGAAGTATTCGACCAGGAACCGCATCGAGTACCATTTACCGCGCCTTCTGTGCGGTCCAGAGGGCCGCGTTGATATGCCCGGGCCTGGTAATGAACGTGCCGGTTTCCGAGGTAAATACTTATACCACCTGATGAACATTTGGACGCCGGAGAACATTCAGCGCAGTTCTCGTGAAAATGGTACTTTCTCATTCTTACGATTTGTGGACACTTCTGCCGGTGAAGCCAGCGAATTAGCTCGCCAGGGACCCTTCGAGCGCGCAACCAGCCGTCATGGTCGACCCAATCGTTTGTCTCGTCTGACCGTCAGCTATGAAAATGATGAGAATGGATCATCGGACAACTCAGTGCTGCCACACTCCATGCTAAATATCGTGGACCGCAACGATAGACAGGCTCTACGCGACATTACGAGCGAGGGTCGTATGCGCAATCTGATGAATGTTTCCCGGACGGCTTACGAGGACCAAGGTCTGAACCTCATCGAACCATCTGCTGTTCCTAAGGCGTCTGCGCCCCCGATCTCGCTTTCCGCTTCAGGTATGCAGGCCCAACGGGAGAGTGAGAAGGCCTTGTTCAATATGGATATCCGAGAAGCGTTGTATGGCAAGACTACTCGGCAGGCGGATGAGCAGGTCCTAGAGAAGCAACTAGACCCTACTCCGTACTCCGACCAGGCAATCCTGCCACCACCCACCTCGGCCAAGGCCCGCTACACCAATATCGAAGTCCCATCCATGCGCCGCTTCGTCACCGATTCTGGAAAGCTTGCCAAACTGGATCAGCTTCTGCGCCAACTCAAGCCTGGCGGTCACCGTGTTCTGCTGTACTTCCAGATGACACGCATGATCGATTTGATGGAAGAGTACCTCACCTTCCGCAACTACAAGTACTGTCGTTTGGACGGAAGCACCAAGCTCGAGGATCGTCGCGACACAGTCGCCGACTTCCAGTCCAACCCCGAGATCTTCGTCTTCCTCTTGTCTACACGTGCCGGTGGTCTGGGTATCAACTTGACAGCCGCCGACACCGTCATCTTCTACGATTCGGACTGGAATCCTACCATCGACTCCCAAGCCATGGACCGAGCCCATCGTCTCGGTCAGACCCGCCAAGTCACCGTATATCGCCTCATCACCCGCGGCACGATCGAAGAGCGTATTCGCAAGCGTGCTCTTCAAAAGGAAGAGGTCCAACGCGTCGTCATCACTGGTGGCGCATCCGGTGGTGTGGACTTCAACACTCGCGCACCCCGCGAGAACCGCACAAAGGACATTGCTATGTGGCTTGCAGACGACGACGAGGCAGAACTTTTGGAAAAGAGAGAGCGTGAGGCCATTGAGCGTGGTGAGCTTCAGAACGCTGCCAAGGGCAACAAAAAGGCCGCTGCGGCGCAGAAGCGGAAGCGTGATCTTACGCTGGAAGATATGTACCATGAAGGTAAGTACAGCGCACATACTGCTCCCATTCTCAGTCCTCTCTCTATTTCTCTTTACTAACTCTTCTCCCAGGTGAGGGTAACTTCGACGATGCCTCAGCCAAACCCTCCGGGACCGCAACCCCCATGTCCGAAACCGTGGATACGCCTGCAGCCGCCGGGTCAGCGACACCAGCGAAACGAGGTCGTGGTCGCGGACCGGGGAAGGGCACGACCAAGCGCGCTAAGACGACTAAGGAGCGTCTCCGATTAATCGACGGGGATGGTGGACTCAGCTAATGGAAATGAGCTCATATGTTTTGTTTCTACTACTATTCAAATGGGCGACGGCGTTAAGTGATTTGATTGGAACTCTTTTTTCTTTTTCTTTCTTCTTTCTGTGTCATACTTTGACGCCTCTTTCTCTCTTTGCCTTTTTTTTATTTTCAACCCTTCCAGACCATAAGTGTTCTGCTGTGTATTACCATACAATGCTGTTATCGTTGACCCCTTTCCTGACTCCCATCCCATCCCAGGAGAAGAAGAAAAGAGAGAAGAAAATGCACCCTGTTGTTCTGATGAAGTTTGCAAATACTCTGCATGATGTTTCATTGCTTGCGGGGAGTAAAGAGATGACAAAAGAAGAGGGGTGATGTGATGTGATGGGGTGCCGTCGCAACGCAATAGATGAGCGGGGGGGCTCCTTTTTTGTTTGTTTTTTACAAAATTTACCTTACACTGATGTATTCGGGAGGGAGCAGTGTCCCTTTTTTATTCAAGGTTTCTTTCAAGTTCTTCAAGTTTCTATCTGTCTACCTATGTTCGAAAACTTTACTCCTGACTGCTGCTAGTATTGCTGTTGATGGGATATCTCATGGGTCACGGTATTTGCAAAATGTGCTTTTTCTCCAAGTTCACCTTTTTCTCTTGTTTGCATGCAAAACTGTTCGATTTATGTTCAATGTAGGTCCACTGGGTACTTTATGCAGCTACCTATCATAATAGATTTGACTGATGTTCTATACTATGCTCTTGTGAACTTAAAAAAGATATCTTTTTCATTGGTAAAAACTTTGGAAGGTAATTGCAATGTTTGAATCTACTTATGAAGTATTTCCTCTTGATTCGTATGGAGCCGCAAATGCCGTGGTTGTCCTGGTACAGATGGCATGGTTGATGATATGATTGAGGATGAGGCGGAGCTTCCAAAATTGGCAGGCACTCTGGTTGGAGGCAACATAAACAACCTAGGCTGAGGAGCAGTGTAAAGCTATTAAACTTGCCGTGCCTGCACGATAGGAGGGTGGTTGACATATGGGTCGGTGATCTGGCTGTTGAGTCGAAAGCCTAGTAGGGGTGATGAGACAAATCACATTCGTCCTTGATTGTCCATGTTCTCATTGCACAGTCTATCCGCAATAGTATTTTGCTCCCTCGGAATCCAGAGATATTGCACGCATCCAACCAGTCTTACTTGGTTATTCAGATACCACGCATGCTCCAGGAGATCTTTATTCGCAACAGGTCGGCGCCCAGTAGTGGTCCAGCCATTATCGATCCACTGGGGAATCCATCGTGTCATACAGTCAACCGCGTATGTTGAATCGGTGTAAATCGTCACATCAAGCCCTGGGCGTCTGACAAGCTCTCCATACAGCTCTAGGGCCCTGTCCAGTGCGAGGATGATGGCCTCCATCTCGGCACGTTGGTTTGTTGGTCGAGGATGTGAGGGTAGCGGCTTCGTCCAGGACTCGTAATGACTGCCTATCACCTTGAAATGGGCGGCAGCGGCTCCAATAGCATGCGGTGTTCCATTACCTCTGCAGCCGCCATCGATGTCTATTTCCATGGTGTAGACCATATTTGCGAGGGCTGCTGGTGTGGAAAAGGCTGTAGATTTTCAGACTGATTCACGGCGTTTGTATCAATTAGCTTTCAAGTTGCGGTCCTTCAACTGCAAATAATTTTCTCAATAAGGAAAGGGCCTTTGTTGCTTACAACGCTGGTTTCTTCCGCGAGTGCTCGGGCGAGGATGTGTATAGGGAAGTAGGAGGAGCCTGGGCTATCCTTCAGCCCTAGGTTGTGGAGCCAGGAACGGCAGTCAGTACAAGGCAAGGATATGATTGGCTTATTGAAGATCGTGTTGCAAGTGTTTCTCTGGAGGAAGTAAAAGAAGGGAAGCGATCTGGTAGACTGTTGATGAATGAGAGAGGCATGAAGCAAACGGAGGGAGCTAACGGGCCAATCAGGATGATACATCAAACCTGGGCTGCAACGGCCTACTGGTAACCTAACACCCAACTTGGATATACAATAAAATAAGTTTGAGTGTACTTTTGTCATCTTGAGAAACTGTCAATTGACTAAAATCATGTAAGAACCTTTTGACTCCTAGTCCAAATAACTTCAATTGACATGGTTGGTTTGGGGGGGATAAGCCATAGTAAGCCAGCGGGCCCTAGAACGCGCATAGGCCGCTCGACTCGGGTATGTCAACCAATGAAAGTACAGAAAGTTCGACCTTTTATGGGGACAGTGTACTCCTTCTTTTGCCACACTCTTCGCGCAACTAAATACTAGTGGGCGAAGCACTACAACTACGTCCTGAAGACATAATCGAGGTGTGCGATTGAGTATTACTAGTACTGCGCTTGCGAGATCCAGTGTCACCGCTTCGTTGGGCCGGAAACCTGAAAATGCATCTCCTTATCCTCGGGGCAACGGGACGAACGGGTCTATACGGGTATAAATATGCTTTGGAACAAGGTATGTTTCTCGCCAGCGAGCTTCAGGGCTGAAATCCAATCCATGGGTCATTGAGGGAGGTTGAATAATACCTAGTACTGATAAATTTCCCCAGGATTCACGGTGACCATCCTCGTCCGCAAAGCCGACGGAATCGAACCCCAGGAGAGACTCACCATCGTCGAGGGTTCCTCTTTGTCAGAGGAAGACATGACGCGCGCATTCAAGGCATCCGGCGTCCCCGTAGACGCAGTTCTCGTCTTCCTCAACGCGCCACGCGTAGGCCAGAATCCCTGGGGAAAGTTCCTCGGTCCGCCGCGTCTTATCGCAGACTCGACTAAGAATGCCGCCCAGGCTCTAAGACGCGCGCAAAATGACGGCCTCGCAGCAAGTGGTGGCAGCAAACCTCGCTTGATTGTGATGAATGCTCTAGGCGTCGGCGAGAGTTATGCTGTTACGCCGTATATTGTTCGGTTCATGATTGCTTTTAGTAATGTTTCTGAGTCTTATAAGGATCATAATGCGGTTAGTGAGGAGATTGAGGAGGTTTGCGGGGAGGATATTGTTTGGACGCTTCCATTGCCTGTGGGATTGAAGGGGGGGTGGGTTGAACCCTATCAAGACGTTTGGGAGTACTGATTCTGGGGCGAGTATGTTTGTTACGCGTGAGAGTTGTGCAAGGTGGATGGTTGATGTGGCAGTGGGCAGGGAGGGGGACAAGTTTGATAATCGGAGGGTTATTGTGTCAAATTAGGGGAGAAGTTTAATCAGCTGGTGAAATTTATTGTATTATTTAAGCCTGGATTGCTGGTTATTGTAGTCTACCTAGGTAACTTAAAATTGTGTATTACTAGTATTTGACAAGTCTTCGTACTTCCGAGTCAGAAGTATACTAATTACCATCATGATGTTATTACCATCCACTAGCAGTGCATGTATACTTCCTAGATATCGAGGCACAATTGCCACAAGTTTGTACTAATAGTACTAGTATGCCCATACTAGCCACTTATCACGGCCGAAGAAAAGGGCTAGAATGGATTCACGAAAGTTCAGACCATCGCAAAATATTACCATGAGGGGGTCCTGCGGGCACATGGGATGCTGGATTACCGAGTAGTAGTTATCACAAGTACTATGTAGTTACTAACCTTGGGAAGCAGTAGCATACTACTACCTATACGAGGTAATTTTCCCCGCACTGAAACTTCGATGATCTTCCAGCTCGTATTCCACACTGCCTCCTCGATACATTTTCGGGCTCACCGACATGGTATTTCGGACAGCGGAAGTTCCCCCGCACGAAAAAAGTGTATCAGCCACCACTCGCGGTTAACACCCAGATTTCCAGCAAATGTCAATTATTAGCCTCGGGCCACCCGGACCGTTCTGATACCGTGAATGCTGACTAAATCCGGGTCAAGCGTGCCGCAGGCCCAAATGGGGAGGATCTTCCGAAGTGCACCACACAATACACGATACCCACTTTCGAGTCTGGCCATTCACACCCCCCCCGTTTGTCATCTGCTGACTCATTTTCAATCCCCGCCCCAGGAATTTCATGAGTCTGATTTCCCTCCTTTTTTACACCGCAACATCCTCTCCCTACAGCCCTCTACACACATCGTTTGGCTTCAATTCGATCATCATCATGGAGGCCATGCTCCAGCAGTCCCGGGCTATGTGTCCCTTCCTCAAGCGCACTGCGCCCGCCGCCCTCCGCACTCTCTCTACGGCTACCCGTCCCAGCACCGGCGGTGGAACTATGTCCAACCTCCAGGTTCTGGCTCGACGCTGCCCGGTTATGAGCAAGGCTCTTGCAGTTCAGAGTGCTCGTCTCAGCAGCACCAAGCGATTCACTTCCTCCGCCGCTGGAGTCCCCGCCGCGAAGCCGTTCCTGGCCCCATCCAACAAGCGTGCATTGCACACCACTGGTGGCCACCCCGCCAGTGCCGCCCCGGGAACCTATAAGAAGAACGAACAGGGTGAGTTTCAGGCGGAATTTTGATTGACATTTGGAATCTATGCTAATTGGCTAGCAGCCCACCCCAACCTCGCCCATCTCCGTCCTACTCCTGCGGCGGATGCCGCGGCCCGCGGTCCTCGCCCCGAGTCCCCGATCACTTCCCGATTCGACTACGATGCATTCTACAATACCGAACTCGAGAAGAAGCACAAGGACAAGTCGTACCGCTACTTCAACAACATCAATCGTCTCGCCAAGGAATTTCCTCGTGCCCACACGGCCTCGGCCGAGGAGCGCGTGACAGTCTGGTGCTCCAACGACTATCTCGGTATGGGTCGAAACACCAAGGTTTTGGAATCTATGCACCACACTCTTGATACTTATGGTGCTGGTGCCGGTGGTACCCGCAATATTTCCGGCCACAACCAGCACGCCGTTCAGCTGGAAGATACTCTGGCCAAGCTGCATGGAAAGGAGTCCTCCTTGGTCTTCAGTTCATGCTACGTTGCCAATGACGCCACTCTCGCAACTCTGGGTAGCAAAATGCCCAATTGTGTGATCCTGTCTGATAGCTTGAACCACGCCTCGATGATTCAAGGTATTCGTCACTCTGGAGCGGCGAAGATGGTCTTCAAGCACAATGATATGGAAGATCTGGAAGCCAAGCTGGCTTCTCTGCCTCTCAATGTTCCCAAGATTATCGCCTTCGAATCTGTGTATAGCATGTGCGGATCGATTGCACCGATTGAGAAGATCTGTGATCTGTCTGACAAGTACGGTGCTATCACCTTCTTGGATGAAGTGCATGCCGTTGGAATGTACGGTCCCCACGGAGCTGGTGTCGCCGAACACCTCGACTACGACGTTTATGCCTCGCAGGACACGGCTTCTCCCAAGAGCACCAAGGGCACTGTCATGGACCGTATCGATATCATCACCGGTACTCTGGGCAAAGCCTACGGATGTGTTGGTGGATACATCGCTGGATCCCACGCTCTGGTCGATACCATCCGCTCCCTGGCACCCGGCTTTATCTTCACCACTTCCCTGCCACCCGCGACCATGGCTGGTGCCGACGCTGCCATTCAGTACCAGTCCGAGCAACCCCGTGACCGTGTCCTGCAGCAGCTCCACACCCGCGCCGTGAAGAACTCCTTGAAGGCTCTCGACATCCCCGTTATCCCGAACCCCTCGCACATCGTGCCTCTGCTGGTCGGTGACGCCGAACTCGCCAAACAAGCCTCGGACAAGCTGCTCGAGGAACACGGCATCTACGTTCAGGCCATCAACTACCCCACCGTGCCCCGCGGCGAGGAGCGTCTGCGTATCACCCCGACCCCAGGCCACGTCAAGCCCCTGCGTGACCACCTTGTTCAAGCCGTTCAAGCTGTCTGGAACGACCTGGGCCTCAAGCGCGCTAGCGATTGGGAGCGCATGGGCGGATTCGTCGGTGTCGGCGTCGAGGGCGCCGAGGCCGCAAACCAGCCCATTTGGGAAGAATCCCAGCTCGGCCTCGCGGCCACCGAGTCCCTCGAGGTCGCCATCTCCCGTGAACTGGGAGCCGAGACCCAGGCCCAGGCCTCTGCCGTGCCTCCTCGCATGAAGACTGGCACCCCCCCTTGGTAACGCGAAGTCGCCCATCGCCTCCTCTCCTGTCGGTGTTGCCGCTTAAGCGGAGAGATGGTGTAATTTAGTTACCACGTCCTAGACCGTGGAGGCTCTCTTATGGTCTCATTTGGGAGGTCCGGGGGAGGTTCTCGGTCAGGGTTGGGTTTGCCTGGGATTCAAGCTGATGCATGCTTTGTCTATATCCTGTCCGTTCCTTTACATTCGATTGGTTGATGTGATGTGCATACTTGCATCTAACCTACATACCATTTGATTCATAATACATGACCGTGATCATGATTGTCATTCCCATGAGGATGACGCCACCCTTTTTTTTTTTCTTCTTTTTTTGTTCCCAGTTTTTTGGGCTCGTCTTTGACTGTTTATTTCATCCGTCATCCTGTCTCGACTTGGCTGTGTGGATAGATAGATTCGAATTGTGTCAATGGATGGGTTTCGGGGGCATTGTTTTACCTTGCCGTAGATGTGTACATGTAAATGTGGACAGATCTGTACCTAGGTAGCCACGAACTTATAACTACCTAGGTGCTACTTCTCTCTCGACAGACTTAGGTGCGCTCCGACAGGTACCTAGGTATTCAGCCTAGGTAGCCAAAACTCTTTTGCCATGAAGTGTCCAGGTGGGTACCAAGATCTAGGTCTATTTCAGCCTCTGACTTATGTTTGATTACAGAGTCTGCCCTTCCAAACCTTGAAAAAGGAAAGGCAAAATAAATCCCTCATAAACCGTCCACTGGAAAGTAAGCTAATTAAACCGAGAATGAGGGGCGGGACTGAAATGTGTGGTGCATGCCTGAGGGATTATGCGCAATATTCACTAAGTAAAACCCCTTGACACTGTGGGACGAGTACTTAACGCGTCAAGCTGCCTTGCACGCGTTTCCCCCCTCCACCACAACATCCACCCTGGCCATTTTTACCACCACTACGACCAAAAATGGCGACTTCATGGCCAGAGCACACTGAGATTGAATCCAATTTCAATGACGTCTCCCAATTGGCCCAAGTATTCGAATTACACTGCGCGAAGATCTACGCCCACGCCGCGAGTCACCCCGATCACCCTGCCTCGGCCGACTACGTGAGACAGCTTGTCTCGCAAGCTTATCGCGCTGTCCACAGCTTGAATATGCAAAATATGGCATCCTCCTGTTTGGATTTGGAAGTTGCGACTGCGACGCTGGATAATAAGGCCAAGGAATACTCTCAAGGCCCAGAACTGCTATCACCCGTCGACGACGCGAAAACTTGCGAGCCAGAGATCGAGACCGACAGCCATACCCAAACAGACGAGAATGAAGTCCGCCTCGGACTACAGGACCTGTTAACGGGAAATTTCGAAGACGAAGACGAAGAGGAAGACTCAGATTGGTCCGACGAGTCTGACTCCGACGAAGACGATGAGTATTACGAATACTGCTCCGGCTCCGAAGCAGAACTCGACCTCGACGAACTAGAAGCAGTCGCACGGACATCGACGTTCCAAAACGCGCAAAATGCCCTCCAATCCGAGCTTGAGGAGAAAAAGAACGCAATAATCGAAGAAAGGGTCCTCGAAGCGAACGATATAATCGCAAACCAGCAACAGGAACCTGTGTCCACAACCACAACCACAACCATGCCAATGTCATCGCCCTTTCCCGCAAACGAACCAGAGACACCCTCCCCACCCCCCGTCTCAATCATCCAAGACCAAGCCATGCACGACCGCATCACCGCCGCCCTCAGAACTATCCCTCTCCCCTGCCACGAATCAGAATTAGAAGAGATCCCCCTCCAGCTCGCGCGTATAGAAACACAAACGATTCCACTCTCGCGCATGGAAACACACACAGTCCCTCTCGCACGCGTACAAACGCACCGTCCAGCAACAACCAGCACCGTCTCCCCAACAGAGACTGATACAAGTGAAGCCACCGCCGTTCAGACGGAGGGCTCGAGTCCAGAGACACGATGCACGACGTCGGTGACGGCACCGCCGGCTGTGACGGTTGTGGGGGCGGGAGGTATGGCGCGGAAACCTAGTTTTGATGCGTCGCGTTTGCATAGGAAGTTGTCTATGCGGTCGTCTTCTGCGGGAGGGTTGCCAAGGAGGCTCAAGACTGTTTGTTATAAGTATGTTCGGAGGGCTATGGTTCCTATTCGGGGAGAGTCGTCGAGTTCGAATTGAGGTTGTTACTGGGGCGTTATTGTTTGATTATCTTTTTTGATTGTGATATCCATTAGAGAGGTTGTTTTTGATATACCCGGGCATTTGTCTTTCTGATCTTTCGATTTACTCCATCAATATACTGGGATTCTAATAAACGATTTGCTGCTGTGCCAGAGATATCCTGCCATATACTACCGAATTTCAATATACCAACTGATCCATCTTCTACCTAGGTAAGTCAAATCCGGGTAGTAACTTAACTTGAATGGTAGAACAAGAATTGGTTTAACCACCTGCGACCCTCCCTACCTAGGAATTGGACCAGTCACAATAACACGATCGAGACGCGTTTGCCTCGGGCATCAAATTTTAATGCGACACCTTCAAGTTTCAAAAAGGGGAGATGGCTTGTTTGCTTTTTCTCCAGGGCATCCACCACTTCCAAGGTTTCGTGTTTTGGTCGCTCCAATTCTGTAGCTTCAATCAGCAGTCAGTCGCCACTCCCTTATTTTCCTCAATACATCTGTGCCCTCCACACCCCGGCAGCCACTGATATGCCTGGCAAAACGATTGATCTTGACCTTCATAAAGATGAAATTATTTCTCTTTACGAGAATGGCTCAACAAGACGGCAGATAAGCAAGATTTTACGGGAAAAGGAAGGTCTCCCAGTATCAATGTGGACACTTACCCGGCGCCTGCAATAGTGGGAAATCCGACTGGTAGCCAAATCGTCTACCCATGCTATTTTGCTTCACGAGAAGGTTAAGACCTATATTATGAATGGCCTATCTCCGGCAGAGATCGAGCGGAGATTAAAGTCGGAGCACAAGCTATCAAAACGGACATTGCAACGTCTCCGACATCAGGCAAAATTGATGTGGCTCGATGGCGACACTCATCCGCCTCCGTCTGAAACCCAACCTTCATTAGAAACCGAGACTGATCAACCAGTCCAACCCAAGTAAGCACTCAGCCTGCTGTAACTATATACCTACATACTAGACAATACACTCTGATCAATTCTTTTCGGCCGGGTCGGGAAAAAGGAGAAAATACACTATGGTTGGATAAACTGCCCTAATACCGGCGGGTTCTTTTCAAAAGCTTCTCTGAGGCGCCGCATTAAATCAACGCATATTTCGCCCGGCGAGTATCCATGCGCCCATCCTTCTTGCAATAAAAGTTTTAATACGAATGGCCGGGCTTCAGCGCATTTCATACTTGCCCATGACGTCCCTGTATCTACATGATTGGTTGAATCTGTCGGGGTTGGGATGTGACAAAAAAGGGCCTATTTACTTTTAATTTTTCGGATTTATTCACAATAGAGTGCAATACTTAAAGCAAATTATGAATCGTACGTACCAGAAAATATTTGATTCCTCCTGGCGAAGAAGAACTCTGGTGCTCAAGCGAAACTATGTATTTGCAGAAATTAGCACTGCTTTATCTGAGATATTGCAATGACAACATAAGATCTTGGGCTTGTCTCCAGTCGGAGAATGATCTCCTATGGCCAGTGCGAATTTCCCAGGCTATACTTCGCACAGATCCCATGGATTATGACGCCTCTGCCGAGACTCGGTTGAACCGATTTGGGCATGCCGAGATATCGCCAAGATATGGCAATTGGCTCAAAGAGCACATCACCCAGCGCCATAATGCTTATAAATGTTAAGCAGTAGGAAAAATGTCTTTTATGCCCCAGGAAATATCCTGCCTGGGAAATCCATCGGTCATCTTCGTTTGACAACTCGTTGCAAAAGTATAGATCTTAACCCTGGCTTATAGGTGACCGCGAATAAGCTCGCAGGACTCGAACCAGTCTCAAGTAGAACCATGGTAGAATAAATAGCGTGCGTGGTGTGATTTGTGATTTTCAAATCAAAGAAAACTAAAAGGCTGCGCGCTTTCTCGAACAGTTCTATTGGTCTGATAAAGCAGATCATTTGAAGTATGACAACATTGTACTTACGGCCATCGTGTAGCCCCCATCTCAAGTTCCAGTCACAGCCGGTTATGTATAAATAAATTGGTGATTTTAAAGGTCTTCTATGCACCTTGAACGCCCAAGACAACTTGGGGGTGGGGAAGATGGATTGATTGACGCGGATATGACGTCGTAGTAGTCGTGCTGCGGACTACCCCGGACAGCCCCACGACCGCGGAGGCGGAACTATAACAGGTTTTGCCGCTCTCCATCAGTCATTGCCCAGGCCTGCCCATTCATGTTACAAGTTACTGTTGCTTGTGGATACTGTTCCTGCCTCCACGGATGAATCTCACAATATCCTCGGATCTATGAAGCCACCCATGGCCGACGGATACTACCGATCGTAACCTGTTCTAGCTTTCCCGACTGATTTCAGGGTGCGAAAGCTGCATACGCATTAATCCATGTGCCCCGGTTCCACCTTGTTATCTTCGAGCTGCATAAATATAAATTATTTCCTCATGGCTGCCACGCACATGTCTATAATTTTGATTCTCCCAGGGACAGCCACGGAACCCACTTTTCCCCATTCCCCCACACCCAAATTCTTACTTTGACATAATTGTTCCCATCATCTTATAAGAAATCGATCCATATAATCTCTCGTGTCACATGGCTTACTCAGACGATCTCCCGCTCTCCGAGAAGCGGGAGGAGGGCCTTCAGCCAAAAATAGACCAACCAGACACAACACAACAAGCTTCGAAGAAAGTCTCACGCGGAGATGATACCCACGCCGAAAATGCCTCCCAATCCGACAAGAGCAGCCAGCAAGGTAGCCCAAGGATCGAGAAAGCCGGCAAGCGCGAGCTCACAGAAGACGAATGCTACGATAAACTCGGCTTCTGCTTCCCCACCTACAAGAAATGGGTTATCATCTCGGTGATCTTCGTCGTGCAGATGTCCATGAACTTCAACACAGGTGTCTACGCCAGTGCCGTGACTGGCTTGACGGAGGAATTCCACATAAGTGAACAAGCTGCCCGAGTCGGACAATGTGTTTTCCTCGTCGCGTATGCGTTCGGTTGTGAGCTTTGGGCGCCCTGGTCGGAGGAGTTCGGCCGGTGGCCCATCATGCAGCTCTCATTGTTTCTGGTGAATATCTGGCAGATTCCATGCGCATTGGCGCCTAACTTTGGCACTATCGTTGTTTGCCGTATTCTAGGTGGTTTGAGCTCGGCTGGTGGCTCTGTCACTTTGGGTATGACGGCTGACATGTGGGAACCTGATAACCAGGGCTACGCAGTGGCATATGTGGTGCTGTCTTCGGTGGGAGGATCGACTATTGGACCGTTCTTTGGTGGTATCATTGGTCAATATCTCTCATGGCACTGGGTTTTCTGGGTCCAGTTAATCTTCGGTGGAGTCACACAAGCCATGCATTTCTTCTTGGTTCCTGAGACTCGTGCTACACTTTTGGTCGATAAGGAAGCTAAGCGTCGCCGGGAGGCTGGCGAGGAAGAGGTCTATGGCCCTAATGAGCTTAAGAAGCCTCGATTGGAACTCCGCGAGGTTCTGACTATCTGGCGTCGACCTTTCGAGATGTTCTTACTTGAGCCTATTGTGCTGTTCCTGTCCTTGCTCTCCGGTTTCTCCGACGCTCTGATCTTTGTTTTCACCGAATCATTCACTCTGGTTTTTGAACAGTGGAACATGTCCACTTTGGCCATCGGGATGACCTTCGGTTCGATTTTGATCGGTTACATCCTCGCTTATTTCATCTTCTTGCCCGACATTTATCGTCAAATAAAATTACGCGCAAAGGAAGGTGCCGCTAGTCGCTACGCCGAGCGACGTCTCCTTTTACTTCTCTTCCTTGCCCCCCTGGAGCCTATCGGTCTGCTCGGTTTCGCATGGACCTCGATGGGTCCTCCAATCCCCTGGATCGCACCTCTCATCTTCTCTTGCATGATCGCCATGGCCAACTATGCGATCTATATGGCCACGATTGACTACATGGTCGCGGCCTACGGTCCTTATTCTGCTTCTGCAACTGGAGGTAACGGATTCGCTCGTGATTTCCTCGCTGGTATCGCGACCATGTACGCGACGCCGATGTACACCAATATTGGCCAGAAATACCACCTCCAGTGGGCGAGTACGATTCTAGGATGTATCGGCTTCTTGGTCTTGATTCCTATCTATGTGTTCTATTGGAAGGGCCCCGAGATTCGGAAGAAGAGCAAGTTTGCGCAGCAGCTTGCTGCGGACCGGGAAATACATACTGAGCGGAGGAGAAGCCAGTTTGCATCTATGGATGCCTCCTAGACTTCTCTATAATGTTGATTATTCCATGATATGATTATCAATAAGAATATCTTTCTCATCTGCTCAGCTGCTTTTGTGAATGGGCTTGACGTAGCATTAATAAACAGCTAATCTTCTTACATTGTATGTCGTCTGACACTTTGTAATCCTGACGCCCTCAGGCCAAGGATGTACCCCGCAGTCCGTGCCCAAGAACTTGAATATCCCCAAGCTCGGAGTCGATCCCCGATTGAGTGCAGCCTTCATCTCGTTCGTCGATTTCGTTGGACAGTCTTCTGTAAAGCTCCTAACCACCGAGCCCCAATGCAAGCGAGCTCTCAAAACAAGAACCGTCGGATCATTCGGATCCCTGTCTTTGACATTGTCGGCCTAGCCCCATGCTCAATACCAATAATTGACCAGTTCTCAAGACGTATGGAGTAGTATTCCCCACATTACAGTACTAGCGTGAGTTTGTTCGCCCTGTTTGGCTCTGTTCTGCGTCGGTGCCTGTTGTTGCCATTACGATGGACTCGACTGGGTGGACCCGAAGCGAGCTGATCGTGCCTGAACTCCCTCCCCGCCCGGCTTTAATATAAGACCCGACGTTGGAGGGCGAGTGAGAGGTTCATTTCTTGTTTTTCAGCTTCTGTACATTTTCCTCTGGTAAGATGGTTGCTAGTTTGCCGTTACTGTCGCTGGTTTCAGCTTGTTTGGCCTCTTCGTTGCCGGTGGTTGACTTGGGCTATGAGCGTCACCAGGCTATTTCGTTCAATGTAAGATTGCATTTTCTTTGTTTCCTTTTGTTTATCTGACTGGGGCTCCAGAGCTCCCACGGCCTCTATAATTTCAGCAACATTCGCTACGCCGCTCCTCCCACTGGCGACCTGAGATTCCGGGGACCAGTGCTCCCAACGCAGAACCGAGATCAAATCCAGAATGGATCTATTGGCAGAGTCTGTCCCCAAGCACTGCCAATTTGGGAGACTGTCGAGCAAACTTTCCTGTTAAGTTACTTGTACAACAAGACTTTCACTCTCTCTACCAACGTCTCATCTTATTCGTACAAACCAGCCGCTCAAGACCCACGTACCACCGAGGATTGCCTTTTCCTCGACGTGGTCGTTCCAAAGAAAGTCTTTGATCGCACGAAGAAGAAGGAAGCTTCGCATTTGAGAAAAGACTTGGCGCCCGTGTTGGTATGGATCTATGGTGGGGGATATGTGGCGGGTGAAAAGAGTAGCTCGGATCCTACTGGGCTGATCCAGCGGAGCATGCTTTCAGGTGACGGAATCGTATACGTTGCCTTGAACTACCGGGTTAGTTGAACAATGTTTTCTCGCTGTTGTCCAAAGCTTACATATTCTAGCTGGGCGCATTTGGCTGGCTTGGTGGTGACAGTATCACATCCAATGGTACTGCCAATGCGGCACTTCACGATCAGCGCTTCGCCCTGGACTGGGTCTACAAGAACATTCACCTATTCGGTGGCGATGCGACCCGAGTCACAGTCATGGGAGAATCAGCTGGAGGTGGATCCATACTTCACCAGATCACAGCATACGGAGGCACCCGAGGGCCATCCCCATTCAGACAGGCCATCTTGCAGAGCCCCGGCTGGGTACCAGTCATTGGCGAGGAGCAGCAAGAGAGTACGCTTCAGCAGTTCCTAGGAATCTTGAATGTCAGCACGATCGAAGAAGCCCGCAAGCTACCGTCAGCTAGGTTGATTGACGCCAATGCTTACCAAGTATCAACCAAGTCCGAGTGGGGGCAGTTCACATACGGCCCTACTGTAGACGGAACTTTTGTTCCTGCTTTGCCAGGCCAGCTCTTGCTCAGCGGCGACTTTGACCACAATCTAAACATCATGGTTGGTCACAACGCTGATGAAGGGCTTATATTCACCTCGCCAGATAGCCTGAACAGTAGCGGCCTAATGTCTCAGTTTGCGAGCCTATCGCCGAACACGCCAAAGAACGTATCGGAATTCATCACGGACGTTCTCTACCCGGCGGTTTATAACGGCTCTTACGGGTATACCGACTCGGTGCAGCGCACTGCACTGGCTATCTCCGATCTCATTTTCCAATGTAACACCGACTACATCAACCGGGCATTCTTGAATCAGACGTACTCGTACGAGTTCAGTATCCCGCCCGCACTACATGGCCAGGATGTTTCGTACACCTTCTTCAATAATGGATCGTCTAGTGCCTCTTCTGGGGGTTCCTCTTTGTCCTCAATCGCTAATGCGACAGTGGCGTTGGCCATGCAGGACTTTTTCACGAGCTTTGTTCAGCATGGCGTGCCCAAGTCCAAATTAGCGCCAGCGTTCAAGATGCATGGCAAGCAGGGTCTGCTTATGAATATTGATACGGATATCATCCATGAGGTGCAGGACCCGACTAACAACGCGCGCTGTCGGTTCTGGCAATCTGCGCCCTATTATGTCCCGTCATGAGGCGTGTTTGTGATGTGGTTCGGGCCCTGTTGTACATAGCCTATCATTCCAAGGTTAATTTAATCTACAAGCGACCTGCGCTGCGCGAAGCATCATATTAAATGCATTATACTGCCACTATCTCAACAAATTCAATGCACTTTGGATTGAACGTAAGATGTAGTATTCCAACGTTTAAATTAAAATGGGTGGATGATGGAGACGGACTGGGAGAAATTCACTCCTTGGTGGTTACGTCGTGCTACGGCTTGAGAATCCCATGCTACTAGGTATCTCCACTTCTTTCACATGAAACTCAGACCATGATTCGGTTACCCGCCACAGCTAGGAGGATTACGTGGGGGCTAATGGGGCGAACAGCTCTAGTCACCGCAGGTGACAAATAAATTCTTTGGGGGCTAAAATCTATACCTTTCAAGGGAAAGCTCAGCGCTAAAATATATTCAATTATCTGAAAATATATAAGAAAGACTCTGCACCTACGTGCCAGTATCAGGGAGACATAACCTGCGGCCTGAATATTGATATTGGTAGAAATATCCCTCAAAGGCAAATTTCGGAAGGACTATATGATCAAACCAACGGCAATCTACTGTACACCTAAAAGTTGGCAGAATGCATTGAAGAAAATCTCATAGTGGAGCCCGTAAGCAGGGGACACGGGAGGGGCGTCGGCAATGGGGAGCTTGTTCTCGAAATCAATTCGGCGATCAGTGTAGAAGGAAAGCTTTCTGCGTGGGATCTACACCCCCAGGATTAGCCCCGGCTTTCGCAAGAGAATCTGATTCGATTGCTCGGTGGTCCTTGCTAAATTTGGTTAAGTCCCATGCTGTCAAAATATCACAGCTGACCTGTTGTATGTCATCGTGGGGATGTATTTGTGATGAGTGGTAGGTCCCTATCTCTGATCTACATTGCTGACTCTTTTGTATGTATTACGACTCGTCGGCTCGCGTGTCATTCCTAATCTGAAAAAAATTATTCAAGGTTGGAATCCTGAGGGATATTTTACTGGTGTTGATCAGCGTTGATATTTAAAAAATAACCGGCTTTTTGCCAACATTTCGTTTCAGAGGACATTGTCTATTATCAAGTTAACGATGTTTAACAGAGTGGCTAGATTTTGGTGAAGAAATTTCTGTTTAGCAAGAGAAAATATTAATCTATAATGATATTGCCCTCAGTTATAGGCAGAGGACCACTGTTTTGATAAACTTAGTAAAGCTACACATTATTGGTATTATGTCTTGGTAAGATGATTTCACTACCTGGGCAACAATTCTAGTCCGAGATCTTACTATTCCACATAGAGAAGATGATATCAGTATATTGACAGAGCCCGCCAAGGTTGGCCGTCAATTTGCCTGGCTAACTTGGTGCTAAGTGTAAGACCTAGCAGTCCCACAGATGATCCATGCTCGTGATGAGCATCACTTCCTCTTGGGATACTCACAAGTTATTGTAAGACTGTCATGAGGCTTGAAAGGGTATAAATAGGGTCAGTTCTACCGCAGAATGAAAGAATCAACTCAACTCGGAATTCAAAAATTCACTAGAGAATCTTGTTCATACCAACCAACTCTATATTCACTATGAAGCTCCTTATTCTTCTCCCCTTTTTCCTCGCCGCCACTTTGGCCAACGAGAATACCGACTGCAAGTCCTGCTTTCCAGCAACAAGTTCCGACTGTGTCGATGCATCAGGCCAAATTCCAACCGACGGATCAACTCTGGATGACAACTCCAACACTCTTTGGACATCTGGCTCTTGCACCATCGAGTTCATTCCCAACGGTGGAAGCCCTGATGGAAACGATGTGCTGGGCGTTGCTCAGTCTTTCCTTAGCGACTGCTGTTCTGGTGATAGCTGCTCCGGTGTTGCCTATGATACCGGCTCCAGCACCGCCCTCCAAAACGGATGCCTTTGCTTTCATGAAGAGGGCAAGACCCCTTGCATCTGCGGTGCTGGCACTCCCTCTATGACTTGCATCTAAGTTCTTGGAGATAACTTGAAACTTCACGATTGGTGAGTTTTGAGCAATTGTCTAACGATATTCTTCACTCCTAACTGACCATCCTGTTAGCAACGTGAAATATGGCCTGTGGCTGCTATACCTAGGTATCCTAGGTAGTGACCTTGGGAGTGCCAGTGGAAGTGGGAAGTGTGTCTGCTGTTATGATGTTCAAGTTCCAAGGTTATCGATCGGATAATAGTAAATAGGAAGATTGCTTCACTCATTTATATCACCTATTTATAAAAAAGAATAGAAAGGAGAGCCATGAAATTAGTACTACCTAGGTAATACGCATGATGCTACAACTAAAGGATATTACCTACCTAGGTATCGTATTACCCCAACGGGGCTTACTGTGATTGTCCCCATCTGGGCAGGCATCTCGTGAAACCTCACTCTTTTCCAACCAAGTCTCCATTTGATACCAGTGACTAAGGTACCTAGGTGGTTGTGGTGATCATCACGGTGTCCTCAGTCGATAACGCAACTTAGTGCAGGTGGTAAATTGTTAAGGTACTACCCTACTAGTGCCCTTTGTACCTAGGTATGCAACAATATTTGATTCATATAGAGACATTTGAAGAAGCTCAAGAAAGTCTAAACGCCGGATATATCACAAGGCATGAAAATTTTGGCCATCGGACATTAAACAAATGTCGAGAGCTAACCGCTACAGAACAGACCAACCAAAGATTTTACATCTATTTCCTGCCACCACCGCGGCTAACCTTGGGGAACTCGAGCGGAATCTTGAGGCGAGCAACACGGCGCGCATGAGCCTCCGCACGACCACCCTTAATATTCCACTTCTTGAACTCGGTCTCACGAGGCCGGTCAATACGGCAGCCCAATTCACGGAAGTACTGCTGAATAGTGTTCGAGTCGAGGCGCAGATCATCACGGAGATCGGCGGGGTCGGTAGCGAGCTCGTTGGGCGAATTACCACCCAGAGAGCTGGATCCACCGTCTTGGGCGGGTTGGGGAGGAATGTGCAGTGACAAGGCGCAGACTGTGGTGTGGAGGAGAGTCAAGTCGTGCTTGCTCATGAAACCGCCGTTGGGAGCGAAGCGGCGGCGAACATTGTCGACAACAGAGTCCGGCAGGAGCTCTGAGGATGATTCCTCTTCTTCGCTGCCGGGCTTGGCGCCGGATGTGTTGGAGAGGATCTTGCGCAGCTCGTCGCGCGGTGGGAGACGCTTGCTGTTCGGGCCGGGACCCTTGTTTCCAGCGCCCTTGAGGGAGCGGGCGAACTCGAGGAGCAGCTGGATGAATCGGAGGACTTGCAGGTGTGTGGAGTTGTCGGATTGTCCAACGGCGGTTACACGGTTCGACACATATCGTGAGACTGTAGTGACGGCAACACCGGCATCCACCTGTTGCTTCCATTCGTCGACACCGGTCAACAGACGCAGAGTAGAGTGGCCGCCGGGGACCAGGGTCTCGATGGTGTAAACATCCGATGGGTGGGCAGCGGTAAGGTCGGGAGTAGGCAAGGGCTTGGCTGCTTGCACAGCGGCTTGCACGTCGATTGCCTTTGCTGCGCCGGTGGTTGCATCAGCGGGCAAAGAGGAAATGAGAGCGGCGCCAGCTTCGGTGACGGTGCCTGCTGGAGCACTTGAAAGTTGGGCGTTCTCTGCCATGGACTGGACGGCCTTGCGGGATTGCTTGGTACCGAATGTGTTGGTAAGGGCAGTACGTTGGGCGCGCATTGTGTTCTATATTTGACGTTAGCTCCGCGGATCCTAGAAAGTAAACCAGCACCTAAACACTTACGAGCTCTTCCTCAGAGTCCTCGTCCTCTTCGACAGCCTTGTGAGAGCGTACAGAGCCGCGGAGAGTCACTCGGCGGGCCTCCACAATCTGCCAGGTCTTACGCTCGGGGTCCACGACCGCAACGTAGTGCTTCAACTGAGAGTCAGCATCTTCATCGTGCCCTTCGCGGCCAACAAAATCCATCTTTTCATGCTGGGAGGATTGAAGTAGAATTTCTGACGAGACAATGCCGGGGTTGCGGAGAGATGCGGAGGACTTGGAGACATTGTCACGGGCTTTGATATATGGGTTCCAGCGGAGGGATTTGGCACTCTGAACGCCGGGAGTGGTAGCTGAAAACAATTTCACATTAGTACAATCCAGCTCGAGTGTTTGAATTGCCATTCCACTCACCAATAACTGGCGCTAGCTCGCTCTTATCCTCGACCAGGCTAGCTTTCAGCGGTGGAAGAGCCTGCAGACCCAGTGCAGCCTTTTTGATGGGACGTTCATGGCGGTCAGAGGCGCGCTTGCGCTTCTTTTCTGTTTTGTCGGACGGCATGCTGGAAATACCGCAAGAAATATCTCTAAAGATCTTCAATGAAGCTGTGCAATTGAATGTCAAAAAGGTGTCGGCAGAAAAATTTCCTAGCGCCGATTGTCCGGCAGGCGGTGAATGACCCACACAGAACGGTCGCACAAGTGGGAATTCAGTGACAACAAAATGGAGATATTATCAGAAACGCAATATTGAAGCAAGCCATTGATTGATACCCAAGGATGCTCGTTGCCTAGGGATGTTTGATACAGGGAGTCAATTTACGGATTTACGATTTACGATATGAAGAAGTAGTAGTGCTCGTAAAGTCATCGATTGTCAAGCATAGCTATCGAAACCAAAAACCTCCGAGCTTGGTTCAGTTTTGGTTTTGTTGTGACGGAGTGAAACTCTCGGTAATAACCTCTCCATGGCACCGACCAAATGGAACAAGTTCCCAAAGGAAGGTTTGGATAAGCAGTTGACCAGTCACCCCAAGTGCCGAGCTCAAGACCAGTCTTTTAAGGCTGGTCTTTCAACCCTCAACCAAACACACGAGCCTCCCCGAGATAACCTAACACAGCAGCAGATCGACCGACGTTGGAGTTGAATCCGAAGGGATTGAAATGTAATAGAACGGAATTGTTTGAACGGCGGATTCCGTCGGTAGATGCTGTGATTTCGTCTGTAGATGGCGGCGGAAAACATGTCCGAGTAGGCAAATTGAGAGGCGAGAAACGATAAACGAGGAAGAAGTCGTATCAATTCATGGTGTCGTGTTCAGCGTTCAAACGTGGGCCTCGACATGAGGAGCTGAGATGGGAGGGGCGAGTAGTTTATTTGCTGTGGCGGTTGTTAGTGACGTAATTGAAATGTAGACAGCCGGAAATGTCCCCCGACATGCTGAGCGGGATAACTCACGATCTCGCGCGCATCTTTCTGCGCTTGCGCTTGAGACGACGAACGCGCTTCTTTCTCCACTTAGCTCTCATCTTCGTAGATCTAGAGGAATGAGGTTAGCAAAGAATGTCCATATCGAACGAGGATCCTGTTTCCGAGGAATGATCCAAGAATTGGAGCTTAGGGTGGCGACTCACTTCTGCGAGGATGAGGAGAGATAGTGGAAGGAAAGATGAAAGTGCAGCGGCCTGCGCATTTGAAGTGGGCGGCGGATTCGCTAAGCGAGTGGCACTAACCGCTTTGGGCAGCCATGATGTATGGGGGCACGTGACGGAATGGCATCGAAACTAGGGTTCGCCGACAGCCACAGTAATAAAAGGATTCGATTTAAAAGAAATAAACGAGTGAAAAAAAATCAAAATTGTGGATTCATCTCAATTGATAATATTATATATGTGCGTATTTTTCTGCGATTAGATAGCTGAAGCTCTATCCCGAGCCCTAGTATGTTCATAGCTTGCATCAATTAAGCTCTGCATTAAGTCATCGACAACCTCTGTCCCCAAATCGGGAAGCTCATTCCCTTGGAACCATTCCCATTGGTACAAAGCTCCTTCCATCCGACCTTTGCTTTAATAGGTGTACCGATAGTTCGGTGCCAAATCACCCATCAGCTCTTCCTCCGACTCCGAAGTGGCATTTGGGTCCATGCTCGCTGCAATGGCATCCTTCTTGCGGTTCTCAAACACAAGTGCCACATAGTATATAGAGCAGGCAATGATTGCCAAGCCGCAGAATGCCACACAGACACTGTAGCCGGTTGTAAAAGTCCCCTTGTCTGTGTCAAATGCAAATGTCGAGATAATACCGCCAATGTTGCCAAATCCCACCTGCCAAGCTGTACCGACACTTCGACGGTGATGGCCACCCAGGTTCATAGCAAACCAGCAAACGATAACCGGCATCGCACTATAGGCACCGCAAGTCACCAAGAACAGAGCACCGTACTCCACATGAAACTTGTCGTGAATTCCTAGGAGCATGGCGAACCCGGTAATTGCGATTGCAATTGGAATCAGCGCAAACACAAAACGGTGGCGCAAGCGATCAGAGAAGAAGGCGACAACCATAGAGAAGCCAAACGCAGCGGCCCATGGCGGAATCGAATAGAGCTGGGTTTTGACGGCTAGAGAGAAAATGTCAGTAGGGTATCAGAGGAATGGGCAGGGTTCTGCATACGATCATAGCCAAAAGACTGGATAATAGTTGGGGCAAAGTAAGCATAGCCTAGGACAAGTTAGAACAATTATACATTATACAGCTGGGCACCTTGAGCGGACACGGGCAACTAACCGTATGCCGGAACGATGAGGCCGAAATACATGAAGCCACCGATGATAACTTTCCCTGTAAAAGTGTCAGCGTCTGCACAAATGGCTTTTAAGACTCCGATGATCGACTTACAGTCCTTGAAGACCTCTAACACTTGTCGTGCTCCTATCTTTGTTTGATGGGCAGACTTTCCAACATCCCTCGCCAGCTTTGCGCGCACAAAGGCACGCTCCTCGTCAGTCAACCACTTGACTTCCTCTGGGAAATCAGATATAAAGAAGAAAAGGATTATCGCAACGACGGATGTAATCAGACCCTCGAGAATGAAGACCCAGCGCCAGCCCATATATCCACGGACTCCGCTCATCTGAGAGATACCATAGGCGAGCAGACCACCGAAAGCGCCTGCCAGGGTTGTGGAACTGAAGAAGAAACTGAAACGCTTTTGAGCTTCGGTTCGGGTATACCACATTCCTAGCAAGTAGAAGCCTATAAGGTCGATTAGCCTTCGCGCCTTTGCCCCTTATTTGGCGCATCTTGCAAACTTACAACCAGGAAACATGCCAGCTTCAAACAGGCCCAGGAAAAATCGAGTGGTCATTAATCCACCCCAGTTCGAGACGAATCCCTGGCAAATCATGACCACGCCAAACATGAACATACAAAATGTCACTAAAAAGAATCGAGTCAGCTCGCTATTCCCCGAGGGTCCCATTTCCAGTTCGGGAAAACAAATCGATAAGACATACGCCAGACATGAGGGCTGAACTTCTTGAGCAAGATGTTCGACGGGATTTCGCAAATAATATAAGGCACGAAAAAAATCGTCAACGCGATGTTGTACTTGTTGCCAGTCGCAATGTCCAATTCAGTCTTCAGTCCCAGAATTGCCGCGTTACTAATGTTCACTCTATTCAAAGCCGCCGAAAAAGGGTTAGTATCCGATATGAATGGTAAACCTTATTCCACCAATGCGCGCGATTAACCTACCGATCAAGAAAGGCGAGCAAATAAAGGATACACAGGCACGGCAAAACATGCCAATCGATCTTGGCCATGAGCTTGCGCTCGGTGGTGTGGACGAGAGGAGGCAGGTCATGGTCGGGGTTATAGTTCTCTTGGCTTAGAGCCGGACTGTGGTCATCGCTCTCTGCTTTGACGTCTACTAAAAAGAAACCAGAGCTGTCAGTAAATCCCCGCAAAGCCAATAAATTGAGATCCGTGCGCATGAAGAATGCGCGCGTGGGGAAATGCGATTGCCAGCTTACCTGGAAATCCCATGATTGGTTGCGACCGCCCTTATATGTGCGTAGGAATTGTAGCCTTGCTATGAAGGGGGAAAACGTTTGCGAAGGGAGGGGAGGCGCGCAAAAGGTAGGAAAGGAAAAGCAGAAGAATAACTCGGTCTTTCGGATCTTCGGGTGCTGATCACTGCAGAATGCAGGGATGCGATGCGCAGTGCAAAAACCAATGTATCGCGAAGTTTAGGCAGCACCAGCACACACGAACAAAGAGAGAGAAGAGGGGTATGAGAGAAAAAAGAGGAGAAAGAGCAGAGCCAAGAGAATATGGGGAAAACTCGAGGCCTTTTGACTCACGACTCTCTCGAGCCGCGGAAGTTCTCCATTGCGACTCTACAATAGCCGACCCACTCGGGGAATCCGCTTGGGGCCCGATCTCGGCCTCTAGTGCGAACAGATCTCTCAGCTTGTCCTGGCTGACAGTTTTAATGGCCACCGCTTCGTTGCATTAGTGATCACATCAGATGTATAATGGACCCTGTCCAACTCATCTACATCTGCATGTTGACTCGAAGCTTACCTTATTCGATGCCGAGTTCCGGCCCTAAGCCGCTTTGATGATCGTCACGGGCTCTGTTTCTTCCCCGCAAATGGGCTCCGCCAAGCCTAAAAAATAGGGGGGAAGTTGTCCGGTCCTCCGGCTGCAATTACTAACTCATGCTCCAGTAGTTATTTGTTTGGTCCACGCATAACTAATCAACCCCGCATAAAACATTTGAAAGGGCAAAGACTGCATAAGATAACTACCCTGTGCAACAACACATTGTCATCAGAATGCTTTAATTTGCCCGACTAATCTCTACGGAGCTTATTATCTGACGATCCTTGTCGCCTAATGCGTGTAGAGCCAACCTTGGTTCCTCTTTAGATCCACTGATATGGGACCTACCACATGTGCCGTTCCCTCACACACAGTATGCTTTTGGACAGCGCATGCGACTGGTAGTTCTGATATTGACCTAATTTTTCGATAGTGGAGCTTTCAGCTCGTTTAATTGATCGCAGATCCGCCATGACGACCCATGCTCTGTCGTGCTATGAAATGCAACGGTAAAAGGATCATTAGAATTATTACATCGCTGTTACCACTCCTTCCTACATAGACTCAACTCAAATTCTGAGTGTATGAACTGTCCTATCGACAGTTAGATTAGTGGCGGCCTGCTTACTACAATTGCTTCTTTGGGATAGTATACTACTATACTTTAGGACAGTGAAGCTTATCTGCCCAAATGCATGGCTGACGAACGTTTCATTCGCCTTCTATAATTTATTAACTTGGATGATTAACCCGCGTGTGGCTTGAGGAGGCTGCTTATTATTCTTCAGACATCCCGCGGCCAACTTCTTTTTCAAACAGCACCAAAAAGACGACATCACGCATGTGACTCCAAAGATTGATTGTTTAATTATAGAATTGATAAGTCTACGCAATACCTAGCATATTCTGATAGCCTATCCCACCATTTATAAATTCTTATGCGTAAGTATTAGACTCCAAATTATCTCCAGCTACTAACGAGCCATCCTATAGCCCCTCTAGGTATCTTATCTTGAGATGGTAGAAAAAGCGACCAGGGAAGTTTTTTACATTATCAACTCTTCTGGTATTTAATGTAGAGACACTTGGAAATTATTGTGTATTTCCTCGTATTTCCCTTACAATATACTTATTCCTAGTACTCCGTATTTTCTCTGTTGTTGTCCCACACTTGCCACCGGTGGAGAAATCACGTGACTTATCGAGATTTTGAAGGCCAACATCACCGGTGAATTTCTTTAGCCACATCCACTCGGCATCCACAAGAAGCCTTGTAATCACGATGCTGGTCAACTGTGGTCCGTTATCGGACTTTACACAAGCGCGATATGTGATCCATCTTTCCTCAGGGAAGCGACTCGTGCTCTTTCGCCTTCCGGCCATCGACCCGGCTTGTTCCAAACCCAACGAAGCCGAAGGATGGTCCTACTTCTCCATGGAGGCCGAGTGCCCCCATGCGGGCGGACCGATGGCTGACTCTAGTGTGGATATCGAGGACTCGGCATATGTTGTTTCTTGCCCATGGCACGCCTACGACTTCAATGTGGAGACGGGTGAATCGAGCGTTGGCATTAAGGCTTGTACTTTTCCCGTTGATGTTCGGGATGGTTCCGTCACGGTAGATTTCCCAGTCGAATATGGCGAGACCATCGGTCTTGGAAGAATCGAACCCGTGAGCGAGAAAGTCAAGTTGAAGAACCCACTCCCACCAACCAAACAGAGCAAGTCAGAGAAACCTGATAAGCAAGAGACGCATGTCTTTGTTCCCGAAGACGCAGGCCCGGCTCATTACCTGGATGAAAAGGCGACATTCTGCGACTGGGCAGTTCATATTTTGAACACTGCTAATCCTGAACACAAGATTGAACTGACGACACATCTGTTCACGATCTTCACCGGCCGAGAGGCGGGCGGTAATCCGATGGAACTCGGTCGAGGGAAACTCCTGGCGCCTGATCAACCTCCGCGTGAAAAGATGGTCGAGGTCGAGCCTGGTGCCATGCCTCGTACAGGAAAGGGCGGGACATTGAAGAGCCGAATCGCCATGCTACACGCCTTAGCCAATATCGAACTATGGGCCATCGACCTGGCAATCGATATCTGCGTCCGCTTCGCAACATTTCATACTGAAGGATCCTCGCAAGAATTACCGCGGGCCTTCTTCCACGATTGGCTTAAAGTAGCAAGCGATGAAGCGAAACATTTCTCACTGCTTCGCACCCGAATCGAAGAATTGGGTTCTTATTTCGGTGCCCTCCCAGTCCACCACGGTCTATGGCGATCTGCGCTCGAGACTGCGCATGATCTTCGTTCTCGAATCAGTATCATCGCCTTGGTCCATGAGGCCCGTGGTCTGGACGTGAATCCTATGACTATTCAGAAGTTCCGCGTCGCCGGCGATAGCGAGAGCGTGCAGTCACTGGAGATCATTCACAACGACGAAATCACACACGTTACCACCGGCCACCGATGGCTGACTTGGATTTGTGCCCAGGAAGGTACCGATCCCGTCCAGGTGTTCCGTGCCAATGTCCAGAAGCACTTCCGTGGTGCCATTCGCGGTCCTTTTAACGAGGAGGCTCGTTTGCAGGCAGGCATGGACCGCCGATATTATGAAGACAAACCGACGACTAGTTCTGGAGTCGCCGCTAATTAATGATTATTCATTTGATGATGATGTATGAAAAGCAATGAATTCTAGGTCGAGCGCACACAAGACCACGGCAAAATAGCTTTATTCTTTGTATATTGTTTTGCAATTGAACTATGTCAGGGCATTAAGTAAATAAAGACGGGGATTAAGTCTAGGTCTCAGGTCATGATTTTACAAACATTGGGTCATAAATGCGCCCCTGAGGCGTTCCGGGTTTAGCGTTTAGTATTCAGGCTTGAGGTCCACCTTGTCGCAGCTGCTGGGAAGATCGCCCTCGAATCTCTTGTGAAGGTAAAACAGCTGAGGAGCGTCGTGGACCCAATCACAAACTAAAAAATATTAGTAGAAAAAACCTAGAGAGCGACGAATCTTCACTCACCCAACCAGCCACCAAATCCGTCCTCTCGAGTCCAGATAAAGTTGCCATTCTTGATAGAGAAGCCCTTGCTGCTGGTACCAGCGTTGATCTCAACCGACTCCCAGTCTACACAAATATATATGAGTAAGAGGTCCAAATGAGAAAGGAATATGAGTATATGTATTTTCGATTCGATCACTTACTGGAATAACTGTTATCGCCACTGGCGATGATGCCCCAAGAGAAGGTATTTCCAAGGTCAACCTGAGCTTCGGTGCCGTTGAGAGAAATGTGGGCAGAATTGGCAGTCCCGTCAGAGAAAACAGCATCGCTTAGACCAGCACCGGTGTGGTAAGAGTAAAGGTAGAGATCATTGTGCGCGTCATTCTCCGCACCGCTGGTCTTCAAGGTGAACTGCTTGGGGGCTCTGCTGGCGACTGGGCCTGCCGACACGGTCGCGGCGAGAAGAGCGATGGATGCGAGGAACTTCATTTCAACAAGAATGTTTATTATTTCAAGGTTGATAAGGTTGGATGGGTGACGAGTGTACGTATATTGAGGGTAGAAGAAGAATAATTATGGCAGATCGTAAGGGTGGGGGAATTGAGTGTTTATTTATGTTTGTTGGCCCAAGTGGGTTCTATCGAAATCCTCTCACCTCACACCATGCAATACGGAAACACGCAGATTCAAGGCACGTCACGGTCGCATATGCCTGATTTCAGGGCCCCCAATGGCTCCGATTGATGTGGATTCGAGGTAGAGTTGAACCGTGTAAACAAATGCAATGTGAGACGGAATATCACCTTGGCGGCCCAATATTCGCGGCTTGTTCCAAGGTTCACGACACAATCGACATCCCGATTTCATTCAAGAGCTTTTTTTCTTTGCTTCCGGCTCGTCTAAGGCAATGAGGTTCGCAAAGTTCGCAGAGGGGCCATTCATTCGCCACTCAGGAGATTGAATCGATGCAGATCCCCCCCGCATCGGGTTTGGACGGGGCGCCCTGCTGCGGCAGTTCGGGAGTGGAGATGGAAGACTGCGACATGATTTTCACCTGAATGCCTTATTGATTTATTGTGAGGTTTCTCAATTATCTTATGGAAGCCCTATTTGAACTCTGTATGTTTGAACAAGTGAAAATACAGTCAATTATAGGGCATATAACTCAAAGTAATCAGCAAGAGATGGCAAATGAATCGGTTCTACGTAGACCAAATAGATGAATACGTTTGAACTTGAAGACACATCTTAAAGTTCAAATGGACCACTTATAAAGAAAATGGGGGTTGGATTGACATTCAAGCCTAGGCTATCGATGTATGGTTGAGCCTTGGAAGCCAAGGTTGTTATGGGACAACTTGAAGAAAAGAATCAAGTCATCAAGTTGAACCTTCTCACTGGTAGGTTAGAACTTGAACTTGAAACAGCACGCCTTCAAAGGTTCATGTTGTTCAATGGTACTTTATCATTTCCAACCCTCCAAGATTCAAGTTGAATCACAGTTATATAATAAGGTCCCTGGTTCAAGTTACGAACTTGAACTACTAGTATCAGTAGCTAGTACCTGGGTATACTAGTATATTCAATCCTTGAAGTTCACTGCAACTTGAATGAGGTCAAGTTCAAGCCCCTTGGAGTCGAACTTGAACGACTCGGATTTTGAAATGTACGACATCAGGAAATTGCCTTATGTTTGATAATCTAGTGCCAGCACCTGGGCAGCTGGAAACGGGACAAGAGATATTGATCGACGACTGTCCACGGGTCTTGGAGGCTAGTCGCTTGGCTGCCATCAGGGCGAGGGCCCCGGGTATTTTTAGCTCCGCTTTCACAGGATTTGCCGGGGTATCCGGAACTACAAGCTATCGAACATCTTTTCTAGTTTATAACCAGGGTGATCAGTGATTTGTTATTATTGTTAAATACCTCCGAAAGCTATCCTCAATTCTATGTACTCCGTACTTCGTAGGTAATCAAGAACGAAGTGGCAAAGATCTTGTTTGTTTACGTGGGGCTAAGGGACAGGGGCACCCCTGAATGTACTGCAAACAACCCAAACTCACCATGAACCACCCCCCCAAGAATTAAATCGGAATGAAATTAGCCTAATTAGTCTGTATTGGGAAGAAGCCATGATTCCATTGAATCTATATATGAAACCTGAGTATTCTAGATTAAATCTAAGCTGTTTATTCTATTTTGGTGGCTGAGATCGTACCACAGGCAAACGTCAACTTTGGACCCACTCTGACCTCTCGAAAACTTTTCCCCCCTGACGACGCGTTGGCGAATGGAGTATACTGGACAGCACAGCCCAGCTTGGTCTTGTCTTTAGTTTTTGCATTGACCGAAGAGATCCGACAGCTACCATCGTCACTTGTGGCAGATTTTATGGTATCAGTTGTTTCGGAGTTCTCGTGATCGACGTGACCGACGCAGGTCAATAGTCACCCAATATGGATCCCCAAACCTACGTGGATCCCCAGCTCACCACCGCGGATCGACTCGTGATTGATGCAGTCATCACCGACCCAGCAGCAAAGGGTATGCCACCAGCCCTTGCAAAATGCGAGCACACACTGACTGACCTTAGGTGAGACTGAGCCAAGATCAGCGGATCAGAAGCTTAGCCAGGAGGAGATCATTGAAAAACTGGAAGGCATGAACGATGCCTCTCACCCTGCCTTTGATCCTACAGTTTTCCAGCTCTGGGATACACCAGACCTGGCTAAGCTGCCTGCGCCCATCCAGCGCTACATTTTGCAACCATATGTCAATTGGGCCCAAGGGGTCGTAAGATACCGAACGGATGTGGTGATGTTGACGCATCTGATCCTTTACTTTACGACTCTTGTTCCAAGTGCAATTTACCTGTTCTATCATTTTTCCTGGATTCATGGTATCCTGCATTGGGCCATGCAGCTGCTGTGCTGTGGAGCCTTCACCCTGATGAAACATCAACACATCCACCAGAATGGGGTGCTTTCATCAAAATTCTGGTTGTTCGACACCCTCTTTCCGTACGTGTTAGATCCCATGCTGGGACATACGTGGAATTCCTACTACTACCACCACATCAAGCACCACCATGTGGAGGGTAACGGTGCGAATGATCTGAGCACTACCATGTTTTACGATCGCGATAGTGGCTTCGATTTCGCCTGCTACGTCGGTCGCTTCTTCTTCTTTGTCTGGCTGGAGCTCCCGCTTTACTTCTGGCGTAAAGGACAAGTCAAGTTTGCTTCCAAAGCTGCATTCTGGGAACTTGGCAATTATGTCATGATCTATATGCTCTACAATTATGTCAACGCACGCGCAACTCTCTTCGTGCTGATTCTCCCGCTTACCGTGATGCGCTGCGGCTTGATGGTTGGAAACTGGGGTCAGCATGCCTTTGTGGATCAGGCGGATCCCGACTCGGACTACCTCTCAAGTATCACCCTGATTGACGTTCCGGTATGTATCCAAATCGGTTCCTCTCTGCCTGTATGTCACTAACAATTGTTCAGAGTAACCGCTTTTCGTTCAACGATGGCTATCACACTTCGCATCACCTGAACCCTCGCCGGCATTGGAGAGACCACCCGGTCTCATTTGTTAAGCAGGTTGACCAGTACGCCAAGGAACGCGCGCTGGTATTCCGTAACGTTGACTACATCTTTATCACCGTGAATCTGATTCGCAAGAACTATCTTCACCTGGCAAAGTGTCTTATTCCCATTGGCGATCAGGTCAACATGACTCTCGAAGAAAGGGCAGAGATGTTGCGCAGTCGCACTCGTCGATTCACGCGCCCCGAGGAGAAGAAATCCCGTTGATAGAAAGCCCACGTTCCGCTATCCCAGGTCTTCTAAACCTTTTGCCCAAAGATTAATTCATATCCAAGATAAATGAAATATAGATACAATTTGTTCTTTGTCTGGATTCGTATATTCATCGGGTACAATGAGAACCAGCACCTGATTTTGAAGACAGCGTAGCGAGTATCGATTCGGGTTGTTTCTGGAACGGCTCATTCCCCACAGTTATCTCCGTTGGGAGCGATGATCAAACTTAGCTACAACGGTGGGATTCTTGCACCCGGGGCGATAAAATAAGCGCTTTGGCTTGTCGTCAGGGTTGAAATTCGGGTCGATTTACCCCGAAATTTACATTCATCCCGCATTGACTGACGATCTCGCGGAACACTCCGACATCTTACTCGTGAGGCCGTGCAGATACCCTCGAGTCCCTTGGCAACCCTTGCTACTATGTTTTCCATTATCGCAGTCACATCTACACAAGAAATGTATGTCGGCGACATTCGATCAATCCCCGCAGATGGAAATCCTTCTGGGAATCATTCCATGATGGTTTGAAACTGGATTGGCACTCCACGTGCCAGTTTAGATCGCTGAAAAGCTCTCGGAGGCTCAAGCCAAAAATATCCTGGCACCAGAGCCCAGAGACCAAGTTGATTGGATGTTCTCCACCCGATCCTGATCCTGCCTTATCCACTCAATGCGGGGAAAAGATGTAACTTCATCTCTTCTATTTCTTTTTTCGTGCCGGACATGCGGTCATATTAAGAACCTCTCTCTATGGGGATGATATAGGACCCAGGGGCTCAAAGCGTGGGTTTAGAGACATAAAACAACCCTTGACACTTCGCAATAAAAACCAACTACCCCGCTCTTTGTTCTTTGCTTTTAGGTCCCATAAACAATCAGTCACCTTTTGCAAAGCTGCAACCGAAAATCCACCCCGATCATGCGATTATTTCTCTCTCTAGTTCTGGCCCCATTGGCCGCGAGCTACGTCGTTCATAGAGGAGATACCTGCACCATCTTTCCAGAGTCACTCAAAAATGGTGGCGATGCTGTCGACGATGTGCCCTCAGTTTACGAAGCCTTCGAGCGATGCGGTCACAACGGCAAAGTCATTTTTGCCAAGGACCATGTGTTTAACATCAACTCCGTGATGAATACAACAAATCTGGAAAACTGCGAGATTTTACTGAGAGGAGAGCTACGCTGGTCCACCGACATTCCTTACTGGCTTAACAACTCATATCCCCTGGTATTACAAGACCAGCATACCGCGTGGCTGCTTGGAGGCGAGAACGTCACCTTTCGAGGCGAGGAAGGCGGGTGGTATAACGGCAATGGTCAAGCCTGGTATACCCAGAACGAAAACCAGAGTAACCAACCGGGTCGCCCTATTAGTATGACAATTATCGATTCGAAGAATGTGCTTATCGATGGTCTGTCCATCGTTCAACCTCAATTCTGGGCAACGTTCGTGGTGCAGAGCAAAAATGTCTCTATCACAAACTTCTATGTGAATGCTACGAGTAATGATCAGTGGGGCACTGTCAATACTGACGGATACGACTCCTGGAATAGCGAGGATCTGCTCATTGAAAACGCCGTGATTCAAAATCAAGATGATTGCATCGCAGTCAAAGGAAATACCACGAATCTGCTCGTTCGCAACGTGACTTGCCATGGGAATTATGGCATGGCCATCGGGTCTGTTGGCCAATATCCAACCATGCCTGACTATGTTGAAAATGTGACATTCGAGGATATTCACTGCTACAATTGCATGGAAGCCGCCTTGATCAAGACCTGGCAGGGTGTTGCCGATGATGACAGCTCCAATGGTGATGCCGGCGGTGGTGGTAGTGGCTATGTCAAGAACATAACCTTCCGTGACTTTGAAGTCGTCAATACAGCCCTGCCTATCCAGATTTCCCAGTGCATCTACAGCGAAAGTGGGAATAACTGCAACACCTCTAAGATGGCGATTTCAGACATCACTTTTTCCAATATCAAGGGCACATCGAGGTATAATATCGCTAGCTCCATATACTGCTCTGATGTCCACCCTTGCCCCGGAATCAAGTTTGATAACGTGGAGATCGACTCGGTAAATAGTACCATGGGATTGCCACTGACTGGAACCACATTGCAAGACGAGGTCTTCCAGTGTACCAACATAATCGACCAGGATGACTCCGGAATCCCCTGCAACCATGCTGCGCCAAGCAATTACGGCCAATCCGTTGACACGAACGTGAAATAGTGCAAGCTCCGAATCCGACGAAAATCTGCGAATGCCACAAGTGCGCCCGAAAATAAAGAGCCCCGGGGAATGTGTCCGAGACTGAGCTGAACCGAAGAATCGCCGCAAGCTCCGAGAATCTCTCTGAGTTACTGCGATCTCGACACCGAGCTGTCGCATGTTTGGGGCATTTAGATAGCGTTGTGGGACTGAGTTTATGTTTCTCCGAAGATACTTCGGCCTGGTGAACGTGCGGACATTCCCCGTGGGGAATGAGAATGAGGGGAAGGGTATAAATATGACTATCTTCTTCTAAGAATCAATTATTAAATCAATGATTTCTTCAGTCTTACGACATCCTTGCGTTTACCATGATCGTTTCCTTGAAAGCATTGGGACTTTGCCTTCTTGCCAGCCCCACATGGGCTACGAGCTATAAAGAGCCCTACCGTCCCCAGTTTCACTTCTCCCCGCCAAAAACTGGATTAATGACCCCGTCGGATTACTACATCATAATGGGACATACCACCTCTACTATCAGTACAATCCTGGGGGAATTGAATGGGGTAATATGTCGTGGGGTCATGCAACGAGTGATGACTTGACGCATTGGGAAGAGCAGCCCATTGCTCTTCTCGCCCGAGGTTTCCCCGAGAATGTGACGGAGATGTTTTTCACTGGCAGTGCTGTTGCCGACGTAAACAATACCAGTGGATTTGGGGTTGATGGCAAAACTCCCTTGGTTGCCGTGTATACTTCCTCCGTAGGTCTACCCATGCCTTCGTTTACCTGAATCAAGATGTACTAACTGGCACTGTCTGAACAAGTACCAAGTTACGCAGACCTTACCTAGTGGCAAGGAAGTGAAAGCCAATCAGCAATCACAGTCAATTGCTTATAGTATCGATGACGGTATGACATGGACCACTTACGATGAAGCCAATCCAGTCATTCAAAACCCACCGACCCCATATCAAAATCAATACGAGAACTTCCGTGACCCTTTCATATTCTGGCACGAACAGACGAACAAGTGGATCCTCGTTACAGCATTATCTGAAATCCACAAACTTGTTCTTTGGACGTCGGACAACTTGAAAGACTGGAAAGTATTGAGTGAGTTTGGCCCCTTTAACGGCGTCGGCGGGGTGTGGGAATGTCCCAATCTCTTCCCCTTTGATCTCGACAATGACGAATCGAAAACAAAATGGGTCATGATCGTGGGTCTCAATCCAGGAGGACCACCAGGCACTGTCGGTTCCGGAACACAATACTTTATTGGAAGCTTTGACGGAACGAAGTTTACTCCCGATGATGAGAGTGTGTATCCCGGAAACAAAACTTCGAATTGGATGGATTGGGGGCCCGACTATTATGCTACTACCAGCTTTAATGGGCTTCCCAGTACCGATCATACTGTCATTGGATGGATGAATAATTGGCAGTATGGTACGAAAATCCCAGCATACCCCTGGCATGGCGCAATGACGGCTCCCCGACACCTGTCTTTGAAGACGATCAACGAAAAACCGACCTTGATTCAGCAACCGAATGAAGCATGGAAATCCATTGAAAGTCAAGGCAAACATTCATCCACGTGGAAGACTTTTAACCAAGGAAGCAAAGACCTTGGCCCCGTGGGCAAAACTCTGGATGTTGAACTGGAGTTCTCTGCTTCGGACGCGTCGAAATTTGGAATCATTGTCCAAGCGACTTCTGACTGGAAAGAACAAACTGCAATCGGTTATGATTTCAAGGGAAAGCAAATATTCGTTGACCGAACCAAGTCTGGCGATGTCTCTTTCGATGAAACATTTGCCAGTGTATACCACGCACCTTTGATTCCAAATTCAGATGGGACGGTGCGCCTTCGGATATTGGTTGATTGGTCAAGTATTGAGGTGTTTGGAGGCGATGGAGAAGCTACCTTGACTGCTCAAATTTTCCCAAGCAAAAATGCAACCTTTGCACAGCTATTCTCGGATGGCGGAGATACCAGGAATGTCCAACTTGGAGTCCGGAGGGTTTCCTCGACTTGGAAATAGGAAGGCAGCTTAGAGCAGTCTGCTATCAGGTTATGCATAAGCATTTTTTTTACAGAAACAAAATCCATCTTAGGGTTATCTATTCTCTGCATCTGAGTGGTGCCGAGCATACTAATAGTATGCCGAGCTAGAATATTCTAGAAGAAGCAAGGGGAGTGTGCAAGTACCTGGACTCGGAGGATCAATATCTCATAATACGAGATACTTTGCAAAACAATAGGTACGAAACTAAAACCTTGACAATAAAATAGTGGGAAAGAGCAGCTATAAATCCCTAGTTTTCCAAGATATGTGGTTCTGTTGATTTGTGAGCATTCAAGAGTGACTCATGGTCCCACCACTACAAAAACTGCGGAGGACTCGACTTGCTTCACTCCACACCCCACACTCCCATACAGAGCCAAGTTAATCACACGTCTGCTCGTTCGAAATGGCGATCCCACTCGATTTGAGCCTGCCCACAGCTCTCATTCTGGTCGATAATCAAGCTGCCTTTTCCGACCCCGCGACCCAGTCTTTTTGGGGCAACGGACGATCCAACCCGCTCTATGAGACCAACATCCAGGCCCTCATCTCCGCCTTCCGCACCGCACGAGAGGCATCTCCAACCCTCCTGGAGGTGATCCATGTGTTCCATTCTTCCACTACCTCAGGATCGCCTCTTCATCCCTCTCATCCGGGCCAAGGTATACGCCCGCTGGACTTCGCGACCCCGCCCTCAGATGGCTCGGAGCCTGTCTTCTGGAAGTCTGTCAACTCTTCCTTTATCGGTACGGGGCTTGAAGCCCACCTGCGCGAGAAGGGATTCCGCCAAGTCATCTTTGCAGGCCTGACGACTGATCACTGTGTCTCGACAACTGTCCGTATGGCGGCTAACTTGGGCGTTGTGGATCGCTACCTTGAAGAAGGCCCCGTGAAGCTAGGATCCGACGGAAGACATCTTAAGGAAGTTAGTGTTGACAGAGGACGCATTATTCTCGTGTCTGATGCCACTGCGACGTATGGAAAGGGTGAATTCGATGCTGAGACCGTACACAAGGTTTCTGTTGCCAGCCTCGATGGCGAGTTTGCGGACGTTATTGGAACCGAGGAGGCTGTGAAGGCCCTGCGAAGTGTCAGGAGTTGAAAGAGGTATATTTGTTTTTAATGAGAGCGAAATAGCATAAAATACATGCTTATCATGATGAAGGTGCGCCAATCGAATAGAAGAAAACTGAATGAGGTTTACATCAAAAATATTTTCCCTTTTAACCTCAAGTTGAGCAACCAAACCTGCTAGATAACTTGAATTAAAATAGGAAACGTAAAAATACTACCTGCTAGGTACTCAACGGCTGAGGCTACTATTACCTAGGTAGCTAGTCGCTCTTCAATTTGTTATTCTTATTCTGCCCCCTTTGCTCGGAAGTAGCTCTTCCCCTTCTTGAGAAGTGACAGTGTTTTCTGCGTCACAATGCCCGAGACCTTTGACATTACACTTAAATCAACCTCTCTTTTTTCACCACTTTCTTCATCGCGATATTTATCACTCTCGACGATTGTAGGCAGCGCTGGTAGGATCATTCTAGTGGATTGCCGAGTTCGTGGCCAAGCCCATTCTAAAAGGGTATTCATCGCCTCAATGTATGACGGGGTATCGAGTTCTTGGGCCTTGCTGAATTGTACTCTGAGTTTGCCGTCGAAATAGCCATACAACACACGAGCCCGCGCTCGGGGTTCAGATGAAATTACAAGTGTCTGTCTCCATTAGTACCAAGCAATTGAAAACTCCCAGGGAAAATAGCAAGACACTATACCGGAAATGTATGATGGAACGGAAGATGGGAATTCCACTTTCGAAGTGACAGTATCTCTTTTTGTGATTTCATGGCTCCTATCATCCAACTAACAAGCACAATGAGCTCGGAAACAGATGGCCAATTCACATCTGTTGTATTATGAGATGCCATCCAGACACTCCGGTGACACTGGCGAGTACTCGCGACTTGCAATCCTTGAAAGACATCAAAGCCATGACGACTATTCCGACTAGATTTAAACTGACCCTTCGAGTGGGATCCTTGTCTAAACCGACCAGCACATTAGTCTCGGTTTTCACCTAGATTCTCTCCGATAATACTCACGAAATGGGCTTCCACTCTTCACGAAACTGATAGACATCAGCTAGATCCTCGGCGTAACTCTTGAACGCGAAAGCAGCATCCATCTGAAGCCCACTGTTGCGATTAATTCCGAGATTCCTTAGGCGCCGACAACTGGTGAATTCGTCTTCTCCTATATTGTCGGGATTTCTTCCAGTGTTGGAAATCTTGCAGGTGAAATCGAGACGGGGCTTGAAAAACGATGAACCGTTATTTATAGCCCCAGATTCGATATCAAACTCATTGAACTCTATGCCGGTCAATTTGCGAATCTCGGGTGTTGCGATCGCATTGGGTCCAAGGTCGTTAAGTCCCTCAAGGATTTTGTTAAGGCATGCTTCTGCATTTTGAAAGTGGGCCATCCACAAAGGTCGTATTTTGCGTCTTTTACTACCCATTTCGACTGGCAAATCGCGTTGATGTAAATTTTGCTTGGTAAGACGTGCAAAGGGCGATCAATAAAGGCGGAATCACAGATGGGATATAAAAGGTGCTAGAGTTTTTTTTTTTTTGAAAGGGAACAGATGTCTACAATAGTATGATTTGATCATAATGAACTTTTTGGAACATGTCTCGAAATGGTCAAGTTCGAACAATAAACCACTGGAACCATGTGTTTGGCCCGATACCCCAGATTGGCGCCGCGTCTCAAATAGGAACGACCCCAGATTCAGAGACCATGGGATGACCTCATCAAACATACTAGCGCAGCAATTAAAGAAACTAGTGCCATAGCATGGGTGTCTTATCTCCGTACTAGCAGCACCAGGAGCACTTTATAACTACTACTAGTACTAGTAGAGCATGATAAATGATCCTATCGAAGGACGGGTTTCATAGTTTACAGTTAGGCACAATGTTCAAAAGTAAAAGTTACACGAAACTAATTACTTCAAGGGTCTCTAACACAAAGGAGAAAAGAATACAGGAGCGGGTTAGATGAAATGAACCGCTGAACCCCATCCTATAGATGGCGGCAGATATATCTCAGAAAAGTCCAAGCCTTCACTTTTCATGAAATGAACTAGGAACCAACCAAGGAACATTAAAGCTTCACACATTCTTCAACTGTTTAAACAAGGTCGCGCTTGACGAACTCAGCAAGCAGAGACTTGCCGAGAGCGGCGGGGGAGCGCTCGACAATAACACCGGCGTCCTGGAGGGCGGCGATCTTGGAGTCGGCACCACCCTTACCACCGGAGACGATGGCACCGGCGTGACCCATACGGCGGCCGGGGGGAGCGGAGATACCGGCAATGAAGGAAACGGCGGGCTTGTTGTGGATGTTGTTGGCCTTGAAGAACTCGGCAGCGTCCTCCTCGGCGGAACCACCGATCTCACCAATCATGATGATACCGTCGGTCTCGGGGTCCTCGAGGAAGATCTTCAGGCAGTCGATGAAGTTGGTGCCGGAGAAGGGGTCACCACCGATACCGACGACAAGGGACTGACCAAGGCCGGCCTGGGTGGTCTGGTTGACGGCCTCGTAGGTCAGGGTACCGGAACGGGAGACGATACCGACGCGACCGCGCTTGTGGATGAAACCGGGCATGATACCGATCTTGCATTGGCCCTAAAATGACGAAAGATATGAGCATAGAGCTTCGGCATCGGCGTCGGGACATGTTGCACTTACGGGAGCAATGATACCGGGGCAGTTCGGGCCGACCAGGCGGGTCTTGTTCTGGGTCTTGAGCATGTCGGTAATGCGGACCATGTCTAGGGAATATTAATCAGTCGCGTCGCTCGTGCGTAGCTAGCTATCGGAGACTGCGTACCGTGCTGGGGGATACCCTCAGTAATGCTGTGTCGCGAAAGAAAAATTAGCTTCGGGTACTCTATCGGGAGCTAAAAGAATAGGCCACGTACCAAACAACAAGGGGCATCTCAGCAGCGATGGCCTCCTCGATACCGGCAGCAGCCAGAGGGGGACTGTATGCCATTAGTATTCACTGTATTCCTCCTCAGACACAACAGGCGATGGGTTCATACGGGACGAAGATGGCAGAAGCGGTGGCACCGGTCTGCTTCACGGCATCCTCAACGGTAGCGAAGACGGGGCGGTCGAGGTGAGTGCTGCCGGCCTTCTTGGGGTTGGTACCACCAATGACATTGGTACCTGGACTTGTGTGAGCTGTGGTGTTCTTGCGATGGCGAAAGGAGAGAAGAGGGAAAAGTACCGTAGGCAATAGCCTGCTCGGCGTGGAAGCTATTCAGGAAGTACAGGTCAGCAATCGGCGCATCCAGTCGGGATATAGACTCAGAGAATCAGATTCAACTCACGTTCCCTGCTTTCCGGTGAAGCCCTGGAAGAGAACCCGGGTGTCCTTGTTGATGCGCAGGTTGTTCACGGTGCTGGCGTAGGCAGAGGTGGTCTGAGTACGCTGCTGGCCGACATTTCGGAGGGCCGAGAAGGTGTTGCGACGGAATGCCTGCATGATTGCAACAAAAGGAATTAACGAGTAGAGAGGAGAGGGAGGGAGAAAAAGAGGTGGTGACTCGGGAAGGAGAAGTGAAGCAAGGAATCGAATCGGGATGCGCGCCCGGGAGTTTTCGTTCGGGAAGAGAAACCTTTACTTAAGCGGACCCGACTTGACTTCGGCAGCCTCGGCCACTCATCTTTTTTTTCTATCTAATCGTATCGATCTGCCCCCACCACGACATACCTTTAGGATCGAGGGTCACAGTTACTACAAGCTATATCTGTTACGATCGATTGCTCTTTCTGTTACCTGTTATCGCCTTCTCACCTTCTCCCCCCGTGACACCATGGCCACCATGACAATGACCATGCCGGTGGCACCCACCAAGAAGACTGCCAGGAAGAATGCGAAGAGTGTCCCTGAGAACGAGCGCTATATGCGAGCATGCTCTGACATCGCGAATGCCCTCATTCAAGACTACGAATCATCCAGGGACTCGTCGCAGCCAAAGAAGGATATCAACCTCAACAAGCTGCGGGGCACCTTTGCGAAAAAGCATCATTTGAGCACACAGCCGCCATTGACAGCCATCATTGCCGCTGTACCGGAACACTACAAAAAGTACATCTTGCCAAAGTTGATCGCGAAACCCATCCGTACGTTGGATCCAAAAATTTCCAATAATGCGGGGGATCTAAAAACTAACACTCCACGCAGGAACTTCTTCGGGTATCGCCGTTGTCGCCGTCATGTGCAAGCCTCATCGTTGTCCTCATATCGCATACACCGGAAATATCTGTGTTTACTGCCCTGGTGGCCCCGATTCCGACTTCGAGTACTCGACACAGTCATACACTGGATACGAGCCAACCTCCATGCGTGCGATTCGCGCGCGCTACGATCCCTTCGAGCAGGCCCGAGGACGTGTGGATCAGATCAAGTCGCTTGGTCACAGCGTGGATAAGGTTGAATACATTATCATGGGTGGAACTTTCATGTCCTTGCCGGAGGACTATCGGGATACCTTCATTTCGCAACTTCACAATGCGCTTAGTGGATACCAGACAGACAACGTGGATGAGGCCGTGCTGGCTGGCGAGATGAGTAACGTGAAGTGTGTTGGTATCACCATCGAAACACGACCTGATTACTGCCTGGACACACATCTGAGCAGCATGCTGCGGTACGGATGTACCCGTCTGGAGATTGGTGTGCAGAGTCTGTACGAGGATGTTGCGCGGGATACTAATCGCGGACACACTGTTGCCGCAGTAGCAGAGACATTCAAGCTTGCAAAGGACGCTGGCTTCAAGGTTGTCAGCCACATGATGCCCGACTTGCCCAACGTCGGAATGGAGCGTGATCTGTTCCAATTCCAGGAATACTTCGAGAACCCAGATTTTCGCACAGACGGTTTGAAGATCTACCCCACGCTTGTCATCCGTGGCACAGGTCTATATGAATTGTGGCGTACCGGCCGCTACAAGAACTACACTCCCAACGCGTTGGTTGACCTAGTGGCTCGCATTCTGGCCCTGGTTCCCCTTGGACCCGTATCTACCGTGTCCAGCGTGATATTCCCATGCCGCTGGTTACCTCCGGTGTCGAAAACGGTAACTTGCGCGAGCTGGCTCTGGCCCGCATGAAAGATTTCGGAACGACCTGTCGTGACGTTCGCACCCGTGAAGTCGGTATTAACGAGGTAAAGAATAAGATTCGCCCCTCACAAGTCGAGCTCATCCGTCGCGACTACACCGCCAACGGTGGCTGGGAGACTTTCTTAGCCTACGAGGACCCCAAGCAAGATATTCTCATCGGCTTGCTTCGCCTGCGCAAGTGCAGTGATACTCACACATTCCGCCCTGAATTCACTGGCCAACCGACTAGTATCGTTCGTGAGCTCCACGTCTACGGATCCGCTGTCCCGCTCCACGGCCGTGATACCAACAAGTTCCAACACCGCGGATTCGGAACCTTGCTTATGGAAGAGGCCGAGCGGATTGCACGAGAGGAGCACGGAAGCACCAAGATCAGTGTTATCTCTGGTGTTGGAGTCCGGAGCTACTACGCTCGTCTTGGATACTTCCTTGACGGACCTTACATGTCCAAGATGTTGGATCCCTGGGAGGATGAAGAGTCATAGAGAAAAAAAAGTTTTTTTTTGTTTGGTGGTATTCTGGGTAAATTTTGATGACGATTCTGCATGAACAGGCGTTGGGGGTTACATTTTCAAAACAAAAGTGGCTATAGTCAATAACGAACAATGATGAAATGTCTATACTTGATTGATATCAGCTTGCGGTGAAATAGCTAAAGAGGGACAACAAGAAACTAGCGACAAATCTGAGCGATCTATGTACACATCGCGGAAGAGTGTCACTTTTCCAAACCCTCGTGATAGATAAGGAATCAGCGAGACCTGCCCAGCTGGTGTCTATCCATCACATGGGAGCGATCATCTTCCTTCCACTCCTTGCCGACGGACTCCGATGTTAGATCCTGGTGGTGCGAACCGGCCTAGAAGCAAGATAAGCCCGGCCAGGTCCATCGTTACACCCGCAGATCCTCCGTTTCAGAACTCTTTCTTCCCCCCGCCCTCTCGGACCAAGGAAACCATATCCACCCAAAGAAAGACCGAAAAAAAAAATATATGAAAACCCAATGATTGTAGTAGATCAACAGAAGAAACCGTCAGAGACACCGAATGAGATATTGCAAGGGGGGTATTTGATTTTGGAATTTATTGGAGCGATATGGCGCCGCCCCTGCTGACTCGCAAGTGAAGGTAGGCCTGGAAGCCGCAGAAGATAAAAAATCCCTGTAGATAAGAAATGAACGTATTAGCTATGCCTTAACCCCTCAAATTCTGATGCAATATCGGTTGCAGATGGTGGATGACGTACAGCGTAGATAATTACGGCAGTGTAAATCGAAGCAGCGACAGCGACTCCATCTTCGGGCTCTCCTTCGGAACCTGTGTAGGCGTGGTTGTTGCTCTAAATAGCACAGTTAGCGTGTCAATTCGGTATATTTGTAGTGTGGACGATGCGACGATGCGCAAGCTAGCTTGGGGATGGACGGGTTGGAGGTGATCGGAAGAGACATACGGCGAATAGCGAGCCGAGGACTGAGAGGATGACGATGGCAAATAGGGAGATAACGACGCTGTTGGAGAAGAAATAAGATCAGAAACTATCCGTCACGGAAGGCCGGGGTCCTGTTCGAGATGGAGAGGCGTACCAAGACCAGGCGTTCAAGGCGGATACGACGGGCTTCATCTTGGCGGTTGTGGGAGTTGATGTGACGGGTGAAAGAGGATATCAAGCTGTACTGAGTTATGTGTTCGCAAGCGCCCGATTGGCGGGGAACAGGGCGTCAAAGGAGGACGAGGATGGGGAAATGATCGAGATGATGGCAGGAGTGAAGACGGAGGTTGGCGGGCGGAGACCAGCTAAGCCGCTTTCGGCCCGCAGGCATCGCCGACTGCCTGGACTCTGGTCAAGCTCCACCAGATGACTATGATGATTACACAACGTCTACGGCGGGAATTAATGGGTAGAATCTCATATAGATATTGTTATCGTTCATTCATTGATTCTTTGCATCTATCTCTATACATTTTGAGGGCTTTAGCACTTTAATGGGTCTTGTTCCACTCAATACACTCTTCGAAGGTGACTCCAGAACCACCGAAGATATCCAAAGCACTGCCAATGGTCAAGTCCACCTTGCCATTGCTGCTGACATGTACCTTCTCAAGATCCTGCAAGCTGCGCGCGCCCCCGCGTATGTGACGGGAATGGTGCACCACTCTGCCAACTTCGACACCAACTCTTCATCGACACCTTGTTGAAGCCCCTCTACATCGGCAGCATGGATCAGAAATTCGGAGCAGTAGGGTTCCAAAAAGGAGATAGATTCTAGACAACATTAGATATGTGTTAGAAAGGAAAGGAAAAGTACACCACAGCGGCTGATCACCCCATACCTTGATTGATCTCCATCTCCGTAATGGTCTGCCAACGGTCCATCGCCACAAACCAAGTGTTATCCTTTCTGCGACAGCTCAGATCCAAGACCAGCTTGGACTTGTCTCCTCCCAGAGCCGCAAGTACCAACTCGAGCCGCTCGAGGGAGAATTTGCCCGACGGGAAGAGGAATGAAGTGATGATCACCTATTTTCCCGCATTCCATTAGCGTCATCGTTGAGAATCATGACGAAAAGCCAGTAGACAAGGAATTACGTCAAATGAGAGAAGCGCAATAGGCGTCTCCTCCACCAACAATGCAATTCCCTGGAGGAATGCGCGACAATGTGGGGGTTACTCACCTTCTCAGCGCCCTGGTCAATCCAATACTGTGCATTCTTGTCTGTGATGCCCCCAGCCAATTGTAAACCATTAGGCCATGCACGCACTGCCTCTTGAGCCGCCTCTTCATTGCCTGGACCCAGCTTCACCACATGTCCTCCGCGCAAGTCATGCTTCTGGTAAAGACCCGAGTAGTGGCCCGCGGGGAGCTTCGACACGTAGTTGGTTTTCAGGTCTTCGGCGACATTGCTGAGAGTTCCGCCAACAATCTGCTTGACTTGACCAGAGTGAAGGTCAATGCATGGTCTGAATTTGGTCATTCTGCTTGTGTAATCGCAATTGCGAGGATTGAATAACTTCGCCAAAGTTCCCAACCTCAAGGTCGACCCTCACTGGCCGAGGGGCTTATCTGTCTTATCACACGTGACCCGGGTGGCCCAGAAAAAGTTCGCGGACCATCGCGTATTGACACTCGCCTTTTATTCAATTAAAATACACGAATCACTTTCACCATGATTGTTAAACGCAAGAGAGACACTTCCGTTGTGTCAAGGCCGAAAAAGACCGAGGCCCCAAGCCCCCCGCCAGCAGACAACGCTCAGGATATCTTCCGCAAATACTTCGAGGCGCAATTCGAACCTATAGAGGCGGCTCCGGCGCAGCCTGCGGAAGAGTCCGAGTCGGAAGAGGATGACGAAGATTACAACGAGGAGGATGACGATGAGAATATGGGCTCTGAAGATGGGTGGGATGGAGTCTCTGAAGAAGACGAGGACGAGCACAGAGTTGAGGTCGTTGAGCACAAGGACGCCAACGAGAATGAAGATGAGTTGATGCAAAAGCAATTGCGCAAGGCCTTCTTGGTACGCAAACTCTTCTAAAACATTCCCAAGAAAGATCATTTGACTAACACCTGCTAGAATGGAACACCCACCTCAGACATCCTCGCAAAGTTGACATCAAAACCGAAGACGAAAGAAGATAAGGAAGATGAGGCCGGGGAGGCCGATAACTTCAAGCACGATCTTGCACTTCAACGACTCCTCAAAGAATCACACCTCCTTGACTCCGCGGATGACCTGGCGCCGACAGGCAAGAACCGACTGAAGGCTCTGGACTTGCGCATGCAAGAACTCGGAGCGAAGTCCTCGCTCTATAAGCAGAAAATGCCTGATGCTCACCGACGAGGTATCAATGCGAAGGCAGCATCAAAGGATGAAAAGCGACGTCGTGAAGCTAAGGAAAACGGCATTATCCTCGAGCGGCCCTCGAAGGTCTCAAAATCCAGCAATAATGGACGGAGAGAGCGCGGTGTCGGAGGTGCTTCTATTGGAAAATTCTCCGGTGGTACATTGAACCTGAGCAAGCAGGATCTGTTCTCTATGAAGAGCAAACCAAGCCGCTCTTCAAGGGGTGGCAGAGGTGGCCGCGGTGGTCGCGGTCGCGGCGGGGGCCGTGGTGGTAGAGGTGGTAGGGGTGGCGGAGGCAACTTCTGAGAATAATTTCTCACGCTTATAAGAGCGTATCTTCATTCATCTATGAAACACCCTCACTGCATCAAAAGCACCGACGAGCGAAAATCCGCCCATTGCGAGTCATAAATAACGAATACATGCTATCCAATACCCCCAATTCAGTTCAATCAACCATATCATGGATCATGGGCCACCACCTCAATTTCAACCCTCATATCGTCCTCTCCAAGCCTTGTCACGCCGACGCAAGTCCAGATGGGTTGATGATTTGGCATCCAGCGCTTGAAGTTGCGAACCATCGCTTCCAAAGCTTCGTCATTGATTGGGACGTGATATGAGTTGACGCGGAACACCTGCTCCCAGCCCTTTCCGCCTGCGTCTTTCAGGTTCAGGTCAACATTGGAAAAGGCCTGGTCGATCTGTTCGTTGATCTCTTTGAAGAACACGCCGGTCTTGGGGTCCCAGCCACCTGGGTGTGAAGTCGTTAGTGAAATGACCCTGACAAGAAGCAGTAAATAGAGTGAATCTACCTTGTCCTGCACATTCAATACGATCGCCAATGCGGACTGCTTGGCTATATCTGAATTTCTCTTGATTTCTTTGGCCGACGCCTTCATAGTTGTAGTACTGCAAATGCGACATTTTGGTATCTGGTGAGATAGGTATTTCCCGACAACCTTGTAAGAATTGATCTGTTGATCAAAGGGGCGCCTCGGAATCGTATTGGCAGTGTTGTTTAGTCAAAAACTTTCATTGGCCTCAGTTCAAGTTCCAAGCTTCCACCTAGGAAAGCTTTTAAATTACTCCCGATACTGGAGAGGGGTAACTTCAAGTTGAATCGTGGAATACATATTCCGCTGGCGGTGAAAACCCCACCTACTACGTTCTACAGTAACTTCTGTGGAACCTCCACTATGACGAAATTCAAGTTAGAATTCTACCCTGGGTAGGGCTTCCACAGCGACTGCACCCACTATCAGTTTCAAGTTTGTGTCTGACAATGAGTGACCCGGAAAGTGTAAACTTGAAACTTTGGAAGTGCCATAAGAAGAGGAGGGCCAAAGCCAAAAGCATATCTACTAGTAGTAGACTAGGTACTCCGTCGCTGCTTGGCATTCCGGCGGGGCGGAGATCAATTAATGCTGGAAATGCAAGCTGGAGAATCAGCAACAGAGATTATTGCGTTCGACGTGGCCGGATGGTTTAGTGAACCGATCCAGAGGATAAATAATGAATTTGACGCAAGCGATTCCTCACCGGCCTCCAGGGCTTTCCATGGTAAAATAGACATAGATCAATCACTATGGGCACTCTATCGGACATGTCATCTTCAAAACCTCGGAGGTCTATATCGCCTAGATGCCGCAATACTTTCCAAGGAATACGACACAACATAAAAACGTAAGAAAAACGACCAAACTGATTTCTTGAAAAAATAGATTGTGTGAAGAGGTATATCAGCTGCAATTTCTTTAGAGGGTCAACAAGATTCCTTGTTCACTTCCATCCTAAAGCCGTCACAAAGCATTTCGAAGTCCCCCTCTGCATAATAAATAACCAATCAAACAAGCTAGACCCAATCAACAGATGAATAAAGTAGAACATAATAAGCCATTTAACCAATGAGCTGTCAGCAGTCGTCAAAGCTAGCAAATTGTCTCACTGCCACACGTCCGTCATCAGTTCCCCAATTACAGTGTAAAATCTCAATGCTCTGTCCCAGTGTGCCGATGATTTTGACTGAGCCCAAGAGGAATAGGTACTTCTCAGTTCCCTAGGAATGAGGATTTAAATCGTTAAAGATGTTGCTTCCCCTCAAGCCGGCTCAACCGTGCCATAGACACCCTTAAAGCTGAATCTCAAATGCATAACCGGTTGAGTTAGTCGGCGGATCAATGGTAATGGTGATCTAGAGCATAAAGAGTTTAGTGATGCTTCCTGGCCACGAACATATCGTGTCTCTCGCAATGATGGTCACTTACTGCATCTGAGGAATAGGCATACCTAGGTAGGAAGTCTTGCCCAGGTCAACCTGGCTGCCGACCTCTACCTCAGAGCCACTGAAATCAAATTGGTAACTTCGAACATCAAGCGTACCCTCGGTGGCAAGACCATGTTCGCTGAATCCAGTGATGATGGGATCGTAGGAGACCTGGACAGTTCTGGTACCGGCTATAATTTTGAGAAGTTTTGCATCCGATAAAACAGCAAAGGCATCGAATAATAGGTCTGAAGATGCAGTAGTTGAGATTCGATCACCTACCATTCCTCCATAATATTTATAAAGCTGCCAATCACCATTAGGATAATACCCTGAATCACTCGTGTAGATCAAGCTGGCCAGGTAATTGTGCAAGTTTGAACCACCACCCCAATTGGCACGCAGGGCTCGAATATCGTGACGTTCAAATTGCGATAAATAGTAGATTGAGTTAGCGGGGTTCTGCTCCGAGGGCCAACCATACTCATTGACATCGATTGGCTTCTCTGCGACGGAATAAGTCTCCCGTAAAGAGTCGAAAGCAGGTACTGTAACATCAGGCTCGCGCTGCCAGGACCCGATCTGGTGCCAGGAAAATCGATCCGGAATCGTATCATTTCCAGAGATAGATGACATGAAGGCTTGCCAGTTAGTTTTATTGGTGCTGGGCGAGTTTGCCATCGATGGACCTTCCACCGGTAGGGCAGGATGTTTCGATCTAGAGCCGAGTTAGATTGTTCGAAAGGGCGAGCATTAGAGATCAAATTACCGTAGGTATTGAGTGGCTTTGACAAAGTATTCCACATGTTGAGATCAATCGGGATACCAAAATGTTTCGAGATCAGGTTCGTTCCAAATATCAGCAATCAGTCCTTCCAAGATGTCATTGGATTGGATATCAGATATCACTTGATCGAGGAACGATTCCATCTCCGTCCAATTTCCGTTGTCGCCTGGGAAAACGGAATCCGCACTTGCTCCACCCTGAGCGCCCCACAAAACACTAAGCATCAGGACGAAGTCCCCATCATACTTGCGGGCTGAACGATAGTTCGAAAGCGCTGAATCAAAGCGCCCAATATAACCATCATAGCCGCCTTGTGCCCACCCGACAGCATTGATCTGAGCGTCACCGCCACGACAAGTTGTAAACTTGATATCGGTGAGAAAATGGTCAGGAATGGTATCCCGAGCGTTTTCTCCATTGTCTGGGAATCCATAGATGAAACCCGAACCGAGGAATGTCGCTGCACCGTTGTTCTGAGCAAGATTTACAGTTGCGCTGCCCAAGCTGGTGTCTCGCTGAGATATGGCGGCGGCATATGCAATCGATGGGGCCACAACGGCCAGAAGAAGCGATGTAGATGATTGATGCCACATTTTAACAGTGTATATGAAATGAAGTGAACTCAATCTTTATTTTGTGGTATATTCTCTGCCAAACAACAGATGCTATTTTATATGTCTACGGAGGAGGCTGTTTCATGTTTCCCCAAGTAATTGCCGAAGAAATGAGACCGTTAAGGGTTGCATTACGGGGTTCTGTGGGGAATGTGGAGTTTACACTGGGGTGACGACGAGGCCGTCATTTTGAAAGACCAAAGGACATCTTGGGGTGGGATTGGTACCTTAGCTGGAGAGAAGGAGTTTCCGAGATAGCCCATTCATGAATTACTCTCCCCGGTTAGCTCATCTTTACCCTGTCTTGACACCTTCAAACCTTCCAACTTAGCCTTGGCAACCGACTTTGCTGCCTGTGAGATTTCATCGGTCGTGATTGCCTCTGTTACCTGCCTGCCTCTGTCTTGGATATTTCTTTCCCACTTCTCTCCCTACCATCTCATCCACCATGGACTTCCTTCGATCCATCTCGAACATCCCTCATTCTTCATCTCCTGAGTTCGCACCTTCTGAGCTCTCGTCCGTCGAATCCGAATCTGCGGATCCTCTTGTGCAACTGGCGAAGGAAACGAAGCAACAGCCGTTCACCACCAATGGGGGCTTACAAAAGTCTTTGGAGCACCTTCAACGAGCGCTTCATACACCAGCAACTGCGATTAGCAGGACCCAGTGGGAATCAGTGGTTGGAAAGGTCGCTCGGTTAACGAAGGGGAAGTTGAGGTGCAGGCGGTCGAAGTAAAGGTGTACACAGAGTCGAAAGAACTCTAAAGGTGGAATTTCCGGCTGTGTCTTGACCTGCTCTTGTATGCCAAAAACAACTCTGGCGTACGCCTCCGGTCTCAGCCAACGATCAACAGACGATGGGATATAGTTAGTAATGCTGGCAGATGCCATAGAAAGATCTGGCGTCGAACCGTCCAATACTACTTGCAAATGATAAGACTTGCGTTGAAAAGGGGCTCTTGATGCAGCCCCATGGACATAGTATTCACTTCCAGCTGATGATTGAGGAAGGGGGTGTGTCAATGAACCAAATTTTCGATGGGCTAAATCCTGGTAATTACTGTTAGCATTGGTTTTAACCGACGACCTTGAGGCTAAATACCCATCCTACCCTTAATTAACCCACAAATCTCTCATTTCTTTGGGCAACATACCAGCTAACTTCCACAATTGTAATGAAACTCGACTGAACGAAGCAATCCAGCCATAAATAAGAGATTCAGCCAGCTCTGCCCAGCTCCCATTGCCAAGTGACACATAGCTTGCAACGTGGCTAGCAAATAATACTTGCGCTGTTTCACGTTCAAAGTGATTCTTGAAATCGCCAGAATACACCGAGACATTCTTAGTAGAGCTCTGTATAGTTATAAGTATTTCTACTATACTAATTAGACTTGGCTTAATTTTTTACTCAATACCTAGGTATAGAAAAGCTTTTTTCTCTTTGGGTAGACTAGATATAAATAGCATCAATAACTAAGTAGACAATAATTGTAGAACCTAGGAGAATGATTAGAGAGAACTTGGCACTTATAATAGTTCTTTTGTAGCATATGAGAGATTTAAAGAGAATTCTAGCCCTAGGAAGTTTGCAAAATCAAGTCTTAGTATATAGAAGAGATAGTAGGCCTGGGTTTAGTTAACGCCAGGCTGAAGTAAAGTCAGACACTGCTCACTGGCAAATGTAATAGTCGTAGTCAATTCACTTGGCGGTCGCTATAATACTATGCTTTCGAGATTGATTCTTCTTAACAGAATTGATTAGAAAATGGGTATGAAAGCATTCCAAGGCTGGAAGGAATATTTGTATTGCAGCATTGATGGACAACTACACTCAAAACCACCCTTTATCGAGGTAGTACTAGTAACTTGAGCGCTCTTGAATGGCTGCATAATTTCGGAGCAAAAGGCCACCCATAAAGTCTGGAATTTTTCAAACAAGAGTGTAGCACCCGGGCACTGTCTTGGGCCGTAGAAGTAGGGGGATGGGGATTGCCATTCAATGCCCTGGAACAGCTTTACCAACTCGCTTCAAGTTGGAATATCTACGCCAAGTCTCAAATCGGTCTCAATTCTTGTTTGCCCCTCTTTGCCCCCCTCAATATGGTGTAACTCCCCGAAAGTATATGTTCATATGTTTCGGTTGACCGTTTTGCCGGTCGTCGAATTTTCCGTATCAGATTCACGCTATCTCTGCAGCAATCTCTTGGCGGACAGGGATCTTTGTTCTGCAGAGTCTTTAGCTTCATGTAACTCTTGCATTCACTGTGCAAAGCAAAATTAGTCTTCTCCAGTGATGTAGTACTACTCAGATTGGGAAACCTATTCGCGATTACTGTCTAGCATCTGCCTAGTGCTAGTACCTAGGTACTAGTACTTTCCCGAACCGCAGTTGCCGCAACTTGAAGGACCCGGTGAAACTTCCAAGGTTCAAGTTGAAGACACCCCTGGATCGTGATGAAGAGTAGCTAGGTGTATAATTTGAGACTCAGGAATTCCTGAACACAGCCTTGGAAGTCCCTCTCTGCAATAACAGCTGCAGAACATAGCTACAGAGTGATGACGTATGCCGAGGCTGGCATTGAGTCGATGGATTCAAAGGTCCTCGTCAAATCTCGGAATATATCGCATGGAGAGTCTCCCTAAAAACACCAAATTGGCATGGTAAGCAACCCCGCAAGTAAATTCCAAGTCTGTTTCGAGAGTTGAAAATTCAAAGTGCCGCTGGGCTATATTTAGCCTTTAGCACAACTCGGTCGTTTCCATACTCAAAATTCAGAAGGTTGCCAGGACTCGAAAGAGGGATGCCTGCCAAGAGTTTAAGCATCGGAATTCCGCTCGCGCTCCGCTGGCGCAATTTGGCTAGACGTGATCGTCATGCTGTAAATCCTGAGTGGATTCGGACATGGCTTTCTTGGCCAGGGGAGATCACCCGTTATCGTGGTGGACTTATCGAAGCGATCCACTGTGACCAAGTTCGGTTGCCGACGCGCGGTCCCGTTCGGAACTTGAAGAGAACACTGATTAATTCGCAGTATCCACTCAAGCTCTTGGCCCACAACTGAGCTCTCCTCGAAGATCAGGGATCAGGGGCAAGCGTGGAGAAGGACTGGATCTTCTCGATGGAGCCTTATAGGGCCCCAGATCAAGACCCATCCCCCTGAGATATGTGGAACCTGTCGTGTGAGGCTGTGAGTGCGGGCTTCGTAGGATCTGATCTCCACGCACTCCGTACTCCGTACGCCGTACGCCGACCGGAGTACGATAGATAGCTTCAGCTTCAGCTCTAAGTTAGATTTTGCCAAGGCTATTCTCAAATGGTGCAAGTTTGCTGGATTTTGGATAGTGGCCTTGGCAATACCTTGGAAGGTGCTCTGATAGTGGTGCTCTTTCTTGGTTTAGTACGTGCATAGTATATGAGTATTTTATACTCCCTGCATAGTCTCGAACTAGTCTCCGCCTAAAGATACCTACTAGTAGGTATATGAAGTGGGAATACAGTTGGAGATACTCGAAATCCGCGTGGTTTTTGAGATATTAACTCGCCCCCTCTTAGTTCCTTTCATATGGCAAAGCATACATACACACAATCCCCAGAATATCTGTAAAAAAAGAGTTCGGATTTGTAAATAAATACTCATTTAAGGGGCTAGCGACATTGATATATCAAGCATTTGAGATAGTTAAGGGGGCTGTGTAGTTCCGCCGCAGCATGGTCCATGCGTTTTATTGAAACAGGACGCGTCGATCGGCCGTGGAGCTGGAAAAGCCTGAGGCAGCTAGATTTTGAAGGATTTCTGGTTCTGGAATGATTCGGATTTGATGAAATGTTGGATTCGTGGGTTTCTACTGGCTACTGTATGCACAAGATTGGTAGAGTATACGAAAACTTTGGTCAATTCGTGTCTGCATAATTCACTCGACAAAGCATTCCATTTTGGTGGAACGAAGAGTGGCACAAACAAATCTACTGCGTTTAGCTAGGGCTACCCCTGCACACAATTCCAATGGAATGGATAGGATCCTAAAAGCACAGACACAGGACTCCAAATGGCCCCTTTGAACTATATCATGATGTGGTTTCAGGTTGGGCAGAAATCAAGAAATCCACAGCTTACATTGGCATCATAGAGTGCTGGGGGGAATGAGTTTCCATTTAAGGACAGGAGCAGCAAGCAGGATAAATCGAAGCAGCTTGGCACGGGGATATCGGTGAATTACCAAGACAAGATACACGCCACCGACAGGAACATCCTTAGGTGCAGCCATACGGAAAAGGTGCCTGGGTAACGTGGGTGGGGACTTGACTCGAGTGTGGCCAAATATCTAGATGGCCCAAAGTCTAAAAAAGGCCCGGTCTGCCGACTGAAGATGTGGAGGTCTTTTGGGAAGACGTACGGAGTATGTATACATATAACCGGTTTCATTTCCTTTTTGGGGGGGATTTTCAAGCCTAGAATCACGAAGAAATGAAACCTTCAAGTTTACCTTCCGTCACGGAAGAGGTCGGAGCGGCCTAGAGATAATGTCTAGTGGAGATGGTCAATCTCGATTCATAAGTTCAAACATAACGGACCAATCTCTGACTGGCACTTCATGCACGAGGAGTACAAAGAGGTTGCAGTCGGCTAGCCGACTCGGGATGACCATCGGCCGGTCGCGACAGCCAAGAAGTCGGCCGGGCATCGGTGGACCCTGAGATGCATACCCGCGGTTTCCTCGGGATATTCTGAAAATGAGAATTTCTCAAAAGAGAGAAAGCCGAGGGCCAAGAACCGAAGGTAAATTCACCCGATTGTCAGCCTTATTGTAGGGCGGCAGAAAAGGTTGTATCCGAATGCAAAACCTCCGATATCCCGATGGCGACAGCGCATATCATGTATTGACTGGGAAGATAATCGGTGCAAGATGGTAACCCGTAAGCTGTAATCAGCCCCTATCAAGAAGTGATCAGCCAAGAGCTACCTGTCTGTGCTGACTGGATAGCTTCGTGCATCGTTCTAGTAGCACATGCGGTGGAGAAAAAGACCCCCTCCGACAAATCCCCAAGGATAATGGAGCGGCGGAAAGAGCCACCCCTCTTCTACATACCCTGAGGTAGGGGCCAAAGGGGCTTGGTGGGTCCACCATCGGCGCTCAAGGATTGGCAGCCTGAATTAGTTGTCAGTAGAGGCCGTTCGGCTGTCGATCATATCTACTTAGCGCGAACCTTGTCCCGGGAGAGGTCGAGTGCGCATTCTTGTCCCTTAAAGCTCCACCTATGATGTCGCGGCCTGACGAATTGCAGATGCATTGGTCACATTAGTTTGCGGGTACAGCCTCCCACGCTTATCTAGACCCTTGCAATGCATCGTCACTGGGCTATGCAATGCCCTAGGTGCGTCCCCTTAATCGGCGGCGGGACCAGCAAGGGCTATCACTTTCCCCTATACACCCAAAACAGCCAAATAGAACAGAAAATAAAATCAATTAAACCCCAATTTCTCCTGTGAGTACGCCGTCTACGTAATTTTCTGTCGTGTGGATGAAATTATTGCCCCCTGAAACATCCACCAGCTGGTAGATGGCAAGCTTGGCATTGCTTGACAGCGCCCAAGATCGCCATGGAGTGGAATAAGCCCTATGATCGGTTGCCCACTCAAGACTTGCTCTAAAACCATGTGCAAAATTGTCTAATCCTTGCCAAGTCGTGGCTTGTTCACGACCACTTGGCTCTCGTTATTCTGCGACGCTGTTATCCTGCAAGTATATCCACATCTGCAGGATATCGCGAGCTCTGTTGCCGAAACGTCCCGATCAAGGAAAATCTCCATCAAGACTGTGCTCGCGAAATTGACTTACCTGCTGCTGATTCGGTGCAGATCTTTTCATAGTCGACATGTAGGACACGCGTACATATACTCACACTAGGCTAAACCCCAATCAGGCAATGGCATTTGACTCGGAACTTTGTATGCTAGGGCATGGATAGCTTCCACAAAAGTCTTACACAGACTGGAAAATGCTGCTTGATACTCAAATCTATAGATTCGACTTATACTCAGACAAAGGAGTCGTAAGCCCTCGAGGCTGTGGCATAGCTATGAGGACTGAGAAGTTAGTTGCCTTATACCTTGGGATTGATGTACAATATCTGAAAACAAATCTACAAAGCCTAGAATTTCTCTCTGCTGATCACTCCCCTCCATCATCGAAGAGCAACATCATTTTTACCGTCTTTGTCCGATCCTTGCCACCTATCGAGTCTATCCACCAAGGGGACCACACTCCCCATTCCCTTGGCTGAACCCACAGTGGAGTAAGTAGATGGCCATGACTCCCACATGTAATATGGGCACTGTTAATAGTTTCGGAGCTAAGCTATCAGGGGCGTTGGGCTGACGTGGAGATACAAAAGCGCCATCCGACGCCATTCTTCGAGAACAAGCCAAAGCTTTTTTATTCCGACTTGACAGCTTTAAAGCAGGTGGTTCCAGCCATTCTATTCTTTTGTCTAGATCTATTGCATCTTTAAAAAGTTAAAAGAGCTTAGACCCTGCACTTATATTCTTTAATACCACATACACGATGTCCGGCTTTAAATCCGAAGACTCTCTCAAAGAGCCTACAGTTACCGCCTGGTCGGTCAACTCTAGCCCTAGTCTGTCACCTACAGACGAAAAGAGACTCCCAACACCATCCGATTCTATCAACCTCGAAGGACAAACAAACACACTTCCTCCTTACCATGTCTTCTCCCGATCCCGTAAATTACAGATGGTCTGCATCGTTTCCCTCGCCGCCATATTCTCTCCGCTATCTTCAAACATCTACTTCCCAGCACTTGGCGAAATTTCTAGAGTAAGTTCATGACGTGTCGTCACTTTTATTCCAACAGTATCTAATTACGTTTTCTATAGGAACTTGACATCTCGATGTCTCTCGCCACTCTCACCGTTACAGTATACATGATCGTTCAAGGCATTGCACCCAGCTTCTGGGGCTCCTTTTCCGACGTCATTGGCCGCCGATCAATCTTCATCGGAACATTTATTGTCTACATGATTGCAAACATTGCATTGGGTGTGTCAACAAATTATGCTCAGCTCATGGCGTTTCGGGCAATTCAAGCTGCAGGTAGTGCTGCGACTATTTCAATCGGTATGCTCCCCCGACTCCACATTCCAATGCCAATTGCTCATGTCCCATAGGTGCTGGAGTCATCGGTGATATCACCACATCTGCTGAGCGTGGAAGTCTAATCGGAATTTTCGGTGGAGGTAAGTCGCCATGTGAACACTCTACGATTGGGCTTGGCTGACAGAAGTAGTACGCATGCTTGGGCAGGGAGTTGGACCGGTCTTTGGTGGCCTCTTGTCACAGTTCCTGGGCTTCAGGTCTATCTTTTGGTTTTTGACTATCCTTTCTGGATTGAGCCTTTTCTCTATTCTATTTTTCCTTCCAGAAACTCTTCGAACCGTGGCTGGAAATGGAACCGTTCCGCTGCATGGTCTCTACAAGCCTTTTATTTACCACTTCACTGGTCAGAAGGATGCAGACCCAAACTCGGTTCCCTCGGGCGAGAAGAAGAAGGTTACTCTCAAGACTGTTGTCGCTCCTCTTGGTTTCCTTGCTGAGAAGGACGTATTCATCACACTCTTCTTCGGTGCTATTGTGTACACCGTTTGGTCAATGGTCACATCCTCAACTTCGGATCTGTTCGAGTCTACTTACGGCCTTAACTCCTTGGAAGTTGGACTTACCTTTCTCGGAAACGGCTTTGGCTGCATTTCAGGATCTTATACCACAGGGTACTTGATGGACTACAATCATAAGCGAACCGAGCGCGAATACTGCGTGGAGCACAACCTGCCTCTCGAAACACGCATTACATCCAAGACACACTCCGACTTTCCAATCGAATATGCTCGCATGCGCAACACTTGGTGGATTACTGCGCTGTTCATTATTTGTACAGCAGTGTATGGAGTTTCGCTTCGCACCCATCTTGCAATTCCAATTATACTCCAATACATCATCGCCTACTGCGCCACCGCCATCTTCACCATCAACAGCGCTCTCGTGATTGACCTCTACCCTGGTGCCAGTGCCAGTGCAACCGCCGTGAACAACCTGATGCGATGCCTTATCGGCGCTGCCGGTGTGGCCGCTTCCCAACCTATCATTGACGCGATCACAGCTCAATTTGCATTCCTGTTGCTGGCAGGTATCACTCTCGCCATGGTACCGCTTCTTTCTATTGAGATGCGATGGGGCGCTGGGTGGCGTCTTGAGCGAACCGAGCGACTCAAGCGAAAGGAGCAGTCTATTTAAACATCTTGCAACATCTCCAACTGCAAAGTCCAAGAAAACAGCATATCTTGGACAAGAATACGTCTTCTCAACAACAGACCAGATCCCCAAAAGATGGCATATGATCTCGATTGATTTCATTGCCTTTCATGACTTAATGACCTGGTTTTAGCGTGTACTCAGCCTTGGGCTTTGGGCCTTGGGCAATTTCGTCGAGTACCTGGTACACTTTTTGCATTCTCTGTTTACATTTCTGCTTCGCTTCTTTCACATAGTATTTGAATGTTTATAGCTTTTTTCGATATAGAGGACAATAGAGAGAACGGGGCTATGCCCAGCATTATTACTGGGTCAAAAACTGGTTCCTATGGCTTCTGCTAGTCGGATTCACCCTATCAGACAGTTATACGAGCTTTGAGGTTATACCTAGTACCTATGTATATCACTAGTTACTGAGATACTTAGCACCGGTACATACTCAGTTCCAAGGTTCGCTACCCGACGGTGGCAAAGTAGAATTGTAGTCTCCTACTAGGGCTGTAACCTCTGGCGGTAATGAGTATACATACATCACCCTTCTCAATAGGCAGGAGAGGGTGTTCAGATGGCCAAAGGGGGTGTCCAATTAGTATTGAATAATAGTTACCATCGCAGACTGAGTTTATACTAGCAATCAAACCAGCAGTATTGTACATCCCTCTAAATGGTTCCTCCCGTAATGGCCTAGTGCCTACGGGTATAGCCTTTTTGTCGTCGACCTCAGCGTTGTTTTGGTTTCTTTTCTTCCCGCCTCTACCTCCTCCACGCCATCGCCAGAAAAGTACCCAGTCTCGCGTGACTACGACCCCAAAACTATGGAGCTGCAGGAGAATACCCAGGGCTCTCTCAACGCGTCGATGGATTGGCAGGCTATCCCGGGCATGGTTCTCTTGCAAACTGGCGGAAGCGATTTCGTGACTTATGCGAGACAGGAATGGCCCGACCTAGTACTACCATGGAATACAGTGAGCAAAGCAATCGACAACTCCTGCCGAGCAACGGACCTCCGTCACGATTTCAAGGCAGCTTATCAAAAATGGTATCAACTCCTTGTTCAATGCTCTCAGGCTAGGAACGAGGTGATGAAAACAAAAGGCGAACTACGGGAATCGACGGACCAACTCGAGAAATCTATGGAACTACTCGAGAAAAATATTTCCAATGTGCACAAAGAGCACGCACTGACACGATTGGTCCGAGAAGAGCTTGATGCAGTCCGGTCTATTTCGATTCTGACCCTCGCTGCAAATGATCCATTGCCATACGCCCCTTCATGTCCCGCGAACAGGCGACCCAGTCGGACTTATACGGGCATAGATGACCCTATCATCGTTGCCGACCTTGCAATTATCGACCATCATATTGGGCTTGGCCTTCCGTCAGAAGCTGCAGACCTTGCTCTCGGTCGCCTCAAGGCTAAAGGGGGGTGACATGCTCTACGACCAATTACGTCGAAACATGAAACTTGGTCTCATATCTGTCGCGGCCCTAGATGCCTTTCCCGAAGGAAACAAAGATGCGAGCATGCTTGTCGCACTCCGTCGACTGGTAAATCTGGAGTTCAAACATTTCAATCAAGTTGAGGAAACCCTTTCTCGGCTCGTCCAGAGGTTTGGAGGCGGAAGAAATACGGACTAGGAGTCTATTTTGATTCGAATCCAGGGTATCCTGCCAATGCTGTCGAGTGTCCCAGACGGCCCAGACAACTCAGCTGTTGAAGTAGAGAACAAGAAACGACCTGGAAGCCCGCTAGAAGGAGGCCACCCCCGAAAGATTGCCAAAAATACCGAAGGGAAACCAGACACCATCCCGCCTACCACCGTGAACGATCGAAAGCGCCCTGGCAGCCCGCTAGAAGGAGGCAGATACCAAAAGACTCGCAGAAAATCACGAGAAACCTCAGATACAGCGCCAGCCGACCCACCAGAGGAGCACATGGACCCATACATTGCGTCGGATCTTGCAGTCATATTTCATAATGATCTTCTCGGCTTGCCGCCCGATGCCCCGGAACTAGCCGCGACGCGTCTGGAGAAGCGGCTCGGCGTAAAGAGTACCGCAATGCTGCTGCGTCTTGTGAAACAGAAGAAAATCAAATGCATTCCCGGTCATTTCTTACGAAACGAGTACGCTATGGAATCCATGACGGAGGTGATGAAGTCGTCCGATGGGGCTGAAACCTTCCGTCTCGGTCTTGAGCTCATGTATGGAATCTTTGATGAAAGAGACACCTGGCTGGACATTTTGTATCAGATTCGAATCCTCGGATCAAGTCAGGATGCCAAATAACAAGCCATGACCTAGCCAGGGGGTTCTGACCTCTCATGCGTATCCCAAATTCCTGTTTCAATGTCTGCTTTTCAGATCCGGCGTTCGCCTGTATTCAGCAGAACTTTCTGTGTGTCGATAGGTGTCAATATCTGCCATGCCATGTCTGTGCATGATGATGATTTTACTCGCAAAGCAAAAGTTGTTGACATTACTTAGCGTGATTTAGATTTCGAAATCTCAATCAAATCTCCTCTCTGTTCTATTCTTAATCGATCTACTCATATCTCCGGCGAAAGATGGACGCCACCGGGGGAGGGGATAGATGCCTTGTAGTTGCATCTCTAATATTATGCTCGCAAAGTCCTAGTTTCAAGCCGAGAAGGGGAAAACTCACACAACTTATAACAATAGCTGCAATAGTCAGACTATACAGAAGTATCAGATCTGAGTTCTCAACTTCCCAGGGAAAGAGCGAAGGTATCTGCCTACGGAATGTGCCCTGAGGCATGGTATTCTCTATAGTTACTAGTTGGTGCTAGTATTATGTATACACCCCTGCCAAAGAACATCTAACGTCACTGATAACCAGTCATGTGGTCTTATAGATAATATTGAACGCTATAAACCTAATTTTCAAATATTTGCTATTTAATACATTTCTGGGATGTTTACTAGGTTGTTTTACCGTTTACCTTATTTAGTCGAATAGTAGCCACAATACTTGTCTTTATACTCGACGTGGAAGTCTTGCAAATAAGGAACGTGGAGGAAACATGGAGGAGGATAACGGTACGAACAGGGCGGTCCAGATTTGTATGGGGAATGCTAGTACTAGTAAATTCAAGGGGACCCTTTCCCCGGCATACTAGTAACCTTCCCAAATAGTTAACCGACTACCTGGGTACCCATTGCACATAATACTACTAGCATGTTAAGCGTTAATCCGAGAGCTGGTGGTGCTCTAAACTTCCAATTGGCAGGGCCGTAGGACTATTACTAGTAAAATAGGCATTGTATACTCCGTACTAGTACTAGGCTAGCGGCGGTCAGGTGTAGACTCAGACAGGACGGATAATTAGAACGGTCTATTTTTGTCAGCAAATTCAATTCCAAGCTAGTTACAACGGCTAATGACCTACCACTAGTAGTACTAGAAGTAGTACTACAGGTACCCTGTAACCCTGCAGTCAGCTGGCACACAGAAATGAAATTAACGCCAAGTTAGTCTTCGCTTTTCTGAGGGCCGGCAATTGAAATAGAACCAAGTAATGTACTCTGTACTGGGAGGAGAATTCAATTGAAAATACCCGAGCAGTAGCAGACCAGGCCCGAATGCGGCAATGATGATGATGCTTGCCCACCGCGCCCCTCCACCGGACCCCAACACGCCGAAGACTTGACGCCATTCCTTTTCTGCTTCCCTTCCCTTCCCTTCCTTTTCTTCCCTTTTTCAAAGTTCTCTTCATCTTGATTCTTCCCTGTTCTCCGTGATACCCATCTGTCATACTCTGTAAGCTCTACCCCCATCCAATCCACCTCTCTCGTCCCTGTCGCATCTCCCCTCTTCTTCCGCTGCCCCGCACTAAATACTAACTTTGTACGCTTACAGCTTTGTCGACTTTCATCATGCCTGGATTCTCGCAGGCTACTGAGCTCAGCTCCTGGAAGGCTCTCCAGGAGCACCACGCCACCCTGGGCCGCAACATCGTGCTCAAGGAGTACTTCGAGAAGGACCCCCAGCGCTTCGAGAAGTTTAGCCGCACCTTCAACAACACCGTGGATAACTCGGAGATCCTCTTCGACTTCTCCAAGAACTTCCTCACCGAGGAGACCCTGGGCCTGCTCGTGAAGCTGGCCAAGGAGGCCGGTGTCGAGGAGCTGCGTGATTCCATGTTCCGTGGTGATCACATCAACTTCACTGAGGACCGCGCGGTCTACCACGCTGCTCTGCGCAACACCTCCAATGAGCCTATGGAGGTTGACGGCAAGAGCGTTGTCGAGGATGTCAATGCTGTTCTCGATCACATGAAGGAGTTCTCCGAGCAGGTGCGCAGTGGTGAGTGGAAGGGTTACTCTGGCAAGAAGATCGATACCATCATCAACATTGGTATTGGTGGCTCTGATCTGTAGGTTTTCTCTCTTGCTTCATCAAAAGTGCAGTGTTTTGTTTATTTTGTTTTGTTTTTGTTTTATTTTTCAAATGCGCCGTGGCTAACAATGTTGTTAAATAGCGGCCCTGTCATGGTCACCGAGGCCCTGAAGCCCTACGGCCAGGAAGGCATGAAGCTTCACTTCGTGTCCAACATTGATGGCACCCACGTCGCCGAGGCGATCAAGGACTCCAACCCCGAGACTACCCTTTTCCTCATCGCCTCCAAGACCTTCACCACCGCCGAGACCACCACCAACGCCAACACCGCGAAGAAATGGTTCCTGGAGACCGCCAAGGACGAGGCGCACATCGCAAAGCACTTCGTCGCTCTGTCCACCAACGAGGCCGAGGTCACCAAGTTCGGCATTGACGCCAAGAACATGTTCGGCTTCGAGTCATGGGTTGGCGGTCGTTACTCCGTCTGGAGCGCCATTGGTTTGTCCGTGGCTCTGTACATTGGCTTCGACAACTTCCACCAGTTCCTGGCCGGTGCCCACGCCATGGACAAGCACTTCCGCGAGACTCCCCTGGAGCAGAACATTCCCGCCATCGGTGGTCTGCTGAGCGTCTGGTACAGCGACTTCTTCGGTGCCCAGACTCATCTGGTTGCTCCCTTCGACCAATACCTGCACCGCTTCCCCGCCTACCTGCAGCAGCTGTCCATGGAGAGCAACGGTAAGGCCATCACTCGCTCCGGCGAGTATGTCAAGTACACCACCGGCCCTATCCTGTTCGGTGAGCCGGCCACCAACGCCCAGCACAGTTTCTTCCAGCTGCTGCACCAGGGTACCAAGCTCATCCCGGCCGATTTCATCATGGCCGCCGAGTCACACAACCCCGTCGAGGGCGGCAAGCACCAGCGCATGCTGGCCTCTAACTTCCTCGCTCAATCCGAGGCCTTGATGGTTGGTAAGACCCCCGAGGAGGTCAAGGCCGAGGGTGCCCCCGCCGACCTTGTCTCTCACAAGACTTTCCTGGGCAACCGTCCCACGACCTCCATTCTGGCGCAGAAGATCACCCCCTCCACTCTGGGTGCTCTGATCACCTACTACGAGCACGTCACCTTCACCGAGGGAGCTATTTGGAACATCAACTCCTTCGACCAATGGGGTGTCGAGCTGGGCAAGGTCCTGGCTAAGAACATCCAGAAGGAGCTGGAGACTGATGGTGCGGGCGGCGGCCACGACGCCTCTACCAGCGGTCTGCTCCTTGCATTCAAGGCGAAGGCCAACTTGGCGTAGATTTCCTTTTCCCGGTCGATCCGATCATCCAGGACGATGGGGCTTTGACGAGCAACGAATGATAAATGTTAGGTTAGGTTTATGCCTAGTATGAGTACGTGAAAATTAAATTGAACCAGTTCATCTACTATAATTCGTTATAGGGTTGTTTTCTTTAGTAATTTTGATTGATATAAGTTATGGAATCTGGGGGGTTCGTTGATATACCCAAGTATTCCATGGTTCACATGGTCTACCATGGTTGGTTGAGGGACCTCGGTGGTGGAGGTGGCCAAATGGCCTCTCCGCGCGCCAGAAAAACATACTCCGTGTCTCCTCCGCGCCGCGATCTACGCTCCTCAGAAACCACCTCGCCAGAGCCGGGAGGCTGGATCACACCATGAAAGTCACCGTACCATCCGCATCTCGAGTCCCCAGTGTCGTCGCCCTGCTCTCCATCGCTGGTGCGCTGTTACCGTCCAGCGCAGCAGCGGGGGACAGCCGTGGCGACAGCGGGGAGGGATACTCACTGGGCCAAGAAATCCCCATATCCTGCCTGAATCGAACATTGTGAGTGTGACTTATAAACAGTCCACAGTTCAAACTACATAGTCTTCAAGAGGAACAATTGCTAACCACCGAATGCGTTTCCAGGGACGGCGAACATGTATGCTCTATGCGCCGCAGCCCTCCTGAAGACGGCACTCACCCCCATATCAACAAAACAGCCAATTGACAACCACAACAGATTACAGACGACCTGGGCAAACTCCAATACGTGCCCTTCGTAACATGCAACGAGACATCCCGTCCTCTCTCCATCCACTACGGCGTGCCCGAAACAATCACCTGCACCGTCCCCGCCCTCTCAGACACTCTATACCACCTACTAGAGTTCTACGTGCACTCCGACGTACCCATGACCTGCCGCGTCCCAACCGCACCCTTAACCCAATCAAGCGCATTCAAGGACCCCCCCCTCAGAAACTGACTCCAAGGAAGTCGAACCCAACTCCCTCTCCGCCCTAAACGACAACGGACCCCCCTTCACACCCATAACGATCGCCCTGCAGGGCACCCTGCAAAAAAGCCACCTCCACATCTGGACAGACATGAACATGCTAATGCACAACATGGCCTCGGACGCCGCAGCCCAAGATAGCACCTCGAACGCGCAAACCGGCCAACCAGGCTACACCGTCGCCGGAACCGCGTACTCAACCCCCGAATTCGAGGCTGCGCTGGCAAAAGCCTCGCTAGACGAGGATGACAAGGCCGTTGCGCTGGCGCAGGCTGCGCGCGAGCCTTGGACGCCCGGACACGGGACGAAGGTTATTCGCGGTGAGCCGTTGGCGTTCTCGTTTCATGTTGCGTGGGTTGAGGGCGGGGCGGGGATTGGATGGCCTGGTCGGCCGGAGGAGTATTCGTTTTTGGGACCGGGGGGGACGGATTGTTGTTGAGGGATCTGGGTCCGGGTTCTTTGCCAGTGCGTTTTTCTTCCTTATGGCTGCTTCGGTTGGGGCTTTGGGGGCGCTTTATTGGGAGCGTAGTGGTGGAGGGTCGAGAGGGAGGTCTTCTTGGAAGGGGGATGGGATATTGGGGGTCCCGCCAGCTAGTAGGAGTCGGTCTAGTGTGACTTTTGGAAATGGAGGTCGGATTAATGGGTATGGTGGGTATACTGCTGCTGGAAATGGGAACGGGGCTGGTGGTGGTGGGTATGGGGGGGTTCCCTGGTGGGAAGAAGGATTGAGGGAAATAGCGAGTGATTTGTACTATATTCATGATTATACATAAATTATATTGTATCTTCTCCAGAGGTTCTTCGCCACATATACGGGTGTTCGAAGTTATAGCAGTTCAAGTCAAGATCCAATGCATTCGGTATCTAATGTAAATGTAAATGATCCGGCAAGCTGGGTGGGAAAAAAAGAAACTTTGCAAATAGTTATACATGTATCGATCAACAAGGTCCACCTATCAAAAATAGTAGACATCTCACACGGGATATGGGATCGTCCCTATTCCCATCACAGTACAAATCTCAGTATATACAGCGTCTGAACAGGAAGTCCATCTCACCAACCCTGCGCCTGCATCCGCTGGATCTTCTTAACAGTCTCCTGGAATGAGAACTTAAAAAGCTTCTTCCACCGCATCCGCTTCTGCTCCTTCCGCACCGCACCCTTGCGCTTGTGGAAGCGCTGTTCAAACGATTGCGCCTTGATCTTGTTGGTGGAACAGGTGATCTGCAAGTTGCGGATAGCAGCTGCGAGGTCGACGCCGCGCTCGGGCTCGACGTGGATTTGTCGGCCCAGGGTTGGTCCCAGCTTCAATTCCATTTTACGCGAGGCGAGTTGCTGCGCCATGCGTTCCTGGTTGTGTTTGCCTGCGCTGGCGCTGAGGGAGGCGACGTTCTCGGAGACAGAGTCGGCGAGACCGCGGCGACCGCGACCACGGTTGGTGGCATCTGTGGATTGTGTGCCGCGGTTGCCTAGGTCGAGCTTGTTGAGGATGTCGTCGAAGTCTGAGGCGCTGTTGGCTCCTTGGGGATTGGGAGCGGCGGCAGTAGTGGCGGCGGTGGTTGAAGCAGAGGATTTTTGTGTGGGTTTTTCGGAAGAGTCGGAGGTAGTTTGCTTGGGTGGTTGAGAGGAGGTACTTGAGGAGTTGTATCGGAGAGTGCTGGTGAGGAAAGATTGCTGGAATAGAGGTTGTTGGTTCAGCAACCACGGTGTTGGCCGGGCACGGAGCCCACGGGCCAAAAGGCGAGTATCCATTGTTGTGGGAGCGCTTGTGTCTTCTCGCACAAGGCTAATTGAGTGGATTGGGATGTCGCTTTTCCAAAGAGGTGGATGTGATGGGGGATTTGGAGGTCGCGAGAGGCGGAGCGGATCGATTGAAATTGTAGATCACGTGCACCTCCGCAGCTTGGAGCGCCGTGGAGCATTTACAAGCGCTGCCTTTTTGACTACACTTGTCTTTGTCTTTCTTTCTTATTACGTGAAATTCCACGTTTCAAGATTCACGTCAAATACCCATTCATTCAATGTCTTCCATTTCGATCGCGTCTCTCCCGCGCATGAACCGGGATGCTCTAAGCGCCCTGCTCACATCTACCACCGAATCCGATAAGCTCGCAATCATCGATGTTCGAGACTCTGGTATGGCCCCCCAGATGCTGACTTCTCCCCGCGATTACTTATAGCGTAGTTCACTAACTTTAACAGACCATATCGGTGGCCACATCAAGTCCTCAATTTGGGTCCCAACTTCATCTCTCGATGTTCGTTTGCCAGAGCTACTCCGCACTCTCAAAGACAAGGAAATGGTGATTTTCCACTGTGCTCTTAGCCAGCAGCGTGGCCCCTCTTCTGCACTTCGCTACGCCCGTGAGCGAGAACGTATTCTGGGCCCCGAAGAGTACCAGAAGCAAGAGGTCTTTGTGCTCGAGGGCGGATTTGTCCAGTGGCAGGAGAAGTATGGCAAGGATGAGAAATTGACAGAGGCATATGTCGAAGATATCTGGCAGGAATATTAAGCTGCCGCTGTGCGCTGCTCCTGAGTGAAGATATCCCTCTATGCTTTATGAGAAATGAATATTGTGACAAATTAGAAGATACGGCATACACCAATTGCAATGACATCGTGACAAAAATGCGTTTTCTTCTGGTTAATCATTATAATAAAGTATTTTGCCCATAATAACCTTGGAAATGAACTTTTAATCATTCGTGATAAGACATATCCAATATTTTATTATAATACATTTTTATATCCCATACTAGTTCTCTCCGAGTCGATATTTTGTTATCATACAAAGGTGGGCGGTATGGATGCCCAGCTTGGACTATATTCAAGGCATTCCAATACCCCCTCCAAATCCAACAGGACGTCTCTGGCCATCGTTCTCCGGAACAATGGTCATAACCTTATAGATCTGGCCCATAGAGCCACCGCCCTTCTCAATCAATCTCTTCCAGCCAGTTTCCAAAGTCTTTCTGTGCTCTTCGTCCTTGACCTTCCGAAGAAGCTGTTGCATACGCTCTTCAATTCCCAACGCTGAAAGAAAGTCGCCCTGATCCACAGGGCCGTGAACCTCAACGCCCTCACTTCCTTCTAGAGCTGCTTCGGCAAGAGCAGTGAAGTCAACGTCCGCACTGACGTCAACCTGACCCGGCGACGATAGGAACGGGACAATTTCATGGTTTTGAATACCACGTAGAGAGTTTATCGGAATGGTGGATGCAGTCCCGTAGTCCATGATCAAGGCTGCTCCTGAAGGGGTCTTCTTAACTGGTTCTTGGACATCAGCCTTCCCAGACCGAGGAGCACCGTCACCACCGATACGACGGGCGAAGTCTGCGGCATAGATGCGACTCTCTGGGCTGACTTCAATCATCGAGCCCGGCTGTGATTTGAGCGCCCGGTAGCGGTCGGAGGCTTCGGGGATGACGAGGGAATTAGGGGTCGAGGCCTTCGCCTTGGTCAATTTGAATTCGGGTTCGCCCTCGATGTTTTCTTCAACGGCCTTGGGATTCAAGGTGACAAGGAGCTCTCGCCACTGAGGAGTGTTAGCAACCTTCAATGGTTCATGTAGCTTCTGCGGCCCGGTAGGAGTCATGATCTCCGTCTGCTGAGGTTCGTTCTCGGGAGATGGGGGGACAGATTCAAAGGCATGGACAGGAAGCGCGTCGAAGAATTCATGTGCGAAGATGAAGGGGGTCTTTCCTTCCTCTGGTGAGTAGACATGTTAGCCAATTCATTTTTCCATAGCGACTATTCCGCCTTTGTGACTTACCGTGTGGCAACAAGCGAATGTCCTCGACCCAGATGATGGGTACATCAAAGTATTTGCACACACTCCGGTGACCAATATCCGTTTCTTCCATGACCGCCTCTTTGCCGCAAAGGGTTGTTTTCTGAAGCTGTCGCAATGTCGGACTAGCTTCAACGAGGTATATAGCTTCAACGCTGGAAGAGAAGCTCTTGAAATTCCGGAATGTCTGTCATAGCACCGGTTAACCTCAAACTCTGCAATAGGATGAACCTGAACGTAGAACTCGGTTCTTGACAACTGACCCGCAGCATATCATCCATTAAAGTCCCCTTGCCCGGGCCGACCTCCATCAGTTGCACACCACTTTTCGTCCGGCCCTGTGCCATCCATTCCGCAATTGTCCAGATACCAATCAACTCGCCGAACACTTGTGAGATCTCGGGCGAAGTGACGAAATCACCATGTTTACCAAAAACAGCTCCGCCTTCTTGGGTGGTGTAGTATCCTCCTTCCGGTGAGGTCAAAACTTGGCGCATAAAGGCTGAGATGGGAATAGGACCTGTGACCTAGATGGTGCGCCAATTGTCAGCATGGGTGCCGAGTTATCGAGGAATATCAGACAGGATTCACCTTCATAGCACTGGCCAATATACGTGCTAAGGGCGTCGACCATTGTCTTTGTTCAAATGTTGAGTTGCATCGTCGTAAATATGGTGACAATACCGGATTGCGAGACCTCCGCAAGGCGTGCAACGCGATGCGCCTGGTGACGGAATTCATGCTTAATCAGAGCTGGAGGGCCCTTGATGAGCTTTTCCGAGCGGTCGAGAGCCAGAGAGGGAAACTGCAGCGCTTGAATTTGACAATTGCGCTCGAGCCAGGGCACAGGTCAGGATGCTGGTTCGTTCTGGTGTGTTTCTGCTCCGCAAAAGCTCCGGTCCACGTGATCTTATCTTTATCGCGCTGGATTTTAGCCTAGGATGCCCCAGGGCGACGGCCATGAATATCCATTCATGATGTCAATTATTGAATAATCATACAATTCGTGATAAAATAAACTAAACACGTAGCAGAAATGATACATTGAGAGTGTAGGCCGATATATCCGGTTCAAGTTGGAAGTATTACATGAGTATCCATCAATAACTATCGCCTCCGCCGACTTTGGTTGTTTTGCTGTGTATCCACCATCATCTGATCGCTGTAAAGACTTGACTGGGGCAAGTTGTAACGAAGAGCTTCATCCTCGACGTCAAAGCCGTAACTTCCATTTTGGACCTGAGGTTCTGCGCGGCGATTGCGTCGATCGCGATCGGCCTGCTCCCGAAGGTTGTTAAACGAGTTTTGCGTGTTGACATGCGTGGTGTCGCCGCCAACTTTCAGCTTGAAAGTTAATTTCCGCTTGTCCGCCTATGAGATGAATATTAGCTGGAAGTCATGAGATGATTGGAATCTGCTTTCGATTCTTACCCATTGGTTGTCAAAGTTGGCGACTGTGTTCTCCGCAATTTCCTTCTCTGCATAGGTGATCTCTGCCGTGACAGCTGGCGAGTGGCTGATGACACGGCAGCTAAGCATTGGTCCAGTCCGGGACTCCAAAGCAGCTTGAATATCTGCGGCAGATGTCCCCGGGGAAAAATTGCTCCCCACCACGATGAATGGGCCCGAGGCGCCCTTAATCGACAGGCCATTCTTTGCTACTTTGGGATGGGGGTGGGGATGGGGATTGGCATCCCGTGCATTCTGGACAAGGGACAGCAGGCGCTCCGAGTGCGGATGTTCCTTTTGATTCTTTTTGCGCGCGGGCTTCTCGCGTGATCGTGCGGCCCCAACGGTGGCAGGAGATAGGTTCGTCTTCACTTTGGTCTTGTGTTGAGGCTGGGATTGTGGCTGGGTCGTCCGGAATGAGGCCGATGCGGATCGCTGAGAGTGCCAGAGAGATGATTAGAGAGTCGAGCGCATTAAACTGAGAGGACCACTGTGGTAATACCTTTAACTGGCCCGGAGCTGCGATGCGACTAGCCAGGCTCCCGGGCTTCGCAGGCTGTGCCCTGCTCAGTGCGCCAGAGCCAGAGCCGGGCGCACTCGCTCTGCGTTCCTTCTTGTTTTTGTTCTTTCCGAGAATTTGGTTGGCCAGCAACTCATTCTGCTTCTTTTGACGATCTGAAACGCGTCAGAAACAAGGTCGTTTTTGCAGGGCGTGCGGGCGCTGGGGATGGGGATAAAGGTTTACCGGATTGGATGATCTCGTCAAAAGAGGGTCCCTTGGGAGCTGGTCCCTTTGGAGCTTGCTTCTTGGGCGGCATAATGGCCTCTGAATGAGTGATAAGTGAGGAAGATCAGAAAAGTGGATGGGAGTGCTGATCTTAGGGAATGCGGGAAGAGAACTTGAAGCTGCAGAGTTCAAGGAGGGCTCGGAAACCCAAGGTTAGTCTTACTTTGGCCCGCTTTGAGTGGAGCCGCGATCGGCACTGCAAACACTCGATGATATTTATAGCAGTAGTAGTAGTCTCACAACTAAATATTTTGGTTGACAAGATTCGTTTCGACAATCCTCCATCCCCCAGAAACGAGACAGTGTAGTCTAAGTAGTTTACCGACCATAAACTCTCGATGGTTCCAAAATTGCTTTGCCACAAATCCCATTGATCCCACTACAACCACCAAACCAAAAGCACTAACAGTCCAAAGATCCCAATTATTGGCTTTCCATGCAGACATGCGTGAGTCTGCCGTCTGCAGATGCATCGGACGTAGTTCTCTGCCGTTTTGATCGAATCGTAGCTCATTGTCATACATCGCCTCGTCTATCAGATCTGCAGCGTGGCTTTTCCGACGCGCTGCAACATGGGCGATACGTTGGAGACGTAGTACATTCTGTCCGTAAAGTCCCTCTTCCCCGGAGTCAAGAATCTTCTTCGATTTCATATAAATCTCATCGGACGTAAATGTGAATTTGTCGAGAGACTCGGCAACACCGCCTGCCACAAGCCTTGTTGTATTGGCGGTCTGGTCGAAGAATATTCCCATGGAAAGCATCGGTTTTCCGTGATAAAGGGCCTCGTTTGCACTAGAACCGCCACCGTGGGTAAAATAGAGCCTCGTAGACGTATGGTCGAGGATGGCACGCTGTGGAGCAAAAAAAGGGAACATCCAGTCAGGGTGCTTGTTTGCTAGCATATCTGCCAGCGAAATATCCGCCATTTTACCTTCGATCGTCGTATTGAAACGCCGGCTGGTATCGATATCATGCCGGCCTGTTTTTGGGATAGCCCATATCACACCGTCGACAAGTCCTTCCTCCATCAGACGACCCACTCCAATCAGAATTTTGGTTACATCTTCATGGGGAAGAATGATGTGCGTGCCAAGAGCAATATAAAGAACGGATATGCGACTGTACAAGAATCCTTCGCACTTTGAATCCAAAGGATCCCAGATAGGACTCAATAGAGGACCAACTGGAGCGCAAGTAGGAGGTAGGTCCCTTGGGATCTCTAGACCAACAAAGGAGTTGACAAATATCAGATAGTCCGGCTTCTTGGGCTTGTGAATTGGACGGAAAACGCCATGCTGTTCACGCATTTGTCTAGTACGACTGAAGAGCCTCATGATAGCTGGTAAATCAAGCAAAATGATTATTTCATTCTTCAAACGTAGCCACATTGAAGCATCTTCTGAGGTCATAGTACCAGGCAATTGAAACCCCGGCTGACCGGGAATATAAGGGCAGGGCAATTGTAGCGGTGGCCAGTTCGGACAGACAATGGCAATTGGTATGTTATACTCGACATGCATATCATTGGCAGCTTCCACGAAGAAATCTGCCACAATCATGGTTGGACGTGTCTTTGGATCTTCGATAATCTTTTTGAGGCCGTCATATGTCTGAGGCCAATAAGAATCGAACATGGATTTGGAAATAAATGTTGGCTCGATGCCCTTGCGAACGTCCCAGGCTTGCATTCGCCGGTAGTGATCATTCAGTTGCTCAGATGTCGGACCAGGGCCCATAGTATGAATTTTGGTGACAAACCCATATTGATTGGACTTGATCCAGCTTTCTTGACCGTCAAGAGTCGCAAATTCAATAACATGACCGCGCTCTGCGAGGGCCCTACCGATTTCTAAAACGGGGCCTTTTATTTCGTGGACATCCAGTTAGCGATATAATGTTCCATTGCTAATTGAGGTCCTGATAGTACTAGTATTCTGCATGCTTACCGGCATGAGTAAACCCCCCCTGTTGTCACCACAAGCAATATTTTCCGCGACGGGTGCACATGTGATGAATCCATTTTGGGACCCGTGAAAAATCGTGTAAGTTCAAATAAAAGTTGAAATTTGAGACGCATCTCGACCTTTAAGAACATAAGTTTAGGCCCCCCCGTCGTCCTTTTCGAGCGGAGTTCGCTGCATGGCTCCACTCAATCCCGCTCGGTTTGATCCGGGTCAGCACCCATGCTAATAGTGAGTGCTTAGGCGCCCCCGTTGTTTCATAACTAACCAATGCATCTGCGTCATCATACCTCTGGTTTTCCAGAATTGGTATAGACCAGGTGCTCTCAGGCGATCGATTGATAAAAAGGACAAAAAGTGGCGTAGTAGACACGAAATGACAGTTTGTACAACTACTGCCCAAGGCAGTAGGTGGTGTTGAATGCCATTCAAAGGTTTTTATTTTATGAAACTGCTTTCTCGGAGGCTTCGTGTGGTAAACCTTGAAGGCTCAAGCTCCCCTGCTTAGTTTATATCTCTTCAAGTTAGTTCTCGAAAACCTTCAAGTTGTATTAACGAGTAGCTGTTCATGGGAGGATCCATAGATTGACGGTAGATTATGGGGATAGCAAGAAAACAACAACATGGAAAAATGAGACAAATAAATGACGGGTAGTATCAAGTCCCGCATAGCTGCAGCAACATAGGGACTTGTCAGGACTCATTTCCCTAGCTAGCTGGGTAGTTATTGGTATTCCCAAATATGAGTCGGGTGTTTGGATTTACGTTGTTGGCGCACAAGGAGTTCTGGGGGTTTTGTTGTGCCCATCATCGTAAATTTCGGGGTGTTAATGGATAAAAAGGATGGAAGGGTTGATATGCGTAGTTGTAGAGAGAAGAGGAAGCAAGGATATCTAGACATGAAAGGATGGCACAGTTGCTTTGATGCCTGAGGCCGTCGATGCCAATGACTATACTTGAAATGTCAAAGACACAACGCAGTGAGCACCGAAACAACACGATACTAGTATACCTCACCTCTTCTCAGCCTTATGCGTTCAAGACCGCTCGCTAAGGTTGATTTATGGAATATAAAGAACCTATCACTTTTCACGCGTACTACTAACTAGTAGTACTATGGTTATAACTACCTACTAACTAACTTGTAGGTATAATACCAACTTGAAGGTTCGCTCGACATTTGAATTTGTATAGGAAAGATATCCACCTGGGCACCTGGGCAGTCAATTTGAATGTGAGTACCTAGGTATTGATAATATTATAAAAAAAACAGAGCACAGTACTAGTACCTACCTCAGTACCTTTTACTAGTATTTCCTTGCGTGATAGTATATAGTATACTACTAGTAGTATATGCTACCTAGGGTAAGAGCTGGAGAACTTCAGAACTACATAGCAGGGACTTCCATGAGCCTTGGAACCCGGTCCGCGAGCGCTGGGTCACCTGGGCAGGCCAGGGCTTTTAAGTTGACCCGTTCCTCTACTAGTATACTCCCCATCGTCTCTCTCTTCAACTTTGCTTCAACTTCATTCTGATCACCTGCCCAGGTGAGCATCTTCCAGTCTTCCGACCCCATCGTGTCGGAGATAAACAGCGGCGCTACTTCCGAGCAGCGTATGATAAGTGATCTAATCTATTAATTAAGGGAGGATTAGAACAACGATAATCACTTCAGCCGCAAACGCAGGCCCGGATCTATTCTTTAGACTCACACAATAATACTATTTTTACTACAATTGTACCAATACAAACCTTGGAATGACTCCAGTATACTAGTATTTACCGACCAGATCACCCACGGTACACTACTAGTATGATAAACACCCAGTCTTTGACTCTGGTCCCACGGCATACTACCATTTAGGCGAAATATTTGCAGATCACTCCGAGTCTTGCCAGCATTCTGCTATTCTGCCCAGGTGAAAAACGGTACGCTAAGCTTCCTATAGTTTTTGTACCTTAGATTGAAGTTTGGCTAGCACACCAGGCAGTTGTACTGGCACCTGACTCCGTACGGAGAAACAGCATGTTTCAACAACTGACCTTGAGTGCCACAATCAGTCTCAATGATTAATCAGGGGGCGCTCAATTCTAACAGCTTTCTAAGTACCCCATTGGACGTAGTTAGATTAATTGTTTTAGAAAGGCGGGGCTATGTGCATATGGACAAGTTGGCCCCCATTCGGGGCGCACTTTGAATTCCACCTTGGAGCCCCTCAAACCATCATCTCTTTTGCTCCCACCCGAATTCCGATCAACCTTGGAAGATGAATTCATCCCTTCCCCCGAGATATGAGATCCGCGTTCTCGGGTCAGAGCATACAGAATGGGTTGGGGCTATTTGCGCCCATACAAATATGTTCTCCTCTCCACTGTGGCCAGTCCTGTATCCTGAAAACAGAACTGAGCGAGCATATCAAATGTTTCGTACGGGACATTACATGATGCAACACCAAATTGACTCTGGATTCTCCCTTGGCATTTTTGACAAGGAGTACCAATTCAAGCGACCAGAGTCTGCGGCTACCGAAGGCAAGCTGTACTGGAACCTGGACGACGCGAGTGCTACCGAACACGACCTGGAGAGTCAAATGGATTTTCCATTGGTTTCAGTTGCTATGGCATACGATGGAATCGATGAGCTGGATATGGAAAAGATGAAGCCGATCATCGGGACATTACCCCTGTTCGCCACAGCCTACAAGGCTTTAAACGAACTTGATACGCGCGATTCTGCCTCATGGAAACCCACTGGTCGCGGTCAGGTACTGATGCGTAACGCCACTAGTACACGTGGTCCTTACGAGGGCCAGGGACTGATGAGACAGTTGGCTGAGGAGCTGATGAGACGCTCGGCATCGCTGGGTTTTCGGGGTATTCAGATTGAAACTGGCTCTGAAGCTGTCCTCAAGGTTTGGTCGACTCCCCCGGTACAGTTTAAAGCAAATGTTATTGGGAAGGTACACACAACCACGTATGAGGAAAAGAACGAGTCTGGAGAGACCGTATATCCGTTTCGGCCAGCAAATCTCAATCTCGGCAAAGTTTATGTGGATCTCAAGACTGCGGGATCTCAGCCAGCTTGATTTCCGACTCCTGTCAGACCATCCCGACCGAAGGAATCCTGGTTCATCTACAAGGGAAGATTTAGGTCAAAAGCCGGGGTTTTCTATCCCAGCTTCTTAGTTTGCTATCGCCCCCTGTACTTTCAGCAGCATTGAGTTGGAGAAAGTTTGTTTTGATGGAAGATTGGAAAGATTGGTTCCACTGAGGCATTGTACGGTTATGCCAGATCCATAAGAGGGTAGAATATTAATATGCGAAGGGGTATTGTTCAACTTCAATTTGGAAGAGACAAAGTTATTCTATCGTTAGAGAACCGTTGAATCATATTTTTCATGAATAGTACATACATAGTAGGGTTACATGAATGTTCTTATCAGGTACAACCGGATACTGAAAGTCGCTTAAGGTCCCCCGATTAATGAATACTCGCCATTACGCGTGCTATACTCGCCCAATCTCATTATATCATATTATTATAGAGCTCATTGATTGACATTATTTTAAGTACACGCAATTAAAGATAGCAGAGAAATTGACTAATACTGGCCACGCCTTGTGTCTCTGTCAACTAGCTCCACGTCGCTGTTCGAATCGTCATTATGTGACCGCGCCGCATACTTGACGGAATAGCTGACAGATTTATTTATCGCACTATCTTGACCGTAGTTCGCTCTGTTGCTTCGACCTCCTGGCGCCGCAGATCCGTATGTTCTCCCGTATGTCTCTCGGGTAGAGCCACCCAGCAGTGCGGGAAACCAACGAGCAATAAGCGCTCTGGATGCAGGCAGACAGGCGCACAGTACAGAAATCTGGCATTCGATGACGGACCAGTAGATGAGTGGGTAAAGACCGAGGGTCTGGTTGAGACCCCAACGGTTATTCCAGAAGACAATAACTCGGATAATGGCGATGATAGTGAGGCTGTGACGTGAATTTAGTACTTCTTCAGCCTATGGAAAGTGAAGCTTGGGGACACTTACAGTGAGCCAACAACGAACATCAGTGCGACAGTTATCTTCTTTCGCAGCGGCATTTGCAACTTGCTCACTTCCCAAACTGGCAGAACAATAGTGATCGTATCCACGACAATGTTCACGAGGCAATTCACCAGGATAGAATTAATGAAGTTGATGCACTGCCCTGATTCTTCGTTCGTCCAACCATTCCAGGTGAGGTGTACAGGAAGACAACGAAATGAATCCACCAATGCCCATGTGATACCGATCGCGGCATTTATGCCGATGAGACCATATGCGATATAGCGAAACAACGGACTTTGGAAAATGCGGAGAAGGAAGAGAACAACCGAGATTTTGGCGAGAGATATCTGGATTTTGTACATCACTGCAAGAGCTTGGAAAAGCTTGCATTTGTTAGTACTACAGGATATTATTGGATGGAGAGCGATCAAACCTTGTAAAATTCGGTGATATCGGGGAAATCAATGTCCCAAATATTCCGACCGAAGCCATACCGTATCACTACTTTTTGTTAGTTTTTACCTGGGGAACGTTGGATGGAGCATCAACTTACTATAGACATAGATGGCATAAATCGCAACACCCATGAACTACCTACCGTTAGCATACCGATAGTGAGCCGATAAAACGACTGACTCACATATGAAACAATGATTGTATAGTCATCCCACCCCCACCCGCCGGCAAGTCCACTGCTCTTGGCGAATATCCTCGCCACGAAAAAAAATCGAAGCAAGAACTAAAGGAGTCAGAGTTGACCCACTGACCACTGGAGGGCCCTTGAGCGGCGTAATGTCACATTCATTTTCATACTGCCGTTTTGTAGCTGAGAGTGTTAGGTAAATTGAGAAAAGGCTGATCAAACACAAGTGAAACTTACTAAAAAATTCCTTGGTTGTGCAATTACTCTCGACACAGCTCAGTAAAGCAGAAGGGCGCGAGTCACTGGCACAGAAGCATGTGCTGTTATTGGTGAGGGAACAACTTGAGAACAAGCTCTCATTGCATTTCAACTGGGAAATAAGTTGTCAGCGCCAGGTATTTAGTTATAACACTCTACAAGTGTACTCACAGTGCAAGAAGGGAACTGCGTCGCAGTTGAGCTTGCTGCTTGTATCCCCACTACCAACAGAGCCAGGAGGCTAAGTAGATACAACTGGGTTCTCATCATGAAATCGAACGTACCTAGGTACGGATATTCAAGTTCAAGTTGGGAAAGAGGAGAACAGTAAGTTCGCACGGGGGGGCAGCCGCTTGTTTATGTTTGTGCTTCGGCATGATTGTCTCGAATGGGCAACGTGGGGAATTCAAATTTGTTTCACTTAATCACTACTCCTAGGTAAAAGAAATAATACGCTAAGCCACGTGTTGACCCAGGGTTAAGGTTATCCATCTGCACAGTTTCCAGCTGAGGCGTCGACCCTAATGATCTTACTGGGTTCTGATTGAGCCTCAAATCATGGATCGGAGGGACCGGGACTAGGGCTGGGTCTCGGTACGTTCGGTGAGATCTGGATCGGGAAAATCATCCGCTTATTCCCGCCTAATCAGTGTAAAATTTGAATAGCGTCCCGAGTCTCCACAATGGACAATGAGGAGGTACGATCGGCCTGGGCCCCTTTTAACTTGGCGTAAAAAGCCACAGGAACTTGGTTGAATTATTTCCGAACCTTGAAATCGTTAGAAGATAGCGTGGCGCAATAGGTACCAAAATTGAGTCGTAACGTATACTTCACAAAAACAATGGAAATAACCGCCTACTCCCTACGATGATTATGCCTTGGGTATTTGATTTCCAAAATTCTTGTCACTTTCACAGAACTCATTAGTCTCTCATTAGCTGCGGGGACCTCGGCTCTCATATGCCGGTAATCCTGATTACCAGTGCACAGCTAAATATTTACCCTGGATTCTCCACTAGGAAGCATTGGCAGAGGGCTAGGAAGGGAAGTTACATGAATTGCTGACCCACCGATGTTTCCACCGTTGCTTGAAAGGGATCTTTTCTAGTGGAACCTGAAAACTAGCATGATCAGACTGTGGGAATTCGTAGAGATCTGTATTTTTTCCAAACGAGAAGGCCATCACACGAGCACGAACCAATTCATAACTTCTTTAATGAACCATAAGGCTTACTTTCTATCGCTTGTAAATGCTTGAAATTCTCCTTTGCGGTGGGTAATCTAAGTCGCCAAGTCTACCGTCAAGTTCTAGAACCGTAACACAAGTACAAGACTAGCCTAATGGGCCGACAACTTCGCACTAAGGCACTGAAAATACTCCTAATATTAGGCTTCTTTAAGTTTCTTTTTTCGCCGCGAAAAAATGGAAATTTAGTTGCTGTCCATATTTTCAACAATCTTTCATCTTACGGCGCATTCATCAGTGCTGAAAAGTTTGATGTCAATGTCGCGGAGTCATACCGTAATCAGAGGGAGTAAATGATAGGAAAATTATCTTAGAAGCCTCGGCATTTGGATTATTGAGCTCCGAGTCCATGTCTGGAAATTAAATTACATCATTTAATCTATTCTTGCCAATTGGTAAGCAACACGAAACGAATCAACTTGTCCTAATGCATACAGCGGACGGCTTTCTTTATTTGGCATGTATATGCAGGGGTGAGGTTGACGTCTCTCTCTTATTGATCCATTCCACTTTTAGAAAGATGCTTGTTTGAGAACTTTGAGTAACTGAGGAGAATGTGTCGCACGTCGTCGTAGTTCAACCAAAGGGCGCATATACCCCAGCTCTCGGAGTGATTCCGACTCCAGGGGAATTTGATCGACATATACTATACTCATGTCGCATGAGGCAATCAAAATCCTGACCGTTGAAGAGTACTAAAAAGGGGTCACTCAATCAGTGCTCAAGGTAAGCCGGATGATCGACAAGCCCACCGGACAGTTTCCCATCGCAGGAAGACCGACCGTGGGGTTAGTGGAAATTCCCCGGCGGGCGCCCGGATGCCCAGGTGGGCATTTCCCCTCACGAGATGCCAATGTTGCTCGATAATATACTAGTATTCTTTAGCATTCGAATAGAAAACTACCCCAAAGCAACAGTAATGCATACCTCAAAAATTGAACTTTCATCACACTCCAAGCATCTATAATCCGCCTACGGCTTATCCCGCCGGAGATTGAAATATTATATGTAGTATTATCTTATCAACATTTGGAAGGCTCTCCAAATCAATTATTTCCGATCAAGGTAACTGAAACATTCAGAGCAGCTTCTCCGTCTTGCCTTATATCGATATTTCTACGAGGATTTAATATTCCTGGTCGTTCGCGCAGCCCAAAATGCTGTACTCCAAAGGGTCACGATGGCAAGGCTTTTTAGCCATATTTCTTTGCATTTTAGTTGAATTTTGCTTTCCGGTGAATGGGCACTCGAGTATCAAACCGGATATTGGCGCGCTTGCTTTTCCATTTGGCCTTGGCAATGTTCAATTATCCCAAAATCGCTTTCTGGAAAATCAAGACCGCACCCTGAACTATTTGAAAGACATAGATGTGGATAGACTTCTCTATGTCTTCCGGGTGAACCATGGAATAGATACACAGCAGGCAGATCCTAACGGCGGATGGGACGCTCCTGACTTCCCGTTCCGTTCGCATGTTCAGGGTCATTTCCTCAGTGCCTGGGCCCAATGCTATGCTGCACTCAACGACCAAACATGCTACGATCGAGCAGCTTACTTTGTTACCGAGTTGGAAAAGTGCCAGGCCAACAACAAAGCTGCCAGCTTTACAGATGGTTACTTATCTGGTTTCCCAGAATCAGACTTTGCAAAACTTGAAAATTCCACTCTAACAAACGGCAACGTTCCTTATTATGCTATTCACAAGACGCTAGCCGGGCTCCTGGACGCCTGGAGCCTATTGAATGACACAACTTCTCGAGACGTCCTTCTTTCCATGGCCCAGTGGGTCGATGAACGCACAAAGTCCTTCAGCTACGATAAAATGCAGCAAATACTGCAAACGGAATTTGGCGGTATGAATGAAGTTCTGGCCGACATCTACCACCAAACTGGCGACGCTAGATGGCTTACCGTTGCCAAGCGCTTTGATCATGCGGTGGTTTTTGACCCCCCTCGCAGCCGATGAAGATGAACTTGATGGTCTCCATGCAAATACTCAAGTTCCTAAATGGATTGGGGCAGCTCGCCAATACAAAGCCACGGGAGATTCTCGGTATCTGGATATTGCCCGCAACGCTTGGAAAATCAATATCAATGCGCACACATATGCTATTGGTGGCAATAGTCAAGCTGAGCACTTTCACGCCCCAAATGCTATTGCTGCATATCTTACGAGTGACACTTGTGAAGCATGTAATTCTTACAACATGCTCAAGTTGACTCGTGAATTGTGGCTTGTCGATCCTAAGAATAGCGCATATTTTGACTTCTACGAAAATGCGTTACTGAATCATCTCCTAGGACAACAGAATCCCGATACGGACCATGGTCATATTACTTATTTCACTCCTCTCAATGCTGGTGGTCGTCGTGGTGTCGGTCCTGCTTGGGGTGGCGGTACTTGGAGTACAGATTACGACTCATTCTGGTGCTGTCAAGGCACAGCGCTAGAAACGAACACTAAATTGATGGACTCGGTCTATTTCTACAGCGAATCGACATTATTTATCAATCTCTTCATTTCTTCAATCCTACAGTGGCCGGAGATGGGAATTAGTTTAAAACAATCTACGTCCTACCCCGTCGACGACACAACGACATTGGAGGTTTCTGGCCGTGGCAGATGGAAAATGAATATCCGCATTCCAAACTGGACGTCGGGCGCTAAGATAACAGTCAATGGGAGAGTTCTATCCAATGTTCAGGTTTCTCCGGGATCATATGCTCAAATTTCGCGCTCATGGGCTGATGGGGATGTCGTTGAAGTCCACCTTCCCATGAGCCTGCGTACGATAGTTGCCAACGACAATTCAAGCATGGTCGCAGTTGCGTATGGCCCGACCGTCTTGAGTGGCAACTATGGCGATCAAGCAGTGAATAATGTCCCATCTATTGCTCTTGACTCTATCCACCGCATAGGGGATTCCAGTCTTGCTTTCACCTCTCTTGCCGATGGTAAGAATGTTACGCTGAGTGCATTCTATGACGCCCAGGGCTATAACTATAATGTATACTGGGTCGCTACAGGGAAGCTGTGATGCTGAATACGCTGCTATTAGTAGATCCTGAGAGAAATCGCTATTGTCGGTGTGAATTAAGATTACTAAGTATAAATCTGAAAGAGTCTCTTGTGCTCATTAAAATTTGAATAATTCGAATACTATACTAGAAATTCATCATTCATAGACTGACCGACCCTTTCCTCAACCATTTTCAACTGACATTCGCCAATTGAGATGAGTGGGGTATTCAATGCTAATTCGGGCTCCTCATTCGGAATACGAGATGAGTCATTTCCTGTCATGCATTGGTCGGCGAGTACGCGGAAGCGACTTGTTCACATAATATTCCAATTGATTGAAAGAGACCCACTTCGCTCGGTCAGTATTAAATATGCTCAGCATAGCTAAAAACAACCCACATATTGTTTCCATTTCCCCCACAAACACAGCTTCAAGTGAGGTCCGGTACTCCGGATTCTTTTTGTTAAGAATATACCCAACTTCACCTTTCTCCATACTTTGTTTGCTAAAAAGGCATACTCCAACATGGCAACAAATCCAGTGGATCAAGACGATGAGCGTGAGCAGATCTCTCAAAGTCTCCTACCGACTTCTTTTGCATGCTCTTCTTTGAGTCGACTTTCCGGTGGCACTGCCAATTTCGTATATCGGGGCACATTATCCGGGTCCACAAAATCCATCATCATCAAACATACCAAAGGACATTCTGCATCGAATCCGAACTTCAAGATTGATAGTAAGAGATGTGTCTGTGCTCACTGTTCGTTGTCGGGAATGGACACGATAGCTGATTTCTGCGTAGCACTTTGAAGTGGCCATTCTCCGCACACTGAGCGATCTACCGCCATATGTTGAGGCTGGTGTGACTGTCAAAACACCTGAACTCCTACATTTTGATACAGATACAGATACACAGATTTTGGAAGATCTCCCTGGCTCTGTTGATTTGAAGACCTTCCTCCTTTCTGATGTGTCAAGCGAGTTATCCAAATCATCGGCTGAAGCTCTCGGTCGCGCGCTCGGATCCTGGCTGCGATCGTTTCATGACTGGGGCAACAGCAAAGATCAATCGGGATGCAAGGCAGCCCTCGGCGAAAATGAAAGCATGAGACAACTCAAATTCTGGGTGAATTACACCATGTTGCTTGATACTATTGCGAATTTCCCCGATATCCTCGACCCGAGTCGCCATGTGTTTGAACAAGTTCGCGACTTTGCTGCGTCCGAGTTGACGAAACAGGACCACGACGATGAATTCGGAATTATCCATGGTGATTTCTGGATTGGGAAGTATGTTCAATTTTGAATTTTGCTTGGTTTCTTCAGATGGAAAGCCTGCTAACAAATGGTCTTCCCTAGTGTTCTTATTCCCAACGTTGCGGTTGCCAGTCAAGTGGATACCACTCTGTTCGTTGTTGACTGGGAGTTGGCGCAAATCGGTACTCGGGCCTTAGATCTCGGGCAGATGATCGCTGAGCTATACGAAACGAACCTTTTCAAAGGGTCAGAGGCTGGCATGTGGATCATTCAAGGACTCCTTGAGGGATATGGCAATTTGAGTGACAAATTGGCATTCCGCACAGCAATCCACGTTGGTGTTCACCTAATCTGCTGGGGTAGTAGAGTGCCTGGATGGGGTAGCAAAGAACAAATTGCAGATGTTGTAAAGATTGGAAATGACATGGTTATCGGAGGCTGGGCGAAGGACAAAGAATGGTTTGAGAATCATGGACTTGGCTTCTTTTTCAAGAAATGATACTGGGGGTTCATTAAATGCTTTGATCCGATAGATTCATCGGAATTATCATTTGCATAAATCTACAACTTATGTTTTATAAGCCATTTTGACTGAGTATAGAAACATTTTAATTGACTTTCCTTAAGCGTCCTGTCTTGGAGAATCGTATACCGTTTCCTGCCAGGTCATATCACGTTGCACCCTGATTGAATTTAATGGGACCTCATCCCCGACGCGTCGTCTGCCTGACTGATTTCTAGTCGTATACGTTGCTTGGAATTCAAATCGGGCCGGAGTGCTGAATGCCCCCCGCCCGTACTTTTAAGCGCCGAGTTGTGATAATCGCTCGTTTGTGCATGGGAGGTGCCAAGAGTGCTGGAGAATTTTGATGAAAGCATCATGAACAACGGTCGCAAGGTCGGCAGGCAGGCGGAGATGATTCCGCTGGAGCATTCTATGAGACACCACGTACAGGCCCTGGCGAGTGTCCAGGGGGTATCGGTAGGATCAAACTGGAAGAGTGTAGAAAACCGATAGGCGCTTGTAAATACCACACTGTTCATTTGAAGGAAATGTTAGCTCATATTTTCACTCGGAATACCACGAGAAACCAGAGACCACCTGGAACCTTGGAAGTTGGTTCTGCTGAAGGGAGAGGAAACTAACAAACTGCCCAAAAGAAATACCGCAATTACCGAAAGTCGATGTGTGAGGTTTGCATGTAGACCCCATACAACATGTACCGGCAAAGAAAGAATAGCTATATCCGTGACAATATTCGGGACCGCATTTCCAATAAATGAAGCCTTGAGATTGATGCAGGTACCAGGTAGACTGTTATTCCAGCCCTTGGCAATGGGATTGCACTGAAATACGCTCACGCAAATTATAGCAATTACCCAGCCCACGACAATGGCGCCCAGGATATAAGAGGCGATGCGGAAGTTACGCGTCGGAAATATGCGGGCGTACATGAGCAATATGGAGATCTTAATAATTCCCACTGTTGTGCAGTAGACACATTCAAAAGCCATGAGCAACTATGTGTGCGTAAGCAAGAATCCCGTTTTATAAGTCTCTGTGGGGGTAGAGTGGATAGTGTTCATACTTTTGCAATGGTCACGATGTTCTGTGTTGGGAGAGCGGCTGCATGGCGCCCCAACCCATAGTTGATCACTAGCATAGCAGTCGTTAGAAAAGCGGGGATGAGAAAGGTCACGGCTTGGTTCTCTTTTCTTACTGGTTAGGTTAAGACCACAAGTTGCAGAAAGAAATACCTGTATCCGTCAAAGTCAATTCAAGAACTGGACAAATAACTTAGGCTGGCTCAAACTCACGACCGACAGCACAATCGTATAGTCATCCCACCCAAACTGCAAACCCTTTCTCCTCCGCGAAAGAAATCTCAAGATCACGAAAAAAAAATCCCAGAGCGGTCATGGCGATTGTCTGCGCTCGAAACTCCCCCTGGCGGCTTTCGTGGATATCCATCGCCGATGCCATAGCTCACCAAGCACGCCTGAGGACGTTGCAATAAGCTCAACCGTCACGAAGGTGGCGGGGACTGAAACGAAGAGGATTCCAGTTTGAAGAAATATGCAGGGATTTAGAGCCAAGCCTTATATTGATTATCTTCCACACGTGGGGGACCCTTTTTGACCCCAAGGATTCCCGGCAGTAAGAGCCCACAAGGGGCATTTTAGATTCTGTCAAGAACGGGTGATCCTCAACCAGAACTGTCCTGCCAATGACTAAACTAACTTCTTCGGTAAGTGACACTGATATCCGCAATTTAGCGAAATAACGGTGCTGCTGCTAGTTTGGTGTTGTGGCTTGTAGATCTTTCAGCCGCCTGGGGCATAGTGGAGCAAGTGGCCTCGCGATCTCGAAAACAGTTGGGCCGCGGACAACTTCCGACCAAGACATGTCAGCCACTAAATCCTTCAGGATGTAGCTAAACGGCTGGCGTGACTGCAATCTCCCATTTCAGGACTAGAATCTCCCTCTATGCCGTTCTTCAGTCCCAGCACGATGGCCAGTACGTGGCTTTGTCGAGGTATCCAACCTACCCCTTGGCCCCTTTTAAGCAACATTCTGCCCCGATGTTAGTCAAGTCCCACCAGATTGAGTGACAACTGCAAGTTTCAAATAAGAAAAATGGCCGCCAATACCAGCCCCATCTTTGTCTTCGTGCCTGGTGCATGGCACACCCCAGACACCTTCGACGGCATTCGCGACTTGCTGAACAAGCGAGGATTTGAATCTGAGGCTGTCGCCAATCAATCTGTCGGCGCTGCTGATCCATTGACTGGTCTACATGCCGATATTTCCTTTACAAAGGATGTCATCCAGAAGTTGGCTGATCAGGGACGACAAATCGTGGTGGTGACCCATTCCTATGGTGGCATGGTCGGTGCAGGCGCCGTTGAAGGGCTTGGATTGTCACAACGGGCTCAGGCTGGCCTCCCCGGTGGTGTGATTCAAGTGGTCTGGATGGCCGCTTTTGTTACTCCCAAGGGCAAGTCGGTCATCGACATGTTGGGTGGCAACTGGCTTCCGTGGATGTTGCTAAAGGTATTGAGTTTTGCAAACCCTTGAACTTGAAGTTATATAAGTGTGTTAGCTGACATGGCTCCAGAGTCCCGATGATGGGTATTGCTACTCTTCCGAGCAAGAAACTGTCTTCTACCACGACATGACCCCGGCTGCGCAGCAACAGGCTATCGCTAACCTCAAGCCACACCCTAAGCCTTCTTTCTTGGAAAAGTCCGTGCACGAACCATGGCATGACATGCCCTCATTCTATCTCTTCTGTGACAAAGATCAAGCTCTGCCGCTCCAAATTCAGGAATCCTTTGCTCAGGCCTTGGGTAACCCGGGTACTTACCATGCGGATGGGTCACACTCGGCTTTCCTGAGTGTGCCAGATCAGGTCGCGGATGGACTGGAGCTTGCGTTGAAGGAAGGTCTGCAGAAGACCGCAATCGCTGTGCAATAATAGATTCCATAATTACAACGAGAATATAACGGCCTGGAAGATCGAGGCCGAAAATAGCTGTGTTGTCATCTTGTATGTGTAAACTTGGGTGCAGGTGAAAAAAAAAGCCCGAACGTTACACAAAATGCTAGCGATCTCATTTTCTGGGCTTAATATCTCATTCATATGACCGTGCGCTTGTTCGTTCAACATGGATGAGCTGAGGGAGGGAAAATAAAGGAGAAGCCGCCAGGGTGGGGTCAGATTAATACGCCATAGACGACTACGGCCGTACGGGAACATCAAACGGCATTACCTCGATGACTCAAGCATCCAAATCGCCACCAGCGCTCTCTCCGACATTTTGGTCATTCGGATGCAAAGTTTCATGGTTCGAGGCTTCTGTCAAAGGTAAAGCTAGCTCTAACATGAAATTATGGTGTTTATAGATGCGAAATTCGTCAGCTAGTCTAGGCGCAACGTGGGCATGATTCGCGTTCTATCACCCCCCTGCGATGTGCTGATGAAAAAAGTCCACATAATCGAAGATACTTCGCTTGAATCGTCTTCCAAATTTCCCATCAGTCCTATTCACAGTCTGCATCCCGTACTGATTCTCATAACTGCCCCACTCATTATTGTCAACATAAGACCAAGCAAGCGTCCCAATCACATTGACGCCATCCAGATGAATCGACTTTAGCATTTCCGACAAGAAACCTTGGTAATAGAGCGTTCTTTCCAAATCCTGTCTCTGGGCATCAACCGGGCGCCGGTGGTCTGCGATTGGATTGAAGCCAAACTCCGCTATCAAAATGCCCGATGGTTTGAATGTTTCCCAGACATAGCTCAGCTGTTGACGAACGTATTGGGGGGCAATTGCAGCGTAGGCATTTGACATATCTCCCATCGCCCAACCATCTGCTTGAATATTAGACGTTATTACGCAGTAAGGCCATGCGCTGCTTGATGGATTTGCAGCACAATTTGCAATTCCTTCAGGCGCAGGCGAGGCAAATTGTGCGACGTAGGGATCAAAGGCCCAAAAGTCCATTGTTCCGTGAAAGCGTGAAATTTGCCCCTTCGTCAGAGCAGTTAAATTGAGATTTGCCGTGGCAAGAGCGTCGGCTGGAATTTGTTGTCCTAGGAACAATGGATTACCCATGATCCCCAATATGAAGTCCTGGTATCTTAGCGCGGCTTGAATGTGGGTTGCATTTGATATGTCGAGGGGGACGGCGAGGTTATTGGCGAATTTCATGCTTATTTGACCAGTTCCCTTTAATTGCGTTTTATACCAGTGATACACCTCTGCGTGGGCGGCCATAATAGAGGTGAGATCATTCCATCCATTGAATAAATACTCGACTCCAACATTTGGCTCATTGAAGGTGAACCAGAACGGTATACGGTCCGCGTACCTCGTCATAACCTGCTTTGCGTAATAGAGAAAATGCTCGGGCAGTGTTTGCAGATCGTCCATTTGACTCAAAGGAAAGTCAAAGTGGTTCAATGTCACGAGGGGAGTGATTCCGTATTCAAGGCAAGTGTTGATCACATCGTCGTAGTGCTCAAGGCCCTTAGTATTAATAGGTGATCCAGCAATCCCGAAGGGGACAACCCGAGTCCATGAAATTGAGAATGAATAATACGGTATCCCGATGGCGGCTAAGCGTGCAATATCTTCTCTGTAAAGGAAATAGCCCATGTCTGCAATATTTGCATCGGACTGGTTATCATTGGACTGGATGGCTCCGACTGTGTCCATTATGGACGGTCCACGACCATCAACTTGTAGACCACCCTCAATTTGCCAAGCGCTACCGGAGACGCCCCAGATAAAAGTTGCAGGCAATTTCAAATTCGACTTCTCTGAACTTGTATAAAGCGCCGGGGGAAAAATCAATTCCTTTCCAGACATCGTGCCAGGGTTTCGAATCGTTGTGAAGGGTGGCGAGGAAGTGTAGGAGATATTGGCCCATAGCTCGGCGAATGCACTTTGCCCATATTTTCCATTTGGACCATCTTTTTGAGAAGGTTCAAGTTTGTAGTCAGTGTAACTTATATTTGTAGGAAGGAGAGTCGATACTTTGGCAAATTCTGGCGCAAATGGGGCGGGAAATGTCAGAGGTGTATGAAGTGAGGTTGCATAGCGGGCTGAAGTCACCCCTGTATAGGTAAAGGAACTATCAATAGCGGCAGATTCCGTGACTAACTGTACACCCTTCGTTGTTGTGGAAGCTGTGGGGGTCTGCAAACACAAGCACCTGTCCAGTAGCCCGACGAGCGCAGCACAAAGAAGACCACGCATTCTTATGTGGAAAGTGACTTGTAGATTATGGGAAGGAGTCAAATTTTTCGTATGCTACTTTCACTCTGGAATATGATATCCCATAGTAGGACCCTGTAGAATAAACATATGGGCGTGCGGAAGACCCTCGTCTTATAGAATTCTGAACCCCGACCTGGATATGAAATATGTGGGGAAAAGTGGGCAAAAGTCGGTCCCCCACCCCCACATCTTGACAAGCTTCGCCACATTTCCGATCGTAAAAAACTATCACAAACAGTTTTATTGTTTCGTGATACCAATTATCGAGAGTGCAAGACACTCTTTGACGATTGAGAAGAGAATACTTTCCTCGGCAGTGTCGAAGCGTACTATAAATAGACTTGTACCGCATAACTAATAGCTTTGGCAAAAGCTACGTATATGACTACTTAAGAGAGGTTTCGAAATAAAAATGGTATCTTATTCGTAGATTACATATGAATGTATCGTCGTAAGCCTCGTGTCCGCCTGTAAAAATGGAACAAATCTGAATGTGTCGGCGTAGTGAATCACTTAATCATTGCGCTGAGCAGATGATTTAGTTCTTAGCCTTCTCTGTGGGATTGTAAGTGTCTGATTGAAATTAAATGAAGTCTTGGGGAATAGGCTTACCCTTGTTGACGTCGGCCTTGGTGTCGTGGGACACTTCGTCCTTCTTGTCGACCAGAGCATCCTTGGCAGCGGAGGCACGAGTGCCGACGCTGGCATCGTTGTCCTTGGCGACCTGCTTGTTGGCCTCCTTGGAAGCCTCAGCTCCGGTGCCTTGGACAGTCTCGCTGACGTACTGAGCGGCGTTCTGAATGTGTTCATGTTAGTGATGACGAAAATGAATTGACACTGAGGGAGGCTGGCTGCTTACCTTGACAGTCTCCATGATGAGAATTGATGAAAAGAGTTGTTGGAAAAGTGGTAGATAGTAATTTGATTGTGAAGGTAGAAGAGTTGTTCTTGGAAGATAGAAAAGATGAATTCGTGGGCAGGAAGGGTGTGTTTTATAGATGGGCTGGAGAGTCACTGATATCATATTGCGTCATCGCTCAAACCAGATTAGTGGGGCAATCACCTTTGACGTGCAGGAAAATCAGGGACCCACCACCACCCCAACAAGGCCCGGCCAGACAAAAACAAGGTCATGGATAAACCTACACAAGTTCATTCTCCTTTTTTCTTGCTTGTGAGGTTCTGTGTCGTTCCATGTCGTCAACTACTGTAATCTGTCACATGTTGCACCTCAAGTGCATAGGTGGATCATGAATCATGATCGATCGAGGAACAGGCCGGGCTTTGGAGATGAGGGAAGTCCGACTGTGTCGGTTGACTCAGCAAATGATTCACATAACATTGCCTTGTCACGATCAGGTACCTAGAATGATGATCAAAGCATATATAAATCTAAATTCAAGGTCATCTCAAGCAAATGGTGACCTGCTGCTCCGTGCCAAGATTCTGGTCACATGCCTCGCTACTGATGGGCACTCCACCGTAACGAGACACGATAGAGAATCATGTATACCTCAAGTGTTTATGGTTTTAAATAAATTATGACCTTTGCTCAAATGAATGATCTTCATCTGATATGCCTCCAGTGCTAGTAGTAAATACCCTATGCTACCTAACTACGGGTTGCCCCGGCCCACATTAATGCCCCATAATATTTGGCAGTGGTTGCGGGGAGTGTTCTATAGAGTAGGCTCGGGCCGCATCACAACCACCTCAACACAGCAGAAGTGAAGTGGGTGATATTTCAGCGATGCAAATAACTTCAGCATTGAAATACAGCTACCAATAAGGGAATCTAATAAGTTACAGCATACTGTACTAGTTGGTAGTCACCAGCAACTAGTTAATTGTAACTGTTAGTATCAACACCGTGTGACATTTTCAGAGGCGTTCCTTCCTATTCGAGTAGTCAACATTCATATTCAAATTCACATTCACACTTCTTCTCTTTTCTTTTCTTCTCTCGTATCTTTCTTCCCTCCTACCCCGCTTTTTTCATATGTTTCTCTCGACTTTTGACCTTTGGTTTTGATTACCTTCCTGCTTGTCTCCGAAGTTTTGTGTTTGTCCCTATCTTCGAACATGAGCCCAAATAGGCTCGAGGGCAGCCCTAGGCGTGAGCGGCGCAGTGGAACCTTCTCCTTATCTGCAGCCTTCCGCTCGTCCCCGAAACGGGCTAGGTAAGTTTCTTATTTCGTGCCTGGGTAACTTGAACAAGGGCTGAACTAACAAGATAAATATAGTGTGCTCGAGCCCATTTCACCAATACATCCAGACTTGCAGCCAACTTGTCTGGAGAGAGTCCATTACCCGGTCTTCGACCCTCAGAACCCAAATCACAATCCGGCTGCAGCTATCGCACTACCACGATCACCACCGCCACGCCGACATGACCTTCAAGCATCGTCTTCCGAATCGCAGAGACACGGGTCTTGGCTTGAAGAGTTCCCGCGACGATCGATCCACAAAGCACGCTCAGGACTGCTGGCAATTCGAGCAAGCTTACTCCGACTTTCTTCACGTGAAAACACCGACTTTAGTGAAGCTATTATCGAAGATATGTCTCGCGAAACCTCCAGGCATATCGAGGATGTTTCTCGCGAGGTCTCCGGGCCTGAAGAAGATCATGTCCGCCGACATGACCATTCGAATTCAACACAAGAGGACTTGAGCTTTGGCGTCTGTTTGTTCCGAGCATCAACATCTCCTTGGGCCATATCTTTGGATGGAGCAGATGCAAATTCGGTACCCCGGATTGAGTCTCCTTTGCCTCTACCTCTGGTGAATTCCATCTCAGCACCTGCCGAGCTAGAAAGCTACTACTACAACAATACCGATGACGACCCAGAGCCGATGAATGATCGACCGGTGAGTATGCTATCCGAGGAACCGCCGTCGTATCGCTCGATCGCAGAAAACGCTCGATATCACCGGCGTTCGAATGATCCACGTGTGAGAGATAATACCAATCAAGAATTAACTGCGGATACAGCCAATGAAACGCCCAGCTATTTAACACAATTATCACCGTCGGTAGACTGGGATGGCCTCGGATCCTCAGCATCGAGTTTCAGGTATGAGGACATGTATTCATCTCAGAGAAAGAAGATCTCTAGATTCTCGGGTGTCAGTCCTGTCGGGTCAAGCTTGTCCTCCTCGCCTATCTCAGAGGTCACGCAATCTGAAACCCTAGTTTCTCAGGAGCACCTCCCGCCAAGTCGCGATCAACCGAAAAACGAAAACGTTGATCGTGAAGAGTTGATTCAGGCACCAAGCCCGCCTTCAGAGATAGTTACAATTGCATTTCCTGGGGTATACCAAGCTTTATTAGATCAGTGGGCGGGTGAAAGGCAGTATAAGTCGAAGAATGCCTCATGTGCTCCATTGGAAGTACCAGAGTGCAACCCTGTTGCGATTGCTCAAGCTAGGCAAACTGATGAAGGCGAGGCCGAATTTTCTGGGAACCGCCATTCATTCGGCCTCCATATGTCTCTGAGAACAGTAAGTCATCATATTTTTTTTCTCACTCCTTGAATTTTCTAGTGACTTCTCTAGGACCAGGGGCTCTCTGAAAAGTCTAGTGCAGCCTGTCGACAGAATCAAATGATCTTTTCGGCCCATTCACATGCGACACCGATTTCCCCTGATAGTCACAACTCGTCTACTCCCTATGGCCGAACGATTGAGTCCTTGTACGATGGGTCAGAATACTCCCACTACGCCCTCCCAGGCTCTTCGCCGACAAATATTACCTCCCCATCATATTATTCCAACGACATCTGGACTCCACTGGACTCTCCCATTGATGAAGAACTTATATTTTCACCCTTCCCCCGAAACGAGTACTGGACGGCCGATGGAAAGACAAGCGGCTTCTACCCCGATCAAGACGACCAGCCCCCCCGTAAAAGCAGAAAGCCGGTTCTATGGTGACGGAGGAATTCACAGTGGTCGTGGTCTCGATCGAACTCTTTCTGAGAGGCTGCGCGAGCTCACGGAAAGGATTCCAACAATGGGGGTCTCGCGATCCATGCGGCAAGATCCTCGGACTGGACTTGGGCTTAGTGAATCGACGGACGAGTCGTCCAAGGGTTCTGTTATCAGAGCTACTGGCTATGGAGCCCGACTAGGTTAAAAGTTGCTTGCCCCTCGTTCAGGTGTTTCTGCATTCGGGATTAGGTGTTACGTGGTGATGTTTTGAAGAAAGTCTGCCTCGGTCTTTGGATGGCCATTCAGTCTATCAGTATTATTCCGATTAATGTATGTTTATGCATAATGTGAGTTCATTCGCTCATTCAGGTTCATTTTCATTTGAATACCTAAGATGTAGCCAGTGCAACTCAAGATCTTCTAGCACTGGCACACCTTCAAGTTTGCTTTCCCAGCCCTGGAGTTTGGGAAGAGTCACGGTATATATAGGCTAGGTTTACTGTTTGACTATCCTAGGCGAAGCGTGAATCCGGCACCGGCCTCGCCCGAATCTCCGCCGGGTGCACCTCCAAAAACACCAGCAAAGTCCAGCTCGGGTGCTTCCTGGCCTCGCTGAGGGGCCGCGGGTGTATGATGACGCCGTCTCTTCTCCATGCCCGCCTTTGAGGGGAATGTTGGGAACATCTCTTTCGGTTTAGGGCGCGGGTCTTCCCTGAAATACGGATGCGCAAGACACTCTTGTGCGGATGGACGTGCGGCCGGATTTAAAGCCAGAAGGCCGGACAGTAGATGCATGCCGGCGTTGGTGAGGTAAGGGAATCGGGAACGAGGGAGAAGAGGCGGGTTCCCGGAGGACGAGGGTGCCGACGAGGGCGGAAGACGGAGGGATTTTGCATTTGGTAAGGAGCGGAAACCGGGCCAGGTCTGTGAATTGGGCGGGCCGGTTAATGCGAAGACTTTGGAAACCTGGTCCACTTCGTTTTTGCCCTGCAGAAGTGGTTCTTTCGTGAGTAGTTCGCCGAAGATACACCCGATGCTCCACATGTCGATTTCTGTGCCGTATTTGTCTGCGCCTAGGAGGAGCTCCGGCGCGCGGTACCATAGCGTCACGACGAGCTGGGTTAGCTTTGGTGGCGGATCGCCGTAGTAGCGTGCCATTCCGAAGTCGGCGAGTTTGATCTCGCCGCGGTTGTTCATGAGGAGATTGGAGGTCTTGAGGTCGCGGTGCATAATCCATTTGGCGTGGAGAAATTCCAGTCCGCCCACCACTTGCAGAAGTAGAGTTTTTGTTTCGGATGGGAGGAATGGCTCCCGCATTTCGTCTAGTAAGGTCTTGAGATCGTGTTCGAAGAAGTCCATGACGAGGAATACACTGTTGAAATGACCTGGTTAGCTTTTGCGCGAGCTAAAGGTTTAGAGAGGAACCTACTCGTCCATCTTATTCCCCATTACCACTTCTCGAAGGTAGACCACATTCTGATGCCGCGCCTCCAACAGCGTTTGAATTTCCCGCAGACCTGTGACTGGGAACCCGTCCGGCGAGTTCTCGATCTTCAATTTCTTCAACGCAACGATCTCCCCAGTTGTAATATCCTTCGCACGCGAGACCCATCCATAAGAGCCCTCTTCGATATGATTCAACCGCTCAAAGTTATCAACGTGTCTGCAGGGCCCCCATTCGCGCACCGGAAACCTCAACAGGCTAGAGACTTTCTTCTGCTCCTCGCCCCGGGCAACCTCCTCGGTCGATGAAAGTCCGTCAGGGTCATTCGATAGTCGCCTGCGCTTCTTCGGAGGGCCTGAGTCACCATTGGCGGTTTGGAGCTCGTTGACAGATTGTGCAGGCGCGGAAGCTTTGCTGGCTTGTTCGAGCTGGCGCTGTTTTTCCGCCTTGGCGCGTCGCTTCTCCTCCTTCTCGCGTTTGCGCTGGGCGATAATGGCTTCTGTTTCTGCGTCATCGTCTGCCCAACGCGATTTGGAGGCCGACATGGTGGGCGTTGGTTGAGGGAGGTGGGTTGCACTTTCAGGGAGATTCGATTCGGAATGACGTTTCGGTTCTGGGGAAGAAACGGGCCGAAGAACAGCTCCGATTTGAAATCCAATTTCCGCCCCGCCTTCCTGTCCGCGTCAAGCATTGGCTCTTTTAGCGGTCCCTTGCGATTCAAGCATCTTGACTCCTTTTCTTCTTTTGTCCCTTATATTGACTTGACATTCTTTGATTATCCCTACTCGCCCCGTGGTCTACCTTCATCCACCAAACGCCACCCTTCCGCATCGGCCTACTTTACCTTCGACCCCCGCCATGATTGAGCCTTTTCAGGTGGGCTTGCTCAGATATAGCATAGCTTGTATTGACAGTGTGAGCTGACTGGAAATAAAACTTCAGACTACCTTCGCGGTCCCAATGACCTGCGAGAGCTGTGTGAAGCATGTCTCCACCTCGTTGTATAAGCTGGATGGTATGATTGCCTCCCCCGCTACGGATACCACCAAGTCGCATCATATTTGTTAATCGCTGAGCTGACAAAAAACCCGTCAATTTGAACAGGAATCATTAAGGTCGACGCAAACCTCAAGGAGCAACTGGTTTTCATCGAAGGCACCGCACCACCGAGCTCTATCGTGTCCGCAATCCAGGATACCGGCCGCGATGCGATTCTGCGCGGTAGTGGCACATCAAATAGTATGCGCTGCAATCATTCTCTTCTTATTAGTCGAGATCCTTGGTGGATATATACTGACTGGTTCCGATATAATAGGCTCCGCCGTCTGCATCCTCGAAACACACTCCACCAGCGTCTCCAATAAAGTCCGCGGCCTCGCCCGCATGGTACAAGTCTCCCCGAACATGACCCTGGTTGATTTGACGATCAATGGTCTGGCCCCAGGTAAATATCACGCCACGATCCGCGAAGCCGGCGATATCTCGCAAGGCGCTGCGTCGACGGGCGGTATTTGGGACGCCTTGAAGACCAAGGCTCTCGGCTCGGATGAGGTGCAAAAGGAGCCGCGTGGAATATTTGGCTCTGTGGATGTCGATCAGAAGGGTCGGGGTAATGTCTTTTTGGATCGACCGGTTGCTATTTGGGAATTGATTGGTCGGAGTATGGTTCTCTCTGGTAGTAAGGAGGGACCCTTCAAGCGCGAGGATGAGAATACCTTGGTTGGTGTGATTGCGCGCAGTGCGGGAGTTTGGGATAATGATAAGATGGTTTGCTCCTGCTCAGGTAAGAATGTTTGGGAGGAGAGAAAAGAGCAGGTTGGTCAGGGAATGGCATGAGTGTAGCTGAGTTAAGTGGATGATGAATTACGAGGTAAATGCTTGAAATACCCAGCATATACAGAATGGATGTTCAAATGATGATATCTTGTATAAATTTTAGTACAAGATGGTACTATTTCAAAGTTGCTGTGAGGACAATCCAAGTGCAATATACAAGTCGTCGTGGATATCACCTGGGCACAAAATGGGTGGTCATTGAATGTCCCCACTACTAGTATTCAATAATATAGGCAGTCAACACGGGAAGAAAACTTCCAAGGCTGATAACCTTGGAAAATTATACTCTATACTAGTAGAATGTACTATACTAGTAGTACACAGACCGGCTAGACAATGCATGCAGCAGTGTATGATCGACACAGGGACGGGTGACGAATTAATCACCGAGTGGGGCAGATCGACTGAAAAGTTCTCAGTCTATCAGACTCTTCAGCTGGTCCATGTGAACACAATACCCCACGGAGTACTCCGTAGTATGGAGTACATATATGATCTATCATTTTTCTAGAAACCATCACCCCGCATTAAATGATAGCTCCGAATTACTTGCATCGCTAACAAAAGCAAAAGGCAAAAGTAAAAGTGGCGATGTTCGGTCTAGACGTTTGTGACTAAGGCATCACGTGGAGTCGAAGGCATTTCCCCTCGACGTGCTCAACTTCGAATCCACGAGCTTGGATAATGGCTTGGAGGAGCCCCGTCTGTCTCGATATCCTCATCTTGCTTTGCTCGCAATGCTCGCCCCCAAATTTCCATTCACCAACACCTCACTGCCGTCCGTCCCTCCCGTAGAAGAAGCCGCCCCCACATACTCGCCCGATCAGGTCCCCTCGTGCGGCGGCCATGGCACCTTGGAGATCCTCGAGGTAACCCGCTTCCTGGAGGCGAACGGGATTGAATGCTGCGTGGTGGGCGTTTCAGCTTTGATGTTCTACGGCGCCGGCCGTTCCCGAGATGTACGACCGTCTCCCTCTTTCTCTCCTCTTCCTTCAATCTTGTCGGGATTGCAAGGCTGACAGGTGAATCGCCAGGAATGGGATCTCTGCGTCCCCGACGACAAGCTTCACGAGGCTGCAGCTCTGCTCGCCTGTGGCTCTATCGCCGATAGACTCCACTCCGTTCCTCCGCTCCCTATTCAGCACCCTTCCTCACTCAGCCATACCTACCACCGATTCAAAGGCAAAGGCATCCACTTCTACGTGATCCTCGTCCCCGCCCATGACGCCCACATTCCCTCCGGCCCCTTCCGTATTATGCGCAGCATGAATAACATCCCATATCCGACCCTGCAGGTCCTCATGCAGAGCTTCTTGGACACGAATGACGAAGTATCGCTTTGTGACTGCATCGATGGGTCAAATGTCTCCGAGGAGTGGGGACGACGGTATCTGGATCTAGATGGTCCGAATGACCTGGAGTGGGCGAGTCGCATGAATCAAAGAGCCAAAGAGGCCGCTCAAGGAAGAGGCTGGCCATTTGTGCACTACTTTCCTACACAGAAAATCAACAAGCGAGAAAAATGGGAATCCAGGGTAAGAAGCAAAAAGGGACGACTCGAGTGGAAGACACCGGATTCCTTATTTGATACACGATTCCGCCTTAAGGGCTCTCCGGACCCATGGACCCAGAAGCTCATGTCATGCTAGTGATGTTACCATGAACTATAATGAAGGATACAGATAAATAAAGCAGTAAATAAATAAATACATGAAATAATTATATTGATAATATAGTATACTATGTGTTTGTGTAGCCTACCCCAAATTCAAGATTCGTTATTGCATAGCACTGATCAAAGGCCTAAAAGGGTCCTCATATTTTCAACCTGATCCGGGAATGCACCATACGTCGTCGCATATTGCGTCCAGAAATACCGCCGCTGTTCCACGTCGTAATAGTCCCTAAATGTCGGGACCTGAACAGCGTACTGTGTGAATAGAAATTCCAGGTCAAGAAAGTCTTTACTTCGCTGATCACCACGCCGGGAATATGCATTCAGTTTTGCATAGATTTGAAAGAAGAGGCTTAATACCAGAACGGGCGATCCCAGGGGGGGTTGGCCTGTATGGATTTATGGGTTCGCGCGATGACTGAAGATCTGAAGGTGTGCCCAAATTTCCTATGCATGCATCCATGTCAACACTTGCGTCCGGAGCTCAAGGAAGAAAGATGTCAGATTTACCACTGATGACTATGTCCATACTGACAGCCAAGTCTGAAACTTGAGGGAATTCCTCGTCGAAACTCCGCCCGGTATCAATGAAGATCTGGACCGATGTTCGGCCATGAATAAATGGGTAATGGATTCTGACACCGCGTTAAAACTAAGTCTGGGGTTGAAGTTCTGATGAAATCATGGGTCCCTTGATCGAATCGAATCGAGAAGCGAAATCATGCCGCGAAAGGGAGATGCGAGAGGGGGGTCATGTGAGAAAGAGTTGTCAAAATACCGAGGCTGCGCAGTCAAGACCTGCTTCAAATTGGCCATCGAGGTGGCTACCGTAATATCAATATCCTGGGTTCGGCGGCGTCCACCGCGTAGGTAGACAGCCCATCCCCCGATGAAGGCATAAGTGACCTGATTGGCCTCGAAGAGCCCCGCAATGAACCTAGCTGCGAGACCCAGGTGCAGGAGGTCGGCTGTATTCGATGGGTAATAAAGCTCTGCGAAGCGGTCTGTGTTGTATATTTCCGCCATATTAGGGGAAGAGAGAATGATCGGATGGAAACATCCGCTGGTCCCCGATGATTAGGGGGGACTCCCATCCTCTGGAGATCAGGAGATGGCGGAGGAACTTGAAGGGGAGGGGCAGGAACAAGGGCGCAAGTGTGGTGGTGAGTGATCCCTGTCGTGGGTTGGCGTGGGCGCCCGGATCGTGTGGCACACGTGACGGGTACTAGTATGTCTCAGCAACTGCTTATAGTGAAGGATCATCGTACGTTGATATAAGGGTTATACTGGCGAAAACTGTCATCATGGGCGAACCGAAATTGGCAATTTCCCCCGAATTATACGAGCCGCTATGCTCCGAGGGGCCCCGCTTAGGGGAAAGGGGTACACTGCTTCGACTCGGGTGTCACGATGTCACGGGATTGCACTGAATAGCGCAGTATCAAAAGATTAGATCACCAGTATTGCTAGTGTGGATATTAGTGTAACCTGGACAATAACCTTTAATGTTCCAGGAATTGATCGTCATCCTTCAAGTTGTCACTTAGTCTTATACGACTAAACAGAGATGAAGACTAGTACTATATTGAGTGAGTGAAGGTATGGTCTATTCCCACCCGGGCACTCAGCTTGTTAGACATAGCTGAACACATATTCCAAGGAGTAATAGATCCATATTCCGTGGATGCGTCGACTAGTACTAGTAGTTATCTTGAAGTGTGTGAATTCCTTCCCTCGTAGCCCGTCCTTTTCTCAAAGATGGTTAATGATAAGTGGTAACGCAAGAGTACTGCATCAGTGAAGAAATATCTGAATTCAGCGGTTACTACTGCTTATAGTTGCCTCATCGGAACTTCTCGCCGGTCAGAAGTGCGCCTTTGGGGCCCCGCGAATGTGGGGTGGGAAACATCGCCATTTTGGGCAGATCGTGGGGAAGCCAGACGGTTGCCTGAGGGGCGACATCGTTAACCATGGGGAAACTCCGATCCACGACTCAGCACACTAAAGGGACAAAAAAGCACTTCTGCTAGTTTTCATTTCCATTGCGATCGTTACGCCGTACTAGTAGTTCACGATGTCGGATCTTCGCAAGCTCGCGACCTTCCCATCCAAACCCCGCATATTCATCCTAACGGACATGCTGAACGAGCCTGATGACTCGCAATCATTGGTTCGTTATCTTCTATATGCCAATGAATTCGAAACCCGTGGAATTTGCGCAACAACATCCACTTGGCTGCGCTCAAGCATCCACCCGGAAGAAATCCGGCGCATCATCACTGCCTATGGGAAGGTTGTTAAAAAGCTCAACAGCCATGTGAACCCAGACTTCCAATACCAAGCAGCCGAGGACCTACTCAAGTTGGTTACATCCGGACCAGCTGTAAGTTAGCGTGGAGTCGCTAAACCAGGTATAGAAGCGTTCGGAGAATATATCGCTATTAATAGCTTGAACCAATCGATAGGTCTACGGCAAAAAAGCCCTTCGAGATCCGGAACCTCTGAGCATCGGCGCACAACACCTTCTGTCTACGCTTCAAGAATCCCCCGAGCCACTCTATGTTCCAGTATGGGGTGGCGTAAATACACTAGCTCTGGCACTGAAATATCTCGCTCAGACCTCATCTCCAAAAGAGGCGGCCATGGAGCGGGTCAAGTTGCGAGTCTACATCATTTCGAACCAGGATAACTCGGGCCCATGGATACGAGCCAAGTACCCAGACGTTTTCTAAATTGTTTCTGCGCACGGATGGAATCAATATGGCCAAGGACGCTGGCTGGGTATGAACGGTGGTGCAGGTGACGGGCCCGATCCAACCAAATTACTCAATCCATGGCTGAAAGACCATATCCAAGTTGGAGATTTCGGGGCTGAAGCCTATCCACCTATGAAACTTGGGATGGAGGGAGATACACCATCTTTCCTGTGGCTTGTTCAGAATGGGCTCAACCACCGAGACCGCATTGACTGGGGTGGGTGGGGAGGCCGTTATACTCGACCACAGGCTGAGGCGGATTGGGATGACGGGATCGACATCAATCACTTCTACAATGCGAGTGATTTCGGAGTTTCGGGTGCAGCTGAAAAACAGTATAGTGATCATAAGACGACGATCTGGCGATGGCGAGATGCAGTCCAGGCCGATTTTACGGCACGCATGCAGTGGACTTTAACCGATAGATTCTCCGAGGCGGGACATCCTCCTCTCGTGGATATAAATAGCCACGTTGGGGTGGATTCCCTGATTCTCCAAGTCAAACCGGGTGAGACGCATATTCTGAATGCTAGCGGCACATACGACCCGGATCACGCCCATGCGGAGACCAGTGGTCTGGACTATGTGTGGATGCTCTACGGAGACGTTAACGGCTTTCATTCCTTTGGGATGGGGCCGAAAGTCAAAATTGAAGCCATAGATGAAGACCCCGTGAGCCCACAACTGGCTGATAATGCAGCAGGCTTCTCTAGTCACATTCGAGGTAGTAAAGTCCAGGTTCTGGTGCCACCGATTGAGAGGAACCCCCAGACGGGACTGGTTACGCCAGACTTCCAGGTCGTGCTACAGGTCACCAACTCAGCAAGGCCATATCCAATCCGAAGTCACAAGCGAGTCGTCTTTTCTTTATGTGGATCATAGGTCGCCGGTGCCACTGGGGAAGATTCCTGAAGGGTTTGAGTAATTTCCAGTAACTAGAGTTAGCAAGTGATCGTCACTGCCAACCAGCCTTTTTTTAGATAGACATCAGTAGCGTGCAATGGGACTTTCCTGGCTAGAAAGTTGATTGAGGAAATTGATGGTCGTCCTTATCGAATCGATTTACCACAAAGGGCAAGAGGGAGCTAATACATTAGTGTCAGGGTTTTTATGTGATCCTTCCCAGTCCTTGAATTGTAGTTCACCTACCAGTACTCCGTACTCCATAGTGATCATAATTCTACATAAATAGAGTTTTTCTAGGAATTCGATTCAAATTGACGCCAGGATCGGACGCGAAAGATATGGATTTCCTATGACTTGACGGGGACCAATGGAGGTTTTCTGGTAGCGAGTTGTAGTCTAGTAAGATCTCTAAATAAAGCACAGTAAGCGCCGTGGCTCGTTCCTGGCCCCCAACAGTGTTCTCCCAGCCACCAATAATGTGTGCTCGTATGAAGCGCAGATTATGATCGGGAATAAGTTACCCAATCCCTGTTCAGGGACTTGTGAACTGTAGGAATTCTTAGTCCCACTAGTGTGTTTCCCCCCCGCACATCATCCATGGTTCAAAGCCCGTGAAAAGCCCGTGCCAATCAACTTGAGGGTTGCCAACGTCGTAACCCTGTTGTTGTTGTTGTTGGTTGCATGTTATACCTAGGTATGCAAGAATAAAAGCTGCAGGTATCTTAGACCTAGGTACGGAGTAGCTAGTCAGTCCGTAGTTATCCAGTGATAGTTCACTCGGCATTGGAAATGAGGATGTGATAGAAGCACACGCTTCCGACCCAGCACACTGGCACTTGCCATGCGTTGTGGTGCCACTTTTGTGCATGACGACCTCTCGCCCACTCACAGGCGCAGATGAGCCAAAATGACATCCCTGGTCGCTGATTGCTGGAGAGGTGCAGAAATTCTGCAGGAGTAACGCAAGTTATTTTTGTCCCATCACGCCCTCAGCGCTTGGAAGCTTCCCCTGCCCCTCGGAAACCCCCTCTGCAGTTCTTTGCTTCTTTCTTCGCCCCTATTCCGACTTGAATTCCCATGGGGCCCTCCTCTAAGCTCTTCCCAGCCTTTCCCAGTACGTCGGGTCGGACGATAACACTAGCATCACTGACCATTTCCATCATCACTTCACCACTCCACCTTTCATCCCGCTCGCCGTGATCGGGGGCTTGGACCAACAACCCCACAGATTGTCAGTCACACCGTATGTGACTCGGTCAACCACCGGCTTTTCTCGTGAGCTATTTAGCATTGCGTGATTCTATAAATACGTTTTTCCGTTATTATCGGAGTATCGATTCTTTTCCCGGGTCCGGGTCTTCACGAGGGCGTTGCGTTCCCGCCATCCCCGCCATTTCCATCTCGCTAGTACTCACCCCAATATCGCACTGATCTCACTCATCCCACTAAGAACGAACCTCACCTTGCCACAACCATACCATACCTCCTGCCTCCCGTGCTTGGCGACCCTGTGGACCTGACTCGTCACATCTCCGCCAATTTTAAGTCTGTCATTTCCGACGCCTATAATAGCAGGGGGTCCTCCCTGGATACGAGCCGAGCCCCTCGTCCGACCAACGTCATTCATCCTGGAGATAGACCGTTCTTGAATTGAGCGGGTGGAAACTCCTCCAATTCTTTAGACGCCGGGGTCATTGTCGCACCAAACTAAATGGTTGAGTCTTCGTAGCATGTCTCTCAAACAAGTAAGGAATCCGTTGATAAACTTATCAGATCTCGCCACTGATGGCCTGTCCAGGAAATCGAGACATGGGTGCAGGCCCTCGATGCCTATGACAATCAAGAATTCGAAGAGTCACTACGCTTCTTTGACCAGATTGCCGACACCTCGAAGATCCTGTTTAATTGCGGTGTGATCTATGCGACTCTAGGTGAACATGACAAAGCTGTATGTTTATGTACATTGGGAAAAGAAAACCCATCTCACCTTGAACGTTTAACTAACCCTCATCAGGTAGAATGCTACCAGCGGGCGGTTGGTTTGGACCGCTACTTAGCCATCGCCTATTTCCAACAAGGCGTGTCCAACTTTCTCCTAGGAGACTTTGAGGAAGCATTAGCCAATTTCAATGACACATTGTTGTATCTCCGAGGGAATACATCCATTGATTATGAGCAATTAGGCCTGAAATTCCGCCTGTTCTCATGCGAGGTATTGTTCAATCGAGGACTTTGCTACATCTACCTTCGACAAATGGAACCAGGCATGCAGGATCTCAAATTTGCAGCACAGGAAAAGGTCTCGGCGGATCATAATGTGATTGACGATGCAATCCACGAGAATGCAGATGTAAACCCCACCTCTCTCCAGCAGTTCGAATTCCTTGTTTTTGGATGAACATCTGACTTGATAAATAGGGATACACGGTGTTCTCTATACCTGTAGGCATTTTATACAGGCCCAACGCTGCCAAAGTCAAAAATCTCAAGACAAAAGATTATCTCGGCAAAGCGCGATTAGTTGCTGCATCAGATCGAAACCAAAGTGCAGACCACCAATGGAGGCCGATGGTCATCGACAAAGCAGCCCTGGAGGACCGCGAGGGAGTATCATGGGCAGCAACCAACCTAGTGCACAAAGGCATCACAAGTCGTACTCGTCAGCATTCAGAACCCCCTCTCAATCGCAATGTATTCCCTCCAACACCACCACCAGACGACCGCTCCACCAGCAATGGGTCTTCAGCCCAGGGTCCATCACACACCCGATCATCCTCTCTTCGAAGTGCGAGACCACCTCGACTGGACCTCGAGCGAACAGGTGCCGGTCTAGAACAGCAGCAGCAAGGGACACAGCCCCCACGAACGGAAAAACCGCGAGTCGGCACTACAAGGACAGCTTCAGAGCCACGCGGCCCTTCAACACGCCATCAGAACATGCGCGGCTTCGGCCAGGATCCCAATCGTCCCTGGTCTCGCGAAACAAATCAACACCGTCGAAACCTCAGCGACACCAGCTTCCCAGAACCACAATACCTCCAACCGCAATACAGCCAACCAGAGCCCTACCAGAACAGCAACAATAACAACAACAACAACTTCGCCAGTCCGCAAAGCCTGTCCAGTTCAGGCTGGGGCCGCGGGCCGCGGTATCAACCCCCGCAATACATCGACGAAGAAGACGAATACGGCAGCGACGTATGCGACGGCGAACCGCTCAAAGACGGCGGTTTCGAGATGGTAGTCGGCGCAGTTGTCCCCGCCGGACCGGAATCGAGTTCGTCGGCGGCGCAGCGACGAACGCGCTCTCCGGCGAGGTACTCACGGCGAGCGAATTCGCGGAGACCCGAGGTGCGTCGGTTTCGGACGAAGGTGCATGCGCCGGATGATATTCGGTATATCATGATTGGGCCGACGGTGGAGTTTGCCGAGTTTGAGGCGAAGATTCGCGAGAAGTTTGGCTTTCAGTGTCCGCTCAAGATGAAGGTGCAGGATGATGGGGATATGATTACTATGGTTGATCAGGAGGATTTGGATCTTTTACTTTCTTCTGCGAGGGAGGTTGCTAGGAGGGAGGGGAGTGAGATGGGGAAGATGGAGGTGAGTTTACTACTCTTACTGGCACTTGGAAATTGACCTTTACCAAGTGTATCGGGAGTCTGGACTCGTGCTAATTGAAATGCAGGTATGGGTGGAAGAACGATCTATGATATGATTGACTGGGTTGAGGGATTGGGCTTGTGCATTGGACATTTTGGCATTTGTTTATAGCATTTTGATTTTGCTGATACCCTTTAGTTAGCATGAAAATACGCATCTTATCTTACGAATAGTATATACTTCAAGTTGTTAAATGATACAGTCATAGCCCATCAAGTAGTAGACAATCGTGATATACCTAGCACAAGTGGTATGAGTGGTGAAGAGTCACAAACTTCCAAGGTTTGAAGCGATCGTATTGGAATTTCAAAACTTGAGTATTGCTAAATTCAACTTTATTGATTTCTAGAAGTCTAGAAGTACACGCCCTCCCTTGTTCTTCTTCGCACTAACAATCTCGAATTCCATGTTGGTTAGTCCATTGGCGGCCTGCGGCCTCGACAGCGGAGCCAGCCAGCACTGACGTTGTTGACAGATCCGCTCCACAACCTCGACTTCACACCTCACACTCCCATCAAGAGCTCAACAACCAAAATGACCGACCTAACCCCAGCGCTAAACGCGCTCCTATCCGCGAAAAAGGCACCCTCAATATCATCCACCACTACCTCACCAGCCGACGAATTTCTCAAAGAAGCGCATCGCATCGTCCGTCACCTTCACCCCCTCCACCCCATGAAACCGAACCAACCCAACCCAACAAGCTAACAAACAACTCCAGAACTCCCACATCGCCTCCCTACTAAAATACCTAACTTCAATTCGACACGCATACCTCTCCACAAACACACCCTCCCGCCGCAACCAACCACCACCCCAAGCTCAACCTCAACTCCAATCCCAATCCCAATCCCCCCCTCACAGACTCAGACCGCGACGCAATCGACTCCTCAACAACCCTCCTCCTCCACGACCTCTCATCCTCAATAACAAACCTCTCCGACGCCGAAACCCTGCGCGCAAAAACAACCGCCGAACTCCAGCACAAGAAATACGGCCACAGCGCCGCGGGCGCCCTCCTCCTCCGCTGGGCCGCCGGCAACGCCGACGAGCGCGGTGGTAAATCCGCCGAACAGGTCGAGGCGGAGGAGAGGGAGAAGACTCTCTCCTCTGTGCGGGAGAGTGTGCTTTGGTATCTGAGGCGCGCTTTGGAGGGCGTTGCTAGTGTGCAGCGGGGGATGGTGGAGAAGAGGATCGAGAGGGTGTTGGAGAAGGAGAAGAGTGTTTTGTATAAGGCTTCGAAGGGGGGGGGGAGGGAGCAGTCGCAGTCGCAGTCGCAGCCGCAACAGCAGGGTGGTGTTGGCAGGGACAATTATAACCAAGACTACAACTACAACTACAGCTCTGGTTCTGGTTTTGGCTCGGGTCCTGCGCCTGATGCGGCAGTGTTGAGCGAGGCTGATTCGAGGGAAATCGAGGGCCAGCTTTCGGCGGAGCAGTTGCAGCTTTTTGCTGAGGAGAATGATTCCATGTTAAAGCATTATGAGGATACGCTTGGGAAAGTACAGTACGTTATTGTCCTGAGATTGAACATGGTTTGCCCTGTCTCTCGTCTCGATTTGTGACAGGTTGATTGGTGCTAATGTCATTGCAGGAACGCAGAGAGGTCTCTTGTGGAAATCTCCTCTCTGCAGGAAACGCTCGTCACGCACCTGACTACCCAGGGAGAATTTATCTCGCAGCTTGTTAGTGATGTCGATACGACGGAGGAGAATATTGGTCGGGGTAATCGCGAATTGAAGCGTGCGACTGAGCGGCGGAGTCCGGCGCAGGCGGTGTTTTGGGGCACTGTTGGGTTGTGTACGTGGCTTGTTGTTTGGGATTTGATCTTCTGATTGAATTGGGGGGGGGGGGGCCGAGCTGGGGTTGGAGATGGGGCTAATGGAGACTGGGTTTTGACTATATCCAGGCTTTTGCAGGGGGTGTATTTATAACATAGCGAGCGAGCGCATACCAGTTATTCCGGAATCACAGAGTACATCATATTTGGCCAAGGACTCGGAGTTCCAAGGTTGATGAATCACACAAGGCTATGATGTACTTATTTCCATATACGGAAGATAGAGGTACATCCCTCGATGCTAGTAGTCTAGTCTACTGAAACAATCCGAACAAGAATCACAATAAGAGGCAGGGGTATGATATTCCGAGCCCGAAATTTTATAATTTACATGTGATGCACTCCCGGACCCACGCAGATTACGGTAGGATAACGAAAAGACAATGAGGATTTTCCGATCACATGCGAGTAGATAGAAGAACCGGGATAGATGTCAGGGGGAAGGCTTTGAGAAAGAGAAAAGAAAACGCTTTAGTGGTATCGCATCGCTTGACCTAGGAACTCTCGCGCACGACGCTGTCGACAGCCTCGGCGAAGTAATCCAGGTTATTCGTGTTCAGGCCGGCCATGGAGATACGGCCGTTCTTGGTCTGTTCAAGGAGCGTTAGTAATCGTAACCGGCATATTGTCATGAGGAAATTGAATCTGGACCAGGTGGGAATGGGAACTCGGAACTTACCATGTAGACGTGCCACTTCTCGCGTAGAGTCTTAACTTGGGCCTCGGACAGGCCAGTGAAACTGAACATACCAATCTGGGTGGTAATGTGATCCCACGAGCCGGGAGTACCGCGGGCCTCGAGACGCTCACGCAGACCACTGCGCATCTCCAGGATACGACCGCTCATGGTACGCAGATCATCCTCCCACTCCGCGAAGAGAACGGGGTCATTCAGAACGCGGCTGGCAATGCGGGCGCCGTACGCGGGCGGATTGGAGATCTCCGAGCGCTGCAGGATAGCCAGCTGGCTAGCGATGTGGGAATTGGCGGTGGCAGCATCCGCGCCAGGGGCAGAGACGAAGTGGAAGGCTCCTGTGCGCTCACCGTACAGACCGAAGTTCTTGGCGAAGGACTGCGCGACGCACAGCTCGAAGCCCTGCTCGATGAAGTAGCGGATCGCCCAGGAGTCGCGGACCAGGTCGCCCGAGGCGAAGCCCTGGTAGGCGGTGTCGAAGAAGGGGAAGTGCGAGCGCTCGCGCATCAGCGTGGCGATCTGGCGCCACTGGTCCTGCGAGGGGTCGACACCGGTTGGGTTGTGTGCGCAGGCGTGCAGGAGGATGATGGATCCAGCCGGCGCCGCCCGCAGCGCTTGGAGCATGCCATCGAAGTCAAGACCCTTGGTTTCCTTGGAGAAGTAGGGGTAGTTGGCGAGCTTAAGGCCGACGTTTGTGAAGATCTGGTTGTGATTGGCCCAGGTTGGGTTGGAGAGGTAAATGGTGGGCTTTTGCGGGTGGAATTTGGAAAGGAATAGACCACCCAGGTGGACGGCGCCGGTTCCCGAGATGGTTTGCAGAGAGCAGATCTGTTTTGATGCGGGTGAGTTGTTAGCGCGTTGAAGCTCTGGTGGAGGTGGGGTGTAGCTTCATCTGGGAAGGTCGAATTGGATTGGAGGGATTTGCAATTCGGGTCTACATACCCGATTCTCTGAGATGGCAACACTGTCGGAACCGACAATGAGCTTCTGGGCGGCCGAGGTGAACTCAGCCAGACCACCGATTGAGAGGTATTCGTGGTTCAGGGAGGGGTCGTTGTGAATAGCATCATCAGCCTGGAGGGGGAGTTAGTTAGTCCACGGTGGGATGGTGGGCTGTGACGCAAGGGTGGAGCAGTCATCACAAGCAAGCATAGCGGAAGCATAGCATGCTCGCTGCTCCAGGGCGTAAAGGAAGCTCACCTTTTTGACAACGGGCAAGATCCAAGGCTTTGCGTTATTATCACGGTAGGCACCAATTCCCAGATCAACTTTCTTATCAGAAGGATCCTCACGGTAAGCCTTCATCAACCCGAAAAGAGGATCTTCGGGAGCAGCAGCGACGGTAGCCGCAGTGAAAACGGAGGGATTGGAGGCGCCCATGATGTGTGTGGAAATGGAAGAAAGTCGTTCTCGAGCGGAGGAGAGGAAGGAAGGAGGGTTTTGTTGAACCATTTTCTGATTAATCACCGGATTGCCTGACTGGGAGTAACCTGGTACGTTATGGGCTGTTTTCCCCGGAAATTCCTAGCGGAACTTTCTGCTTGCGTTCACCGGATGAGGTCAAGGAATGAGGGGGTGGAGCGCGGTTAATTTCAGGTTCAAGTTGGAGCTTGGAAGTAAATGTAAATATTGCAAATAATATTTGGGGTAATGGAGAGAAAGAAAGAGAGGTCCTGTCACTAGATATTCTTTTATTCTTATCTACGGAAGAGTACTCTGATCCTCGGCCTGGCGAGCCGAGGGAATACTTTCTGCTTCTGCTCCTGCCTCTGCTGTCACCGGGTACCTTCCCTCTTATCACACAATCATGAGACCGCCTTCACCTTCACATGCACATCTGATACTCTCCCTTCTTCCTCTCTCTGTCTCTCTCTCTCTCTCTTTCCCATCTTCCTCTCCCACACCCATTCTCACAATGTCTGACAATAACTCTCTTCTCCCAACTCCAATTCCTCTCCCTTCGGTGCGCAGGCTCCATCCTACAGGCTGTTCCCGCCGCCTAAACAAAGCGTGTGTCATAACGCCGAAAAAAAGACGCAGTGGAGCTGCGAGAATGCCCGGAGGGTTTAGCCGTGCGGAGACCACTTTGTTCTCTCGTCTTCTTTTCTTCTTTTTCTTTTCCCCTGTTATCCCGCACTAGTACATAGTGTTAGTAGTAGCAGTAAAGTATTCGTACGAGGGGAAAGGAAAGGGTTGACCGTTTACCCCGATGAGGGGAAGGGATAGCGATACCCCATTCGATCTTCCGAACCCTTCACAATGTAGTATTCTCATATTCCCATATTCCTCTGTTCCTCTCTTCCTCTCCATATCTCCATCGGAAACTGACAAACTTAACTCCAATTACGGAGTACCTCGATTTTTCTCATTCGCAACTCGGGCCGGCGCCGACTCCAGCACCGAGTCGAATCCACAAGGCGAGGCCTATTAATACTATTAATACCCTATTACTACCTCCATGGGATAGTACGGAGTACCTACTACGTAAGTGTGTATCTACTCCACGCGATTGGCCTCGTCTCCCGGGCGCAGGGGAAAAAAGAAAAGGATATTATCAATTGCAATTTCAATTCCATTTCCATTTGCATTCCATTTCAAACATTCTCCCGGATTTCCACGATGATGTCAAATACCAAGCCTCCAGCCCCCCGGAGATTACTGCGAGAAATTCTCGGTCTTTTCTCCACACTTTTTTTTCTTTTCGTCGCGCCCCCCATCCCCCATCCCCTCGGGTGCCCCGGTGGAGTTCCCCTCTTTTCTCCATGGGTTGTTTTTCTCCCCCACGCGAGCCAAGTTGGGGATTCTTGCGGTAATACTTGCCTATATTGGTGGTGGGATTGTGTTGCCTTCCTATCGGCGCGGTATATAGGTATAGGTACTAGTAGGTGCTGATGAGAGGTTCTACAGGCGTACTAAAAAACTACTACTATAATTCTACTTCTACCGGTAGTGCCTAGGTTATCCAGCCCTGAGGTACATCACAGGCTCTTTATGCAAATAGTGAACTTGAGTGCATCTGATTCTCTCCGGCGACACCCGCCAACATCCGTGATCTCGTGACCCCCGATCTTATGGGTTTTACGCTGACTTGGATCTACATCAAATGCACGACGTGGCTAGTGCAAGGCATGTCTTGGATCTACCAACCCTTCAAAGATGTACATCCATGTATATACAACAGATAAAAAGGAAGAAACAAGAAGAAAACCATTCACAGGAGAAGAAATTCAAAATCAAAATCAGAACTCTTTCGCTCCAACTCTCAAAAACGCCATGTATCAGAATCCGGTTTCTCGTCTTCCCAGTCTCATAAACAAAAATCAAATCCAAACCCAACGCCATGGAAGTAACATAGATGTAACAGTTCAACCGTTTTCAAAAAGATCAAATCCAAGAAAGAAAAAGAAAAAAAAAAGTGCAAATGAAGTCATAGTCATAAATGGCCAGAAAAGGAGTGTCGTGAAAAGAATATGCAAGAATCGAATCGGAAGAGGGTACACTGTACGGTAAGGAAGGTAGTGTCGTAAAGGAGATATCAGAACGGAATGCGAAGGCATGAAATCATATACAGAGTATGTTAATAATCATGTCCGCGATTGCGACTCCGATCCCTCAGGCGCCGTATGTGCAGGCGGCGGCACCGTCGGAGTAGACGTCCCGCTGGCCTCGGGGCTGGCCTCGAGGCCGTGAGCACGGGTACGAATTCGGAATCGATCGCGCAGGCGTCTGGTGAGACGGGGTCGGACATTGTTCTCGTTGGCCGCTTCGTCTTGGTTCTCCTCGCGGACGCGGCGGAGCGCGGCAAGGCGCTCTTCAACAGTGGCATTGCGCATGCGGCGCGCGTTTAGGGAGCCGTGGCCGTGGAGGTAATTAGTTAGACGGTTGTGTCGAGATTGGGTTACCTCTGCAGTGGGGGTGACGGTTTCTTCGGCGGCGGGCGTCTCTTCGGGGTGCTCGGCATTCTCGCCTTCCTCGCCATTTTCTTCGGTCTTGTTGGGGTTGAGGTCGATGCGGCTGAAAAAGTTAGTTCAAGGCTTCTTCTATTTTTGCCACTCCTCCCTTCCTTCTTTCAGGTACAGGTTTCTGGTTTGCGGCTTACCAAAGGGGGCATGTGCCAGATACGTTGATCAGCCATGGGTCGATGCATTCTGGGTGGAATTGGTGGTTGCACGGTAGCACCCGCAGATCTTGACCTCTAATGAAGTCATCGGTGCAAATGGGACAGGAAAAATTTCCCCCGTCGGCGGCTGCATGGGGATTAGGCGTAGGCGCGGCGGTAACGTCGGCATCACTGGGAGAATGTTGAATGGACTGGTGAGCGGTCGGCAATTCAGTCTCACGGGGTGTAGTCGTGTGCTCAGCATCGGAGATACTGTCCGAGCGTGGAGGTGAGTGCTCGCGGGCCGGGTCCTCCGGATTGATAGAAAGTTCCACGTCCCGCTTTGCGGCGGCAACGCCATCCTGTTCGTCGCCGAATTTGACGATAGGAATAGTCTCTAACATGGCTCTTGCTATACCCCTGGCTCTACTTTGGCGTGGCCGTCCAGCAACGCGGCGAGGGCCATATCGCTCGGGATGACGATGGGCACGGACAGCGCCTGTGATAATGATACCCAAGAACAGGGCCGTGATAATACCAGTGATACTATATAGGATGATCATCGCTATATGAATCGATTAGCAAAGAGCCAGGTGCAATTGAAGTATCAATCGGGTGCCATTGAGAGACAAACCAGTGTTGGGACTGTCGCCCGAGCTGCTGCCGCCGCCGGTGCCGCTAACATCGGCGCCAGAGCCGCCCTGGTAAGACATTGAGGCGATGGTGGCAGTACTGTTGCTGTTGCTACCGTTGAGAACTTTCTTCAGGGCGACACCACTATCGGTAGAATTGAAGGTGAAGAGGTTGTGATAATCGTCGAGTTGAGCATCCGACGAGATGTTGCAATGAGTAGCCGAGGCACTGTAGAGTACGACAGCAACGAATCTCTGACCAATGACGTACTGAAGATTCTGACCGACAGATAAGGAGCCGGTGTAATCCTCCGGATCACACGAAACGCAGGCAATCTGCGGCGTCTGCGAACTCTGGGCAAATTGGTTGACGTTGACCTTGTACAGACTACCTCGCAGTGGGAAGTTCTGATGGGGGATAAGATAGATGGTGAGACAATGATCCTGAGACAGCGTGGGGTGGAGACTGCAGTGGGCGGGGGACTAGGGCCAAGGGACTAAGGATGGAGACTGGAGAAGAGAGCGAACCTGGAGTTGTTTGTCGGTTAAATTGGAGAAGTAGTCGGTCAACGGGGCGAGAGGTAGATCGGAGGGAAAACTGGGGCCCAGTAGTTTGAAGAGAGCGGAGTGATCCCCGCCCAGGTCTTGGGAATTGTTGGAGGGGAGGACGGAGGGGATATCCGCGAGAGAGGGCAAGAAGAAGGAAAAGGAGAGAAGAAGAGAGAGGAGATATGATGATGACAACGGACATGAGATTAGGAACCCCATGGCCGCGATTTACGGGAAGCGGCGGATGCGGAGGGGGGGGGGGCAGTGTGATCCGATCTCAGAGATTCACATTAGTCAGAGAGTCAGCGAGGGCCCCAAAAAAGAGGAAAAGGGAAAAGGGAAAAAGGGTGCAGGTAATGGAGGGAAGTGGAGCAGAATAAAAGAAAGGAAAACGGAAAACAAGGAAAAAGAGGGGAGAGCTAAAACCGATCGTAGTATGGATCCCCGTGGAGAAGGGAGATCCAACCGATCATGACGGAGATGATTGACTGGGGGAGATGGAGTCGAATGAATTAATGGAATGGATCCAAGGATGGAAATGGGAGGTTCAGGCGGACTGAGTTTGCTTACTCCTACTAGCTTTAGGGCAATGCAATGGGGAGGCTGTGCATGGGTGCCATGGATGGGGAGGAGTGATGACAATGATATTCTATAATATCTATATTCCTAATTACTATCTACTATTCTCTCCCAGTATCGGTATCTATTCTCTATCTACTATTTGTCTCTTCTATTATCTGTATCTACTCCCAATGTCATTGTACAGAGTACTCTGTAATATAATACTATTCTCTACTGTACTGTACGGTACTCCGATCGGCACCGTCCGAGCGCTCGGGCTACTTGCTTGATGAGTTTGGAGTTGGAGTATTTGACATGTAGAATATGAGTACTCCGTACTCTGTAGTATAGTTATAGTACTACTCAGTGTATGTGGTCTACTCGTATAACTACCTAGCTATACTACAAGATAGTTATACTACCGAGTAGTACTTCCATCTTCCAAGCCACTGGACCCTGTTACTGTTTAGCTAACTCCGGTACTCCGTACACGTACTCGATACCGCCACTCTACTCGACGAGTCGAATTCTGGGCTTACTCCGTACATACTACTGAAGTACCTCCACGCTGATCCTGATCCTGATCCTCATACGGAGTACTACTGATCCTCATACTGACCTGACCTGACCTGACCTGACTGATGCACTGACCTACTCTGTCTTCACTTTCTCACCCCCGCAGGATCCGCATTCCGGCGCTAAAGGGAAAAGGAAGGACCGCGCCATCTGTACGGAGTAGGATGCACCTCTCATCTGCATCTTCTGCATCTGCAGCTCCATCTTCATCTTCATCAACATCAAATTTGAACCATCCCAAACCGGGCTGCCGTCAAAGCCAGAGCCTTTGATTTCGATCAAACCAAAGACTGCCGCCTGCTAATGCTCTTGTGCAACGGCCACCGCCACCCGAGGCCCAGCCGTACCTTTACTCTGGAGACCGCGCGTTGTGATTTGTGGAGACTCGAGTGGGGGATGGTCGAGGCTCTCATCGACCGGCGTACGAAAGGAAAAAGGGCGCAGAAAATAGACCTGCCCTTTAGCCTTTGGGTTCTTTGGCTCTGGGGGGGCTTCTGGACTGGCTGGGCTTGGGTCATTCGCACCCGCCATTCAACTTGAGATCCTTTCTAACCAAGAGCGGTTGCACCCGCCCGGCCTTTTTCATCTTCCTCACTTCCTTTCTTTCCCCCCCTTCGATCGGCACTCCACCAAACTGGTCGATCCACTCCTTCTTGTCATGACCTGAGTTGCTTCGTTTTGCGAGCCCGCTGGCAATCCTTCCTCCATCCCCGGGCCTGTTAGGGGCGTATTGCCTCGCACCATGCCCGCCGAGTTGTCTTCCGACCAGCTCCCGTCTCAGCGCTGGGACCGACGCTATGATAGGAAGCCGATCTCAACGTAGGTTTTTTGCCTTTTTTTCCCCCCTTCACTTCCTTCCCCTGTCTAGAAGGGGGGGTTTTCATCTCTCTCATGTTTCGAGAAGGGGGGGGCGGTGGTTCGGTCCTCTCCTATCTCCACGAAGACGAAACGAGTCCACCCTTCCTTTCCCCATTGCAATCTAACAAGGTTCGACAGGAACCCTACTATCGCTGACCTCGACGTCGAACACAATGAACTCGCGCAAACATGGAAGTCCTTTATTCGTCATTTATCACCAGACAATCGCGTCGACTGGGATCACCGCCCCCAGACCGTAGACGATGTCAACGCCCTCGTTCGATCTCTGCAGTCCTTTTGGAAGGCTCGTCCCCGACAAAGAGTCTATAGCCAGGCTAGGGTCCTTTCCGATCAATTTCTCCCCACCCTGAATACCCACGCGACCTTGCTCGCTCGACTACCCGACGCCAACCTTCATTATGCCCCGAACTTCTATGGGGCTTTACAGTCGGTCTTGAAGGTGGGTTTCCTGGTTCGGTCGCGTGCTTGCGTCCAGAGCTCACTTGCTAACCCAACACACCCCTTAGGCATCGTCGCACTATCCTCGAGTGATGGAGGGACTGCTCACCGTTCTCCTGAATATCCACAGCGCCCTGGACGTCCCCGAGGACCCCGCCACCCCTTTTACGATCGAACTCATCGCGAAAATTTATACTCTGATATTCTTCTTTTTGACCGAGTTTATGGACTGGTATGTGCGGAGATCTACCTGCCAATTGTTGAAGAGCCACAACCAAGATGCCTACTCGGAATTCTACCATTTGGTCAACTGCATCCAGCGCCAAGCGAAAGCGCTCTCCGAGTCACCTGACGATATGGATGTGGACGAGGACTTTGAAGCGGCCTATAGCCCCCGGGCTCTGTGGGAGGATTCACAGATGAGTCAAGTCGGTCGTCAAGGGACGGAGCGTCGTATCGCCGCACAGAATACTATCACCCGCCGGTTAATCTGGGAGATCCAACAAGACGCCGAAGAACGGGCCCGGATCAAGGAACAAAGGGGCCAGTTGCTAGCACAAATGTTGAAAAATGTGAGCAGGCAACTGCACACAGTGAGCGAGCAGAATAGTGGAATTGTCTGCTTGACGACGGCCGCCCCAGATCTTGGTAAGTGTACACCCGACTGTGCGACTTTGGGGGAACCACACGCTAATGATAAATGTTCCCAGTAACCTCTGGCTTTGAATGGTCCCGAGGTTCTAAGCGACGCCTTGCTCGACTCGAACTGCAAAGTGCTTCTAAGGAGCTTCAAAATTTCTTCGATAGTGACGACCAAATCGCCGACTTCGATTCCGACGTGGAAGTTATCGCAGAGGGTAGTGTAGTGACCTCGCTACAGAAATGGGCTACGAGCCCCAGGTCACAGGCCCTGGCAGTGGGCGGGTCTCAATCAACCACATATCCTAGTCCCGTGGCCTTAATATCGGCCTGCTACGCCTCTTTCGCCCGTCACGCGTCTCTTCCGGTTGTCGCCCACTTCTGCACTCTCCCTCAGGATGAAGCCCAGGAGATGACTCCATACCAACAGGGACTCATCTCGCTCACTTATAGCTTGATACGACAATTGATAGATACCCTTCCGACAGTGGTGGACAGCGACGCATTATTGGACCTCAGCGCCGAACGGTTTCGATCGCTGGATGGAACTCTTTCTAGCTGGAAAGCAGCTTTATCCTTGGTTGATACCCTCCTCCACTTTCTTCCACCCTTGCTTGTCCTCGTCATCGACGGCATCGACCGAATCGATGATCCATCCACAGATACTGCGGTGCGCGAACTCATCCGGGTTTTGCTCACTCACACTCGACATCAACCCCAGTCCCTCGATAGCGATAGCCCCGCGCAGCCATTCCTGTTTAAAGTCCTATTTACCGTGACGGGCCGCCCGAGCGCGCTAGTCGAAACGATGTCAGAGAATCAACTCGTCCTGAGCGAACCTACTCATGTGGATGAGCCCACCACGTCTGATGCTGTCCTCGCCTCCGACCTCGGCGCAGTCATGATGAATGCGTGAGGTGTCTACGGGGGGAATAGACTGACGTGACGAATTTCCTTTTCTCTTTGGGTCTTCTACGCAAGGCTGTTTTTAAAAAGACCTCTGGTTCCTAACATAGATCTGCACCTCTGGACAAGCACGGTTCTGGGGTTTCATTACGATGCATGAGGCACGAATCACACGGCGATCACTTTGAGCACATTTTACACCATCTCTCACTATATGCATGAAGAGACGGTCTTCGTTAATATTGTCAGCTTTCTACCTTCAAGTCTGTTTGTTCCTTTTGCCGGCGTCTGGGAATGGATTGGGGGATTTGATTTGATGTCACCATTTGTCCTCTCTGTTTTATCTTTCTTGCTTTGCTTGGTCTGATTTGATTTGATTCCATTACATTTTTTGCCTTGAGTTATTCCTCTGCTGTGCACCTTGCTTTCCAGTGACTTGTGGTAGACTACTGTATTTTACTGCTTGATCGCTGAGATACCCAATAATTAGATTTAATTCCTGCGCATCTGCATCTGCATCCGCATCCGCATCCGCATCTAGCTACCACCCATTCTGCCCAACCGGAATTTGATACCCGATGTGCATACCGAATGGGAATCCCGACTAGCCATAATGCGGGTCTGCTGGTTCAGTGGGGTGGAAATAAAAAAGAGCAAATAGAAAATGCGGGGGCAGCAATGGAGATTGAATTCCGCCCGCAATACTTAAAAGACCAGCCCAGCGAGGGGGTCTGGGGGATTTTATACAGGGCTGATCACTCCGACCTACATACTATCTCATATACACACATGAACCGACCAGCCATGAATGGCCACACATCAATTCCCTCACGGTTATACCAGCCCGAATCAGTAAACCTAGACGATTTCAAGGCGATCTGCTCCCGCCAAATCGACAAAACAACCTACCCCCCTCGCCTGCACCGTCGAACAAAACGTGCCCATCTACGACCTCGCCGCGCTAGAAGCCGACCCCCAACAACCCATCACCGCAACCGCCATCTCCAACCTGCAAGATGAATGGCATCACATCTTACACAAAGGGCCCGGCATCTTCGTGCTGCGAGGAATGTACGCCCCATCCCGGTACGCGCAAACCCTCACTTCCACAAACACAGCCTTCAACAGTATAATCGCGAAAGAGCGCGCATCACCCACATCCAAAGGCGACCACTTCGCCGCCGGCGGCACAAACGACCGAATCTGGAACTCCTTCTCCAAACACGCGCTCGAGGATCCAGCCTCTTTCATCGAGTACTACTCCAACCCATGGCTAGCGACCGTCTGCAGCTCCTGGCTCGGCCCGGGCTATCGTGTCACGGCGCAGGTCAATGCAGTTCACCCCGGTGGCGCCGCGCAGGAGTCCCATCGCGATTACCACCTCGGGTTTCAGGACGCGGATAGCTGCGCCGCATACCCTGGCCCGACGCACTTGACCTCGCAATTCCTTACGCTGCAGGGTGCCGTTGCGCATAGCGATATGCCGGTTGAGTCTGGGCCCACGCGTTTCTTGCCTTTCAGCCAGACCTATGCGCCGGGGTATCTGGCGTGGCGGAGGCCCGAATTCCGCGCCTTCTTTTTGGAGAGATTTGTTGCTTTGCCGATGGGGGTTGGTGATGGGGTTTTCTTCAATCCGGCGCTGTTTCATGCGGCCGGTGCGAATGTTATGGAGGCTGGGTCTGGGGGCTTTCGGCGCGTTGCGAATTTGTTGCAGGTTAGTAGTGCTTTTGGGAAGGCTATGGAGATGGTTGATGCTGTTCCGCTGATTGAGCGGTGCTGGAATGGGCTAGTTAAACGGTATCAAGATGCTGGGGGGGATGTTTGCGGGGAGTGATTTGGATCCGGAGAAATATTCGCGAGAGGCGAGGGAGGTTAGGGCTTTTATTCAGGCTGTTGCGGAGGGGTATCCTTTTCCGACGAATTTGGATCGTAGGCCGCCTGCGCCGAGTGGGATGGCGCCGGAGAGCGAGCAGGATGTTGTTATGCGGGCGTTGGAGGGTGGTTGGAGTCGTGAGAAGGTTGTTGATACGCTGAGGCAGATGCGTTTGGATTCGCAGCCTTGAGGGTTGTGGGATGCCCAGGTTGAATTAATGGAGTTCTGGACTTGGATCTTGAAGGAATTCAATTTGATGGACTTCGAGTATCTACTAATAGTTCCAAGTCGGCTGAATGTATATTGTAAACAGTATACTATACTATGATGTTGGGAGTTTGCAGGTAGCAAGCACAACTACTGGTAGCAGCACCTCGATCCCTTGAATCCAACACTGACCTCCTGGCTCAACCTGCTGAGTAAATAAGCTACGGTGATTAGAAATTGTTAAATCTCTTGCAATTCAAGTTTACATAGCCCCCAACTCCTTTTTCAGTAGCAAGTCCAGCAATTGGCTCGTGTCGCATCCTATAGATGCAAATCAACACTGTTGGAATAAAACGTGTCCCGGACGAGTAAAGATACATGGTAGTATTACGGGCGGGGAGAGCCGCTCTTAAGTATGGTAAAAAAACGAAAAACTCAAGGAATTTCGAAAAACCACCGGACCCTTGATGGCAGAATGTAATTTTTGGGAAATTGTTTGGGGATCTGAAATGGATACAATATACAATATCACAATGCACCACCTTGATGTTGATAGCTGTTAGTACTAGTAGTTGGAGTCTTCATGGATATATCTAGGAAGACTCGGATACCTAGGTAGATATGAGTACTTCATAGGGATATAAGGTCCCTATTTTTATTTGAGTTGTCTATGAATATGGCAGCCTTGTACTCCGTGGTAAGTGTTGAAGATCTCCTAATATGATACGCTCCGATATCACGGTAGACCCTGGTCTAGAGCCGACCCTAGACTCGAACAGCTAGTCCACTGATATGATAGACCCACTGATGCCGTGACGGGCTGAAGAAGGAATGCAGCATCCTATTTTTTAAAACTTATCTTCAATTTAGGAATTTCCATCCAGGGGGTGGAGACACGTGACCCATAGCCACGCCTAGAAGCACAGAATTTGTACAGAGAACTCCGTACTCTGGACAGAGAGAGTATCACAAGCATCAGCGGGTTGAGCGGAGCTGAAGGAAAGGCCGATCGGGATAATAACGAACAAGGATTTGAACCAATTAACTGGGTCGATCTATCGGAAATACCAATTACTTACATACACAGAGAACAGAGCACTGTGTGGACTGCACACAGCAGAGGGTGCAAGGCTGGATCGAACTGTTTGGACCCCTGGCATTGGGACGACGGGGAAGATCGTGGCTTACAATTGGTGTATCACTTGAACGCCCGGTGGGGTCAGTGGACCTGCATCCATGGTGTCAGAGAAGCTGCACCAGGCTCACTAGGGGGGGTGGCGACAACGGAAGTTGGAGCCATTGAATAGGATCTGGTGGTGGTGGTGAGGGACCGGTTCAGGGGATCTGGGCAGATATAGTACTTGTATAGAGCACGGAGTGTATGGTATGTAGTACTGTAAATGCAATGAAAAGAAGTGGAATCTGCTCCATGATCTCATAATCTCCATAATTGCTTCTACAATGCACGTACTGGAATGCGGCTGTCAGTGGGCCACGGCGAAGAATGGCTGTCTCACATTTTTGCGCCTTTGCCCCCCCAACAACTTGGTGAAACACGCCCGCAGTCCTGCTTGTTTACTTTACCTTCCTTTCTCTCTTTTCACGTTCCATCCAATTCGGATTGGAATAGGAAGAAATTTAATTCTCCGTGCGAGGCCGTTCTCCCCGCCGTTCTTTCTCGACGATCATCGCTTTCTCTCCACCCTGGACTTGACACTACCACCACAATTTGGTCACAGAGTGGATGATCGACTGCCGAACAACCACCATCACTGGTCCGGGGCTCAAAGCCAAGCGAGACTCGCAGCAAACGGCTTTCGGAAGTGTCTCGCCTGTACTGTACTTTGACCTGACCGCGCGTGTGAGTGAGGGGGGCCACACGCAAAGGACCCAGCGACAAGTCATCGGCCTTACGCGACTCGTTGTAATTTTTTTTCACCTACTCCACCTACCACTCCCGAATCGGACCAACCAGCTTTAGCATCGATCTACACAAAGGACCATAAAAGGGTTTGGCCCCCCCTCTTTGGGATCTTCGATATGAGGAACAAGCTAGGCATCGCGGCAAACCGCCTGTCGACACACCGATTTGAACAGATCCCCGACCACCTCCCACACGACGGGATGCACAACCCAAACGACGCAACCATTGATATCCCCCTCACGGACGCTCCGTCCAAAGGTCAGAACGGTCTTCACAAATGGGGGTCTTCGCCCGACGCTGTTGAGCAGCCTGGTGATGGCGAGAAGGGTGGTTTGCCAAACGGCAGCGGCCCTGGTCGTCGTCGTCGCGTCGATTCGGATATCAATGATGCCTCTCACAAACCTGCCGATTCCCCAGAGGATGGCAAAGTCAATCGTTTAGGCCGCATCTACCAGGCCATCTATAATTTCTCCATCATCACTCGTTACATGATCTATGTCTTTCCTATTGGTCTTCTCATTGCGATACCCATTATTGTCGGCGCCACTGTTGCGCAGGACGCTTACATCGGCGGCGTTCATATCTACTGGTTCTTTACTTGGATTGAGGTGGTCTGGGTCAGCTTGTGGGGATGCAAAATATTCGCCAAGTTCATTCCTTATGTCTTCCAGACTCTGTGTGGTTTTGTTAGCTCGGGTACGCGCAAGTATGCTCTCATCCTGCGTGCTCTAGAAACGCCAATTACTATTGTACTTTGGTGTGTGATCTCGCTTGTCACGTTCTTACCGGTATGTATTGAATCCTTGTACTTTATGGGTCGCCTGAAGGAAATCAGCTAACCTTATTGCCACATCAGATTATGCGATATGGTGCCGACAATAGCAGTTCGGTCTCCTCATGGGAGAAGAGTGTCAAGAATATTCTGTTTGCCCTGCTCGTCTGCAGCTTGATCTTCCTCGCTGAGAAGGCCCTTGTTCAGCTCATCTCAATCAGCTACCACCGCAAGCAATTTGATGCCAAGATCAAGCAATCTAAGCACAACCTCTACCTGGTCGGTCTCTTGTTCGAGGCCTCCCGCAACATGTTCCCTGTCTACTGCCCCGAATTCCGCGACGAAGATGACTTGATCTTTGACTCGCTGCTTGCCCAAGATGGCAAGGACAAGAAGAAGCGGAGTTCGATTATGCCCTTGCGTATGATTCGTGAAGTCGGTCGTCAAGTCGGCCACAATGTTGGCCGGGTTGGTGATAAGGTTACCACAGCCTTCGGAAACGTCGCCTCTGAACTTACCGGCAAGAAGGTGTTCAACCCAACTGCCACTCACTCCATTGTTGTTCAGGCTGTTGAGCGTAAGCGTTGTGCTGCGGCGCTGGCTCGTCGCATCTGGATGTCCTTTGTCGTCGAAGGCCGCGATGCTTTGTACCTTGACGATCTCGTTGAAGTTCTTGGAAGTGATCACGAGGCTGAAGCCGAGGAGTGCTTTAACGCTCTGGATAAGGATGGAAATGGAGATATCAGCTTGGACGAAATGATCCTTACTATCACTGAGTTCGGTCGTAACCGCAAGTCTTTGAACAGTAGCATGCACGATGTCGACCAGGCTATTCGTGTCCTTGACAACTTGCTTCTCACTGTTGCCTCCGTGGTTGGTGTTCTCGTCTTTATCTCTTTCGTCACCACTGGTTTTGGAACTGTTATCGCTGCTGGTGCTACTTCGCTGCTCTCCCTGAGTTTCGTCTTCGCCACTACCGCTCAGGAAGTTCTTGGATCCTGCATTTTCTTGTTTGTCAAGCATCCTTTCGACATCGGTGATCGTATTGAAGTCAGCGATAAGCCCTTCGTTGTTGAGCGTATCTCGCTTCTTTTCAGTGTCCTTCGCAATGTGAACGATCACCGCATCACCCAGGTGCCCAACAACATTCTCAATAGTCTGTGGGTGGACAACTTCACTCGTGCCAATGCCATGCATGAACAACTTACTGTGCCTGTTGCTTTCGATACCTCATTTGCCGATGTTCAGTTCCTTCGCGAGGAGATGGAAGGCTTCGTCCGTGACAAGGATAACAGCCGTGATTTCCAGCCTGACATTGATATCGAGGTTGTTGGCGTTGGTGACATGGATAAGCTCGAGCTGCGCGTTGATATCCGCCACAAGTCAAACTGGTCCAACGAGACTGTCCGTGCTGCCCGCCGCTCTAAGTTCATGTGTGCTCTGGTTCTCGCTGTTCGCAAGATCCCTGTTCGCGCCCCTGGCGTCGCCATTGAAGAAGAGACCAAGGAAGATGGCGAGGATAAAGGTGACGATGACGCTACCTCCAACACTGGTAACCGCAAGTCTGGACAGGACGCAGGATTAGCCCCTGCTGCCGGCTTCGCCGCTAGCGAGGCCCTTTCTCCGAATACCGCCCATACATCCGGCTTCGACGACCAGAAGCAGTCCTCCGGCATCACCAAGCGTGGCTCTCAAGCCAGCGAAGCCGCCATCGCCGATCGCCTCAACCTGCGTTCCCCAGCTGTCGATGTTGCCCGTGACAACGGCCTTACTGCCAATGCAGGCCTTTATCGCACAGCGACGAACGCTTCCAACCAAAGCCAATCTCTGAGCGTCAACGACGGCAACACTGGTAACGCCATGCAACGCGGCCTCTCTACCGGCCATCGCAAGGCTGGCACCCACGTTTCCTACCACGGCGAGGAGGGCGATTTCCCTCACCATCTTACACCCGTCCCCTCAGGCATGACCCCCTCAACCAGCGAGGTTCCCATCCTCGGAGCCCCCGCGCCCCCAGGCTCCCGTGGCAGCGCCCGCTACGAGCCTCAGCCTAGCTCTACGCTCGGCTCTACCGAGTACACCTCAACCTACTATAACACTCAAGACAACCCCTTCGACCCGGTCTCGATCCGCGGGGTGAGCTCCGAGCAGCACGCGCATGAGCGCCCTCCTAGCCAGCAGTATGAGATGGACCGATACGATCCCGTCTCGCCGCCATCTGTCTACTCGCCTCACCCTGGCGAGACTGATCCAGCGCGTCACAACTCACTCATTGAGAGGATGAGAC